CACATTTTCTTCATCACATTTCGCCCTCCGCTTCTCGATCCAACCCCCGAAGTTGTTGCTATATCCCGTCCCTCTCTCTGCATTACCCCCCCCCCCCCCCCCTCTCCCCTTCCCTCCTCCCTCTTCTCGGACGTGTGCTGTCGGGAAGCTTTCGGGAAATTCTGCTGCTCCACTTTAGCGGGATTTTCTTTCTATCTGTTTGTATCGCCCCGCTAACAAGTTGGTTGGGTTTGGTCCGAGTTAGCAGGTTGAACCCGCTCCCCCCAAGCAACGCAAGTCCGTCGCATTCAGTGAAGGCGCTGTCATTATGGATACCAACGGAGAAGTCACGGAGGCTGTTCCGGCTGTTGAGAAGCCGGTTGCTGAGACTGAGGGTAACATACCCCCCTCCCTCTCCCCCTCCCCATTCTCCCCGTGATATAAATCTAATATTGATCACTTTAAACCACCCACAGACAAGGCCGTCGACGAAGTCACCGAATTGTTCAAGGGCCTTTCGAAAAAGAAGAAGAGCAAGAAGCCCAAGGATGCCGAGGGAGCAGACGACGAGGCCACGCCCGCAGGCGACGGCGAATTCGACGTGTCCGCCTTGAAGAAGAAGAAGAAGAAGCCGAAGAAGGTCGACGCGGGCGATTTCGAGGCCAAGTTGGCCGAGGCCGGTGTTGCAGAGAACGGCGGCGCCGCCGCTGAGGAGAAGGAAGAGGAGGTGCCCGAGGGTGACCACGAAGCTGGAACCGGTATCTGGGCTCACGACGCCGCGCAACCCATTCCTTACACGCTGCTTGTGTCCCGATTCTTCTCCCTCATTCAGAGCCACCACCCCGATTTGTTGTCCAGCGGTACCAAGTCGTATAAGATCCCGCCGCCCCAGTGTCTGCGTGAAGGTAACCGTCGTACGATTTTCGCCAACATTGCCGATATCTGCAAGCGCATGAAGCGCTCCGATGATCACGTTATGCAGTTCTTGTTCGCCGAATTGGGTACCAGTGGTAGTGTGGATGGTAGTCGTCGTCTGGTTATTAAGGGTCGTTTCCAGCAGAAGATGATTGAGAATGTGTTGAGAAGATATATTGGTATGTTGCCCCCTCCCCCTCTCTCTCTGACCCGTTGGGGTCCAGTGTCTATTTTACGTGAATACTAATCAATCCATACAGTCGAATACGTCACCTGCAAGACCTGCCGCAGTCCCGACACTGAGCTCAACAAGGGTGAAAACCGTCTATACTTCGTTACTTGCAACTCCTGTGGATCCCGTCGTTCCGTTGCCGCCATCAAGACCGGTTTCCGTGGACAGGTCGGCCGCAGAAAGAGACAGGGTTAAACGGGGTAATGGAGAGATTTTTTTGGGTCGAGAGGGGAAGAAGAAGGAAACCATGGCAGCTACCAGTCGGTACCTACCATGGTGCCCTTCGGTAGTATCTTCCGGCGCGGTTATGATTGTGCTATTTCCCACGCCTTTTTCGTATACAAAGACTTTTTCTTCTTTCCTTATTCTACTTTTTCTTCTTGCATTCCATCTTCTTATGTGGACATGTGGACATGTGGATGATGAAAGAAATGGTGTGGGATTGCTTGGTGCTTGCAAGGGATTCAAAAAAGAAAGAGTTACGAGGGAGGGAGAGAGAGACGAAGTGAAGATCGCTTAGCATGGCATGATAGGGTAAATGGACTGGTATGACCTCTTTACTTACGGCCTGTCATCTCTTTTTACGTATGCTAGGAGGTGGAGGCTGCAATCGTGTGTATACGATGCATGATGCCTGGTGGTGGCTGCCTTCGAGGCACCGGAGTCTGAGACATAGTCAACATGACCAATAGAAGAGACAGACAACTGAACAAAGGTGCTTCGTAAGAGGTATAATAAATGACGTATAAATCACAGGTATATAGCTAAGTATTCACAGAGATCAAAATAGAAGGGATTAAACAACAAGAAAGCTCATATCGTGATCGTATTCGTAACATGCCCAGAAAAAACAAGGGTGGATGTGTCATCAGGACTTTGCGATAACGCCGTTCAGATGGGCGACAAAGGTAGACACATTGCGTGTCTGCATGAATACAGTGCCAGGGCCCGTGAATCTACACGCAAGACCCTCGCCGGCACTCCAGTTGGAGATGATACCGCCAGAAGCGACTCGTTCGATCTTGTATTTGCAGTTCCAGGCTACCAGATGGCCGTTGTTCACGAAGTATGTTTCTTCCTCGGCGAGCTGGAGATGGGGAGTTAGTTGGAAATCACTTCTTAGGGATGTATAGTGGTTCACATACTTCCTTCTTAACGATCGCTCCAAAGCTCTGCATCCATACCAATCCGGCGCCGGTGAACTTGAACACGATGAAACCTTCCCCGGAAAATACACCCTTCATGAGTCCTTGAGTCTTGTAATTGATGTTGACACCCGTCGTGCAGGCAAGGAAAGCATCCTTTCCCACGGTCCACTCTGTTGCACCATCCAGACGGATAATAGCAACATCTCCAAGTATAGATGGCGCAAGCAAAACTTCTCCGGGACCGGTATATGTTGATCGGGCCAACTGACCTCCTGCGAGGGCTTTCATCCAACCGAACGAGAGCGAGCCTCGCAGGGACATCGAAGGAGACATTGCGATCATTATCCCTATGACATGGGATAGTGTTAGTTCCTAAAGACAACGCAGCAGCCAGGTTGACGTACCAGGTCTCGCCTGTATCGGACATCCCACTGCCAGCTGGATGGTTAGGAGTGTGTTCGTGTCCCGATGGCTTATTCTGTAACTGCCGCCATTGAAGGTTCCTACATCATCTGCGTAGGTCGACTGCGCTCCTACAAAGGTCTTAGGAGCCACTCTGCTTCCGAGCGCTGCGTCTGTCTGGGCCCGGACAAGACCTGGTCCTGGTGGTGGTGGTTGTTTTTCCGGGGGATTGAGAACAGCGGAGTTGTTGAAAAACAAGCCTGCATTCTGAGCAGCGTAGATTGCCTTCTCGCTCATCGGCGGAGTTGGTGGGCCGTTTGATGGAGAGATCGGAGACACATCATCTTTATCGTCATTTGAAGGTATGGGCTGCTGGGGAGGCGGGGGAAAACTGAAATTTGGGGGTGGAAAGCTCGGAGAGGCCTGGGGAGGTGGTTGGAAGGCTAGACGGTCGATTAGCTGGATACTGGAAGATCTTTGGTTATGTTGCATACCGGCGCCATTAGGTGGAGCTATACAATGGGTTTATTAGTCTTCATCGGCGATGATATTAGCGGGAAACGCACGAGGGAAAGAATGTCCTTGGCTAGGAGGAGGCGGGTAAACGACTTGCTCAGACATTGTGCTGACAGGCGACCACTGTCGCTAGAATCTGTGTCCTTGTTATCATCGGTTTGGCCTTTTGTGGTGATTTACATTGCAACAGAGTATTGTTAGGCTTTGAGGTGAAGTCACAGGAAACTTACCTGCGAGAGTTGATCACGAAGACACCTTGGCCCTGAGAGAGAGAGAGAGAGGGCGTGCGGGGCTACTATGTCTTGAAGGAAAGTATAGAAGAAGGTATAACACCTTTTCTCAAGTCCCGAAGCTGATAAGGAGAATGCACGATCGTGAGTCGTTCAGGTTACTGACGAGAAAAGCAAATGCATGACAGTTGGGGGGAATTGATGAAATCAGAGGCAGAGACATTGTGTTTAAATGATCCGGCTAAAGAGGGCGTTAACAATGAGGAGATGAGCTCTGGACTCCAACCAAGGCGAGCTACTGCATGGTGATCGCCGTGGGCGCTTAGAGAAGGCCTCTGATAGCTGTAGCGTGTGACGCCCACGGCGAGGCATCGGCGCTACCAACCATCATTGGCCGGCCCCTTAGCGCTTCGGACGAAGTCCCTCCCCAATCCCAAAGAGGGGAAGGAGTGGTCAGCCCTCCCCACACGCGCCTTCTACCGTTTCGTAGCCACTTCCCATCCCACAGCGCAAGTCTCAGCTACGTACTACTAGGTCACAGCGAAGCGACTTAGTAAGCATCATGTAGCGTACTTCTAAAAGCATTCAGTTCTAGAGACATGCTATCTGGCTAAAGGATCCTGTAATGCGCTTTGTTTAGCGCTTCAAAGGGTCTTAATATGGCTGAGGGCGTGTCCCTTTGACCGAGTGGTCTGTTGTCAAGGTTCTGCTACTTGAGAATCAAAAAGTCAATCAGAAAGAAGGCTGTATTTGTGTATCTTATTAAACAAAATGCCTGCGGTCGCCCACGGCCCAGGACCTAGTCGTACCTATATCAATTGGTCCCTAAGCATGGCCTTCCGTTCGCCAGCATACTCTCTATTTGCCGGTAACAGGCGATCCGCTACGTCGCCGATTTCATGCTGCAAACAAGTTTGCTCGGACTGTTCAGTCAGATGGGTCTAGATCCTGGTCCTGATCCTGCACTGGACCCCGATCCTAGCCACGAACTTCTAGGTCTAAGGGCATTGCGGATAGATGCTGAAGACGATGGTAAGATGCCTCATCCATGTCTTGAAATGAGACAAGCAAGCATACCAAATCGCATGAAACCACCAGGTTTGGCACAGGAATGAGATGCTAAGAACGAAGAGAATGAGCTCGCAGGGACCTGGCCGATCAGTTGCATATCATCGTGAGATCACAGTTGCTGTGATTTGCCGCGTTATCGACTTCTTCCTATACGCGTGGCTTTTTCGTTGCTTCATACTGCGACATCGAAATATTAGGATACGGCGTTTCGGCTTCATATTCTTGCTTCAATGGGAAGCGTCTACATATCTAGCAACGCAGTTAGCGGGCTCCATTAGGCTAAGACCTGACTTGATCTGACCTTGCTTGCCCGGTATGCCCCGGGCCTCGGATACCGCTTCCAAGATAGTCAGAATGTCTAGGCGGTCCCTTTGTCGGGCTTCGTCAAAAGCATTCAAGCCGTTATTATCCGTTTGATATATGTCAGCCATGTTGTCGAGTAATAGCCGGATGACATCCGCAGAAGCATAGTTGTATACTGCTAATGTTAATGGTGTACAGCCGCAGTCATCCTGAACGTTAACCTTTGCTCCATAGTCCAGGAGCAACTCAACCATTTCCCTCTCGTTATCAGCTGCGGCATGAGTCAAAGGCGTTCTACCGTCACCTGCGACAATTTCAATATGTCCACCTTCTTCAAGAAGCATCCACGCGATAGACAACTGGTTTTGTCGAAATGCCAGGTGCAGAGCACTGAATCCTTGTACGTTTTGACAGTCTATCTTTGCCCCATATTCAAGAAGCAGCCGGGTGATACATTCGTCTCCTTGGCTAGCAGAGATACCTAGCGGAGTTATACCACTGGATTTCATGACTACGTTGGCATTCGCTCCGTTGGCAAGTAGTATCTTTACTGCTTCTATTTCTCGGTTTTCCACGACCTCAAGAAGCGCCGTATACCCTTCGTACTCTTGACTGTTGATATTTGCGTTGTGTCGGTTGAGTGTCTGGATCGAGTCGGAACCGCATCTTGACGCAAATACAAAGGCCTTTTGCGTCATCGGCCCGTAGAGCTGGCCTACCTCGACCCATTTGGTTAGAAGCCAATGACAGAGAGCAAATTGCCGATTTTGGATGACCCATTCGAGACAATGTTGGTCCTCATCACCCGGGACTTGGCGGTCGAACATGATGTCCGTTCCGTGCGTAAGCCATCCTAAAATAGTCCTTTTGGCACACTCACTCCTTCCCTGCTCATCGGTAAAGTCTAATTGCTCAAAATTTCCTAGGCTTTCTATCGAGATCTTGATATTGTGCCCGTCGATCTTATTGTTGCAGATGTGCCAGGCAATCCAACCGAGCTGTTGAGAGAAATGGCTCCACCAGGCCTGCTGGCGTTGGGACTTCATCCAGTTCATTGGCCGAAAACTCCCTATACCCTCGAAATGTGTTGACCTGGGATCATACTGAAGTAGTGAGAGCAATATGTTGACCCCTTGTGTTCGGACATTGTCTTCGCTATGCATGATTGCGCGTTGACAGAGATAACCAAGCTCGTAGACAGAGCGCTCGAACTCCTCTCCCTCGGAATGCTCACAAAGCCAGCAAACAATGGAGAAGAATTCCGTCCAGTTCCCGGTCGAAACATGCCTTTCAATCTGCGCTCTCACCATCAACGAGTCTGCAGCAAGCTCCGGTAGAAGCTGTCGAGATCTCAGGACTGGAATAGTACATAGCAGGGCATCTTCTCTTGAGCCGAGATTTCCAGACTCAAAACAGGCCACTAGCTCATCGATGCGACTACTATATGCAATAAACCCGTTTTGTAAGCCTGGGCGCACGTCCGCATCGCCACCAATGGTTTGAAAGTCTAGAAGAGCGCTCTTAAGGAAATGGACATATACATCCTGAGCGGTCCATAGCCCTAGTACTGCTTCGAGCTCGGTTTCATCGGCCTTCCACAATAGGGTGTCTTCTGCTCTGTCGAGTTTAATGGTGTAGGTTTCCAGCGTAGCATTGCAAACGGACTTATCAAGTGATTGGCAGGTAAAATTGAGGTCGAAGCTCTCTCCACTGATGTTCTTCCAGCTTGATAATAAGTCCATTGTCTTTTCAATGGTGTTCGCCAAGTTTCGAGCTACGTGCCTGATTGGGAGGTCATCCCAAGCCAAGCTTGACTCTTTGTCAGCATTGGACGTGATGCGAGCTAGTTGAGCTCTTGTCCGTATAAGCCTGGTCCCAAGACTGCATATTTGGCTTGAAGACTGCGTAGACGCGGAAGATGATGAGATTGCCAATGGAGCCTGAGACTCATGGGATTGGCTCGAGATCGACCCGAGCGAGCTTACGCTTTCGAGATAAAACGTGAAACAGTCAAGTTCTTGCTGATTATAAGAGACAATGTCTCGTTCTTGAGTCGTCAGACCGTTCTCGTCTGATCCAGATCTTTTAGTCCGGAGACAGGCTCTGATAATGGACATTAGGAGAGTAGCGCCCATTTCTGCCAGAATCACGAAGCCCTCGGATACCGACGAATTGAATGACAAACCCAACCATTGTGGATGTCAAAGTGAATAGCAGCAAGGGGCCATTTCCGAAAGTTCCAGGGCTTCTGACCGATTTGATATACATAAGGTCCTCAGTCGCCTCGGATTTCGGTCCCTCATTCACCCCGAGGAAGGCTCCGAAGACTTGGTCACCGACATCTTTTTCTCCGGGCTGTAACCAGTAGATCTTACTGGGCGCTGCAGGACGAATGTAGCATTCAGTAGAAGAGCGCTCGATGATAAAGGCGCACAGAAACATTCCAATGGAAAGTAAGATGGACCCACAGAAAAACAGAGGGAAAGCATAGCTTACGACCAAGCTCCCGTCTTTCTTGAAATGTACCGGGTAGATATAAACAGTTACTGCAGCGTATACAAGCACCCCTGATGCGAGTTGTCAGTCTAACTGATGCACTACCAGATGTAACAAGCGCAAGTAACACTCACCTACTTGTAACCCAAGCCCCAACCCAGCAGCAGCATAGAACCAGCCCTGGCTGCTCCCTTCAATCCCCTTGTTCAAGGACAGATTCGGGATATCGAGTTCAGGTAAGATTTCCTTTTCGTCGAGGATCCAGCTTCCTTTCCCTGCCCGCCAAGCGCCTTCCCGAAGAGCGTCGCGCAGAGTCCCAATTCGGTAGGAACTCTCCCCCGTGGCAGTTTGGGGAACTGCTGCATCTTCCCAGACGACTACCTCCAGCAGCCGAGGTCTTCCAAATACCCTGGAAATGCCTCCATTGTTGAACATTTCCGCCATCGTCTCAGAAACACATGACAGGACCTCATTTTCAACCTCACCAGGGCCCTCTTGTGCCCTCCCTATAAATGCGCGAAGAGACGAGTTTCCGCAGACTCGGATGACGGAAACCACGGCCGTCAAGATCCCTAAAGGGGCCACGGAAAAAAATAAAATTGTCTAGAATGCTGGTTGACTCGGACAGGAATTGTTTACTCAGTCGATCACCAAATAGGGAGATAAGAGGTGCCTGTCAGGTAGAAGAATAATGTTATCGGACTTGGCCCAACCTGGAAGTAAAAACGAGGTCCTACCAAGTCCGTAGCAAGATCATCTGCAAAGTCATCCCAACCAGTGGCCAATACACCGGGAAATATTAACAGTAGTAAAGCAATAAGCGTCATATGCCACACCATAGCGAGGCATAAACAAGGTTGACATGGATTTTACAAATGTGCTTCTAAAAAGGGCTTCGAGCAAACAAAGATAGTGCAAGATTCAATACTCCGTACTGTCCCTGATATAACAACATCCAGCCCTCCAGGGCAGCTGAAGCTCAGCCTTGTAAGCCGCCTGCTCACAGCCCCACGTAGATGGGACTGGAACACCAGCTCATCTTGCATGCCGGCATCTGCTATAACCACAATTTGCATCTCTTAAGAAGTCTGACTAATTACATCGGTCATTATATAGAGCACCTCCCAAGAAATCTCTCAAAGTATTTCATGTAGAGACTTATACAGGACTTCATACAGAATCTTATACAATGAAGACTTAACAGAGAACCTTAATCAAGGCCCTGTAAAGAACTGTACACAAAGTCTTACACAGAATCTTGTAAAGAACTTTATAATGGGCTTTATAAGGAGGATCTAGTACTACATAGCCTAAGGCATGGATTGGGGCCTTAGGTATGATACAAAGCCTCAGGCATGGGCGCGGATCGCAAAGATAAAAGCGAGCGAAGATAACAGGGGGGGAAAGATGGGGTAGGCTTAAAGTTCGGGGGATAAGTTGTCACTCCATCGCTGAAACTAGAGTGGTGACCGGATCGAAACAATTCGCTTGGAAAACACATCCCAGTTACTTCTATGACTAAAAATGCCTCGATCATTAACCCAAGCAATCTGCGACGCGCTATCCCAACTGACCCGAACTAAACGGTTTTTCCGACTAAGCATAGGAAAAGAATCGAACCACCAACGCCGTTTCCATGACGAAATGAAGGTGAGCGAAAGAAACATCACAGGACGCCATTCTGTAAAGCCCTAGAACAAACCAAATATCGACTGGCTGAAGCATTTAGAAAATGCTATTCACCAGATTCGAACCCATGGTAGCACCGGCACCGAAGATGGCTAAAGACAATGGTCAGCAAACACAAAATCATGGAATAGTTATACATAGAGGCGCCGGCGCATCGATTCATTGTGCGCGAGCCTGTTCCTATAAACGTACCGGCATTGCCCATCTTCTTGCCAAACTTCTTGCCCTGCTCCTCGAACTTGGACTTCTTGCCATCTTCACCGGGCGTTGAGCCACCCTGACTAACTTCGAGAGGCATGTTTCCGTAGTTGGTCGGGGGAGGAGACGAAACGGCCTTTTCGTTTAGCACATTCACGTAGCTCCGAGGGAAGATACCCTCCTGGTTGGTGCGCTCATTACGACCACGCCACCCTAAATCATCGTTAGCCGCAAATAGTTGTACGAGTCAAGGGTAACCATACAGTCGGCATTCATGTGTTCCAAAACTTGGACACGATCATTGGGTTGCAAAGCCAAGTCTCCCGGATCCGTCGGGGTATAAGCATAGAGCGCCGAAGCGACAGACAGCACCGGCGGAGCTTGGGGATAAGCGGGTGGCGGAATAGACGGGGTTGAGTACTGTTGCGGAGGAGGCTGTTGATAAGTGGCCTTTTCGTTCAGAGAAGTGTTCGCAAACTGGTTCGTAGGAGGAGAGTATGGGGCCGGGGGCTGCTGGGCAACCACCGGTGGTTGCTGCACAGGTGGCGGTTGCTGCTGAGGCACGGGGGCTCTGCTGCGCTCATCCTCCCTCGGTAGTTGCGATAGAATCAATGAGAGTTGTTGGGGAGTAATGACTGATAAATCTGCGAGGAACTCGAGTTCCTAAAGACCGCATATGTATTAGCGAGACGTAGAATGGAGATAAGAAGAAATGACTGCGTTTATCGAGCGACACTTATCGAGCGACGCAGACAGGGGATGTCATCCTACCGATCGGACGTTGCGGAGCGACCGGCTGGTCATAGCCGAGAAGAAGTCGCTTTGGGACGCCATGAGGGGCCAATGGAGGGGAGAGAACGAAAAAGCAGACAACGAAAAGTATCGAGCTCTCAAGTATGCAGATCAAACAAAGACACTGAAAGACAGGATGGGAGAAGAGACCGAGACCGAGACGGATGGGGATGGAGCGAACGGATGGAGGCAATCGATAATGAATGAATAATGTATTGGCATAGCAGACCCGCCAGTTGGTTCTCCGCTACAGCCTTGGGTACCTGAGGCCCCCATCTTGGTGGTCGCCTGCGCGGCTCTGATTGGGCCCGGGAAATTAGTCGGTCTTGTCATTCCAGGCATCACCATATCACCAGCGCAGCTTGAAACATCCATTGCCTGGTGTTTGGGTTGGAGTGCCATGGTGGGTACTTGACTTTGTACAACAGTCTCAGTGGAAGCAAGACCCTGGCAGGAATTTGGAAGATTCGCCTATCTATTAACTAGAGGGCACAATCCCTCCCCATGACACCAGGACCGATCTTTATCTTGGTCCCTGCTGACACATCAGTTGTCGTAGTTAACTAACATTCGTACCCAGTCATTGTCAAGGTACTTGGGTGTCTCACCCACTTCTCTTTGCTTTGACTACTACTACTAGGTACTACTACTTACTAGTCGGCTTAGCATTCTGAAGAGAATCCAACATTATTGATTGTTAATACTTTAACCCAATACTGGTTAGAACAGTGGCCCTCTTCAGGACCTTAAGCAACCTTCATAAACAAAGTAGCCTGAATCTCAGCTAAACCAGACAGTCACACTTAAATCTCAACTCCCCTTGCCATCCTCCAATACAACAAGTCGCCCACTTCGAAAGCATGATAGCAAATACGAGCAAGGCCAAAATCACTCAAGTATCAGGCTCATCATCTTCCCCGTCAACTAATGAGCTGCTGTTATAGGCTGCAATCTTCGATGCCAGTTCTGGATCGAGAGCCTTGATGCGCGAGTCTGGTCGGTAGAATTTTCGATGACGCATGCAGCAACCACATTCGGCGGTGCAGTGACCATAAAACCCAACCATTGCCTTATTGCCTCCGTTAGGCATGAGATAGTACCGCAAAGGTCTCTCGCAGCATCTACACATGCGACCGCAACAGCCACCAAGGGAGGCACACATGATTTTGTCCTCCTCCCACGCCAGGGTTTGCCCGTCTTCGTTTCTGTGATGCTGAAGAAAGTCAAACTCGTCGGTGATAGGGCCCGATGGCTTATCACAAGTCAAGGCCTTCCATGCCTTCTGACACCGGTAGAAGTGCTCTTCCAGAAGGGAGACTTGTCTTTTCGGATCCGAGGGCCCCGGGGTATGCTGAAAAGGATTCTCTGGTTGCTCACTTTCCTCGTTTCTGATCTTTGCCAGACAGTTGATTCGTTGTGAAATAGCGAATTGTAAGTCCTCGTTTTCCTTGTAACGCTGAATCCAGTCTCGTTGGAAGTGGCTCTTGGTTGGCTTATGCTTCTCGTATATCTTTGCCCTATCGTTGAGACGACGTCTGATGTTGTAGCGTTCGTCCTTGATAACTCGAAACCAGACCGGCTTGATAACATCTGCGAGCAGATCGAAGGGCCTTTGAACGGATTCTTTTAGTACCATGGACGTATGTGACTCGTAAGTCGGGGAGAGTGAGTGGGTGGCCATTTTGGATGGCGCCGTCTGTCTTCTCGTTGATTGCTCTTGAGAGGTTCAATCTAAGAAGACAGAAAATTTCCGTCGGAGACGGTTGTTTACGCAGACTGACGTAGTATAGAGCGCGTCAGGATGAGGACATCTAGTATACTTGACGGGAGAGCCATCATCATAGACAGACTTGAACCACATTCATCTGCAGCAATCCTTGACAAATTCATTTGTTATCGAAAGCAACTAGGGCTATGCCAGCGACCATAGCTATGTCCAATCAACAGAGGTTCAATGCTACTCCTCCCACCGAGGTCTACAGTATCTATATGGAAAGTCAGCCTGCAGGTCCGAATGTGGTAATCGGCACGTGAAGATGAAGACGCAGGCTGGAACCAGCTCAAAGTTCCCTGACAGAAAGTGTCAACTAACACCACAAAATCCCTACTGAACAGAAAACCAAGACACATCACCCCCTGCAACAATTGAATACTCCCCCGACTCATTCTGAGTCATGGTGAATGGGCTCATTTACAATTCACCATCGGGGTACAAACGGGGAAAGATTGGCCGGGGCATGATGTCAGCAACCCTAACCCAAAGGGGCGTAGGGCATACCGCCCCTCTGACTCCGCCATCCCAGGGCTCGAGAAGCTTCCGTGGCGTCGATATAAATTCGGCGGGCCTTGAACATCCCTCCTTACGAAACCCCTCACGCCATCTACCTCTACCGCCACACCCTCACTCCCTTTCCACACCAAACAACCAACCACCCCAACTCAACCCCCATCTCACCACCGTCTTCCTACACATCTTCAAAATGAGCGACTGGGACAACGTCACGCGCATTGGAACCCGCCACACTGGTGGCCCTGCCACCCGCGAGACCGTCGTCAAGGGCAAGAGCGCCTTGAACGCCGCCCAGCGCCAGGGTCTCGTCATCGGCACCGAGAAGAAGTACTCCACCGGTAACACTGTAAGTTCAAACCCCCCGTTTTCGCAAGGAGTATCGTATCCAGAACTAACCAATCCCCCCCACCAACAGGCTGCCCGCTCCGGTGCCCCCGAAGGCCAGCACCTGACCAAGGTCGACCGCAGCGACGACATCGTCAAGCCCAAGACCGTCGGCATGCAAGTCGCCGATGCGATCAAGAAGCGCCGAAACGAGGAACCCTACAAGATGACCCAGAAGGAACTCGCCACCAAGTGCAACACCACCATCACCGTTGTCCAGGACTTTGAGCGTGGTACTGCCACTCCCGACCAGAAGGTCCTCAGCTCCATGGAGCGTGTGCTGAACGTTAAGCTGAGAGGAACCGGAATCGGACAGGAGAAGTTCCCCAAGAAGAAGTAAATTTGATCGGGGGTGAGCCCGCGGCTTTTTCTTAGGGGGAATGAGGGGGGAAGTCAAAATATATGATGATTGAACTGATTTTCCTTTTGTCTTATGCCTCGGGTTTTGCCGTTTCCTTTTCAGTGGAACGAAGGTCTTTTTTTCGGGATGCTGTTACGTTATGCCGGTTTATTTATTTTCAATGAGATCCCCATGGTTACCCTTTTTTTTATATTGCGCTCCCCTTACCCCCCCTCCTCCCCCACACGTTTTGTGGTTTCTGCTGGTCAGAAGAGCGCTGGCCTGGAATTTACCTTTTTTTGGATATGATGGTCTGGGGAAAGATGATGGAAAAGATATATATATCAAAATTCTCCGTGCAAGTTTTGCCAGAATTGTGTTTTTAGAACAGAGAGATATACTACTACTCAAGAGATAGAACATTGTGTCAAGCAAAAGGAGCATGGATCATAAACACTACATACTTATTCATAAGAATTGTTATGGGCGTGAAGTGAAATGAAAGAAGCATTTGTGGTTTCTTTTATTAGGACACAGAAAGCGACCAGAAAAGCAAATGGTACCAACTCCGACTTTATCATGGAATAAATGAAAAGAACTCATGCCCTGAATCGCCCCGAGGTCTTCTCGTACCGCCGTGCCTGACTTTCTACTTTTGTAGTAAAAGATTTCTTCGCCTCATGACACATACACACGATGCGTAACTGGTAGGAAAATAAACACTCCGCCCCCCTCACTCGCTTCACCTTCTCAGCTGCTCCCGCTCGACCTCGTACATGAAGTCGAAGTATGACTTGTCGAAGTGGTGCACACGAACGTAACCGTCCTCCCCTCCCGAGGCGTAGGAAGTACCGGCGGGGTGGACGTGGACGGTGTTGAGGGGACCGAAGTGACCCCTGACACGGCCGATCTCGTCCTCGAAGACCTTGTGGTAGAAACGAGCCTCGAACTTACCCTGGCGGGCTGAGGTCGTGGTGACATCCATGGCGGCCTGACCACCTCCCAGGATCACGTAGTCCTTCTTGGGCGTAATGGTGGCGCTGTTGAGGGGGGTGTCGGCAACGTAGGTTTTGAGGATGGCGAGGTTACGAGTGGACATGAGCTGTGGTGGGTCAGCGATTTGATGCGTTTACCAACATGAAGAGTGAAGAATGTACCTTGGCGGACTTGTCCTTGGAGGCGGTGATGAAGTAGGTGCGGTCTTGAGAGAACTGGATATCGTTGATCTGGTGGTCGAACTCGTGGGCCTGGACGTTCTCCAGCTGCTCACCGGTCTGTCATCAAGTTAGCTTTGCCCCTCTCCCAAATGCATGGGAGAATCAAGATTCATCCGCACCTTTCCATCGTACTGGCTAACACTGCCGTCTTCGTGACCAGCAATGATGTACTGGCCCATAAAACTCCAGCCCGCAACCGTTGCCTTGCTCTCTGTGCAGGTGATCCGCAAGCTAGGCTCCTCAGCCTGGCTTCCCAAGTCCTCGCCGTAGTTGATATCCAAGACCGCAATGGTACCCAAGAAACCCATACGCTTCTCCGTCACAGCCAAAAGTCTGCTTCCATCCGGGGTGAACTCGACCCGCTTAACGGCCGTAGGGAAGTCCCACACCTTGACGCACTCGCCGGTCTTCACGTTCCATAGTCGCACCGTGTTGTCTGCCGAGCCAGTTGCCAGAAGCTGAGTGTTGGGGCTCACATCGACCGTCCAGATAGCACCCTGGTGTCCAGTGTAGGTACCGAGTCGCTCGCCGTTGGCCGACCACCAGGCGCACACAATTTTATCCTTAGCCACGGAGAAGATGAGATCGCCATCGCGGTTGAACTTGATTTGGTTCAGGGACCGTTCCTGTAAAGCAGCTAAATCAGCGACCCATCCTTGCTTCTTTCCTGCCTGGTTTTCCAGCTCCTGGGGCGAGCATCATCGTCGGGTGGGTAGAGGCAAACGCACATGGCCGGAAAGCAAAATAGGCCGCATATTGGGCCGACCAAGCTATGAATCTGGGGAAGGCGACGGGGAAGAAAAAAAGCTGGATCACAGGTGTGTATCCTCTGTGACCGGAATCGACTAAGACCTGCGTGATGAGGCGGAAATCCTTGCGGGGTGCTGGCGGGCTCACGTCGTCGGCGTCGTCAGACTAGTTTGAATTTCATCGCACAGTCCGGGCTTGCCTGCCAAGACTTTCCTGTTCGAGCCTGTCCTGTATGAAACGGGCCTTACCGGAGGATGTATTGATCCGGTCTTTCAGATGCTGGTCAGGTGAGAGCACAAGCCCTGAGCATTTCTTACCAATCGGGACTGGGACGGGCAATGGCCTGACCGCTGGCTGGCACTAAACCAGACTGGGGTTGGAGCCGTCCCGGTTCCCCGATGTATTGCATTATTTGCAGGCTGCGGCTCGGGGAAACATTTTCCTCGTGAGCAAAAGAACAATGAAAAAGGAGGAAGCATTGAAATCACCGATGTGGCAGGCGTATTCACCATCTAGAACTAGAATATAAACAGAACAAACAGAACAATTGCGGGAAGTCACGTACACTGAAGACATCTCACACTGTTTGGGCTTCCTGATTTCAATTATTCAGCGTGATTATTTTCATTTGCGTTGATCGACCGTTTCCCTATCTCCATCTGACCCGGCCGAGGAAAGCTGGTTGGCACTGGGCCAACCGACAAAGCAATTAGATGCCATTCCCCCCCGCCCGTTCGGCGCCTCTACCCCGCTGCGCTGTCAACGCAAAGCGCTCCTATATTTGTTCTTCAGTTCACTGTTCTTACCCACCCTTTCCTCCCTTCTTTCTACGCCAATTTTCTTCTGGACGTGGGGCAACATCTCGTCTTCGCTGTACGTCATCTCTTGCCCGACCTGACGTGCTAGCTCGCAAGAGGCTTGATTACGCACTCCGTCCTCTTTCCGGCACCAGGACGACCATGGCGGCCACCAAGATTGACGGCACCCAGATTGCCAAGAACATCCGGGGAGGCTTGAAAGATGAGATCCAGAAGATCCAGGAGTCAAACCCCCGCTTCAAGCCTAGTTTGGTGATCTACCAGGGTGCGTGGTTGCCGTCACTAACACATTCGCCCTGCGGTCGAGAACAATGCTGACATTGCGATCCTCACAGTGGGAAGCCGATCGGATTCGAGTGAGTCATGGACTCTTATGTGGATTGGAGGGTTGTGTGGACTGACATTTGTTTCCAGGCACCTATGTGCGCATGAAATTGAAGGCCGCCGAGGAGGTACGTTCGCAGATACAATGTCCCTTATTTCACCTGCCAAATCATTGACTCGCTCCCAACAGGCAGGCATTATCTGCAAGATCATCAATTTCCCCGAGGCCGTCACGCAGCCCGAGGTCCTGCAGGAGATCAACAAGTCCAACAATGACCCCTCGGTCCATGGTATCCTCGTTCAGCTCCCTCTCCCACAACACTTGTCCGAACACGCCATTACATCTGCTGTCGCCGACGAGAAGGATGTCGATGGATTCGGTGCGATCAACATCGGTGAGCTCGCCAAGCGAGGCGGTCGCCCTCTCTTCGTTCCCTGCACCCCGAAGGCTGTGATGAAGCTTCTGGAGGAGAGCGGTGTCGATCCTGCTGGTAAGGAAGCAGTCGTTCTTGGACGCAGTGACATTGTCGGTAGTCCCGTCAGTTACCTGCTGAAGAACGCCCACGCGACTGTGACCTTGTGCCACTCGAAGACCCCCGATATTGCGCGCATCGTCAAAACCGCAGACATCGTCGTTGCGGCCATTGGACAGACGGAATTTGTCAAGGGTGACTGGCTGAAGCCCGGTGCTGTCGTTATCGATGTCGGCATTAACTACAAGCCCGATGCTACCAGAAAGTCTGGATCGCGTCTTGTTGGTGATGTTGAGTTCGAGTCCTCCGCTCAGGTGGCCTCTCAGATCACCCCTGTTCCTGGTGGTGTTGGTCCCATGACCGTGGCCATGCTCATGGAGAACGTGGTCTCCGCGGCCAAGGCATACTTTGAAAGACAGAAGGATAGACGCATCACCCCCCTCCCCATCAAGCTGGCTAGTCCCGTCCCCTCAGATATCGCCATCTCCCGTGCGCAGTATCCCAAGCCGATCACAACGCTCGCGTCAGAAATCGGCATTGAACCCCACGAGCTCGAGCCCTACGGTCACACCAAGGCCAAGGTCAGCCTCTCCCTCCTTGACCGCTTGTCCCACCGCCGTAACGGTAGGTATATCCTGGTCTGTGGTATTACTCCAACCCCTCTCGGTGAGGGCAAGTCCACAACTACACTGGGTCTCTCGCAGGCTCTTGGTGCACACTTGAACCGCATTGTGTTCTCCAATGTGCGCCAGCCCAGCCAGGGCCCTACGTTTGGCATCAAGGGTGGAGCCGCCGGTGGAGGATACAGCCAAGTCATTCCTATGGATGAGTTCAACCTGCATTTGACTGGCGATATCCACGCTATCACCGCCGCCAACAACCTTCTCGCCGCCGCTATTGAGACTCGCATGTTCCACGAAGCTACTCAGAAGGATGCTGCACTTTACAAGCGACTGGTTCCCGCCAAGAAGGGCAAGCGCGAGTTCCAGCCCATCATGTTCCGACGACTGAAGAAGTTGGGTATCACCAAGACCAACCCAGACGAGCTCACCGAGGACGAGATCCACCGCTTTGCTCGACTCGACATTGACCCGGAGACTATCACCTGGCGCCGTGTTTTGGATGTCAACGACCGTCATCTCCGGGGTGTCACCGTGGGACAGGCTCCTACGGAGAGAGCCCTGACCCGTCAAACCGGTTTCGATATTTCCGTTGCTAGTGAATGTATGGCTATCCTCGCATTGAGTAACAGCTTAGAGGACATGCGTGAACGACTTGGACGCATGGTCGTTGCTACGTCGAAGAACGGTGACCCCGTCACCTGTGACGATATCGGTGCGGGCGGAGCTCTCGCTGCGTTGATGAAGGATGCTATCAAGCCTAACCTCATGCAGAGTTTGGAGGGTACACCTGTCATGGTCCACGCCGGTCCTTTCGCCAACATCAGTATTGGAGCTAGCTCTGTGATTGCTGACAAACTTGCTCTGAAGCTTGCGGGTACGGAGCCAGATGAGGATCACGATGCCAAGACTGGCTTTGTTGTGACGGAAGCTGGTTTCGACTTCACCATGGGTGGTGAGCGGTTCTTCAACATCAAGTGCCGTTCCTCCGGTCTGTCCCCGGACACCGTGGTCATCGTGGCCACCGTGCGCGCCTTGAAGGTTCACGGTGGTGGCCCCGAGATCAGCCCCGGAGCTCCTCTGCCGGAAGTCTACCGCACGGAGAACGTTGATATCCTTCGCAAGGGTTGTATCAACATGAAGAAGCACATCGAGAATGCTCGGCAGTACGGCATCCCCGTGGTGGTCGCCATCAACCGCTTCGAGACGGACACGGAGGCCGAAATCGCCGTCATCCGCGAGGAGGCTATTGCGGCCGGCGCAGAGGACGCGGTCCCCGCCAACCACTGGGCTGAGGGCGGAGCCGGCGCTGTGGACCTGGCCAAGAGCGTGCTGGCCTCTAGCTCCAAGCCTAAGGAGTTCAAGCTCTTGTATGACCTGGAAGGCAGCATCCAGGAGCGCATCGAACGCATCGGAACGGTCATGTACGGTGCGGAGAAGGTTGAGTTCAGTGAACTGGCCCAGAAGAAGGTCGACACCTACACCGCTCAGGGCTTCAGCAACCTCCCCATCTGCATTGCCAAAACCCAATACTCGCTCAGTCACGATCCGGCCCTCAAGGGTGCCCCCACTGGCTTCACAGTCCCCATCCGGGATGTTCGGCTGGCGGTGGGCGGTGGATATCTGTAAGCCCCTCGCTCCCCTTTGAATTATATGTAGGCTAACCGGTTGCGACCCTTGCAGGTACGCGTTGGCGGCGGACATCCAGACCATCCCCGGATTGCCGACTGCGCCTGGATACCTGAATGTCGATATTGACCCTGAGACGGGAGAGATTGACGGTCTGTTCTAGACGATAGACTTGGCATTGCGTCGCTTCTAGTACTGGGATGGGTTTCTCGTATTTAAAATTTCGATTTTCTTTCTTTCTCTTCTGTCTTTGATTTGCGGTCTCTAGCATGGTTGATTTTTCGCTACGATGGGCACGGGAGCATGGGTGGGGGTTCCATTTCAACATCTCGTAGCGTGGCTACACAGGGCCGGTGTTCTATCTTCAACAGGATGGCTGGGTCTTTTTCTGTCGACATACATACCTACTTAGAGTAGTTCCATGTAGATATCTACTACTAGTACAATACTTCGCACTATCTCTGGTGTCGTGATGAATCGATTTGATAATGTGTGGGCTAGATGTGGGGAAACGGATGAGTCATCAACCGGGGAGGAAGGGCCCAAGTCCGGCGTCGCAGCGACTTCGGTGCTTGATCCCCCGGCGGAGACTCTGCGTCCGTTGCCGCGGGAAACAGCGGTTGCGATCGGCTAGCCTGGCCGGACAATTATCCTCCAGAGTTGCAGCAACCGTGGGAACAGGGAAGAGCAAAACGTAACCCCCCCCCCCGGGTGGTAAAAATGATTTCGGGAGGTGGATTGTAGTTTGACCGTATTGAAGATGTACCTTGGGCTCAGAGATTAGATCGCGGCGGCATCAGCGCGCCGGGGAAGGAGTCTAGAGTAGCCGAGTAGGAGACTAGTACTACTACCTACTGTGTAGTCCCTGACGAAGAACGGAGCAGGCAAGCTGGGGACGGGACGAGGCCACGACGGAATCCAGCTTGACCGGACCCAAGACTGGCCCAGGACTTCCCCAGTTCTTCGATTAGTCCGGCTTCGGCGACAACAAGGGAACGGTGGGCGGAAAGGGAAATGGGTGTGACTGTGCCAGTGTGCAACCACACCGGATAAGAGGTGTTGGAGATCCTCCATCTGTCTTCTTCCTCAGACGCCTTCTCTCCTCCGTCCTCTCCTCTCCCTCCAGAAAGTTCAGATAGAACGATTTTCCGGCTTCTCCGATCTGCCCCGTGAAAAGTCCCTTTGCCAGCAGCCCTCGTCCAGTCCGGCTCAACGGCAGCTTCCGAACTCCACCATCGCCTCCTTCCAGCCGAGAGCTTCACTGCTTGCTGAGACGCTTTTCCCTCGGGTACTCGCCCTCCTTCTCCCCCCTCCCCCCCAATTCGCAGCGTGGGCTGTGATCCTCCTCGTTTCCCCGTTCCCGATAGCTGATCCGCTTGGACAGACCTGATTCCCCGTTGGCCCCCGGTTCCTCCCACGCCCCCCCAGACAACTTGCTTCTGCGCATCCCGCACGATGTCGACCGTCCGGTTCAGTTCCGCATTGGCGCGCCGTACCCCTCTGACTGCCCCTCTCTCTTCCTCCGCTCGTCGGTTCCTCTCTTCTTCCTCTTCTATTTCTTCCTCTTCCTCCTCTGTCTCTACTCGCTCCCCCAGATCTCTTACCTCTGCCTCTTCCCTGCTCTCAACTCGCCCTGCTTCTGCCCGCTGGACCGGTCTTTCCTCGTTGAACCTTACTCAATCCCGCACCATGGCTACCGAAATCCCCAAGATCAAGGTCAAGAACCCCGTCGTGGAACTCGACGGTGATGAGGTATGTAGTTGGAAACCCGTCCTACATCTGGCTTCTGCACCCCTTTTATATGTCTTGCCCTGCATGCGCATTTTCGTCATGGCGCATTCCACGCGCGGGGGAAAACGGCGGCGGCGCCCTTGTTCCCTGGCAGCCAAGCGTCTATCACTCGGCGATCCAGGGCTCAATTGCAGCACGGGAGAAGCCTCTGACATGTGCTAACATGCCCTTATTCTTAGATGACCCGTATTATCTGGCAGGAGATCAGAGAAAAGGTACGTCGGCCCTCGGCTGCCCCGCTACGGCATCAGCCCCAGATGCCTTCATCCCGTTCTCTCCCGTACTCAGACACTAACTCGGCCCCGCTTCTATAGTTGATTCTGCCGTAAGTCTGCTCATTCGTCTGTTCCTCCGACAATTGCTCCATCCAGTCCGACTAAGACCTCGCCGCCAGTTACCTTGACATTGATCTCAAGTACTACGATCTGGGTCTGGAATACCGTGACCAGACCGATGACAAGGTCACCGTGGAGGCTGCCGAGGCCATCAAGAAGTATGGTGTCGGTGTCAAGTGCGCCACCATCACTCCCGATGAGGCTCGTGTGGAGGAATTCAAGCTGAAGCAGAGTATGCATAGTTCCATGGGAAGGAAGACACCTGCTAACCCAATTGTCCAGTGTGGCTGTCTCCCAACGGCACCATCCGTAACATCCTGTATGTATCCCCTTGCTCGACCCCGTCCGACGCTCAATTGCTAATCTCATGGCCCTTGCAGCAACGGTACCGTCTTCCGTGAGCCCATCATCATCCCCCGCATCCCTCGTCTCGTCCCCGGATGGAACAAGCCCATCGTCATCGGTCGTCACGCCTTCGGTGACCAGTACCGTGCCAAGGACCGTGTCATTCCTGGACCCGGCAAGCTGCAGCTCGTCTACACTCCTGAGGGTGGCCAGCCCGAGACCATCGATGTCTACGACTTCCAGGGCGGTGGTGTTGCTCAGACCCAGTACAACACCGACGAGTCGATCCGCGGCTTTGCTCATGCCAGTTTCCAGATGGCCCTGCTTAAGAGCCTCCCTCTCTACATGAGCACCAAGAACACCATCCTGAAGAAGTACGATGGTCGCTTCAAGGATATCTTCCAGGAGATCTACGAGACTACTTACCAGAAGGATTTCGAGGCCAAGAACATCTGGTACGAGCACCGTCTCATTGACGACATGGTTGCCCAGATGATCAAGAGTGAGGGTGGATTCGTCATGGCCCTGAAGAGTAAGTGATGAGACTATTGAATGCTCAGGGCTCCACGCTAATCACTGGATTTCTAGACTACGACGGTGACGTTCAGTCCGACATCGTCGCCCAGGGCTTCGGCTCCCTTGGTCTGATGACCTCGACCCTGGCTACTCCTTCTGGCGATGCCTTTGAGTCTGAGGCTGCCCACGGTACCGTGACCCGTCACTACCGCGAGCACCAGAAGGGCCGTGAGACCTCCACCAACCCCATTGCTTCCATCTTCGCCTGGACCCGCGGTCTGATCCAGCGTGGTAAGCTGGATGAGACCCCTGAGGTCGTCTCCTTCGCCGAGGAGCTCGAGCGTGCTTGCATTGACGTCGTGAACGAGGAGGGCATCATGACCAAGGATCTGGCCCTTGCCTGCGGCCGCAAGGACCGTGAGGCCTGGGTTACCACCCGCGAGTACATGGCTGCTGTCGAGCGCAGACTCAAGTCCAACCTCAAGGCCCGCCTTTAAATACCCCTCGAATATGTTGACTTTGCATTGATAAACTAACGCTAGCGTGCGACTCGGAGAGTCGAATCATTTTCTGTATACGGGTTGCATTTGCGGAGACCATTATGTATATTTTTGAGACGGTGGGGATGTTAAGGCCTCAGTCCTGGGTAAGCAGACAGTCTGCTGTTGATTGTCTTGCTCCGCCTGGTTGAAATTATTTGTATACGCACTGTGGCCATGGCATGTAGTTGCCTCCCAGAACTTTATGACGCTTTGTACATGCCATTGCAATAATGAAAACTGCATTATTTACACCAGTGTTCTTCTTAGAATTGAATCCAGTCCAAACCATGTTCCGGTAGAGGTTACAGACCGGGGGGGGGATCCAGCAGGCCAGCGGAGCGAACCGTGGATGCGACGAGGTGGTGGTGGCTACATCTGGGCGTTTCTTCCCCGACCCGCGGCTTTTTTGACTTCCCGAGTGGTCCTTGACGCAATTGATTCCGGTCCAGTCTCCTGTCGGTGACGGAGCAGTTGGCCACCATGCAGTTGAATTCTGAAAGTTTGCCCTTCGTTAAGATGCAGCATAGGAAGGAGACCACCCCCGACAGCAGGCGAAAGATGCTGGCCCTCGCTGCAATTGGAGCCGTCAACCTGCAGGATGTACGCCCTGCCCGTGGGAATCACTTTTCTCGCTCTGGCGAGTGTCACCGTCGCGCTGCGGCTGTATGCGCGACTCCATCTCGTGCGGAAGCCGGGCTGGGATGATCTGTTGATTGCTGTCTCCCTGGTATGATTGGCGTCTGTTCTGGTGTTGTTCAGGAACGCGCAAAGCTAACTCGGAGTGTAGGGAACGGACATTGTATTCTTCGTCTTTCTCGTCATTGGTAAGACATCCCTTGCAGGGCTGTGCAGTCTAGTACATATAGCATCTCTGTTGACATCGCACCCCAGAAAGCAAAAATGGCCTGGCAGAGGATCAGGAAGATCTCAGCCCCCAGGAAGTCCGGAATCAGCTCAAGGTATCCATCCATCCACCTACATCTCTCCTGGTAGTATGCAAGAAGCCTAACATGTTGACAGGCCCTCTGGATCACCATCCCATTATACAACCTCTCTCTGACTTTGACCAAACTCTCCCTGGTCTTCCTATACCGACGTCTATTCCCAACAAAGGTGTACCGCATCCTCCTCACCATCACCTTGGTATTTGTCATCATCTCCGGTCTATGGATGGTCTTTAGTACTCTACTATTCTGCATTCCCGTCTCTGCATTCTGGAATAAGTCCCTTCCACGGACTTGTCTGCCCGCAGACGTGGTCTGGTGTCTAAATGCCGGCCTCCAAATCACCACTGACCTGATCCTCGTCATCCTCCCATTGCCAATATTGGCTAGACTCAAGCTCCCTAAACGACAAAAGTTAGCACTTCTTGTTATATTCGCCCTCGGATTCTTGTACGTCCATCCCCAACCTCATCCATCCAACGAACCAACCAACTAACCTCCCTCACCCCAGCGTCTGCGCAACCAGCATCGTCCGCCTAACAACCCTCATCAAACTAATCCGAACCCCCGACTTCACCGGTACCCTTCCCCCCTTCCCATCCCCTCCCCCCCACTAACAAAAAAAACCAAAAACAGAAGGCAACGGCCTCGCGGCAACCTGGTCCTTCGTCGAATCCAACGTCGCCATAATCTGCGCCTGCCTTCCGCCTCTCCGCCCACTCATAATCCGCTTCTTCCCACATCTCATGCCGTCTCGTATGCGAAGTACCTACCGCGAGAAACCCACCAAAGAGGGATTGAACTTCGTGACTACTACCACTGCTGCTAACCCTTTCGCTCCTTCGAATACTAGCTACGTGGCTAGTATTACGGGAAATTGTTCTACGAATGGTGGTGAACAGCAGCAGAACCAGAACCAGAACCAGAACCAGGATGGATTGGGATTGGGTTCGTCGCCGGAGATGGAGGGGATACAGATTATGCGGGAATTGAGGTGGGATTCGTATTCTGTTGGGAGTGTTGAGGGGGATGGGGGTGTAGGTGTGGGGGGAGAGGGAGAGGGTGTTGGGGGGAGGGGGATGAGGGGGAGGGGGATGGGGATGGGGAGAGGAGGTCAGAAGCTGGAGGGCAGTTTATGCATCCTTATTGGGTGTTGGGGGTTTGATTTTTTAGTCTTTGTTTGCTTTTGGGTTAAGGTGGGGGGAGAAGGTGGAGTCTAGGTTGTTATAATATATACAGTATTTTTTGGGGCTTTTAATTTATTTGGTTGTGTAGATGACTTTGGGGTTGGGGTTGGGGTTTTATGGGATTTAGTAGCGTTCATGTCTGCTTGGCAGATGGGTTGTGGTGATTGGGTGGATTGGGAGCAATAAGAGTAAAAGGAAAAGAAAGGAAAAGGAAGGGGCTAGGGCACTTCCAGGGATGGGCTGGCTGGCAAGTTATTATTCAGGAGAAGTAGAAATTGGAATTTCTGCAAGAACAAGGCTGATGAGATCTCCTGTTCTTTGTATAACTACTATCTCGCTGAGGATGGATGGGATATCAAGGTAACGGACAATCTTGATAACACTAGCCCTATACTACTCAGAGATCTACCATGCCTGTACAGGTTCCAGCAATATTTAACCCTGACGCGGTATGGATGAGCCCTCTATGCCAATTCCCATCAACGCTCAGTCACCCCCTGAATTTGGACCTGTTCTGCGAATAGGCTGGAAGCCTCCCGCTGGCCACTCGAACCGTACACGTCTTCTGCTGGTGCGCATTGCTCCAGGCCTGCCCCTAGGCCTATCGCCTAACGTTGATTCGGAGCTTGATGCTCTATGCGACGCTACGGGACCGTCGCCAGGATAAGAAGAGGACGCTACAGAGCGCTGCGTCCGTGTTCGCGATTGAGGGCTCACCGCACGGGATTGGACCCCTGTCTCGGGATGCGGGTCCGCGGTGGAATCGCCTCCCAGGGCGTTATGATCGTTATCATTGATGCTCATAGGGAACGGCATGGCATCCTCGATAGGAGTAGGAGTCTCAGCCTCGGCATTCCTCTCAGGCTCTTCAGGTCGGGATTCTTCTGCCTGGGGACTCGAGTCGCTGACCATTTGTTCTTGGTCAGCTTGAGTGCTATGGTTGCTGTCATGGTTGGTGTTAATGCTGCTGCCATAATCAGTGCTATGATGACTGTTATGATGGCTGCTATGATGACTGCTAGGATGACTGCTAGGAGGACTGCTATGATGACTGCTGTGATGACTGCTGTGCTGACTGCTATGATTGTCCGGGGGATTTGGGTTGAGAGCCTCTTCATCCTGCGTCCTGGAGCACCAGTTTGACCAGAATGTCTTACACTTGAGGAAGCACATTCCGACGAATGGACTGGTATTAAAGTTTGCCTCGAACGGAGGATGTTTGAGTATGCACGGGCGGTCTAGCACTGCTGTCTTCGAGGGGCCTGCGGCTGCAGCACTCTTGGGAACGTTCGAGGCACGAGAAGAGGCGTTACTGTTACTTCGCTCCGACACGCTTCGGTGGAAACTATCCACGTGGGCATAGCAGTGGTGGCAGATGACGTCGTATTCGCCTACTCGCGGAAAGCAATTGAAGCTGGCAGGGAGCATAGGCTCGTACAGGGCGCTATCGGCCCAATTGAAATCACCGACTTGGATCCATCCCGGCAGCTCATCGAGGGGAATCAGAGGAACGACCATGTAACCGGGTCGGTAGACGTAGAAACAGGGAAATGGCTGGAACGTGGAGGCGCGATTGATAGGTTGTGACATTAGACGAAGGAATGAAGTGTAGTGATAACGGATGCCGGGTTTTTTTGGATACCAAACGAGTGGACTGGTTGATTGAACGATAGACACTAGTACTGGTGGGAGATGACAGAAATGAGTGCCAAAGGACTCCCCGGGTCATGGACAGCAGGGATGGTTCAGAATGTTGTGCCCGGCAGGTCCGAGGCGGCAAGCGTGGCTTCCCTCGCAGCATCAATTCGATAATAGATCGTAGGTCCCATTTCTACAGTCAAATCCGAGCTCGGGGTTAAGGGTTGCTGTTGCATTCATGCAAATCACACTCGCCGGCTCCAGGCTTTGCGGGTATAGCTGGAGATTGTCCGTTACAAAGTTTGCACAGGACTGAGTCGTATGGCACTCCAGGATGAGGGCTTCAGTATGCTTCAAGTTGGGCAGTCCAACATTGTACCAGCACGGGTCCGAGGCGCAAGAGCCATCGCCAGGCTGGTATGTATTGATCGAACCAGAAAAGTCAGACCATGTGAAGTCTTCCATTACCACGGCTGAACTAGCATTGACCTTGCTAGAACTGGATGCCCCTTGGTCCGTATAGCTCTGAGTGATATAGATCGGGAACGTCACATTGTAGGCTCGAATGTTAGTCCAGGTCACGTTTCTGACGAGTCCTTGCCCTCCGCTCCATGACTTGAAGCGCGCCGCGTAGAGACCATCAATAACAGTTACGTCTTCGAAGCGAATGTTGGTGACATTAGCAAAGTCGGAGGAATCCTCTCCCAGCGAACCAATGCTCATGCCGTGAGTCTGGTACCCGATGGTGTTTCTCGTGAATAGGATGTCGTGCGATCCCGACGATACTGCAATCGCATCATCGCCGTTGTATACGACACTGTCAGTTATCTGGATATTTGTGCCCTTGACATCAAAGCCATCCGTGTTGAATGGGAAATTGCCTGTCGAGGTAGCGTCGATGATGGCATGGCTGACTGTAATGTCTTGCCCATACAGCTTAAAGTTCCACGCGATCGGCTTTTTAGACCGGAAATACTCCACGGTGGCTTGGCTTGTCTTCAGGCTCAGGAGATGTGGACGTCCATCGATTCCAGTGCCATTTGGAGGGTTTGCATCCCACCAGGCCTGTCCGTACGATTCGATCCAGCCATTATTCACGTTTTCAGGACCAATCCAGTCCACTCGGGGGCCTTCAAAGGTAAACCATATCGAATGACCATTGTTGACAATGTTTTGTACAGCAGTAATGTTCTGTGGTAAGTGTAGGTTGCCGTGCATTCGGATTTCCACATTACTGAGGTTGGTGGCTGCGATGGGATAGAAAATGTTGTAGTTGACGCCCTCTTCGAAAATAATAACGGAGTCAGTCGCACATTGCGCGAAGGCTTGAGCGACTGCAGGCGAGTCATCGGCCGTTCCATTGGAGGCGTTGTACTTTGAAGGGATCACGCATTGCTGGTTTCGCGATTGCGTTGTTCTGGGGAAGTGCGGGACTCCATGAACAAGGGACGTGACAAGGAGCAGTATGAAAGCTGCCTTGATAAAAGTCATGACCGAATATGCTTGTGGGAAAGGTTCTTCACAGCTAATACAGAGCCAGTATTAGCATGCATCGACCCTTACTTATACCCCCGCATGAGGTTCCTCTCCTCCCTGCTTCGGCATTTGAGTCCTCTTCAATGCAGGACCATTAAGCATACGCGATGACGTTCGGAAATTTGTAGGCGTCATAGATCCATAGTACGGAAAATTTCCTGAAGAGGACCGAGTCTGTGCGGGATTCGATCGGCATGATAATTAACGAAGCGAAGACTGGGCTTGGTATTGGTGGAGAAACCTTGCCAGATTAGCGCAGTGCGGAGGCGGGTCTCGACGAGAATTAGCTTGGCTTTCCCCGACTGTCCCCGGGGAAAAGAGGCGTTGATCTGGAAAGTGGAAACTAGAGTGAAGCGATGATGCCATTGTTTGGATGAGGCGGGGGAGAAGGTACTGTGTATACTTCCAAAATTCCAAGGGGGTGGAGTTTATCCGGGGTCACATGGCGGTGGAGCTCGGGAGGCTTAGGCTTACTCCGTACTCTCCTGTCACTCGGTTACTGTCAGCATTCAACAAAGCAGCCTCTCAGTTCTCTGCCATTTGGCCCATCTCATAGCTCGGTTCAAGCTCTGCTTCGTCCTATCGAGTGACGTCTATTGCTCCGCTTTATACTACATCAAGTGCCTGCAAATCACCCCTTATCCGAATATGGCTACCGGTTCACCCTCGTCCAAGGCATCGCTCGCGGCCAACCCAACGCCCAATATCGCAGCAGCAGATGCAGTCCTGCACATCGAAGGTATCGCGCTAATCGACGCCCCATTACGAGATGTCTGGGATACTCTGCTGGATACCTCAACCTGGCCATCGTGGAACAAATTCGCGCCCGCAGTCACTATCCGCCAGCAGCCCGATTCCGATGCCATGCAGGTTGTCTCCCCCGTCCTCCAAGAGGGGACGAAGTTGACTTTTCACGTGAATATGAACCCGGCCTCTTCCCAGCCACAGCCAAGACAGGATGTGCCGTTGATCGTGACCGAATGGCATCCTCCCACCTCCGACAAGAAACTCGGTCGGATTGTGTGGGTCATGGATGCGACAGTTCAGGGGCGCATCATGGCCTCACTTCTAAATGCAGAAAGGGTTCATGAGCTTTCCGAGGTCGAGATTCAGGACGCAGACGGACAGATGAGGCGGATGACTGAAGTGCGCACCTGGGAGGCACAGATAGGAACCCTGGCATATGTGGTTCGCTGGATGTACAAAGCGCGGCTAGCGGAATGCTTTGACCTGTGGGTGCAGAACCTGAAAGAGTACGTCGAACTAGGTAGGCTCGTACCGCACCTGGAATCGTACATATTTAACATCCGAGCTTAATTGATCTCCTTGCTCGTCGAACGGTTGGGCAGGTACTGTTGCATGCTTTAGCGTAAGCAGTAATGGCCATTGTCGCAGAGTCGATGCTGGCTGTGGCGATTCGCAGGGACCACGAATATCCGAGACCAGCCTTACAGGCTTACAGCCACAACTAGCGTCGGTCCCGTGCGCGCTTGGCACGGCGAGATGTATATTCCAGAGCGATCTATGGAGTATCGCGATCCATAGCGCTGGATATGTCTTTGCGTAGCATTCCTGTTGGACAAATCACAGATTGAAGTATTAGTTATGACTTATGAGAGAATTTTCCGTGCGCACTTCAACGCAGTGGAGCGATGGGACGCCGACGGCAGAAGGGGACTCCATCACGCTATCCTGTCTCGTCCGGTCCTAGTCGATAGTTATATGCAGCGCGAGAATTACGATCGCAAGTGGGCGTCAATGGTGAACTGACTAGCGAGGCGCTACTTTGTTTGGGCCAGAGGTCGGCTGCAGAGTGGAGGTGGTTTGATGGCAGCCAATTTCCCTGGCAGATTAGACCCACGTGGGGGTGGGGATTGGCTGAGGGCCCCGTCCGAGGGTTACGTCCTCGGCGTCTTAGCTGCTGCACGCCTTTTGTTCGTCGTCCGACAGCGAACGGGTGGAAGTTTCGAATTTTCGGTAGTCTTTCCATGTACGGAGTACGGATGGTCTTAAGGGGGAGGTGATCGGGGCTGGCTACTGGCTACTGGCTACTGGCTAGGACTAGATACTGAACGGGGCAGGTCAACAAATTGATATCCCACGCATAAGGGCGCCTGCAGGACTGCGCAGGGAGAAAGAGAATGGCCTGCATGCTTCCCGGTCCACCATCTTCCATCGGGGTTGTTGCGATAAGATCGATTCGGCTTACTTGAGTGCTCCCTGCATTGACTCATCAGCAACCTCCAGCAGATCAGGAAGACCTGAGATTGCCATCCCTGCCACGGTGGTGTGTCACACTTTTCGCGGTCTTCGTCATCACTTCTGGCAGTGGAGTAGCCCAAAACAGGGATCACTTATGGTTAAAGCGAAGAAAAAACACGGAGGAGAGGGTGACAGCCGTTTGTGCCCGAAACCACCCAGGAGTGGCCGTGAGTTGGCGCCAAAGTGTTCGGGACGGCGGGGAACACCAGCCAAAAGCCAGCCAAAGCCAGCCAAACTGCACGAAATTTGAGGTTCGAGAGCCCCGAAGGCCCCACCGGCTTGCCGCATTGAACCAACCGGAGAGCCACTTTGCAAAGGAGGCGTGGCACGCTAGAGCCGAATTAGGGATAGTGTCCGTCCTGGAGGGACTTCCTTGGGAAAATGCACAGGTTGCAAACTTGCAATCCCCTCGCGATCAGCAGCGTTGGCTTCTTTCTTCTTCCTCTCCTGAATGCTTACCCCGGGTTGTCCTCCTCAACCGTCCTTAAGGTTCAGAATGGGGGCATGGGAGGTGTTTCATCCCGCCCTCCTCAATCGTCAGCAGGGGGAAAATGCAGGATCCGAGGATGTCCATCTCCGAGGATGGTGGTGGGACTACGAGGACTCAGTCGAGGAGAATCGCGCCGGCGGGTGGAACTATTTGCATGTCACGGTTACCTGCGACGGTTTGCTGTAATCACCCACGGTTCCTCGCCAGCGATTAAGCTATCGCCCTTCTGTCGATCTATCCAGTCTCCTCCTCGCCGTCCCCTCTGTGTTTAATTAATTCCCTTTTAAATCCGCTGGGTCGAGACTCTTGCCCATCTCGAAAATTTCTCCTTCCTCTCCAGTCGTATCTTCCCTCATCATTCTCTTCTCAACCATGAATCTGTTGCAGTCCTCATCGATCCGCTACCTTCTGTCTTATTCTTCCTGTACCTTTGCCCACCAATAGTCGAGCTGCCAGCGCCTCCGGCCTCGAACTCCGGCCGACGTCATCTTCACGGCCTTGCCACCAATTGACTTGTCATCGGCTATAGTCCTGCTATTAAGGCTATTGCAGCTGCGTCTTCCAACTCATTTAGCAATTCAGCATATAGTCACAGGAGCAGACGCCTCCGCTGTACAGCGACTTTCTCTTATCGCTCTTTTCTCGACCGGAGATCCCGGGCTTTCGGGGCTGAAGACCGAACTACTGTGTTGATCTAAAGTCTTGCCTCCCCCGCTATCTCTATCTCCCCAGAAATCTCACTGGAGGCAAATTTCCCTCCAACGCCATCCATTATGGCTGCTAAACATATGCCCTTCCCGCTGTCTGTTCGCACCCAACATGATAGCGACACCCAAATACCGCTTCATCTAGTGGTGCCTGGTCTGACCCCTCCGGTGACCCCAACGGTGGATGATGAGAGCCTTTCAGGCAGTGTTGCCACCCTTTATTCCGGTGGCTCAAGTCCGTCTTTGTCTCCAGTTGACGGTAAATTCAAAGATGTTGATGTGGAGGACCAAGCCGTGTCCACCTTTGACTCATTCACAGATGAGTTAGAATACCACTGTGACGCTAGAGGCCGTCTGGTAGAGTTTGGCCGCGGTGTCTGGAGCGTGGTCTACAAAGCCTCGCCTTGTGAGCCCTTGAACGCTTATCCACTCACGCCTCCCAGCTCTCCAGCTGTCAAAACCCCCACGGTAGCGGTCAAATCCCCCGCAAGGCGGGATGCACACCCGGTTCTGGACGCTGAAGCGCTTGCACTGACCCGAGTCAGCCGCGTGGCCGGGTCTGAGAACCACGTTGTCCCCTTCCAGGGATATATCGCGGATTCTCACTCGATTATCATGTCGGCGGTCCCGTTAGCGCTCTCGACGTATATCGAAGAGAAGGCCGCCATGGCCCTGAAGAATCGGACCACCAGGACCATGTTCGAGCCCGTTCAAGGCATGGCCCAGTGGCACGATCTTGCCAAGAAGCTCATTACCGGCCTGTCCTGGCTCCACGATGGGCCACGGATGGTGCACGGTGACATCAAGCCTCACAACATCTTGCTACGCGCATCGAGCAGCGACGATTCGGAATTCGACCACTTTCCCTACGACCCGCTGTTCGCTGATTTTTCATCCGCCCATCCTATCGTCAGCCCCTCCTCTCCGGAAGGGAGCATGGGAACGGCTCTGACAGCCCTAACGCCGCCATTTACGGCACCCGAGCTGTTATCCGTCTCATCCTTGACGTCCCCAGATGTAGCGCCAACCCCTGAATCCGACGTTTTCTCTCTCGCCGTTACTCTCCTGGCTGCCGCTACCGGCGACTTACTTCTGTACCCGGGTACCAGCCACATTCAACGCTTGGCCATGGCCCGTGAAGGCCACCGCGTGATTGAGTTTGCCCGCTCCGGGCCGAACGGGTCTCGCGTCCCTCGTAACGGGATCGTCGAGCAGATCATCAAACCAGCCATTGCCAAAGACCCGAGCCAGCGCATCAAACCGGACGAATGGGTGACGCTCGTCAAGTCTATCACTATCTAACTTTGAGCTGCGCGGTCCTTGGTTATCATCCCGCCTTGCTTATCTCGGACTATTTCCTTTGAATTTTCTCTTATCTTCTGATCTGTCTAATCTGTTTAACTTTTATCCTACCCCCACTTTCTAATTTATCAGGCACCCGCCTGCTGCTTATTTATCTTTATCTTCTTGTTTCTCTTTTTCATCTTGTTTATTTTTATCTATACATAAACCTCAAAGATACCCGTTAGATAGATGTGCAAACGAAACCAGATTACACTCCGCTAATTGACAATCTCCTGGAAATTGGAATATATTGGATTATGTGATTGCTATGGTCTGACCCACTTTTCGGGCTCTATCAGTACGGGCTATTCAGGGACTAGATCCTCCTTGCTTAGTGTGCTCCTCACTCCTCAGGGCAAAGAATCAGGGGTCAGAGGCGCAGACACGGAATCGGAACCACGCGAGGATTGCACATAGTTTCTCCATCCGCCAAACCGGGTAATGTCTTTTGCGTCACAAATGAAGCCCTGGACCCAACGACCATCCTGCAGCTCAATGGACCCAATGCCTAATGGTGGTGGAACGATGGCGAGGAACCCTCCCACCTTGCGGAGGGGCAATTCCCAGACTTCCACCTCAATGGATGCGCCTCCATCGCCCACCCGCTTGAGGCCTGGCTTCGGGATGGAGGATCCGGTCTGCGTCGCAAACAATCGATAGCATGGAGCCGTTGTGGTCGCAGCCACCAACCTGGCCTCGCGCACCACCCAATTCTTGTTCAGGGGCAGCCCGGAGAGATGCGCTCCCACTACCGCCAGCTGCATTGATATGGGATCGACCACAGCACCGGTGAGCACCGAATCCTCTCGATAAGTCTTCTTCGTGGCACCCAGCAGACGCGGTGCATCAACAAGCCACTGACGGCCAAGTCCAAGAAATCGCTGCTCCTTCCAATCTCCCCCGATCAACGTGATCCCGAACGAAAGCCCGTCAGCTCGGAAGTCTGCGGGAATCGCTAGCGCAGACCAATCCATCAAGTTGACGAAATTCGTGTAGATGCCGAGGCGACTGTTTGCCAGGACCGGCTCTATCTTGGGTTCCTGAATGGTAGGGAACGTCGGAGTCGTGGGTACCAGGATCGCATCAAACTTGGCCACAAGGCATCCAATCTGGCTGGCGAGCTCTTGTCGGCGATATTCGCTTTGAAAGGCATCCGCGGCTGAGATTCGCTCCGCTTGGAGGATTATGTCCCGGACCACGGTGCTTGCCCTTCAAGAAGGTCTCGATCGCTGCATACCGCCCCGCAACCCAGGGCCCCTCATAAAGCAGACTGGCCAAGGCGAAGAGCGGACTGAAGTCGATAGCCTCCGATGTCCATCCCAGCCGTTGTGCTTTGATCATTGCCGCTTCATAGGCTTCGGCGTGCTCCGACTGTCCGTACCACTCTGGACTGTCGCAGTTAACCGGGACAGGGTGCTGGATGGTTCCGATTTCGTTGGTATGCTGCTCCGGCCTAGCCATGGAGTAAGCTTCCTGCTCGTCCGGCCCTTCCACCAACCTTAACACCGTCTCCTCATCATCTAGCGTGAGCGCAAAGATCGACACACAATTCGGCGACCTGCATGCCGGTAGCACCCCCGATGTACTCAACGCCCCCCTCGTTGGCTTCAGCCCAACCACATTATTAAACCCCGCCGGCACCCTCCCCGAGCCCGCCGTATCAGTCCCTAGCGCAATTGGCACCAGACCCTGTCTCACCACGCCACTCCCCGAACTACCCACCACAGTCGAGTCGGTGGTTGCTACACCTCGCTCTGCGGCGAAAGCCGGACACGCCGCCGTGGTGCAGAACCCGGCGACATTGATATTATCTTTGACAGCGAACGGGACGCCAAATAGTGGCAGGTTATTGGACCTTCGAGCACAGATCTGCTCCCATTGCGCGATAATCTGCTCTGGAGTGGCGAGGGAGATCCACGCGTTAGAGGTGTCACCGCGTGCTCGCTCAAGTAGATCGAGGAGATGCGCTGGTCCAGTAGCAGTGGATTTTGATCAGGTGAGTCTGTCGATTTTGTCATTCTGTATGCTCTGTCGTAGTATGATGTAGACAGAAATAGGTAGGCAATGAGCGGTAACTTGGGAGACTGATATTGTGGATCATAAGACGTATCATCGTGGGTGGGTGAGATAGATGTTCTTTGAGTATGGGGTGATAAGTACTGCCGGAGATTGATTCGTGTGCTTTTGTGGGGCAGGGGGGGGGGGTTAGGTATATGAGGTTGAGGTTGTATACTGGTTCTGTTGCTGGGTTGCTTCCTATCAGGAGGCTTTATGATAATAGCACTACTTATGGTACACTCTCATTTCCGAGCAGTCACAAGACTTAAAAGCTATATTCAAGGCCACAGTTGGTTATTCAACTGGCATCTAGCATCAGACACACCAATGGCTTCATGGTAGTCGAGAAATGAAATCCAACTGCCCTCAATCGAGGCGGCGGCGCAACGCCAAGTCCGGGCCCCGGGCGAATTCGGCCGAATTCGACCGGCCGAGATTCCCACGACCTGAAAATCCACTGTATGTGAGTATCACACTTTCACTTCCCAGGTCTGGTCAACATAATGAGTAGTTCCATGCCCGAAGAATCCCGACGGAAGAGAGTCCGAAAGGGAACGAAGAGCTGCTGGGAGTGTGAGCATCCCCTCCACCATGAAGCCCGAGACTGACGATGACCAGGTAAGCGGAGGAAGATCAAATGTGTTCCGTCGCAGGATAATGCTATCTGTGCTAGCTGTCTAGACAGAAGCACGCCTTGTCTTAGCCAGGAGTATGTGAATGATCCTGCACCACATCATGCGGACTATTCGGCGTTGGCTGAGCGTATGGCGAGGGTGGAGTCATTGCTTGAGGCCTTGATGGATAGGATGACTCCTTCATCTATTACAGCGAGGACGGATTCCCAGCCTCTGGTTGCATCGCCATCGAATGCTTCTGGGCTGCAGGCTGAAGTTGCTCCCTTGTCAAGCAAACTCGAGATTTTGCGTCTACAGCTGGCTGCAATGTTGCCCTGTCAAGCGGACGTGGATTGTCTGTTCGCTTCGAGTCACGGTTGCTGGCTTATCCAACAACATATGATGCCGGATTCACCAGACTCGGTGGATCACCAGTTATTTAATGTCTCCGAGGTCTCGAAACAACATCCGATAACGATTACGCGGCTACTTCTCTGCATTGCCATCTGCATTCAGCAGCTTCCATTTGATATGAATTTGCCAACCCTACAGACTACGGCACCACTTCGAGACGTGATGAGCGATATTATTGACTTTATTGTTCAAAACGTCACCTCGATTGACGAGCTGACTGGAAGCACTGAGAGTGTCGAATGTCTTGCACTTCAGGGAATGTACGAGGTCAATGCTGGCAATCTTCGAAGATCATGGCGTACGTTTCGAAGGGCCATCACAATCGCTCAGCTTTTGGGTCTACACAGAGTGGCTGTCACTCCATCCCAGGAAAGGCAAAATTCGATTAAGACCAAACAACATCATTTATGGTATCAGATTGCAAGAGGAGTAGGTCATCCACCTTATTGTATAGAATGACGCTAAGGCCACTAGGAACGTTACCTATCCACCCTCCTCGGTCTGCCATCAAGTACAGGCTCAGCGGTCTTCCCTTGCGATGACGACGCCTCTTGGCTCTCACTAGAAGACCGGTATCACAAGCACTTGTACCATATATCCGGCCTCATTCTTGCTCGCAACCAAGGAGATGGCACTCACTCTTTCTCAACAACACAGCAAATCAGTGAAAAACTCGATGCACTCGCCGAGCAAATGCCCCCCTCCTGGTGGGAAATCCCTACGAAGATCCCAACCAACCGCACCAAAGAAGCATCCGCCCAGTTCGAGCGAATCATGTGCCAAATCTGGCATTTCGAGCTGGCAACTCTTGTGCATCTACCCTTCATGTTCCGCGCGGCAACCGATCGACGATACGAATATTCCCATATCTCCTGCTTAGACGCTAGCCGCAATCTAATCCAACGATGGATCTTCATTCGCGAGAGCCATAACATGCTCCTCTTCTCCAACCTCTTAGAATTCCAGGCCTTCACAGCAGCGACAACGCTCCTTCTAGGGCTCCTAGCCGCCCCGAAAAGTACAAACCAGGGCATCTTACAAGAGCGATGCGAAGATTCTCAACTTATAGAGACGGTGGTTGCGAATTTCGAAAGACGCAAGCAACATGGCATTGGGATGTCCGTTGGTACTCAGAGTATTTCGGTCATTCGCACGCTTCAGCAGTTTCTCCACGGACGGAACTCATCTGATAGATTGTGTGTGGAGATTCCATTTTTCGGCGTTATTAAGATTGTACGCGGTGCCGTTCAACCGCTAGAAGGGGAGCGACTTCTCGGGGCTAATGTGTGCCAAAGTGCCTCATTCCTGGGACCTGCACAATCGACTGCATTCTCTTCCATGAGAACGGAGCGCATCTCAACATCAATGACGTATCCTAGAAATCAAACACCCCGAAAAACAGATGAAAACGAAGACAATGCCTTCAACAACAGTATGGGGATAGAAAACACCATCTTCCACTTCTCCGGCGGCCATTTCCAACTCCCCGGAGCACTATCTCCCATCCCTGAAGGACTTGATCCCAGCGAATGGACATTCAACGAAAGCGACATGATATTCTTCGACAGTCTAATCAACACAGATCTGATAGGAAACTGGACTCTCTAACCAACCACCACCAACCACCCACCCCAAAAGCCAAAATCAAACCCAGTCATCACACAGACCCCTCCTCCCCCAACCCCAACTGCTTCAACAACCATCCCTCCCCATCAAATATCCCTCCCTCAAACCCAACAACCCCATCTTCCCTCCTCCTGAAAAAATACACATTCGAAATCTCCACTCCCTCCACCTCCACGAAAAGCCAAACAACGGCACTGCTTTCCCCCACGGGCTCGACTCGGTGGCCTCGTACTTTGGGAATTGCGCCATGCAGTCTCAGTCTCTCCAGGGGAGCAGCAATCAATGGTTCCGGATTGGATACCTGGGTGGTGGTTCCGTTGACGAAGACGGTGATGGGGGGAAGGTAGTAAGTGGACAGTTTGTTGGCGCGGACGACGGAGGTGGTGTAGAGGGGGGAGGTGAGGGTGGTGATGTAGGATGTGATGTGGGACTCGGCGGCGGTGTGGATGCTGGTGATATTTTGTTTGAGAGTCATTTTAACTGAGGGTTGGGTTTGGATGGTTGGTATGGAGGGAAGTAGGGTTGTAAGAAGTGGTTAGTTGGTCGGGTTGGACTCCAGTAAGGATAGAAGGAAACGGGGTTTTATAGATGGGAACCGTGGCAGATGTCTGTTCTAGATGTATACTTTGACTTGGGCTATTCGGCCGTTTTCTCCGTCGGATGAATTCGGCCGATTGGTATAGACGGAGAGTTGGCTTATGGGTATATGGAAATTCAGCCGAATTACATCCGGGATTCTTGAATTGGTTGGAGATAGAAGCAAACTTCCTGTTCGAGAGTTTTTGAATTGATAGAGGGGAGTGGAATGTATTTCGTGCTTATAGAGGATGGGTTTGGGGATTGACGAGTATAGTACTACGGTAGTGAGTGCTGTTGCTGTTGTTATTGTGACTTGGTACTAGCTCTCGAGTCTTTTGGGCCACTATAATGTTATCTTGTCTTGATGTATACTTGCCTTGCCGTATTTTTACCCCGCGAAGCCAAGGTTTCTGGATGTTTTTTTTGCAGATATTCTGAACTATAACGACCTTACTTTCCAAGTCCACGAGCAATAGCGTTCTTGGTCAATACATCAGTCTATTATCCATGCTAGCCACGTCAGCATCATCACCGATGGTTATCCGGCTTGCTCATCGTCTGAAGGAAGCCCTCCACGTGGGATCGTCGATATACTAGTAGTGAAGAATCCACTGCCGATCCCCCGATCGCCTCTGCCCCTCCCTCCTCAATCACCCTCACCCTCACTTCTTGACATCTCTCACCATTCATCCTACTTCCCCATCATGCCCATTACTCTCAAGACATCCAATGTCCCGCCCGAGCCTTGGATCTCCACCAAAGCGGACAACGCCGAGCAGCTCTTCCAACAGACATGTCCCAAGCTCTTCGAAAAGAGTGACAGGATCCTACAAAGCTCATTCCCAGAATTACCCCGTCACATCACCCCAGACGAGAACGGGTTCGTTCGCGCGGTGTGGAAGGCCTATTCCAACCACCACCATCTAGTCCTACGACCCGACGACATCTGGTTCGCAATCCTAGTACAACTAAGCTTCTACATCAACGCCAACGCCGAAACCCTTCGCTCGCAATTCGTCGCACACCACGACCAAAAGCAACTGACAGTCAGCGCCGGAGGAAACATCCACACCGTCAATGTAGGATTACTAGCGATCCAGATGACCAACCTGATCAAGCAAAATGTCATAGACCTGGAACTTCACGCTTGGATCATGCCCTCCTTCACCACGACCACGCAATCCGACGAGATCGTGGCCGCGGTCCTGATGATGGGCACGTTTCAAAAGTACTTTGACTACACCATGGTATTGCTGTGTGGGATTCCCACGGTGACGTTACTGGGCGAGCGGGAGGACTGGGTCGCGCTTCTGGCGAAGCTCGAGAGGATTCCATCGTTGGGAACCCAGCCGGCTCGATTTGCGGGCCTCCTAAAGCCGATTCTGGAGAAGTTTGTCGAGTCCTTCGATCAGCCGGATTCTCCGGAGCTGTTTGACTTTTGGAATAATTGCGTGCATCATGAAAGTGGTAGTGGAGTGAGCTCTCTCTCTGGATGGATTATTGAGTTTTGTTTCTGGAATGAAGATGGAGATCTTATCCATAGGAGTCCGCCGTCGTTAGATGGGTGGGGTGTGCAGGCTGTGTCGATTGACACGGATGTTATCCCATCTGGCATGACTAGTGTTCCGGTTCTGCTTAATGATAACGGTAACCAGCTCCGTACTCGGATGGTGGCTGGCTTGGTGGGAATCGAAGCGATGTCTGGCCCGGATTCGAATCAGTCGGCTTTGGACTCCATTCGTCCTTACTCTGGATGGTGGATGTTTGAAGAGGGTGGTAAACAGTGAAGGGTCGAATGTCCTAATTCCTGAAAAACTATCTACTCCGTGCTGGAATGGAAACAACCACGAAATAAAGTTTAGCTCATCGCGCTAAAACGCCTCTCCGATCGATCGTTTCCCGAGATCAGGTACAAACCACATACGTAGTAGGTAGTACACATCCTTTTTAATTTTCTTTCTTTCTATGTCCTGATCCAATCGCAAGAGAAGAGTCTATCTATTTATCTATCTGTCTAGTTATACACTTATAGTGTTATAGGTTACATATCTCGTTAGTATACACACACATCCCATTCATCCATAGTTAATCGATCGATCGATCGATCGATCAGTAATCGATCAATGGAGTCTCTTCTTCCCCGGCTCGCGATGAACTCCCATTTTATACGATGTCAAAGTACCCCCGAATACCCGATTCAATTGCACACTGGATAACGGGACTCCACTGCGCTGGTACTCGATACAAATATCCCAGATTGTAGATGTGGAGAGGATATGGACCCGTACATCACTTAGATCGTAATCTAGGTTCTCTTGGAAACTGATCGTTGGGTCTGGTGCATCGCCCTCGCCGTGGACGGTCTTTGGGAGCGTGTCAAAGTCGGGTTTGGGCGTTTTGGTGGCGTATTCGGCTAGACTGGGGATGGATTTGACGATATCGTTGGTGCAGCGGCCGGGGAAGATTAGTTGGAAGACTTCGGCGGCGGAGAGGGCTTCGCGGCCGCGACCGAGGGAGAGGGTCAGGTTTTCGAAGAGACGCATGGCGTCGCTGCGTTCCGAGGGGGCGAGGGTATGGATTTTTTGGATGGCGGGGGAGTTGGGGTTGGCTTCGAAGTAGATGATTGTGCGGTCGATGCCTTGGGGGTAGAATTCGCCGGGTTGGATTTGGAGGGGTTCGAAGGGCCGGCGGTCCCAGGCTAAGAGGGCGTCGTCGAAGTTGCCGTAGCCGCGGAGGGAGGCGCGGTAGCTGTCGTAGATGTGGGGGAATTGGCGGAGGTGGTCGTGGTAGTTTTCTTGTGTTTCGTCGGTGATGGCAGTTCTGAGGGCGGTGATTTTGTCGAGGATGGGTTCGAGTTCGCTGGAGTCGGTGTTGGGATCGGCTGCTGCTCGGGATAGAGCATCGTATTGTGCATCGATCTCTCGAGACTGGTCGACCATTTGCTGGAGGAAGTACGATTGTCGGTTGTCTCGGTTGAGACGGGTCTGCGCGCGGTTGCGCTTCTTCTTGGCATCGGCGTATTCTGGGGAGGACCGCGGTATCTTTTCCAGGGCTTGGATGTCGTCCCAGAATCGGTCGTGTAAGGCGGTTCGAATGCGCGGGGTGTAGGGCACGGGCTTTCGGCCAGGATCGGGGCTCTCCGGGGCTGGGAGCAGAGGCGCGACTTCTCTGCCTGGGGGGGTGCTGATGTTCATCTCGGCGGTTCTCTCCGCAACGCGAGCGGCATTTTTTGTCGCGACGTTGAATCCCTTGTGGTTCACCCAGAATTTCTCATCCGGGGGAGCGGCGACTTCGAAGGCATGCAACGCGACGTTTTCCGTCCATAGCGCCACCCGTCTGCGATCTACCACGTAGCGGGGAAGGACTGCCTGCGCTTCGTTTGATGGGAGGGTCGCTAGTAATCGGACACTTCCGTAGGAGTGTAGTCCCGTCTGCTGCATGCATGTTTCCATGAACATCTGCAGCCATCGGCCTGCGGTGAAGTGGTCTTTATCGGAGGTGGTGGATGGCATGTTTGCTAGCACGAGGAGGGTGTCGTTCTGGGGTAATACCCCGGTATGGCTGCAGTTATCCGGACCTTGTTCTGGGAAATGCTCCGTGAGCACCGTTTTCCAATCGTTGATGGGGAAAATGTCCATGGAGAGTAGCTTGTAGGAGGGGTGGCTTTGGGCGAGAGGATCAAGCAGAGGTCGGAAGAGCTCCAGCTCGGGCTCTAGAAGAACATGGTTTCGCGGCTGGAGAAGACGGTTTAATTTGGATGACCAGAGGCCAGCTCCAGGCCACAGATCTAGAATGTCCAGGGGACGATTGCGGAGGAGGAATGGGGACAGGCGCTGCAGAGTATGATCTGGAGGACAAACCGGCACGTCAGCGCTAATACTCGTAGCCATGATTTTGCGCCTTGCACTCACCACATAGCTCTTCGCTAACAATATCCGGTTTCCTCGTGTTCCTCCGTTTGAGGTGGCCGGGGAAGCATTTCGCGATGCTCTTTGCGAGCGGAAATCGGGCGAGGGCCGAACGCGCTGCCATTGTGCAGGCAAAAGGTCTGCGGGAGACCAAGTGAGACAAGTGATCAGCCTTTCTGGGATGCGAAGAGGACCTTGGCGGACCGAGTCATGGTTTGGGCGGGCGGCATGAGGAGAGTTGGAGGTGGCGGAGATGTGAAATGGAGAGAAGAGAGACGAGGCTCGCGGGACGATCCTCTGCAGCTCCGCCCCCCTTCGGATCTTCTCCTCTCCTCCCCTGCATTGCCCGTGCAGCCCCCCGTTCGCTTGCTGGAATGGCCGAATGAGTCCATGATGATCCGTGTTTTGAAACTATAACCGTCTCCACATTGCTTGTGCCTAATCCTCGACCCGATCGTGCCATTCGTTCTGCTGCCTACATGCGGCACGCCCCCACCACGACTGCCGCTGGTCCTCGCGCCAGACGTCAATGAACTGCCACTGCTACGATTCTCCTGATTCCTATCTCGACTTCTAAGTCATCACCTATCGTCTGCCATCATCGGCTCGCATGTGCCGTCATGGCTACACATCTACCTGCAACCTCCGGCGCGGGGTCCCCTCCGCAGAGCGTGGAATCCATCACTCGAAAGGCTCAGGACTATGAGTACGACCCGTCTATTCCTTTGCGCTACTGGCTACGGACAGCGTCTACGCTCATGAGAGAGGTTGGCTGACCTGCCGCCCCATCTATTTATCGTGGAGTTGACTAACGGAGGCTGTGACTAGGCCCGCATTTATGAACGCGAAAAGCACGAGGAACAAGCCTATCTTTTATTATTTCGCCATGCTCAGTTGGTGCTTGTCAACCTGGCCAGACACCCCGATGCCAAGGATGAGAAGAATCGGAAAGCTCTGGTGGAGGCCGAAAGTGAGGTGAAGCGAAACCTGGAGGTCATGGAAGTCTTGAAACCCCGAATCAACAAACGCTACGAGCGCTATACTCAACTGATGCGTGAACGGCAAGCCCACGCTCCAGCATCAAATGCCCCATCCAACCAACGCCAACCGCACGATCCCGCCCTCGCAGGGGTCGTGGAACCTCTGGAAGCAGGTGAAAACAGGGACCTGGCGGTGCAACTCGCTCGGACTGAGATCAGTCGAAGAGCGACCGTCCGGAAAGCCATCCGTCAAGCCGGTATCTCCCCTGAGGAGGAACAGTCTCGCCGCGCGGCTGGCGTGTGGGGTGACTGGGATCATGCTCTGCGTAAAGATGGACCGGGAGACGATGACCTGAGCCGGCGGATACAGAACGTGAGAATTCAGATGGACGATCCGCGGGCGGACCGTCGTCCACAGGTCGCTACCAAGCCAGTCCGGCCGTCCACGGCGACTGCTTCCAGCACCGCCTACAAGTATCCAAGCGTCCCTCGCCAGAAGCCGCTAGGACCGGTTCTGTCACCCGCAAGGATAGAAACTGGGGACAGAGTTCCGCCTCCCAAAGCACCGGCGCTACCTCCCAAGGAGAGCTCACATGCTTTTGAGCTGGCTGGCCTTGATGGGCCTTTACCGCCCCCTCGTCCGGACAAGCTTGTACCAGCAGCTACTCCAGCCGAGGTTCCTGCACTGCCTGCGAAAGTGCAACCAGCACCGGACGGGCCGGATGCATTGGACTCATCCAACTTTACCTTCAAGCCTTCGGCTTATCTGGAGAACGGAACCCCTCTGCGGACTTTGTTTCTCCCACCGGATCTCCGAAAACACTTCATGTCGCTCGTCGCCCCCAATACGCAGCGGAATCTGGAGACGTGTGGAATCCTTTGCGGCACTTTAATCTCCAACGCGTTGTTTGTGTCGAGGCTTCTCATCCCTGAACAGACTGCCACCTCGGATACGTGTGAGACGGTAAACGAGACGGCAATTTTTGATTACTGCGATTCGGAGGACCTGATGGTACTCGGCTGGATCCACACACACCCCACGCAGACATGCTTCATGAGCTCGCGCGACCTCCATACACACTGCGGATATCAGGTGATGCTACCGGAGAGCATCGCAATTGTCTGCGCGCCGAGCAAGACCCCTGACTGGGGAGTGTTTCGACTCACTGATCCTCCGGGACTGAAGACGGTGCTCAACTGCACGCAGTCCGGGCTATTCCATCCCCACGGAGAGGCAAACATTTACACCGATGCCCTGCGGCCCGGTCATGTCTTTGAGGCCAAGGGACTTCCGTTTGAGACGGTTGACCTGCGCCCGAAGGGGGCTCAATCATAAGAAGTGGCTATGTGATTCTAGCGATTCTATATGTCTGGTTCTGTTGAGCGTGATAGCATACGATTACGAGGAGCTAATGAGAAACGTGCACTAGTTGAGTCAGCTCTAGCACGCACAATGTACATGTGACGATCGCGGCAGGTTCTTAAACAGTAGATCAGCCACTGCAGCTAGCATGGATTACGTATCCCGCGGATTCCCTCCGAGATTCTGCCTGGCATCATCCTACCATGGCCTCAACTAACCTCTACGACGGAATACTAATTTCCATCGGAACACATCGTCTGTTTTTGCAACTACGAGGTGTCGAACGCACCCCGGGCCAGCCCCTGGTGATCTTTATCGCCGGCGCGGGGGATGTCGCCTCGTCGTACTGCGCCGTCACCCGAGTATGCGCCTTTGCCCCTCTCCTTCTCTATGACCGCACCGGGTTGGGACGTAGCGAGGACAGTCCTCCTCCGTATCATCCCAGCGCGACACTTGCTGCCGAAGAATTACGCATCCTCCTAACTAACGCGGATCTCCCGCCCCCATACATCCTGGTCGGCCACTCCTACGGCGCCATCATCGCGCGAGAATGCCTCAATTTGTTCTCTGATGAGATCACCGGCATGGTTCTTGCTGATGGCTCCACCGAACGTCAGCATGAGCTCTTCCAAGACCCCGAGGTAGACATCAATGCTGTCCTGGGCGATCTGAATTTCGCGCAAGTGACAGGGCTACGTGATAGCGCGCAGCTGTCTCGGGAGGAATGGCGGGACCGAGCTATTGATATCGGACGGGGGAGGGAAACATGGGCTGCAGAGGGGAGGACTCTGGCAATGGTCTGTCAAACGTTGGGGGAGAAGCAGCAGTATCGGACGAAGGCGCTGGGGGATCGGCCGTTGTCAATAATCCGCTGTCGTGGGTCGTTGGATTACCAAAAGGTGTATGAGAAGGGGGTGGAGGCTGGGAATGGGAGTGAGAGGCAACGGGAGGCGTTTCGGAGACTACTGGAGAGATGGGATGATCTGGATCAAGTGATGCAGGAGGAGCAGTTGGGGTTGTCGGGGCGGAGCCGGATGGTGTATCTGGGGGACTGTGGTCATCAAGTACATTTGGTACGGCCTGACGTGGTTGCGCAGGAGGTGAAGTGGGTGTTCAATGAGAGTGTCAAGGGGAGGCTGTGAATGTTAGCTGAATGACTGGAATGAGGAATCATGGTGATGCATGGTTGGATCTGTGGTCCGGTGGCTAGTCTGGAAGCCAACCATGGCAGTGTGGCTGGAGTGAGTCAAAGGGTGACTGTTTCAAAATCTATTTTCTATCTAGTTGGCAGTAAATCAAGGTTGAGGTCAGAATGAAGTGAGAGAAGCTATTCATATAGTTGATAGTTCGGCTGTCGCTCAGTCACGTCCCACCATACCTGATGAGGCAACCCCGGGCTTGGCGCCATCGCAAGTCGGCTTCAACTTTCTTTCCTCTCTTCTCTCCTCTCCTCCTTTCCTCTCCTCTCGCTCAGACCATCCTTTTCACTTTATTGAGCTCTCCTACACCCGCTTCTTGCACAGAAACCTTCCAAATTCACAGAAACCTTTCAAATTCATACTCTTGGTTTAAAAAGAGGTTACAACCCTCCAAATATCCATCACTTTTCACATACACCACGTTGAGTCCCGCCGACTCGTGCGACAGTGAGTGCGCCCCTCCACCACCTCTCCAGTCTAGTCATCTCCTCGCTCTGGCGCATTGCTCCGCGTGCTTTCAGGCATCACCTAAGACTTTTGAGAGCATACACCTAGTATACACTTGTTCCAGATATCTTGCACGTGCCCATTGTTCCACATACATCTACAACTGTTGAGCATCCCATGCTTTACCTTTTCTGTGTTCTTGTCGCACATTTTTACTTGCTGCCTGCACCAAGCACAAACATATCCGCACAGCATATGCTAACCATCATCAGGCGCTATAAGCAGCCTCAAGATTCCATCTCAACCACAACTCTCTACCTACCATGCCTTTGGACGCCAAGGAAATTGAGCTCCGGGCCAAGGCCGTCAACAAGGCCGCAACTTCCAATGAACCTCCCTCCACCATTATACCGCTTCTCAAGCAACTACAACAAGGGGTAAAGGCCACCGAGGACCTGCTGCGATCCACCCGCGTCGGTATCGCCGTGAACAAACTCAAGCAACACAAATCACCCGAGGTCGCCCGTCTCGCGAGCGAAATTGTCTCCAAATGGCGTCATGAAGTGAACAAGCAAAAGGCTGGGCCCTCACCTGGGGCCAGCGGACGATCCAGTAGCTCCCCTCGACCTCGTACCAACGGCACCCCTTCAGGCGGCACCACTCCTTCCGACAAGGCATCGAAGCTTTCGGTGGCCCCGGACAAACGCACATGGAAGGCAGATGGCGTGGATACCAATCAAACTGGCAACAAGATTCGCGACAGCTGCATCGGACTGATGTACGATGGACTGTGTCTCTACTCGACTGAACCCCCACGGACTGTACTGGCCAAGGCATCGGCCGTCGAGGCGGCAGCACTCAGCGCATACGGGCCGGAATCGAAGGAACAATACCGCACGAAGATCCGCAGCTTATATCAAAACCTCAAGAATAAATCGAACCCATCGCTGCGCATCCGGGTGCTCAGCGGCGAAGTGACGCCGGAGTACTTTGTCAAGATGTCGCACGACGAGCTGCGGTCGGCGGAACAGGAGGAACGGGACCGCAAGATCCAGAAGGAAAACATGGACAAGGCTATGGTGGCACAGGCAGAGCGGAGTATCAGTACGAGCTTGCAGTGTGGCAAGTGTGGGCAGCGCAAGGTAACATATACGGAAGCGCAGACGCGCAGTGCGGACGAACCGATGACATTGTTTTGTACGTGTATGAACTGCGGCAAGTCATGGCGGCAGTGATGGTATAACAGTGATGGCGGTGATGAATGTATTCCTTTGTATCGATTTATATCTGGGTTATATTGTTGGTGTTGGGACACTATGAGGCGAGGAGTTGCGGTTGTTTCAACAGGTTATGTCATGTCATAGACTGAATCGACGTCATTCACCATCCCCTCTTCCCCATCAACCTTTACTATCCACACACTACCCATTCAAACCTCCTACCACATTATCATACTACTGCCTACCTACCCAATCCCACCATTGACAACACACTAAATAATCACCAAAATGCCTTCCACCCCCTCCCAACTAGACCTCCCCCTCATAAAATCCACAATCCACACCTTCCTAACCACCCTCTCCGACCCCCAATCCAACCCCCTAGAATCCCTCCTCCCAAAATTCACCACCTCCCCCGCACCCCTAATCCACGAACACGGACTCCCCTCCCTCGCCCCGTTCCTGGGCCGAGACTTCGTGGGCCAAGATGGCATAAAAGAATATTTCTTGACTATGGGTGGGGTGTTGGGGTTTGAGGATATGCGGTTTGAGGATGAGGAGGGGTGGATTATGCAGGATATGGGGATTGGGGGATGGGTTGTGGTTATTAGAGGTTGGGCGAGGTTTTTTGCGAAGAGGACGGGGGAAGGGTGGAGGGAGGGGTTTGTTTATAGGTTGAGGGTTGTGAGGGAGGATGGGGAGTGGAAGATTCAAGAGTATCGGGTTTGGGCGGATACAGGAGCGGCGTATTTGGCTTTGAGGGGGGAGTTGGGGAAATTGAATGACGAGTGAATGGGATTGTATTGATGATTGGGGAGTTTATATGATGGATGTGTGAATTGTGAACAGTGAAATGTATGGAGTATGCAGAAGCAGAAGAAGTGAATGGTTACTGTATGATCCATTATCTGGAAATACAAGGTTATACTATTCTGTTCATATCCATGAAATATAGCGTCTCAACCTCCAATTGAATACCAAAAGTACCAGGCTAGCCGGTCACACCGGCTGTCTTCAAGCATACTCATTACATATTCCCTCATTCTCAACATTCATAGCATCTGCCACCGTGATATTCTCAACAATTCCCACCATCCACATATTATGGTTGAGAGTGGTCGTATTCCCCTCATCCCCAAAGTAGGGAACAAACGCGTCAACTCCGAAGAAAGAAGGCTGAGCTTCTCCAAAAAGCGCAGCAGGCGCAACAAGCGGTCCTCCCATGGCAGTCAAGCGAGCCACATCCCTGGACTGCCACTGAGTCCACAGACGATCAAGGTTCGTATGATGCAGGAAGAAAATCGGGTCAAAGGCTGAAAAGGAGACATGTTCCATCTTGATGAGATCCATCAGCTCTAGACACTAGAACCAGGATGGTGTTTACTCACCGTTCCTCCAACACCGAAATGACCTCCTGTATGGGGACCGTTTCCGAGACAAGACCACATCGTCCAATAATCATCGATGTCCATGCAGCTATCAACGATATTCTGAGCAACGGAGTCAAAATGGGTCTGGTTGAAGACGCGAGTCAAGCAGCTGTTGCTGGTGCGTGTAAGTTCGGTCGTCAGATTCAATTTCAAGTTGGCAAATGATCCATCCACGACACAATCGTTCTCGTCTGTGTTGCCGGTGCCAAAGCCAGTGGTTGCACTGGGGCTCCAGACACTTGCGTTCTGGAGAGGGGCTGAGCCTTGATCGACTTGTTCGTCCCAGTAGCTGTGATACAGATTAGTTCATTGACTTGAGGGATGAGTGATGCAAGGACTTACGGATATGGGCCAGTGTAGCCGCACTCATCCCGAAGGAGATTCTCGTGGACTCGGGTATACCATCGATGCCATGGGAAGAAGGCGCCCTGGATTTCATACGTCAGCCTTCTGTATATCGTGGCTAGGTTAAAAGCATGACTGATGAGACTATATGGAAGGGGACACACCGTGACATGGATGAATTGAACTTGGGCCACGTGGGCAACAAGAAGCTCATCCCAACGGCTTTTGGACCCGTATGTTCCGGTCTTTGCAGGAGCCATCTCAGGGTTCATCAAACAAAGAGTTGAGTTGATGTACTCGGTTCGCTCATACTCACCCAGAGCAGACCTATGAACAGTAAGACTTGTTCCCTGAGCCAACGTTAGACTGAACTCACCAGCATTTTCTTATGCTGTGATTCTCGCAAGCGCCCAATGCAGTCGGGACCATAGCCAGAGCAGCTGCCAAAGTGAGGAAAAGTCCGTGCATATTGAATGGAGTTCGGTATATTGCTTGTCTGGCTGAAGACAGGAAGTTGTGTCTCCTGTACTTCTCAACGACAGTCGAGGGCAGCCGTGGTATTTATAGACCGAAGAATCGATCTCATGCGCTCTAACCGCCATCCACATCCATCATCCATGACTTGTGATATCCACCATGTTTTTACTGGACCTCCTATCTGGATTTCTTCACGACGCCAAGGGCCAAATGCCAGATGATTTCGGGAGAATATACTGCATAGAACCCCTCCACATTCGCCTCTTTCCGAGTTCGACAATTCCTCCATTATGCGGCATTTACCAGCATTATTATATTTGTACATTGCCAAGTTATCGGCCCGAAGGATGTCTATTTCATTGGGCTGAGCAGCATACTGGAAAGGCATAAGTCGTATCAGTTTGACGCCTATATCGAGAATGAAGCCTTTGCCGGGCATGTGCTTGGCAGATGGGGCTCTTACTCATATTATACAAGGTCACTAGACCTAGGAAATAGCTTATGCCTGGCAGTGTGTCCAGATTAGCTCACATATTCTTATGTATCGGCATTGTCGCCCACTAGGATGGTACACCTTCAATTCTCAGTATCCAGCACGGAGAGTTGTACCAGTTTCATGGGTGACCAAGTGGCATCCCCAATGATGGTAGTTATGTGATAGTCACCCTTCCGACAAAGGGGACTCAATAATTGAAATGGACAAAGAGAGCACATACAGTCGCCTGAGTGCCAAATTCCGGTATTTCATAGACCCTGTATCTGCTGCATTAAAGCTTCATGTGTGGGACCGGCATACTGATCAGATAAGCAGATAATCAATTCAGGTGACCATTACCACCCCACTGGACTTCAAATAAATGAAGCTCCAGTTTCAATTTCCCATATAAGGCTAATAAGAGAGTCCAGAACTTCTCGCTATGAATAAATTGAAATATCATAGGAACCTTTATGTGTTATCTGCTTGATCTCTTACATAAAGATTTTGCTCGGGGCTATAATCTGGAAAGGTCCAGGGAAATGGAATTGCTAGACTGCTACTAGTTCTTCTTCACTCCATATGTGTGAGGCAGGAAGGCTTGGATGGGCTTCAAAATTGGTATTATCATACATTAACAACAGCCTAGGCTAATTCCCTCGGCATGGAAAAGAAGGGTCTTCTTAGACCCTACGCCAAGAACACACCTAGGGTCGTTTTCCAATCCACTTGGGACGTAAAATACTAAAATCCGACAAGCGTGAATCTGTTTGTCAGATATCCATTAGACCCTTACTCTACTAATATTGCCACTGCCAGAAAAATGAAATAATTTCTTTATATTCACAATCTTTCCAGGATGCCAATTCACTATCTTCTTCTCCCCATTCCACAAACCACAAGATAAGCATCACGGCAGTCTTATCTGATGAGATGCCGTTCGACCCGCCGGGACAACACCAGACGGAATGCCGTCTAGGCACCACCGAGAAACTAGTAGTTTAGTCACACCGGAGGTAGTCGGCTCTGGTGGACTCTCCAGTCGCCAAGGGCCGTTGAAGACATGCCCAAACCTTGGCAGCTGCGCACCTTTCAAGTTTCAAGGTCTTCACGACTACTCGGACCCGGGCCGGATATAGTCCCTGCCGCTTCAGCGCGATGGAAGCGGGGTTACAGAGTTCAGTCAAATCACATCATCATCACCTACGCACTAATCACCACCGAACTCGCCTCGTACATAAGTGTCTGAACTAATTGTGATGGCTGGTCTCAGCCCACACAATTCTGCACCCGACGGTTTGCAAAACTCGGTGGGGTGACTCGCCCCGGCTGATTTAAATCCTCCGAAATCTTATCTGATGATCTGATTATCTTTCACTCACGCACCGTCCCCCCCTCATTTTCTTTGCAATTGCAACCAAATTTTACAAGCGTTATAGTGTTGACGTGATGGCCAGCGAAGGTCTTCCTAAACCTCAAGACCTCGATGACTTGGAAACACAATATGTCTTGGACGGTAATACCAGGTTTCGTCGACTGGGCTGGAAACGTCTGACTATCATTTCAACAGTCGAGGCGATCGCTCTTGGGAGTTTGAGCTTGCCTTCTGCTTTTGCTACATTAGGAATGGTCGCTGGTGTGATTTTGACGATTGGTATCGGTTTGATTGCCATGCATGCAGGCTATAATATCGGACAGGTTAAGCTCAAATTTCCAAAAGTTGGTCACTATGCGGATGTCGGTCAGCTTTTGCTGGGGAATCTGGGGTCTAAGATATTTGTGGGCAGTTTCGTGGCCCTGTTGATTTTTGTTATTGGATCGCACTGCTTGACTGGTGCGATTGCATTCCAGACCATCACTCAGAGCAGTGTGTGTTCGGTGGTGTTTAGTATTGTGTCGGCTGCGATTCTGATGGTGCTTGCTATTCCGCCATCGTTCGCGGAGATTGCCATCTTGGGCTACATTGATTTTGCTTCGATCATTATTGCTATAGGGGTCACGATTGTTGCGACGGGAATTCAACATTCTGATGGTTCAGGTGCCTTTGCGGACAGTCCGCCGTGGTCTGCATGGCCGATGCCTGGTACTACCTTTTCGGAGGCTATTGTGGCCACCAACAATATTGTCTTTGCATTTTCCTTCGCTGGCTGTCTGCCATCCTTTATGGAGGATATGCATACGCCCGGGGATTACGTCAAAACGCTATGGTGGCTGGGAGGTGTCCAAATTGTGATCTATACCCTCACCGGATCGATCATCTATGCTTTTGTCGGACAAGCGGTACAATCCCCTGCGTTGCTCTCGGCCGGTCCGGTCATCTCAAGGGTGGTTTTTGGCATCGCACTCCCTGTCATCTTCATCTCAGGCTCCATCAACACAACAGTGGTATGTCGATACATTCACGGAAAAGTGTACCATGACTCTCCTGCCCGCTTTATCAACACTTCAAAGGGCTGGGTTACTTGGCTTAGCCTTGTGTCTCTTGTGACAGTCCTCGCTTGGGTCATTGCCGAGGCTATCCCGATTTTCTCTGAGCTGTTATCGATCATCTCGGCGTTGTTTGTTTCGGGTCTCTCTTTTTACATTCCACCGGTCATGTGGTATATGTTGTTGAGGGAGGGCGCATGGTACGAAAAGCACAACCTGAAGGCTGCGATGTGTAATGCCGTGGTGTTCATCGTCGGTATGATTATTTTTGGATGTGGTACTTACTCTAGTATTGCTGAGTTGGTGAGTTCTCTGCTCTTTATCTGCTCGCTGCGTGTACTGATATGGTACTTAGGTTAAGAAGTTTCAGTCGGGGGCTATAAGCAAGCCTTTTACGTGCTAGGTAGATGATGATGGATGTGGCGCTTATCTTGGAGATATTGACTGGGCTTGTTGCTTTACTGTGATTAACTTGTGGCGGTAGGTGGTCAGAGGTATACACATTGTACTATAGGCGAAAGGTTTAGCTGTTGTACAGTGGACATTTTCACGTCGTTTATATTTAACATACCTCATATTTCCAAGGCGCATTTATTCATTAAGACCGTCCAGATAGTTCACGTAATCGATATCCTTGCTAAGTGACAATAGCACCCGGCTCGTCCCACTATCTGGTAGCCTCTGCATCTCCATGTATGCGCGCCTAGAGTTCACACCGGTTGTGGTTTTTAGACCGTATCTTGCGATTCTTCATACCAGTGGCACAGGGAAAATGCTTGTCACGTATGCATATTAAAATAGACATTAAATCGTGTGTTGCAACTTGCAAGTCATCAGACTGGCAGATCGGCGATAAGCTAATTGGAAAAGGCACGTGTTGTGATTACGTAATGTATCATGTGATTTGCGAAGCGCGCTAGCGCTGAGCAATACTAGGTTCGGTCCTGCTAGGGAAGTTTCCAGCTCCAAGACTTCTCATTGGTCCGATAGTTTGCTCAATTTCAGCTTCCTGATTGGTTGTTCGATTCACTCGTAACGTGACTTAGATTATATTGCCAGTACTCACCGCTTCAGCCCAACAAGGGTCTCGGAGGGGGTCTGGGGGGGGGAAGGCCCCCCAGTCTATATTCAGACCTACGGTCTGAACCAGGTCTTTACGTAGATTCAGGCCGTAGGTCTGAATTAAGTACTGCGTTTTTAAGTGCTTGACTGAGCCCTTTAAAAGCGCTCAACGGAGCCCTTTAGGAGCGTTTAACGGAGCCCTTTAGTAGCGCTTGATGAAGGCCTTTAGTAGCCCTTTAGATGCGCTCGACGAAGCCCTTTAGGAGCGCTCAACGGAGCCCTTTAGTAGCGCTCGATGGAGCCCTTTAGTAGCCCTTTACATGCGCTTGACGAAGCTCTTTAAATGCGGTCAAAGTGTGTTGCATGTTGCTTACTAAGGCGCTTCGCAATGCCTTGGGCTGGGGGCTTCCCGCAGGCCAGGACCTAGTAACGGACAGCTAAACAACATACCTGTCACTGTCACCCTTACAATTGCGCAGTTGATGGAACCCCCCAATCTCGCTCATTCCCCCTGAATATGGCTCCTCCGTCCTCTTACCGTCCGCGGAAGAAGAGAAAGCTTCCCTCGTCTTTCGCTGGCTCCAACAATTCCCTCATTGACGACTCCGGAGGAAAAGCGTCCCCGGCCTTCCCCTTGGTTTCGTTTCTATGGTCTGCTCGAGCAGGTGTTTCTCAATGGCTCGTGCTACCTTTGATTTTGATGGCAGTGGGCCTGTTCCGCTGGGCTGTCAGTCTGTGGGGATATTCCGGTGCGCAAATCATTCCAATTCTTCTACCTGGCGTCACTAACAGACGCAGGCTTCGGAGTACCTCCTATGCATGGTGACTTTGAAGCACAGAGACATTGGGTGGAGATCACCATCCACCTCCCCATTTCCAAGTGGTACTTGTACGACCTACAGTATTGGGGGCTGGATTACCCCCCATTGACCGCATATCACAGCTGGCTTTTGGGAAAACTGTACGCCATTTCTGTTCGTATCTGTGACCTGTACTGACTGAGCAGTGGCTCCCTCTTCAACCCCGCATGGTTTTCCCTGGACGAGTCCCGCGGCTTCGAAGATCCCCTGTTGAAGGTTTTTATGCGCGGAACGGTTATCGCTTCGGAATACCTCATCTATATCCCGGCCGTCGTCAACTTCTTGCGTCGATTCACCCGGATGCAGAGCGTTCCCGTGTGGTCAGCCTCGATTGCCCTCGCTGCGATCCTCCTACAACCGGCGACCATCCTCGTTGACCATGGTCATTTCCAATATAACACGGTGATGCTGGGGTTGGTTGTTGCGAGCTTGGATGCCATCTTGGCCGGACGCATGCTCTGGGCATGCATCTTTTTTGTGGGGGCTCTGGGGTTCAAGCAAATGGCATTGTATTATGCTCCGGTCATGTTCGCCTTTCTCCTTGGCGTGTGCATCTTTCCCAAGATCCGCTTCGTCCGCCTGATTTGCATCTCTCTCATCACCCTGGTTGCATTCGCCGCCCTGTTTGCTCCAATGCTTATTGGAGCAATTGGCATCGAAGCGCGGGAGGCCCTGGCGGTGGCCCCGCAGCCGCCTCTTCTGCAGGCCATCCCCGTCGAGCTAGACAAGCACTCAATTCTCTACGCAATCGTCTTCCAGCTGACACAGATTATCCACCGTGTCTTCCCCTTTGCTCGCGGTCTGTTCGAGGACAAGGTCGCAAATGCCTGGTGCGCCATCCACACGTTCTACAAGCTCCATCGGGTTGAGGCCACTCTGCTCCAACGAATGTCCCTTGGTGCTACTCTGGCTTCCATCGTGATTCCCTGCGCCATGATCTTCCGTCACCCACGTGCCTCTCTACTTCTGCCGGCCTTGTCAACCGTGGCCTGGGGCTTCTTCTTGTTCTCATTCCAGGTGCACGAAAAGAGCGTCCTCCTTCCCTTGCTCCCCATGACACTTCTCCTGGCTGGAGATGGGGGTCTCAGTAAGGAGACCCGAGCCTGGGTGGGGTGGGCCAATATGCTTGGCTCGTGGACCATGTATCCTCTGCTGAAGCGGGACGAGCTTCAAGTGCCCTACTTCGTCATGACTCTCCTCTGGGCCTACCTGCTGGGGCTTCCTCCAACCTCTCTGGAGACTTTCCGCAGCCGTGCTTCTTTGGAAGACACCGCCCCGGGAGCCGAACTTCACGTGCTGACCAAACTTCTGCATGCCTGCTTTTACCTTGCCATGATCGCATGGCACGTTCTCGAAGCCTTTGTGGCTCCCCCGCCTGGCAAACCGGATCTATGGGTAGTGCTGAATGCTGTCATTGGGGCTGGAGGATTTGGGATTGCCTACCTGTGGTGTCTCTGGAAGCTGGTGCTGCAAAGCTGCAGGATCGATCAGAAGGCGGCGGAAGAGACGGACAAGAAGAACCAGTGAGGGTAGGCTAGTGTGTTTCATTGCAATTATACATTCGATTCTCCTATGATACCCATTTTGATGTTCGGGACAGCCTGCACCTCGACAGTGCGGGCTTTGCTGTGCGCCTGGAAGAGATAAAAGCTTGCTTACTCCATACATAGAATACCCAGAACATAATGATAGATAATATACATTTATTGCACAGAAGGGAGATGCTCCAGAGGGCTAAAATATGGCCAATATACAGTAACCCAGAAAACCCATAACCTAACACCGTATTTGCATGCGCTCAACTATATATCAATCCGAGTCTCACAGCAGGACGGATCTGCCTAGACCTTGAAGCCGTAGCCCGCCATGCAGGCCTTGTACTGGTCGATCATGGACTTGCACTCCTGGGTGGGATCGTCGGTCTTGGAGAAGAGCATGCAGTCATCGCGGGCGGTCTTTTCGGTCTTGCAAACGCAGCATGGCTGTAATCGATCAGACGGAGTTCTCGGCTAGTGTCGTGTCAACGTACCTTGGGCTTCTCGGCGGGCGCGGACTCGGCAGGAGCAGGGGCAGCCTTCTCAGCTATTGTACGGGCAATTGTCAGCTTGAGTTCTGTATACTGGCCGGCACAAGTATAGTAGACTGGCTAGATGCGGCGAGCTGGTAGACCTACCCTTGGAAGAACCGAACAACCACGACATGATGCAGAAATGTATGACGCAACGAACTCAGAGAGTGACTAGAAAGTGAGCGACGAGGTAATTGACGACGAACGCGAACAGAGTTGTCGGAGAAGACGAAACGGTGCTGATTAATGATGCGATTCCCGGAAACGGCGGCAGTGGTTGCTGCGGGCGGCCGGAGCGGCGATCGGGGAAAATTTATGGGAAATCTGATTGTTGGTGCAAACGCAAAGCGTAAGGGCGGCGTTGGTTGTCAGGGGAGCCTGGGTTTGATTGTGCTGCCATCACCGCCCGCTCGCTTTCTTTCTTCTTCTTCTTCCTCCAACGTCGCATTGCCTCCCACGCTCTTTGTCTCTGCTTTACTCTCTCTGTGCTGCTACTGCTTCTCTTGACCTGCACCAGGTTTATTATTGTTGACTTTTTATCCCTTCGGCACACCGCACCGTGCGATTCCTTCTCCTGAAATTACCCCACCATGGCCCCTCCAAAGGTCTTCTCCCTCGAGGGCAAAGGCCTCAAGCTCGACACCGCTGAGGATATCGAGACTCATATTAAACCTCTCCTCGAGAGCACCGACTACACCGAGATCCGCTTCGGAGGAAACACCCTCGGTGTCCCGGCTTGCGAGCGTCTCGCCGCCGTGCTTTCGACGCAAAAGAACCTTGCCGTGGCCGAACTGGCCGACATCTTCACTTCTCGTCTGCTGAGCGAGATCCCCGCCGCCCTCACCTTCCTTCTCAACGCCCTCCTCGAGATCACTACCCTTCACACCGTCAACCTCTCTGATAATGCCTTTGGTGCCAACACCCAGAAACCTCTGGTCGATTTCCTCGCTCGCCATACCCCGCTCCGCCATCTAATCCTCAACAACAATGGTATGGGCCCCGAGGCCGGTTCGAACATTGCCAAGGCTCTTACGGAGCTCGCACAACGCAAGGAGGAGGCCCGTAAGGAGGGCAAGGAGGTTCCCCTCCTGGAGAGCATTGTCTGTGGTCGCAATCGCTTGGAGAACGGCAGTATGGCGGCTTGGGCACGTGCCTATGAGGTGCACGCTGCTGGCATGCGTTCCGTCAAGATGACACAAAACGGTATCCGCCAGGAGGGTATCTCGTTGCTCTTGAAGGAGGGTCTCCGCCACTGCACTGCTCTGGAGGTTCTCGACCTGCAGGATAACACCTTTACCATCATGGGTTCCACGGCTCTTGCCGGTGTGGTGTCCAGCTGGTCGTCTCTTCGCGAGCTCGGTGTCAGCGACTGCTTGCTCTCGGCTCGTGGTGGTGTCAAGGTTGCTCAGGCTCTGGCTGAGGGCAAGAACGAGAAGGTGCAGACGCTGCGTCTTCAGTACAACGAGATCAACGCCGAGGGTGTCAAGCAGTTCCTGCACGCCACCAAATCTGCTCTTCCTTCCCTGCGCCGCATTGAGCTGAACGGCAACATGTTCAACGAGGATGATGACAACGTGACTTCCCTGCGCGAGATTCTGGAGGCCCGTCAGGAGGAGCACGGACAGGATGATGACCCCGAGGAGATGTGGGGTATTGACGAGCTGGATGAGCTGGAGGAGGAAGAGAGTGATGAGGAGGAGGAAGAGGAAGAGGAGGAGGAGAAGGCTGAGAAGCTTCTCAAGGACACCGACCAGGCCGAGAACGAGAAGGTCTCTCAGAAGAAGGACGCCGATGTCGACGATCTTGCTGAGGCTCTGGGCAAGACTGGTCTGTAGGGGGTTGGGATGGTCCATTCACCTCGCTTTCTCCCTCCATTTGCCTCGGTGCACGGCAGTGACTTCTCGGTGGCAGAGCTGATGATCGTCTGAACGTGTCAAGCAGACTGACGCGTCCGGTCTGAAGCCGGCAGAGATCTTGGAGTATCCGAACCCGCCAGACGACGCGCCTGGCCTATTCATCCGTGAGGACTTGCACCTTGGATAGAAGCAGTTTTGCTTTAAATTGCTTAGCGAAGCTGGGCATAGATGTAGACCGAGCTGCTTTTGATCATACTGCCTGTGATGTATATAACGTTTCAACGAATGATGTGAATAGTTTTGCAGTAGTTTATACCACTGCGATCGTACACTAGCTTCTAGCCTTGTACCTTAGTTCTACAGTAAGTATTCCAATAAGTGGCTGTACAGTAGAATATTACCTATTCAAGCCTGAGGCACCAATGTGACCTCACGTCACCCGAACCATGCACCATCCATCCATCTACCTGTCTTCACCACGCTCAGAAAACACAGCCTACTATATATACCAGCCCATATCTTATACCATATCCATTCCACCCCATCCTACCTCCCCAACAACCACCACAATGTCTCCCCTCACAGAAATCGACTCCCTCACAGCAACCATCATCATCGACAACGACCTCGACCCCATGTCCCCCATTCCCCCGGACACCGTAGAAGTCACTGGCTTAATGCGCACCCTGGCGACATGTTCCCCGCACGAGGTGCATGATCGCGGGGACGTGCACAAGGAACTTCGAATGGAGGATATATGTTGTGCGGCACACGGATTATCTATCCTCGTTGTATGTATTGATGCATCTTCCTGATTAAAATTTGGTGTGAGTGTTATGGCTGATATTCATCCTGGGAGGAATGGATGGGTGTAGACTGCCACCAAAGACGGAAAACAGCATACGATACTCTTCGATGCTGGACCAGAAGGTCAAGCCTGGGAAAGGAATGCCAAACGGTTAGGGCTGGGGTTGGCAGATGTGGAGAGGGTGATGTTATCGCATTGGCATCGGGATCACTCCGGTTTGTTTCCTTCTTTCATTGCATTAAGCTATGAGTAGGGGTATGCTGTGTGGAATTAGACTAATGGGAACATGTAGGTGGATTAACACGAGCCATTGAGATGATTACAGCTGCGAAAACAGCCACTGGCTGTTCTGACAACAGCACGATTGTTGATCTCCATCCGGATAGACCAGAGTATCGGGGTATGGCTATCGGGAGCGAGATTATTTCTCTTCAGGCGGATCCAACGGTTCAGGAGATTGAACGTGCTGGGGGGGAAGTAACAATGGAGAAAGACGGACATACGGTTCTTGATGATTTCTTCTACATCTCGGGGGAAATACCCCGACGGACGTCTTATGAGACGGGATTGAAAGGAGGGATAAGATTTGATAAAGACGAGGCGGATTGGTTCTCGGATGAGAGGATCGCAGATGAGAGGTTTTTGATGTGTAATTTGAGGGGTGAGTTTCTGATTTTGGCTTGGGGAGTGGAATGAGGCTGACTTGGTTTGGTAGGGAAAGGGATTGTCATGTTTACTGCGTGTAGTCATGCAGGGGTGGTGAATTGTGCTCGACATGCGGTTGAATTGCTGGATGTCCCTCTTCATGCGATTGTTGGGGGGTTTCATCTTGCGACGAGTGAGGTGTCGCAGATGGAGAGCACAGTTAGGGATCTGAAGAAGTTGGATCCGGCGGTGGTTCTGCCGGGTCATTGTACGGGTTGGAGGGCGAAGTTTGCGATTGAGAGGCAGATGCCAGGGGCGATGGTGCCGTGTTCGGTGGGTATGAGGATTAAGTTCTAGTCTTTTGTTGTGTCGGTACTTGTCAGTATGGTGAATGCTTTCGAGTATTGCCTGATAGACTTGGCTCAATGCTGACAGGTTTGCAGATATCTACGAGCCAGGAATTAGCCTTGGATTGCAGGCGTCGGTGCACGGTCTGGACGAGCTGTGCATGCTGGCTTGATATGGCATGACTTCAAGCCTTGGATATGCTCGTCTGGTGATTTATCCTCATAGAGCTATGGCATGGGATCTGCTAGGATGTCAGTGAGATGCGCCTGTTCTGGTCTGTGCAATAGCAGACTATTTACATACAGATAAACTATGAATGTCAATATTTGATAGTACTTTCAGGCCCTTCTATTGGATTTGTGCATGCTATCTGAACGGAGCATTCATTTGTATGGCCTTGAAGATGTGGTGTCTCATGGTATGAATCAGTTCTCGACTGATATATACATCTAGAGAGTTGTATTCCAGCAGACAGTGACCCTTTGAGTGTATATAGCAGGTATATCACAGCATCTATCAGATAGCAATATAATGTATATTGAACACTACACAGCACTACTATATTCCAACACTCTAACCAACAAATCATCCCAAGTACTCTACCATTCCCACCAAACCAACCCACCACACACCTCCATATAATCCATCCAAGCACAGCCACCACCATCATCATCCAGAATCCCTTCAACCCATCCATCCATACAACATCCAAAGCAACATACCACAGCCCAGTTCCAACAACCTACATACATACTACAGCGCATACATACGCACGTACATTCCATACCGCCAAGATCCCTGCCTACCATCCCATCCCAATCGCCATCCTATCCACCATCCCCATCCCATGTCTATCAACGAAATCTCGACCTATCCATCCATCCCAATCCATCCTGCAAAAACACCCACCCCATCGGGCACCCACATCCCCAGAAAAGACCTGACTCCTGCACTGTACAAACTAAGTTATTGAATGTTGTTGCTTCGTGGGGAGATTTGATTTGGTTGGATAGACGTGATGCGTGCTGCATATGCAATGCAGCCAACATAATTGGTTAGACTGTTCATTGTGTAACAATCATTGCATTACTCCTAATGCCACTGGTATGCACTGTGAATAGCATAATACTATCCTCTCCCTCCTTCTACCTGCATGGCATACATACTACACATCCTATCTCTTCATGCACTATAATAAATCCTAACGTACTTGATACCAATGACGTATACCCCAACCCCAAACCAAAATTAAAATACCATACCTACCTGCCAAGCACCCTCTCCTCCTCCTCCCCCGCCAAGCAAACACAGCCAATGCCGAGAACCCAAACTCTATCCTACCTACACCAGCTGATTCCCCAAAACAAACTTCATGATGATCATCCGCGCAAAAAAAACCCAAGTTTTTGTGTTTCCCCTGAGGATTTGTCGGTCGGGAATTCGTCATACGGATTGGACTGGATTCCTCCCGTCAAGTTGCAGGGGCGGTGCATGATGGCTCCGACTCTCCGATCCTATCCACCCCCCTCCCCCCCCTTCCTTGGGCGAATTGCCAAGACAATAAAAGGGAGGAATGCACGGTGGGCTTGGCGGATGTTAGAAGAAAGGGGTGGATGATGTGTTTGTTTGTTGGGTATGATGAGGAGGGATGGGGTAGATACGGAGCAGTATGGGGTAAGTAGGTGTGGTGTGAAGAACTGGTGGGATAGGGGATGGGGTGGGAATGTATATATCCTGTTTATATGAAGTATTTCCTATCTTCATTGGTGATTATTTATTACGTATGTTTTGATTATAGGGAGTAAGTACATAGTATACGAGATGTAAACAAAGACAAGGTACCACTACAACCACGCATTATCCCTCCCACCCATCCATCCCATTGTCTTGACAACACCACCAAGTAGTAGTATCTAGGATACCCAAAATCCAGTCCATCACTCACCTCGAATTAGCCACTCCCATCCCAACCTTCTTCCCACTTCTCCCATCCCAACCCTCAGTAAAATAAAGAAAGGGATGCCAAGCCTAGCCTTGCTGGAGCTGCAGTGCACATCTTCCCCCGCTTGGCAAAAAGTAATCTGCACCACTATTGGCTTGGTTTTCTACCACTACTACCTACCACATAGGTAGTTATTATGTAGATAGATCTGCTGTACTTTACTTAACTTTACTTTACGGAGTAAAGTTATATCTTAACTAATTTTGATTCTAGATAGGATGGATAGATAGATAGATAGATAGGGGATGATATACTTTGCCAATATCAACCGGTAACAAAATATATTCTAGTTCTAGTTTAAGAAAGAAGTAAGTAGGTATAGGTTGTTTGTTGGTCCGCTCCCTTGGCATGTAAGTATCCAGCCAGCCAACAATCAGTAACTCTCCAGAGAAGGAAATGACTTGCGGGTTCGGGTTGGATTTACCCCTGATGAGGTGATGGATGGTGATCAGTGATATCCTACCTACTTTCTTCATCACTTACCTCTAGCTAGTTACAACTACGGAGTAGAGAGTAGATAGATACTGTAAATGTATATGTATACGTACACACTACCTAGGTATATACTTTACTCAACCACCCGCCAAGTCACATACATACCTACCTAGAATAGTATTCACTCCGTCTGACCTGACAACCCCCCCCCAAAACCTTAACCTTACTTTACTAACCCCATTTTTCTTCAGGAGTAAAGTAAAGTAAAGTACCGTACCCAAGTGACATCATATGCAGGTACCACACTTATCCTACCTATTACGATATACATAAAGTAAGATTTACCTATATGTATTAGGTATATAGATAAATAAAGATCAACAGATTATCCCAATACAATACACGTCTATTATTCTCCGATGGAAAGGTTTCTGCATCTAGAAGGTGGGATTCTTGTTCGATTAACTTACCTTTTTGGTTCTGTAGGGAGGGATGCACGGAGGATAGAGTTTATGTGAAACCACACTGGTGCGTGGTGCAGGCGGAAGTAAGTTCCTATGATCGTATGTAGTATGTAGGATGGATGTACATGGGATGTAGGTACATAGGTTGGTACATACATACCTTTACTTCTTTCTTCGGGGGGTTAGTACTCTGCAAGAAAGATGAAACGGAGAAAGAAGCGAGACGAAACGAAACAAGGCAAAGCAAAATAGAAACTGATGTTTCGTGTGGCGCTCTACCTTCACCTACACCTATATCTTTATGTAGATAAATCTTTCTTTGTGATGGGTTCATATCTATCTCTTGAATGAAGGAATGGCTAGAGGTTGGCATAAGATGAAAGATGTGTATATGCGGGGAAGTATACAAAGAACTTAGTGACTAGATACTAGTAGTAATCCAATCCATGCTGGTGATCCCTTGGCATATCCCTCTCATTCATCCATCATGCTTTGTCACTGAAACATACAAAGTGCGTAGTAGCAAGAATATACTTTGACTGACACACCGGGCTTGCCAAAGTTTAACTACCTACCTACCTACCTGAAAGAAATATGAAACAAAGTACCATCACCATGACAGCCACATGTATCATACCTCTCTTTTATTATCATCATAATGAATACTACGTAGGTACTATGTATTATCTACATAAAGATGAAATAGATTGTATGGAGTGAAAAATCCCTCAGCCTTACTGGCAACCCACCACCACCGGAAATTTGCACTAATCAAATCAACTCATTTCATTCACCCGATAGTACCACGGTTCCTACCCGATAACGACCTCAACCATGGAAAGGGATAATTGCAACGGCGCGCCCGTGCCGATTCCCGTGTCGTAGTCGACGTACCCTGAACGACTGGCTGGCCGATATGCCGAGGAAAAACACCGACAACAAACTAACGCAGGGTGTGGTGTCTGAACTAACCGGGTTGGGGAGTCGGGGGCGTGAGCGAATTGAATCCTGGATGCCGTAATTCCAACTTGCTAAGTAGATACCACTGACTAGGTGCGCAAGTAAAGCGGCGAGATAAGCCTGCCGGTATCCGTCCAGACCTGACTAGTAACACACTACAATATTTAGCCAGGGCCATGATAGCCCGGTCGGCGCGTGATAGGTAGGTAAGCCAGACAGTTATCGATCCGGCTTGCCGCGCATGTAGTAAGGAAAATAGCTGCATATTGGCCGACCGTAACTATCTAGGCAGTAGGAGGTAGCAAAATCCCCGACTAAGCCCGATCCAAGCATTCGCACAGCAAACGGAGGTTAAGTGAGATTACTCTAACCCTTTTATCGGACGGTGCTGGCTTGCTCACTGCGCGTCATGACGGGGCCACCTGGCAGCTGGGGCGGCAGAAATGAGGTGAAAATCTCTCATACTGTTGACTGTCGGGCGCCCAGCAAGTCTTCTCCGGAAGTGTCAAAATGGTTAAGCTGAGTCGCTGCAGTAGTGGTTTCGTCGTTGGCAGCGACGCAGCTCGGGCTAATTGCGTTGCTAATATCAGCGGGCGGCTGGCCTGGACGAATGACAAGACACTTCCTCGTAATGCATGTCTCCGACGAGTTGTTCCGCCGTGGGGTTGCCAATGCCATATCTACTGGATGCCAATGTTGGAGAACCATCCGTGTAGACAGGTAGACAATAGACACAGGTACGTAGATACCAAGAAAATGCTCTTGGCGCACGAGCAGCATTCAGCGTGAAGACATCTGCAGCTGTACCTCCAAGGTCCGATGGGCTAGCTATGCCTCGGGTGAGATGAGAGAGACAGAAAATCCCTCACCAGGATCCTCGATGAGACAGCTTGGCACGGGCGATCGCCCGGTGGGGGAGACCGACTTAGTCGCAGCACTTGGGACGACGATTAGTATCATTATTGGGGGCCGCTAACTGGATCGGACTTGGATTCGCAATTAACGTCGGTGAGTGGGAGGATGGAGGGGATATGGCCCGAGTCGCTACTGTAGGTACCAGAAGCCAAGAACCAGCCTAGCGCTTTAGTGCGCGGACAATTGGCTTGTGCCATTACCTAACTACGCGTATCGTCTGTCACGGTCCATACGCGCTCACACGCGTTCCTGCGGGCGGATAATTCTGTCTCACCCGTCATATATACACAGCCCATACCAAATCCTCCAATCTGGTCAAGCGCTTGCCCGAAACGGGCATCTCGTTGCCAGCACTCGATCGGGTTTAAGCCGCCGCCAGTTAGCCAACACTGACCTCTCGCAGGTCCAGCCCGCCAGAGACAAAAGTCGCATTAATTATTGGCAAGTTGCCCCAGGGCAAATCAATAATCGCGACAATCCCACCACCACTACTTATGACTTTACCCGATTTTTCTGGCGGGACTGCCGAGTATGACGTAGTCAGTTTGCCTGGACCCTCGATCCAAGTGCCACTGCCACCTGTTGCCGACATCCGATGTCCTGTCAGCCCCAGAAAATTCTGAACGTTCAGGCGAGGTTCTCGAACCCCAGGCGAGCGGCGAATCGGTCTGGATGAGGAGGACCACAGAATGCAGCTAACTGGAACAGGGACCCGTGGAAGGCTTCTAGAAGACGTCGAGAAGGGCGAATCTGCGGGTTCGATGCGGTCAGAAGGGTTGCCCCTCACTTGGCCGTGCAGTTGTCGGCGGTCCGGTGGCAACTGTTGCCCGATGGAGTAGCCCGATGGAGTAGCCCCGATAATGACTAAGGTATCTTAGTCCAGGACTAGTCTACTAGTACTCCGTACTCCGGTCGCTACTCCGGACTGTACTCGGTCTTCTCCAGTCGAATAGCCTCACTTTGTTGGCTCCATGCGGGATATAATGTGAGTTATATACCTAGTACTTGATTTACGAGTCATCAACCTGCTCTTATTCGTAGTAATGGTATCTTTACATCCACGTATATTCTAGATAGTTCCTCTACAACATACTATAGAAAAAGATCCATCAATATCGTAGATACCACCACGAGCAACAGATAGTACCCTCAGTACTCGTAGCAATGAGCAGGGACCTGACAGCGACATCCCGACCGAAATCCAAGTTCCACGGTTTCATGTGGGGAGCTTTCTCTCCCACTCGGCAGTGGTCACTGGTCAGGCAAGGTACTTTCCCGACTAGGCGAGGTACCAGGTACTAGTCGATTAGTTTCCGCGCTAGATACGGCACACGCCCTGATTTCCATTTTTCCACCCACTCACTCCTTTGGCCTCCACTTCGGCTCGACACCACCACCACTACCTACCAATCTCATCCTAGTCCGACCTGAATCCAGGCACTGGAGATGCGATTTTCTCCATGGTAGCTATGCCGTCGACCTTGGTCGGGAGAGGGGCAATCACCACACTCAGCTGACCTGACCTGTCGAACCACTCCGATTATTATTTCCAATTCCTTCTACTCCGTACGGAGTCACCCTCCCCCAGAAATAGAATCCTTCGTATTTCTAGATGGCTGGGGTTGTTGGGGGGGTTTTGTCTTGGCTGACGTGGGTTACATGCCACATTCCAGTGCAAGCTTGCTTGCTTGCCCCAGGTTAGCATGTCCCCGGGGCGGGTAGGTACTAGGTAGAGTAGGTACTAGGTTAGGTTGCCCTGCGACCGCGACCGTGACCGTGACCGTGACCGCCGGTGAGAATCCCCGGATTGGTGTTGTGCACGGGCGGCTGCCACTGCGAGATAGATTACTTACGGAGTATCTATCTACGTAAGTACTCCAATGTTGAAGAGTTACTATTACGAGTACTATTGCTATCAGTAGCTGTAGCTATCTAGGTTGATTCATACAATGATACAGGCAGAGTAGAATGGTGACTCACAAAGATAATCGGGGATAGCATCATACCCTCCATAGCTATAGCTAGCTAGCTATAGCTAATAGCCCAATCCAGAATCCCACCTCACCTCACCATGATATGGGGTAAGGTAGGTAGGTATCTATCCCACCTCCCCGATAGGACAACCATTCTTTACACGATCCTATTCGTCAGGAAAATCCCACCGGCCAATGTCCCCGTTTCAAAAATACCTACCTATCTAGGACGTACCGGGGTTAGGTTAGTTGGTTACTTGCCTCGGTTTCATTTCCATGACTCTGAGCTGAGGAGCTCCCCTCCGGAGGAAGATAGCTTAGGACTTCCGTACTTACGCAGCACTGATTGATTCCAGATGGGGTAAGCCTGGGGAGGAGGAGACTGGAGGTAATTGTCTTACCTCATTCGGACCGGGCTAGGTGATTAAGTTCGGGCTTACTCCAGAAAAAGCGTCACGGTGAGAAAACAAAACAAACTTGAGCGGAATTACCGCCCGTAGGGAAGGTTAGTGCTAGTGCTACGTTGCTGGTCATCGGTGGGATGGATGGATGGGTAGCTCTCCCCGGGTCAGTCAAGTCAGACCCCACGGTCGATCAGGTCGGTCCGTCCAGATGGATGGATGGATGAGATGGTCGGAGGAAAGGGAACAGGGCGCGTGAATGGAGCAGTATGCCGTGGACTGGGTGCATGGCGTTGCTCACTCACTTGGTTTAGTTGGGATGGGATTATCGGATACGGATCGGAGGAGAGGTGGTTCTGCAGGTGAGGTGAGTGAGGCGGGCATGGATCATCCCCGTCCACATCCATATCCACATCCAGATGATGATTCTGGGGATGGACGGGATGGATGGGATGGGATGGAGATCCAGACCGGGCGGGATGACCTTTATTCTACGAGTACGGTGTGAGTGTGGTGGTACGGAGTAAGGTATCTAGGTTGTGTCAACTTCAATACTCCCGAAGTTAACTCTGTTTTGCTCAGCTTAGTTTTGTTTGTTTGGAAGAAGCAATATACAAATGGTACTCTGGATTCAGGATTATCCCACTGATCTCCGTAAGGCTGTGCGGAGTTAATATGAAGTGAGGGTTTTGTTTGTTTGCTTGGGAAGTATATTGAGCCAAGGGAATAGTTATGAAGTAGATAGACCACCAACTCCGATCTCAGCCAAGATTACTTGCCATCCACGTAGCGATGCTCCATATCCAACATCCGGATTCGGTCACAATGTGCTCGCTGTGGAGGGGATCATCTTGGCACTCGCCCAGACAAGCCTTATGCGCGCTGAAGCTTATGAAGATGCGGAGGGAGTCACGAACATGGGATTTCCTTGTTCACCACCATCATCATAAAGTTAAAATGCCTGGGAACAGAAGATACTGGACTCCCGCCATGTACGTTGTCAGGCGATCTGGGGCGCGCGGGCGGACGGTGCGGGCTACGTGGTGGTGGGTGGATTAATGCCATGCATGCATGCATATCTTTGTCATCCGCCCCCCATATTAACTGAATAAGTACGATGCGTTTTCGGGTCTTCCGTGGACCTCCCTGATGGGGATGGAATTCCTGGGAATTCCGGAGACATGGGCAGTTGCCTGGTTGGGATGAAATGACGCTTTTCCGAGTGGACGATATCGGATGGGATGGTCCAGGCACTACTATCGAATCGTACTATGTAGATAGAGGAGCACGGGTAGGATCGGTACGGAACTTAGTTGATAGACGCAACCATCTGAGGAATATGCAGAATCTTGGTTAGCTCAGTCGTGGCCATGCATGCATGCCCTCCCTCAGCCAACCTGTCAACCAGATGGCGTCGTAGAAAAAGGGAATCGAATCGAGAAAATGAAAATGTCGCAACGTGGAGGTATTCAGCGGCAGCGGACTGCGGAGCCCATTGGTATGTTCTTACTCTCTGTCTCTTTCCCTCCCCGCCGAAAACGACGTGCCCAGTGCCCAGATATGACTATTGTCGATGGCTCTATGCAGTTCGACGCTCTGCGCTCGACCTCATTATTGCTATCGTGCTTCGACGACTAATCAATAACGCAGATAGCAGTAATCTTACTTGATAGCTACCATCCAATGATACGATCCCATCAACAATGGGATCCTAGCCGGCGGAGTCTCATCCCGATGTCAACCAGTCAGACAAAAATGACGCTCACGGATGGAGCCAGGCCTCCCCACGAGAGGAAATCGGATGAAACTCAATCAGGGCAAGCTGCATGGGATTGGCGCGCCGTAAATAAGGAGGGTGGAGGCGGCCCCGTCGTCACACGCTCACAGGATGGTGGGAGGTGGACGATCGACTCCGGGTTGGCATTAGTGTAAGATGAGAAACATCGACTAACCCAGAGTATGGCCAGGGCGTGGGGACAACACCGGGAAGTGCGTAGGCGATAACGAGTGCGTAAGTAATATTGGTAACGATGATAAGTGACTACTACAACAAATGATGGGGCAGGAGAAATAATCCTGATGACATAAGGCCTACCCGCAACCGCCAGGTCGGCTCATTCTTACTCTTTGACGGGGCGACGGGCGGGCAATGGAGAGTCTGTTCCCGAGTCGGCACGATCATCACCAACATGAATCATCACTTAGATAGTAGTCTTACCCCTACTCAAAATGGCCTGACAGCATGCGACAATGATGTCAGTTTAATTCCTTCGGCTGAACCAGGTCGATTGTGTGTAATGTGTCTGTGTCTGTCTGTGTCTGTTGATGACCCTGCATGGCCGGAATTGGTATCATCCAAGTCCTTGGAATCGCCCCTTGCGTTCCCGTTTGGCTCAGCTCGTGGTTCCAAGATCGGGTAGGACGGCCCTGGCTCTGCTTGGAGTAGGATTCCATCGGAGCTTTTCGCAGCAATAAGAGACATGCTGATTCAGCTGTATGTCTCGTCTGGGAGATAACCGATCATTTCTTTCTGCAAGGGAACTACAGAACTATGGAGCCCGATGTCATCGCGGGCGCCAGGTGCTACACATACTACACAGAAGGAATATGCCAATGATTGCTGGTCATTCTGATAGTGTCGTCTGCTTCTTCCTCGTCCTGCTGTTGGTCTCGGCCTCTCGCTCCCGAGTAAAACCACCAACCGCCGTAGTAGTAGTATGATTGGGATGGTTGAAATTATTACTATTACTCTCATCAATCAAGAGGCCCGGCGACGAGCGACCGAAAAATCGCGCATAGTAGAAAAGAGGGAAAGGGAAAGGATCAGGAAAATTAACGAGGGCCACCACCCGCACGCGGCAAAAAAAAGCCCATTCACACGGTACGTCCGTATGGTAAGGAATTCTTTTCCCACGCTGGCCGAGAGCCGTCCACGGTCGGCCCCCGTACGGCCCCGTTACCAGACACAGCCCGCAGAGACATGGGCAACTCCGAGGAAAAAGGAAAAATCTCGCTCCGAGAGGCGTATCGGGTGCGTACGGACGACGGACGACGTCCCCAGGATTTTCGCTTCATGGAGGAGGGTGAGGGGGGGCGAACTCGGCACCGCGCTGCCGGTCATGGGAAACCAAGCGACTCCAGCGAGACAAATGGGAAGGCGAACGGCGTAAGGTGCCGTACCATTGGCGACCATCTGGGAAAGGTCAGAGTTTTTCCACGGCCCAGGCTAGACCCGATGCGGGAAGAGGCCCCACTTGGCACTGGGCTGGACGGCCACAGAGGGTAATGGGAAACACCGCGGAAAATGAACTGGGAAAATTCACTACTGGTCGGCACTAGCGATGCGTCCCGTTAAGCAGGACCAGGTGTGTGCGTGGGAGGCAAAAAGCGGGTCCAGTCTACCAACCTTACCTTACCAGGGACAGCGAACTTTCGATCAAGTGGCTACTGCTCCCGGCCAAGACTAGACCGGGCGAGGGTTTTGGCAAAAAAGAAAATGGCAAAAATCGGAAGAAAAATAAAAAATAATACAAAAAAATAATAAATCGGGAGAAGGCAAAAAAAAGCAAATGGAAAAAAGTGGGCTTACGCACAGGGAAGGTCGCCCGTTGGAGCTTAGAGGAGACAGACGTGTTTGTCTGGTCCCGTGCAATTGAAGGCCGCCCACCCCCAAATATTAAAGAGTACATTCTCCCTGCTCTCCCTTCCCTCCTCTCTTCTTTTTCTTCTTCATAGGATTATCCGACTCTTGCCATTCCTGCCATTTTTTGTTTGCGTCTGCTCATATCGTTGGGTTCGAAGGCTGTGTGAGCCGTAGCAACAATGGCGGAGCGGAGGATTTCCTATGCTCCCGACGTGGAGAATGGTGACCATTCTCGCGCCCCTCAACTCGATGATGGTGCCGGTCTCGACGAGTATGCCGCGTTGAACCGTTACATTTCGACCGCCCCCGACAAGCGTCGCGGTTCGACTGCCAGCGCCGGTGGTGCCAGTGCCGGCAAGAAGAAGGGTGGCTTTTCTCTCTTTGGAAAGAAGAGCGATGGTGCGGAGGAGGGCTTCGTCTGCCCTGACGACTGGCTCGAGACCGACATGCGCTCCGGTCTGCGCTCGACTGATATCGATGGCCGTCGCAAGCGCACTGGCTGGAACGAGCTGACTACTGAGAAGACCAACTTCTTCGTTCAGTTCATTGGTTACTTCCGTGGTCCTATTCTTTATGGTATGCGACTCTACCTCCATCACTATCAATGATGTCTGCTAACCACCTCGTTAATAGTTATGGAATTGGCTGTTCTCCTCGCTGCCGGTCTTCGTGACTGGATCGATTTCGGTGTCATTATCGGTATTCTTATGCTCAACGCTGTCGTCGGTTGGTACCAGGAAAAGCAGGCTGCCGACGTTGTCGCTTCCCTGAAGGGTGATATTGCTATGAAGGCTATTGTCATCCGTGATGGACAGGAACAGGAGATCCTTGCTCGTGAATTGGTTACTGGTGATATTGTATGTTTCTCCCACGGCCACATACTCGAAACGCCTCGCTAACTTGCATCTCTTTAGATCGTTATTGAGGAAGGTACCGTCGTCCCCGCCGATATCCGCCTGATCTGCGACTACGACAAGCCCGAGAACTTCGAGACCTACAAGGAGTACCTCGCCACCGTTGGTGACGACACTCTCAAGGAGAAGGAGGACGAGGATGATGACGATGGTGGCATTGAGGCTCGTGCCGGTGTCTCCCTCGTTGCCGTTGACCAGTCCGCCATCACTGGTGAATCTCTCGCTGTCGACAAGTACATGGCCGACACTTGCTACTACACCACTGGTTGCAAGCGTGGTAAGGCCTACGCCATCGTCACCGCCACTGCCCGCCACTCTTTCGTCGGTAAGACCGCTGCTCTCGTCCAGGGTGCTCAGGACTCTGGTCACTTCAAGGCCGTCATGGACAACATCGGTACTACCCTGCTCGTTCTCGTCATGTTCTGGATTCTCGCTGCCTGGATTGGTGGTTTCTACCGTCACCTCAAGATCGCCACTCCCGAGAACGATGACCGTAACCTGCTCCACTACACCCTGATTCTCCTGATCATCGGTGTTCCCGTCGGTCTCCCCGTCGTCACCACCACCACCCTCGCTGTCGGTGCTGCTTACCTCGCCGAGCAGAAGGCCATTGTCCAGAAGCTCACTGCCATCGAGTCCCTGGCTGGTGTCGACATTCTTTGCTCTGACAAGACTGGTACTCTCACTGCCAACCAGCTTTCTATCCGTGAACCCTACGTCAACGAGGGTGTTGATGTCAACTGGATGATGGCTGTCGCTGCTATCGCCTCCAACCACAACATCAAGAACCTCGACCCCATTGACAAGGTCACCATCATGACCCTCCGTCGTTACCCCAAGGCCCGTGAGATTCTCGCCCGCAACTGGGTCACCGAGAAGTACACTCCCTTCGACCCCGTCTCCAAGCGTATCACCACCATCTGTACCTGCGATGGTGTCCGCTACGTCTGCGCCAAGGGTGCCCCCAAGGCCATCCTCAACATGTCCCAGTGCTCCGAGGAGGAGGCCAACCAGTTCCGTGAGAAGGCCGCCGAGTTCGCTCGTCGTGGTTTCCGTTCCCTCGGTGTTGCCGTCCAGAAGGAGGGTGAGCCCTGGCAATTGCTCGGCATGTACCCCATGTTCGACCCCCCTCGTGAGGATACTGCCCACACCATCGCCGAGGCCCAGCACCTTGGTCTGTCCGTTAAGATGTTGACTGGTGATGCTCTTGCCATTGCCAAGGAAACCTGCAAGATGCTTGCTCTCAGCACCAAGGTCTACGACTCCGAGCGCCTCATCCACGGTGGTCTGGCTGGCTCTGCCCAGCACGATCTCGTTGAGAAGGCTGACGGTTTCGCTGAGGTCTTCCCCGAGCACAAGTACCAGGTCGTCGAGATGCTTCAGCAGCGTGGTCACTTGACTGCCATGACTGGTGATGGTGTCAACGATGCTCCCTCTCTCAAGAAGGCCGACTGTGGTATTGCCGTCGAGGGTTCCACCGAGGCTGCCCAGGCTGCCGCTGATATCGTCTTCCTTGCCCCCGGTCTCTCCACCATTGTCGATGCCATCAAGCTCGCCCGTCAGATTTTCCAGCGTATGAAGGCCTACATTCAGTACCGTATTGCCCTGTGTCTCCACCTTGAGGTCTATCTTGTCACCTCCATGATCATCATCAACGAGACCGTCCGTGCCGATCTGATTGTCTTCATTGCCCTGTTCGCTGATTTGGCCACCATCGCCATTGCCTACGACAACGCCCACTACGAACAGCGTCCCGTCGAGTGGCAGCTTCCCAAGATCTGGGTCATCTCCATCGTCCTCGGTATCCTCCTTGCCGGTGCCACCTGGATTATCCGTGCTTCTCTCTTCCTTGACAACGGTGGTATCATCCAGAACTGGGGTTCTCCTCAGGAGATCCTCTTCCTGGAGATCGCCCTTACTGAGAACTGGCTCATCTTCGTCACCCGTGGTGGTAAGACCTGGCCCTCTTGGCAGCTGGTTGGCGCCATCTTCATTGTCGATGTGCTCGCCACCCTGTTCTGTGTCTTCGGCTGGCTGTCCGGCGGCGCTGCCCTCCAGACCTCCCCCAAGGACAACGCCTACTTCACCGAGAACGGCCACGTTGACATTGTCACCGTCGTTGTCATCTGGGGTTACTCCATTGGTGTCACCATCATCATTGCCGTTGTCTACTACCTGCTCACCATCGTGCCCTTCCTCGACAACCTCGGCCGCAAGACCCGCTCCCGCGCCGACACCCAGATCGAGAACCTGCTTGGCCACCTGTCCAAGCTGGCCATCGAGCACGAGGTTGATGCCCACGGCAAGACCCGTTACACCCTCGGAGCCCGCGCTGAGGTCGAAGAGGATGAGTAAACGCTTGATTGCGCTCCTTAATACCATCCGACCTGGATATCACTTGCTGCGCATACATGCATGAGCTGGGTTCCGGCTACCTTTTACCCGTATTATAGACTTTTTTTTCTTATTACCTTGTCTCTATTATAGAGTCAATTTCTTTTCTCTTTACATGTATGTATGTCATTAATAGTGGTAAATTTAGTCAATCAAGGGTTCACAATTATATTCTTCCTTCGTAAACTTTTTTCTTTTCTTTTTTCTTTTCCTTCCTTTCTCTGAATTTCCTGTTGAGCACTAACTGCCCTTCATTTTCCCGACCAACTACCGACAACTTAGCCGAGCACCCAACCCTCTGTCTGGTCTCTGGCTCTGTCTCTGGTCAGCCCTGGAACTGATTACTGAACAGGCCACGGTCCACCCATCGGACCAGGTTCGGGGGTGTGCAGTGGACCCCGGGAAATTGGAGTCAGGGGCGCGGGTTGGCCGTTTCACCAGTCACCAGTCACCACCTACCACCTCCAGCCGTTCCTTTCGGACACCGGCCGACGCCAGTTGTTGACCTTGCGCCTTGAATTCGGGTTGCGATGCGATACGCACGGAAGCTTGGGTGGATCCCACCACAGCTAGACTATTGATTTTGGTCCGAAAGCGCGCCTCGTATAGCGATCCTATCAATCAGCCCATCTGACGCGTTTTTGAGACTCTCGGGGTTTGGTATCTGCTTATCTGCTTGGCCTGCCGATGTCGTCGATGCTTAGATAGATAGGCGTCGTTTGGAAATTAATGGTGGGGTGCGCGATTGTCCTTGTTGATGTTGTGTTGTCTGGGACTCTGGTTGTCGCTGGGGGACTGACTGGGTTGACTAAGATGAGATGGTGGGGCCCATCCCACCTCGGTGCCTCAGGCTGCAGGTTGCCCGATCACCAACATCGCGGCAATCCCCATGGGAGAGGAAGAGCTCATCCGGTTCATCCACATTATTGCTGTGACACATCGAATTATTATTTCATCTCATGCTAACTCTACCTCTGGCATCTAGATGGGGATCTATCTGAGAACCAGACTGCCCATCGGATTCAGTCGTGAATAGCCATACACTTACACTTGTCCAGAGCCGTGGACTTGAGGTCTATAAAAGGCTTCATATTCGAGAACCCCCCGCTAGGATGACATCTTCTGGTGGCATATGAGCGCAAATCATGTGCTTGCTGGGCCCTCCATTATGGCTTCATATGCAGCAGAGAAGACTTACTAGCTCATGCGTGTTCCCCTGTCTAGCGCTTCGATTAGATATCTAAACCAATGGTGTTTCGCCACAAATTCAATGTCCCGCCTCCTTCTGGAATACTGATATTGCTTGTAGCTGCGGTAGGCACACTGACATTGATAAAGAGAGATACACGATGAGGGAAGACCAACTATTCTTGCCAACCCCATTTCAGCGCAGCAGGCTAGAATCCACTCGCGGACCATGTTGTGCAATACATGCACTGCTATGCTCTTCCAACTAAGACAAGATCACCACCACACTACTCTGGAGTCCCTCATCACTGCGAAAGAAGAGAGATGCTACATTTGCGCCCCTCTGTGGGTACATGTACATCAAAAGTTCGGTCCTCCTGCGGAGTTGCTGGAATTTCCTTTCCTGTTTGTCAGCATCCCGCCCTTTGATCGCTCAACGGGGTTCGTCTTCATTGTCTTTGATTTAGTCGGAGATGAAAGGCGAAAAGGTGAATATGCTTGTCATATTCGGACAGGCCTTGAGGTCCAAGCTGTCAACGACATTCGCGAGAGACTTACAGAGGATATGCTTGACCAGGGCATTAAAAAGACGCAGAGGTGGATGGCTGAGTGCTTCAAGTCCCACGTGCGTTGCCAGAAGAATACCAATCCAACAATCTATCCTACGCGCCTTCTGAAGTTAGAAGAGGGCAGAGTGCGCCTCACAATCACTGCCGAAGAGGAGCCACAAGGGCCCTATATTGCTCTCAGTTACTGCTGGGGCAAAGACCCAACATTCCTTCGGCTAGAGGATTCAACATGCGAGGAGTTGAAGAAAGGCGTCGCCATCTCTCGCCTTCCCACGGCATTTCAAGAAGCGACATGCTTCATTCAAAACTCTCTCTGGGCGAAATCCAGATCCGCTATCTTTGGATCGATGCTCTATGTATCATTCAAGGCCAAGCTTCCAACGAAGACTGGCTCTCCGAATGTCACAAAATGGTAGATGTGTATTCCAACAGCATCTTGACCCTTGCTCTTGCTCGAGCCGAGAACCCGCATCAAAGCTGTCTGGGGGGTGGTCCTCTCGGCTTGGTTTTGCCCTTCGAGGTGGCATCGACTGAATTCTCGTCAGATAGTGGGAAGTGCGTGGTTTATTCCACCACGTTCTATGCCGATCTGCTCTACAACCAGCCCCTTTGGTCCCGTGCGTGGGCCATGCAGGAACGCATTCTCCCACCGCGAGTTGTCAGTTTTGGCGTTGGGCAGCTTTTCTGGGACTGTTTCGACTGCATGAATGCATGTGAATCTCTTCCCGATGGTTGGACCTGCCTGTCAGAACCATCTTATTCGCGGATTGGATCCATATTCCGATAAACCCTGTGCACGTGAAACCGATATCGAAACCCTTCGTAAGCAGTGGGCAAACATAGTGGCTGAATATACGAATCGCAAGTTGACTTGTCCCGAGAAGGACAAACTGCTCGCGATATCTGCCCTCGCGAGACGCTGGGAGGTCGCGATGCAGGATGAATATATCGCAGGCCATTTCTGGAGTATGCTGTCTTACAGTTTGGACTGGGCGATGAAAGCCAACTCGACTCGGCCGCCGAGAAGGATTCAAGTCGTCTGGAAGCAAGCTGATGACGGCAGATCCATCACGGTCCCGAGTTGGAGTTGGGCGTCCATGGATGGATGCCAGGTGCATTCCTTGACCAAATCGGACAGGGACTTTGTGCATGTTCAAAGTTGGAGGCTGATTCCAGGTCCCACGGAGGGAACCTTGGTGCCTGCATTGACAATACTGGCAGACGTTGCGGATATCCCACAGGTAGACGGAACATATCGGGTTAGGGATGATTCTTGTATGATATTAATTGACGACCCAGAGGCTGACGATGAGACGCATGAATGCCGGCTTGTCCGCCTCACGTCAACTGGCGGCTTGATAGCCAGGCGAGGGGATTCGGTGACGGGACCGGTATACAGGAGGGTAGGTTATTTCATTCTCGTCGGGAAATTTGGAAAGATCATTGGGAGGAGGGAGAAAGAGACTGTCACGTTGATCTAGTGCCGAGTTGTAAGTCAGGCTGATCGGACCATCATGGATGTATCCAACTAACGGAGAGTGGTAGATATGCCCGACCTTCTGCGTCAAGCAACCCGACAGGTGGAATGCATTTCTCCGGCGCCATCCACTTTTCTCCGACGGCATCATACGGTGATTTTAACTATCATCCGGGGTATTATGCAGAAGCTTGACTGCTCCCCGCATCCCCCGCATTCCGGGCATCTTTATAACCCGGCGACAAGGATGTTGGAAATGGAGACACCACGACGATCAATTTCTCCCATCCTACATCATGCTGTTCTACGGCCTTTTCCTGGTCCTCCAGGCCATCCTGGTGCACTCGGCGGCCCTGAGACAGTCATCCTCGAGCTCTCTCACCACCGCAGCCCGTGAAAAATGCCAAATCACTCTGCAATGTCCCCCAGGCACTCTCGTGGTGTCCACCACCGAGCATCCGCTGTCCAACTTCACCTCCCTCCAAGCAGCCATCTCCTCTCTCCCCAACGACAACTCCTCCCAGACCATCCTCCTCCTGTCCGGCTCCTACAATGAACAAGTCAACATCACCCGCTCGGGTCCCATCACCCTCCTGGGCCAGCAACCAGACCGCAGTGCGCTGACCGACGCCGCGCGCAACACCGTCAACCTGACCTTTGCCGGCGCCAACCAAGACAGCTCCGGCTCCCTCGACAACGTCTGGTTCAGCGTGATGATCGTCGCCCCGACCCTCGACGCCAGTCTGACCGGATCCGGCACCACCGGCTACCCCGTGCCAGCAGACACACCGTTTGGCAACACCAACTTCCGCGTCTACAACATCGACTTTCGCAACACCTTTTCCGAGTACTCCGCCGGCCCAGCCCACGCCATCAGCTTCAGCCGCTCCAACGGAGGCTTCTACTACTGCGGCTTCTACTCCTACCAGGACACCGTACCTCCCCTCCCCTCCCCTCCCCTCTCCAACCCTCTCCCCACCACTAACCCACCTCCCCCAGATCTACATCGGCAAACTCGGCTCCGCATACATGTACAAATCCATTCTCGCCGGCCAAACCGACTTCCTCTACGGCTTCGGCACGCTGTACGTCCAATCCTCCCAGATCCTCCTCCGCTCGTGTGGCGGCGGCATCACCGCCTGGAAAGGCACCAACACAACCGTCCCCAACAACTACGGGGTGTACATCCACGACTCGACCGTCCGAGCCGCCAACATCTCCATCGCCCCAGACATCAAGGAATCCTGTGCTCTTGGTCGTCCATGGAACGCTCTGCACCGATCCATCTTCGCCAATACCTACGAGGACGGCAGCATCGAGCCATCCGGATACATTAACTGGGAAGATCGCTGGTCCGCCAATGAGACCCTAATGGCCGAGTACAAGGCCTATGGCCCGGGATTTAACCTGACCGGACGGGAGGATAGCGAGGTGTCGGTGCTGCTAGATAGTAGGGAATATGCGCGGTATAGTGACCCAGAGAGAGTGTTTTTGTTTCCTGATGGGAAGGTGGGGAATGTGGGCTGGATTGATTGGGAGGTGGTCAATTCCTAGACCCTTACATAGACTTTTACATAGTATATATCCTAGCAGCACTCGTTTACCTATCCTATGACTACATCTCATTCTTCGTACTCCCCTACAATAGCCCCCTCCCTCCTCATCCAACACCCACCCCTCATCAAAAGTTATCAATTAATTAACCCAATCAAAGAACCTCCCGAATAAACTCCTCAACCTCCGCATCACTGATTTTCGGCCCTATATATCTCACCACCTCCACACCACCCTTGAAGCCTATCTCGGCTGGGATGCTACTGACATTGAGATCACCCGCCAGCTCGGGGTTATCGTCTGTGCTGATCCAGGCTTGGTAGAGGGTGGGGTATTTGGCTCCGACTCTTTTTGATTTATGTTTTTTATAAGTCAGTGATAAGTGTAGGGGTAGTGGTAGTTTCTGGGTGGGTTGGAAGATAAAAAAGATGGGAGGGGGAGGGGAAAGGATAGGTTGGAGGTAGGTAGGTAGGTAGGTTGATGATTTACCGTTCGAAATTCCTCCTGGTTGATTCGCTAATACCACTCCATATGGCTGAGAAGATGAGGATGAAGGAGTGGTGGGATTGGATGGCGGTGGTGAGCTGCGCGCGACTGGAGGTGAGGTGGGTTGAGTTAACTGGGGGGTAGTAGTTTCTGGGGAAGATTCAGGGGGGGGGTTGGAGGTAGGTAGGTAGGTAGGTAGTGAGTGGTACCTGGTGATTTTATCCATGGTTTAGATAATGATTAGTGGATAGTGTAAAATGAATAGTTCTTGGTGAGATGTGGAGATAGTATTAACACGGGAGTTGAGTTCTGAGACCCCTCCACACCTGTGGGACATTGGTTCTTTATTAGACAGCATCCGCATACGATTTAGCCCGTATAGAGAGTCAGCATTGTGTGATTGAGAAGAAGATATACGAGACTAGAGGAGGGGGGTCTGCATTTTACAGATTCCATCCCGGGTTGTTGGACAGGGAAACCCTGCATGCAGAACCGCAGGACTGAGTACAGCTGATGCAGGCAGCATGATGATTCCTCGTACATAGTGACTAACTCGGTTGACTGTTTAGGAAAGGTGGATGGATTGTTCCATTCATTCTGCTTCTTGGTTACACCGTAGAAGGAAATCTCGTATCGGAAGTATGCAGAGCTGATGACCGCCAGATGGTTCACGGTTGTGGGAAAGCGGGGAAATGCTTGTCTGGATCAGTATAAAGATGGCGGATCTAGCTATGATCATGACGGACATAACCACAGAATCTTTTTACTTTCGTACTTGATCCAAGCACAAGCTCGACAATATGCAGCAGCCAAAGGATGCAACTCAATTTATCATTGATCAGCAGAAGCAAGTCCGACAGAGCCTACCGTTTGATGACAAGAGAGACTTTGTCAATGCGGGTAGGGGTTTGAGAGGCCGTCTGAAGCCCAACACCATCAAGAATAGTGAAGACGACGTGGTCTGGGATAATGACGCTTATGGATTCCTGGAGAACGACTCGCCAGACACGGCCAATCCGAGTCTGTGGCGCCAGTCCAGACTCGCCCATCTAGATGGGCTGTACCTCGTCACCGAAGGCATCTATCAGGTTCGCGGGCTCGACCTTTCAAACACAACGATCATCGAAGGTGAACAGGGCCTTATTGTCATCGATCCCCTTACTTCCAAGGAGACCGGGACCGCTGCACTTGCTCTTTACCGGGAGCAGCGTGGCACCGACAGGGCCATCCGGGCTATCATCTATACGCACTCGCACGCCGACCACTTCGGCGGTGTGAAAGGGTTCATCAGCGACGAGGACGTCGCAACAAATGACGTCAAGATCCTCGCCCCCGAGGGCTTCCTGGAGCACGCGGTCTCGGAGAACGTCTTCACGGGAACTTCCATGAGTCGACGCGCCGCGTACATGTATGGCGCGGCCCTCCACCAGGGACCCAAGGGCCAGATCGGTGCCGGACTCGGCCAGACCATCTCAACAGGAACCGTCACCCTCATTGCGCCCAATGTGGATATCAAGCGCACGGGTGAAAAGAAAACCATTGACGGCATCGAGATGGTGTTCCAGATGGCGCCGGATACTGAAGCGCCCGCCGAGATGCTCATCTACTTCCCCCAGTTCAAAGCATTATGCGCGGCCGAGGATGCCACTCACACGTTCCATAACATCTTGACCCTCCGTGGAGCTGTGGTCCGAGACCCGCATTCCTGGGCCAAGTACTTGACCGAGACCATCGATCTGTTCGGGAGTGAAGCCGAAGTGGTCTTTGCATCCCACCACTGGCCGACCTGGGGCTCGGACAACGTGCGAGAGTTCCTCACCTTCCAGCGCGACCTCTACGCCTATGTACATGACCAGACCCTCCGCCTGCTAAACAAGGGGTACAACGGTCCCGAGATCGCAGAGATGTTGACCCTCCCGCCTGCGCTCGATCAGGCCTGGAATTCTCGCGGCTACTATGGCTCGTTGAACCACAACGTCAAAGCTATCTACCAGCGCTACTGCGGTTGGTTTGACGGCAACCCGGCCCATCTCTGGGAACACACGCCCGTCGAGAGGGCCAAGCGCTATGTCGAGCTCGCGGGCGGAGAAAGAGAGCTGATCCGCAAGGGCCGCGAGGCATTCAACTCGGGGGACTTTCGCTGGGCAGCCGAGGTGCTCAATCACGCAGTTTTCTCGAACCCTGAGAACCCCGATGCGTGTAATCTCCTCGCCGACGTATACGAGCAGCTCGGATACGGGGCGGAAAACGGCACCTGGAGAAACTTCTTTATATCCGGAACAACCGAGTTGCGCAGTGGCAATTTTGGAACGCCTACCCAGTCGGCCTCGGATGATGTGGCGAGACAGCTCACGCCCGACATGGTCTTTGACTCTCTCGCCATTCAAATTAACGGTCCCGAGGCCTGGGATAAGAAGCTGGCTATTGATGTGGTTGTCAGCGACGCGGGAGTCACCTACCGTCTGTGGTTGTCGAACGCTGCCCTTGTATACAGCACGGCTCCGCAGCCTGGTACTGCCGACGTGACCATGACGGGGACAACAAAACAACTTCCTGCACTTGTGGTGTACGGGCCTCATCCAAAGGCTCTGGAGAAGGCAGGTATCCAAATTGATGGCGATCGCAGTGTACTTCACACATTGTCACGCCTTCTCGACCCGGGTGACCCCGACTTCAACATTGTGACTCCATAGGGAGAGCACAGGTTAATTGACGGTAGATTGACTACTTGGTAGCTATCAGGTATTTCAGTTCTTCTCAACGAAGGAACAATTTCCAGACGAGTTGTTGAAGCTCCATTGGGAAATCTCAGGCAAGGAAGCTCGGATTTCTTCTTGCTGCTCCTGTTGTTTACGGCGATATTTTATGAGCGGATGGCAAGCCCACAAAACTATCTCTGCTTCTTTCAACCAATTTCAAAATTTTCATTGGCAAGCATTCCGCGTAGCTCGCAACCCGCCATATGACGTTAATTTTGCGGTGGATTAATGGCATTGAGGCCCAATCATCGCCGAAGGGCAACACGCATGGAATTCGAACAAACCGGAATCTTCAAAGCGTAATACCTTGATCCTTGCTTGCGGGTTAGCACTAAGGGGTTTCATTCCCATAAAGACTGAAACCAGTATGGTCAACCCGAGTGTAATCAAACTCTCCTGGCGACAAGTGGATGTTTGACAGATTTCGAGCAGGCAAGGCCCGAGTCATGATACATAACAGCCAGCGGAAAGGCAGCCCAGGAGGATTTTTGATGGCGTGCAAACAAGGGCAAGGACGGCAGCCTTGTAGTCTCGGTGACCTGCAGGAATCGCTTTCCAGCTTTGTAAAAAGCCTGTCCCGGTAGCCTGACGCGGAGGAAGATCCAGCCTTGGCGGCAAGATTAGACCGCTTAACCACCAACGGCAAGAGGGGGATGTAAATGGCTGTCATGAGAGATCATCCGTTGGACGTGGGTGCCGACATATTCTCAATTCTGGCCCTTGAGCATGGGCATGTGCTCCTGTGGGAACCCGTCATCTTCGCCGGACTCGCTGGTGTCCTAACTCCTAACCAGGCTGAGACGCCCGTGGGTGGCGGCCCGTTGCGAACGAGAGCCAGCGGGGTTGACTAATCGGCATTGCGTCTAGTGACTGTAACACAGCACTAGTATCTAGTTAGTTCATAGTAGTCACTGCTAAGAAAACCAGACAAGGCTGTGTTTCAAGTTCCAACTCTCGTGCATGATGTTGGGGAAGGGAGCACTTGCCGAGGAAGAGACTCCATCCAGAGTTATGACGCTTGGAGTGAAATTTAACACCCATACCAAGCGATTGTTGGCCTTCCATCAGGTGTTTTAAATTAATAGAGACTGACTCGGTCTTGCTTGCAGATCAGTGTGGGAAGTCGTGGAAGATGCCGTTTCGCCCTCACCGAACACAACAAAGAACCCCCTGTCCAGGATGCAAACAATGCAACATGGTGGGATCGGCCACGCCACAGGGACAACTTCGGTAAGACACTCGACTTACTATCTACACCTCAAACACCCGATCGACAAGGCGTCTTCCCTTATCTTATCGCTGTGAATGTTGAGGCAGACCTTTTTGAAAAGAAGAACTTGCCCTCTATGGCGAATGAAAAAACATATTTTGGTGTTTTTGACCTTTGACTGTGTTGATCACTGCCTGCTGATCTTTCGCTGCCTTTTATTCTGAACCTACGCTGGTCAAATCATGCAGGCAGGTTGAATTCACGTAGGTTGAATCTATACAGATTGAATTTATGCAGATTAAATCTACACAGGTTGAATCTAGACAGACATATTAAATTTATGTAGGTCAAATCTACACAGGCAAGTTAAATTTATGCAGATCGAATCTACATAGATTGAGTTTATGCAGGTTGAATTCATGCAGGTTGAATTCTTACAGATTGAATTTACGCAGAGCGAATTTACAAGGTCGAATCTACACATATTGTATGCACACAGTGACTGGGTAAATAACTTTAGTATTTCATTGTGAATAAATAGATTATCTAATTTCTACCATTTCATAAATATACAAGCTACTACCCGTGTAGATTCAACTTCCCTATGGCGGCTACCCAATGATCTCGCGACCATCGTCAGCTGGTGGGCATCGGGAAGGCTTGCCCCTTGGCTGGACACTCACCACTGAGAACTGATATTCCATATTACTGATAGGCACGACTACTCCACCCAGGATCTAGATCCTGCGGGGTGGAGACGAACCGGTTCCTGGCCTCTCCGATCCAGATCCCACTGGTCGCAGGGTTTCACCTTGCCCACCGGTTCACCTCCAGCTGAACTTCCAACTACCTTGGCCAGGAAAACGTTTGGGTCCGTCGAACTTTACCGCAAACCCACCCAGAGAAATGAAATGAATTCACAGCTGCATCTTCCACGTGGTTGGTCCTCCCCCACGCCGATATTTCAGCCGGTGGTGGGCCAGGAAAACGGCCTGGAGTTCGCTCCTAATAAATCCTATGCCACCCTCCCTGGCTCTCGCTGCTTCCTGCGCTCCTTCCTGCGCTCCTTCCTGCGCTCATTTCATTCCTCCCATTACGGCTGTCCGACTTCATGGCTGCGCACGAGGCCGTCTTCGCTGTCTCGGCCCAGGCCACCCAGCTGGGCAATCGCATCTCCGTGCACATGCTGGACTACCTGAGCACGGTCCAAAACTTGCCTGACGGCTTTCGGGAGCTGTCACAGACGTTCCTTGACACCTGTCGCGCCCTCTGGGCGATCGACGCTGGTCTTACTGATTCCACCGTCGCAAACCGCGCCCTGCCCGAGGTCATCGTGGAGGAGGTGGCCAAAAAATTCGTGGCCGCCTATCGTGACTTCCAGCATCTCGACAAGCTCGTCACCAAATTGATTCAGTATGAGCATCGTGGCACCCTGGGAAAGCTTCAGCGAGGCTGGCATCGCCCCACTCACGAGCTCGCTCGCATTCGCGAGTCGCTCCAGAAGACGACCGAAACCCTCCAGATCAGTGTCCTAGCATTTCACTGGTCGCTGGGTGAATCGCCCCTTCTGGCTGAGTCGGTGGGTATTGGGTACGCAGGACTCGCCGCGGCGCTCGATCGCATGGCCAAAGGTCGGTCGGTAATGGGCATCAACAAGACCAAGGCCCTGGAGCGTGGAAACAAGCAGATGGAGCCTTCATTGTCATCATCGTCCTCCGTCCCTTCTGTGCCGCCCAAAGAATCGCTGCCACCCATCCCGGTGAGCATTAGCAACCCACCTCAACTCACCCCCGACGACAACCTTTCCTCCGTTCTCTCCCTCGACTCCCTCCTTCTGTCCAGCCCCCACGACCGCGATCACCCGCCGTCTCCCCCTCTCGAGCCTGTTCCTCGATTTCCGCCCCGAATGGACAGCCAGCAAACCCGGACAAGCTCGCGCGCCTCTGGGGCAGAAACGTTGACGGCACCGGAAAGCGACATCCAGGGGCCCATCACCCTCACGCATCACCGCTCCGCTGACCCCCTCCCCAGGGCGCCCCATCGCACCCCTAGCCGGACAAGCGCGGCTAGTGCCACGCAACTACGGAGCGCCCTCGCCTCCGCTGTCCGGAATCGGAACCACAAGTTGTTAGAACAGCTGCTGGATAGTGGAGTGTCCCCTGACTTAGGAGAGCATATCCATCCGCTCAACGAGGCCGTACACCAGCACGACTTTGAGGGGATGCGACTGCTACTTTCATTTGGCGCGAAAGCGAACGCACCGGACCGAGAGGGCAAGACGCCATTGCTCACCGCGGTGGAAGAGTCGTTTGATGACGGGGCAACCTTGCTGCTGAAGTATCGTGCCGATGCCAATTATATTGCAGAACCGGGGCAGGACTCCCCGCTGAGCCGAGCGGTTGCGAACGGCAAGATCAACATGGTGCAACAATTGCTTGCGCATGGAGGCAATCCGGACCATGAGACTCCGAATGGCAGCACAGTGCTGATTGAGCTCATTCGTCAGCGTGCGCCACCACAGCTCGTGACTCTTGTCTTAGGATCCGGCTGTGACCCGAACCGCAAGGGCCGGCAAGGCAACACGGCGCTTTTGGAGGCAGTCAAAAGCGACCAGGTGAATGTTGTGACGGCACTGCTGGAGCACGGGGCCAACCCGAACCTGCCTGGGCCGGAGCATGTTCTGTGGTCAGCTATCTACCGTCCGCGGTGTTTGCCGGTGCTGCTCAGTCGCGGCGCCGACATTCACAAGACCCCGGGACTCATGGAACAGGCGACTAGCATCAATAACATTGAAGCGGTGCGCATCCTTCTGCAAGTGGGTGTCGACCCCAACGCTAAGAAGGATGGTATCTATACGCCACTCTGCTCGGCCATTCGCGACGATCGCGCCGACATTGTCACCCTGCTGTTGGCCCACGGTGCGGACGCCAATGTCATGGCCTCGGAGTATCCAGCCTGGAAGTGCATCACTCACAATCGGCCACATTTTCTCCCGGCGTTGCTGGCCGCCGGGGCCGACCTCCACCAACCACCAGGCATCGTCGAGATGGCTGTGCAAGTCAATAATCCGGAGGCTTTACAGTGGCTGGTCGAGCAGGGAGGTGCGAACGTCAACGACCGCGACGCCCAGGGCCATACCGCTTTAACGACCGCCATCCGCGAAGACCGTCCCGAGATGCTGAGCTACCTTCTAGCCCATGGGGCTGATCCCAACCAACGTGGGCAGGATTGGCCGGTATGTATGGCCGTAAAGTCGCCCGCCCTGCTCCAGCTACTGCTTCCAGAGGTCACCAACCTGTCCGCTCACAAGGGTGTCATGGAGATGGCGGTGCTGGCTAATCAGCTGGAGAGCATCAAGCTGCTACTCGCTGCTGGCGCGAGTGTCGAATATAAGAACGGTGGCGTTTTCTCACCGCTGACCACGGCGTTACGGGAGCGCCATGTCGACATTGTGCATTTCCTTCTGGAGGAAGGAGGCGCTGATCCTAATGCTCCCGGTGAACACCTGCCTCTTGTCAAAGCAATCCGCCGGTGCCCCAACGGCGATTTTTCGATGATCGAACTCCTTCTCAAACAGGGCGCCGACCCCAACAAGACCTACCGGGACTGGAATGCGATTATGCAGGCCATTGAGTACCGGGATTTCCCGCTGTTGCGCCTGTTGGTCGAGAAGGGTGGCGGAGCCGATCTCACAGAGCATGATGAGAGCGGCCAGACGGTCTTGGAGATGGCCGATGCCTCCGGCTGGTCCAAGGCCACTCAGTTCCTCCTTGACCATGCGCGCCCTTGAATTATCTCCCCTTCTTTTGAATTATCTCATATATCCCATGTACTAACCACGCTGCCACGTTTGACTAGACGTCATTTTCCTTATGTCATACCCAATATGTTTGTGTATTTTTGTTCGCGCAAACTTGCGTTCTGTTTCGTTTCCATGTCGGTTCCCCTGAGATACTCTTAGTATAATTATAATTTATGACACACTTCCAAGCATTCGCATCTACTGTATGTTACTAACTGTCTACCACATATGATGTGCTTTTGCTGCGTATCAGTCCGTGATAACCATCGAAGGACGTAGAATAGTGAGACAAGTGTGCTTTCGATGACTGGTTTTCTGACCTCACAGGATGTCGTACCGAACCCTTGAGCCATATATTCATCTCGTGCCACTCGAGCAACTCGAGCAACAATCAGATTGCCCCATCAATGACGGCTGAGCTTTGGTACAGCCCCGACTATCTCGGGAGCCACAGTTGAGAATGGTTTTCCTACCGTGTGGGCTGGAGGTCGACCGGATGGATCAACGGGCGGCGGCAGACGAATGGGAGGCCCAGCCGGAGCCCGACCCAGTCAAGTTAGTGCAGGCCGCAGCTCCCCACTTAGTACCTGGGTTATCCTCATTCCAGGAGGCGGTAGGTACTGTTGATTTTTTCTGCCAGCCTCCGATTTTTTTTTTTTTTTTTTCGGTCGCCTTATCAGAGCTGGTCCCCAGCAGCAAAATTTCTTCTTCCCTTCATTCCTGTCCTACTTTCCCCTTCACCTCTCCTCCATCAATTCCATCCCCCTTTCTTACTTGGTTGTATTCAACTAAGTATTCTTCTATTATATCTTGCAAGTTGCACTTCAACAGACATCCTGTGGGCTTTTTACCTTGAGGGCTGTGGGCTGTAGCATACTACTATTCTGTGGGATCTGTGGGATACTCTCGTGGGTTTCATATCATAGACGGTAGCATATTTCCCTGTCGTCTCGTGTGGGCTTGAACACTGTCGTTGTGGGTTACCTGTGGGTATTCGTCTATTCTCATTACAAATCGGGTGATTGTGGGATTATAAGATCTGCCGCACATTCCAAGCTTTTCTTTGTACCAACCACTTAGTTTGCAGTTTACTTGGTTGGTCCCTCCTTTCCCTTACTGATACCTTCTTACCTTGATGGTTATTTTGACTAACATATTATACTTCCTTCCGTCAGAACAAAATGTCGAAGACCAAGTCCGTTTCCAAGAAGGGCTCTGAGAAGCCGGTTGACAAGGCCCTGAGCAAGGTCAAGGATGCCGGTGTGAGCAAGGCTTCCCAGTCCCCCAAGGCCAAGAGCAAGCAGATTGCTCGTGAGGTCGCCTCCAAGGAGAAGAAGGACAAGAAGAAGAAGAAGGCTCCTACCCCTAGCTCGTCCGAGTCCGAGTCCGACAGCGATGAGGAGATGGACTCTGACTCCAGCTCCAGCAGCGAGAGTGAGGATGAGAAGCCCGCCAAGAAGGCTGAGAAGAAGGGCAAGAAGGAGGAGACCTCTTCCGAGTCCGAGTCTGAGTCCGGCTCTGACAGCGATGAGGAGATGAACGATGCCTCCAGCAGCGAGAGCGAGAGCGAGGAGGAGAAGCCTGCCAAGAAGGCCAAGGCTGAGCCCAAGAAGGCCGCTAAGAAGGAGTCCAGCGACTCTGAGTCTTCTGAGTCCGAGTCCGAGTCTGAGGAGGAGAAGTCCGTTAAGAAGGAGACCAAGAAGGCCGAGTCTTCTTCCGACTCTGAGTCTGAGTCTGACTCCGAGTCTGAGGAGGAGGCCCCCAAGAAGGCCGCCAAGGAGTCCAGCGAGAGCTCTGACTCTGACTCCGACTCTGACTCCGAGAGCGAGGAGGAGACCAAGGAGAAGAAGGCTGAGAAGGTATGCTTTGACTATCATCGATCAATAACCTGATGCTAATTGTCCCAGGAATCTTCCGACTCTGACTCTTCCGACTCTGACTCCGACTCTGACTCCGACTCTGAGGAGAGCGAGGAGCCCAAGAACTCCAAGAAGCGCAAGGCTGAGGATGAGTCTTCCGCCACCCCCAAGAAGTCCAAGACCGAGGAGCCCGCTGCCGGTGCTTCCGCCAACCTCTTCGTCGGCAACCTGTCCTGGAACGTCGATGAGGCCTGGCTCACCCAGGAGTTCGAGGGCTTCGGTGAGCTCACTGGTGTGCGTATCATGACTGAGCGTGACACTGGCCGCTCTCGCGGGTGAGTTTTGTCTTCCTACACGATTTGTTGATCCATATTGACCTCTCTAGATTCGGTTACGTTGAGTTCGCCAACGCCGTCGATGCCGCCAAGGCCTTCGAGGGTAAGAAGGACACCGAGATTGATGGACGTACCATCAACCTCGACTACGCCACTGGCCGCCCCGCCAACCGTGACCAGCAGGGTGGTGGCTTCAAGGACCGTGCCAACAACCGTGCTCGTTCCTTCGGTGACCAGGCCAGCCCCGAGAGTGACACCCTCTTCGTCGGCAACATTGCCTTCGGTGCCAACGAGGACTCTCTCCACGAGCTGTTCGGTGCTAAGGGAAGCATTCTCGGCATCCGTCTCCCCACCGACCCCGAGTCGGGCCGCCCCAAGGGTTTCGGTTACGTCCAGTACTCGTCTGTTGACGAGGCCCGTGCCGCCTACAGCGAGCTCAACGGCGCTGAGCTGGAGGGCCGCCCCGTTCGTCTGGACTTCAGCACTCCCCGTGCCAACAACGGCGGTGGTGACCGTGGTGGTCGCGGCCGTGGTGGCTTCGGTGGTCGTGGACGCGGTGGTGACCGTGGTGGCCGTGGCCGTGGTGGCTTCGGTGGCCGCGGTGGCGGTGCCCCCAACAAGGCCCGTGGTGGTATCCCCGAGTACAAGGGCACCAAGGTTACCTTCTAAGTGGGCGTGTAAGATTACTAGACTGTTGCTTTTATGACACGTTTTGGGCATGGGTTTTTTGGATTGGGGTTGTGTTATTATTAACTGTTTCTGGTACCCCAAAAGTTCTTTGCATTATCTAGGTAGCACCAATTAATGAATGGCTATGACCAGAGTGAGATGATTTCGTGCAGAATGTGGATGATGATGATTCAATGGATGCTTGGCGGGCTGGGGGATTCTTTGTTGGTGCTCGTGGCACGGATCGGCCTGATCTGCTGCGGGTGCAGACTGCCTGCCTATCAGCGGTGGCATCCGGCGGGAACAAGTCACCTGTCGGATGATGGACCAGCCCTCGTGCTCCCCCTTCCTTTCTTCGGCGCCATTCCCTCTGCTGCTCTTATTGTTGTGCTGGTCCGGGTTTCTTCTGGATTCTCCTGTTTCTCTGGCCAGAGCAACACTTGTTCTTCCAGGTTACGTTGGGGGATCTTGGTGGAACTTGCCCCTCGAGTTGTCTTGAAACTCTGCTTGTTCCCAGGACTGATAAGATAATCAGCACCTGATCCAACCCAATAATCCCCTCCCTCCACTTGACTTGCAGTATACAAACCCCGCCCTTCCGCCCTTCTTCTGGCTGACCGCTCTGCGCCTCGCTGGACGGTCCGCCTGGAATCCCCGTGGCCTGAGCATTGACTGACTCGCCTGGCTGCTTTGCTTTTCTATTTCTCCTCCACTTTCCCTCGTCTCCATCGCTTCCTCTCCTATTCATCTCTTCATCCATCATGCAACCCACCCACTATGACCTCCTGGGTCAGGTGCACGACGACCCTCGCGCGGTCGGGCGACTGACGCGAGACGCCCATCAGCCGCCGCGCGATGCTTCCACTCTTCAGCAGTCCCGGTCGCCTGCTGCTGCTGCGCCCACGAGATCCGAAGGTGCGTCATCCTGGTTTCTCCAGATATCTGCCCTACGCCTGCAGTTCGATCCGATCTGCATGCACTCCAGTTCCCCTTGAAATCCTCGCTTGTATCACCATGTACTCACTACGTTATTATATAGATTCCTGGATCGAGGTCTCCTCCCAGCCCTCGTCTTCCTCTCTGTCTTCTGCTAGTACCAACGACGATATCATTACCACGGGCCTCCGCGTCCAGCAGCACGAAGCCGATCAGTACCATCGTAGCCGACGACGCCGTCTGCAACGGTTGGCTGCAGTCACCACCGCCCAGGCCGACTACTCGTCCCGCGAACAAAGCAGTAGTCAGGATGAATACGAGGAGAGCGAGAGCGAGTCAGACCACATTCTCAGCAGTTCGAACGAGGACATGGTCCGTCAACCCATGGGAACCCCTTTCTTGCCGGGGCCGGGTCCATCTTCATCTCCCTCGGACGATGCGTCGAGCGACGAGGATGATGACGACAACTCGACTGCGTTAGGAATGCGCAGGAACTCGGCTCCCTTTGTCCCTCAACCCAACGTCTTCTCCCATCCACCTGCATCCCAGAACCCCTCCTGGACCAGGCCAACTGATAGACACCGTCCTCAGCCCAGTGAGGTGTCCAACTCCAGCCGTCGGACGGCGATCCGACGCAACTCTCAAGCTAGCATACGCTCTGCCCGGCGATCTTCCCAACAACACAGTCCTTTCAACATGATCTCGCCATCACACCATGCCGATCACGATGCCGCGCTGCGTGCCAGTCTGTCCACATTGCTCTCCTGTGCCGCTGCAGCTCGAGGTCTGCCAAAATCTGATCCTCCACCATCGCAGCCCGGTCCATCACGGGGCCACCCAGCGTCTTTCCGACTAGTATCCGAGTCGGTTGCAATGGGAGAGGAAGTGTGCGAGGAAGTAGGGACGGTGGAAACGAACCCCACCCGTGCCCCGCGGCTGGGACCCACTCCAGCATACTCGCCGCGCACCGTCCCCTCGGCACCTCGAGCCAAGCGGCGGTCCAGTCCTTCCAAAGAACGCAGCCACTCGTCCGCAAAGAAGACCCGTCGCGCCAGCATTGCGGACGCTGCCACAAGTCCTACCGTCATGACCTGGGTGATCAGCGCTGGAGTCGTCGTCTTGTTTTCAGCCATCAGCTTCTCCGCCGGATACGTACTGGGCCGTGAAGTCGGCCGCCTGGAGGCTAACGGTACAGGCATCGGATCCGTGATGGGCGACAGCGGCGTCCCGGGCAGAGCCACAGCGGGTTGCGGTCAAGAAGCGGTCCAGGGCGGACTGAAGCGACTTCGCTGGGGATCAGGGCCCTCGGGATCGGGCATCATTGCATGACTGACATATACTTGCATCTAGCTGTTTACATGTGCTGCTGACCATAATGGTGAATGGGATATATGTATGTCAGTTGGCAGTGCCTTCGTTTGACGTTTCTTATGTCTCCTCTCTTGAAGACGGATTGCATGCACAGCCAGCTGTCCGTCTGATCTGAATCCTGGATCATTTGTAAAGCCCTGGATGTGACGCGGGGAAAAGTAGGTAGCCTCGGGGATGTTTATCTGATCGGGAATGGCGTTTGGTTTTGTTTAGTTTCAGTTGGTGTTATACCCCTTGGTAGCTAGTAATGATATAATATGATATTCACATACTCTTGTCAACATCCCCAAACCAAAATAATCTACCCTACCCCATCGTACAATAACAATGGCAAACAGCGCCTACAATGACCGACAAACATTCCACCCACCATCCAAAACCCCCTCCCTCCCTGCACTTCTGCGCTTCCACCCTTCTCGAACTCCATGCATTTCGTGAAGCCTGTCATCGTCCAATCTAGCGGAGGAAGCAGCCCAGCCCCTCCTTTGAAACCAGCCAGCCAGATTGCTATAGAACTCGGCATGTTTATATATGCCTTACCTCGCTCCACCTCGACCCGGACAATCCTGCCTTCCGAGACCGATCGACCGATGGATCGATCATACTTTCTCTGTAGAAGAAAGCGGGTAACATCCCTCCTCCACTCCACTCCACTCCACATGATGTCCCAAATCCGTGACACCAACAACCACCACCATCACAAATACCGTGAATAGTAAATAGGTGCTTGCAGGGCATAATCTTCACGACATCCATTTTCCAGACACATGCACTGAACAGACAGATACATCGGAAACGTATTCCCCGATATCGCAACACACAACACCCATACCTCCATCTCCACGGATTGCATATAGATAGACGATAGATGCAGACTTGTATGCGAAGTTTAAAATAAGAAGCGGATTGGATAGATGGAAGCAGAGCAGAATAGTATATGAAAGGGTAGGGCTGTGTTCGATATCTTCCTCTCAGTCATCTGTAGTGTATATAGGTAAACCGTGATGGTAACCGTGATGGTAACCGTGATGGTAACCGTGATGGTAACCGTGATGGTAACCGTGATGGTAACCGTGGTGGTAACCGTGGTGGTAACCGTGATGGTAACCGTGATGGTTGCAGCGATGGGATCCGTTGATGCAGTGGATTCATAGGGATGGGAAGGAATATAGGGTAGAGTAGAGAAGGTGGGTCATTCCCCATGTGTGCCTCCATTTGCATACAACTTATCTGGATAGGTGCTGAGTTGTATCTGGGGGGCATGATAAAATCAAAGGAGTAAATTGAGGAGGGTAGGTTTAGCCCCCAGAGACATTTCCACGACCTGCTGTATTTGTGGTGTATGTAGCCGATAGATAGTTCTCTGATGGTTGCAGAGACGAGATCCATCGGCAGGGTAATCGGGGCAGATTCCCTGAAACCAGGAGCAAAACCCTTTTGGGTCACACGTTTCTTCTACAACCATTTGTGGTCTATGTAGACTGGCAGGCAAGTACCCTGATGGTTGCAGCGATGGGACCCGTTGATGGATTCGTAATGGCAAGGAGCAGAGCAGACAGATCATCCCCCTATGTCACAAGCCACAACCCCCCACCCTGCCTCGTTTCCATCGGACAGACGCTGAGGCATATCCGAAAGTCATGATGGAGTAGAATAAGGAGGTGAAGATAAGGAAGGGTTGGTTAGGTTTGTGACATGCACGTTCACCACCCGGTTACTGTGAGTTGTGTAAACGTGATGTAGAAACCAGACCAGATTAGGCCGAATCCCATCGTGTACTCTGGTGATGTAAAGTGCAGCCCGTGATGAAACAGGGCGGTTCATTTCCAGATGAGCAACCGCGGTGAAGTGGTTGGTCGCAAGTTGTATCGCATAGGCTGAGTGGAAACCCACCCACTCGCCCCGGACTATGACATTCATGTCTGGGTTGTGTTCGGATAGAAATTAATTGGCTTAGAAGGATGCTTGATCGGTTTGGACTGAGGTAGTAACAAGGCCCGAAGGATACATCTGGCACCGGGTAAAGCGTACACCTAGGATTGGTAGTGAAATTGCTGAGAGGACGGACGGAGCGTGTAACTCGGTTCAGGTTTAACATTTTAAACCAGGCACAGCACAGACAACAGTTGATGACTGCTTGGCTGTGGTCCAGTTTTGATTAGAGATGATTCACCAAAGTTGGGGTATATAGATGTCTGGTAGCGGGTTTACCGGTTCACGAGTTGGTGCGTGGTTTCTGAGGGGATGGCGAGGAGGTATTATTTCGACCGTCATGGACCGTAGCAACAATCATTGTTGGTAGTATCGGTTTGGTTCCATTTTGATAAAATGTGAATGGACAGTACCGGATCCAGCCACCCTGTCAAAGTCCAGTTCGATCGCTAGATTGACAGGGCTTGTTGTTTACAAGGTACTGGAATCAGTGGTTTTATCCGAGTATGTAGGTAGGTATAGGCATGTAGTTTTAAACCGCAGTGAGGGAGTTGCTCGCATTGCTAACCGGTTGGTGGGATCGTAGAAGAAGGGTTCGAGTTTAAGTGCTAGCTCTGGCCCACAGTAAAGTAAGAGTCCAGGTGAAGACAATAGAGGGATGCCGATAATGGCTGTCAGGAGTGACAGAAGAGCGGTAGCGCACGGAGTCAGCTTCGAGGAGATGTCAATGATGATGATAAGAGGAACAGTTGATTGAGGGAACATTGTGCCATGGCCGGTGTTGTCTTTCTTAAGAATTTGTTCCGGGGTATCGCATAGTCAGAGGGAATCACTGGTTGTGAGCTGACGATCCAGTAGATTGGATAAGATCGAATTCAATAGGGCCATTGTGTGGAACGCGCTTGTCCCGCGTCTGCCACCGTCTCTCGAGACGTGCTTCTACCGGTTGGCTTGGTAGATGTATAAGTAGGCTCGGCAGCCCCTCGCATCGCATCGCATTGCATATGGTCAGACAGTGAGTTCCGCATCGTCAACACAATATCCCAAATTAGGTATTGCCGTGTAGCCCTGGACGCGTTCCATGGCCATCCTCATCCCGCCTTCATAGCAGTGTGGTCTGTGCTGTGAGCGGCGCACTGCACAGTATCGAAATGGAAACTTGACCCTGATAAGGAAATTCAGGAAAGGGTTGACGAAGAATGGGATAAAGTGGGCGAGAAAAAATCTCCAGTTGTCCTTCGTCCAACCATCTCCACTATAGAGATGGCCTCTATCCTGCTCCAAAGGGACTTGCATGTCCTCCCGGTAATAGATGGGTTCATCCATTGACTTTGTGCTTCACATGTAAGCCGATTGATGAACAGGCTGTGATACAACAAGCAACAGAACGTTTCCTCCGCCACACTGCCACGGCACATGACAGGTGATCCGGTCTTGCTACAGTGATTAGAAATGGATGTGACTGGAAGTCCGTTTCGTAGAGGCCGTCATAAATCTTGCTTAGATAGGGTGGCTTCGTCCGTCCATCTGTAGCTGGGTTGAAGTGCTTGACTTGTAGGTTGAGGAACAGGCTTGAATTATCCTTTAAGGCCACCAAGATGATGTATGGCAGGGTAGCCCGGCTAATGTATATAAAGATGTGACTGTTTCGATGACCTGAGTGAAGAGTAGTACCAGTAAAGTAGGTCCCATCTAAGCTCAAAGTTGGACAGCGACAAATTATACTTGCTAATGCGCGTCCTCATCAAAGCTAGCTAACTAGATGGTGAGTGTTTTCCGACCAGCCCGCAGGCAATGTGAACCAGTATTTCATGATCTGCCTTTGATGGCTCCTGTGGACCTCGATAGTCACCTAGTCAGATCAGCTGGAGTGTAGTCTGGCAGATATGTTCCGTTGCTTGGATTGAACTGTGCATATGCATGGGTATGGGTGTTTTGTTGTTGCCGTCATTGTTTCCATTCTCGCATAAAACTATGCAGACATGGACAGCGTCCTTCAGGCACGGAGTCGTATCGCGTATCTTCACGACCTTGAGATGGTCCCGATTCTGACATCTTATCTTCGAGACGAGATCCTCCCGAACTTTGCACATGGCGTTGTGCAGGTTCACAGGCGTCTCAGTGTGCCTTACGGTTTCGCAATGTAAACTGTTTATGAAAGTGCACAAGCACGCAAGACTAGGGCACGCGCGTGATCCGGATGCTTAGTGGGTTAGGAGAGGCCCTTTGTTGGGTCTGTATCAGCTGTGTCCTCTGATCCATGTATATATGTGATGGCCTGGTTGCTTTGCATTTATCCCCCTGATTGTTCGGCCAGCTCAATTGTTTCGGTGATCTACTGTCAGGTCTTGCTCCAAAGTCGAGAGTTTGCTGAGGATGTTCTCGTTTCTGGCGGTCGTAGTATAGCTCCAGGTGTTCGGCAATATCCACAGGTGCTTTCCAGCACCTTCAAGAAGTGGCTTTTGCTCCGGACTGAAGAGTCAATATAGACCCTACCCAGTCTCAATCTCATCGACTGCGCTTCTGGCTAGCCCGCAGTTTTGATGGTATTGAGTCACCTGGAAAGAACATCCGTTGTCTTCCATGGAGGCTTAGACGTTCGATGGTGATTCTCTTGTTTGGTTTCGCGGGACTGACCAAATGGTTCATAGACATGGGGTTTCTAATGCGGCCTGGGGATGAGGTAGAGGGACGGGCTGGTTGTAATGCTGGTGGAAGCACCCAAAACACAACCGTGAGCTCCGTTGAGTCGGCTGATACTACCCTAAGGCTAATGCCTTCTTTGTAGGGGCGATACAGTCTATCTCCGGGATTGTGAAGAGGTGTTTGTCCAAGCTCGACTGAGCGGTTGTTTCGGCAGATTGCTTTGCAGCCGCGCTCCGAGTACCACTCTTGGGTTCTTTGAACGGATGGGCGAATCGGAGCTGGCACAGTCACTCCATCCAATGTCATTCCAGTCCCTCGGGGTGGTAGGCCCAATTCCTGATTTGGGGGATACATTGACACTTGCGAGCTAGCTTGTTGGTCCGTACAGCGCCATGACTGTAGATGAACTGATTTTCCGTTTTCGTTGGTGTTGGGGACTGCATGTAGGCCACACGCTCTTCGTCTGGAATCAGTGAGCATCAACAGCTTCCCCTTATGTACGGTGTATCTTCATGAGATTATTAGCCGAGAATCTCTGATATAAGATGATTGGTCACTACTCACCTGCGCTTTTTGCTTGATCGATTTCCAGATGAAACACCTTTCTTGCGCTAGAGTCGATCACGATTCCTTCCCGAGTCCAGGCTGCTCGGTGTCTAGACCTTATCGCAAAGATCATGCTCGAAAGTCAATGTGATCCATCTAGAAAGAGTCCGTCTCGCTCTCATCACCGTATACCTAAACAACTCGTTCAGGAGGTCATGTGGACCAAGTAGACGGAAATGATAATGTCCCGAAGCGCAATTCCGAGCTTGAAATACGGAATTCATCACTGGAATCACGCCTACACTAGAACATCAGCTTGAAATCATGAACAGGCCGGTTAGGAGACCCTCGATTCGCTCCTTCGTCCCTCGATCCAAATTTTTCGCGGAGTCCATGCGGAGGGTTAAGGATGCCTGCTTCGGGTCCACATCATCAATAGGGGTGTATCTTCCTGTCCCTGGAATGGATGCATGTCCCGAGAGTAGTGACTTTCCACTCGCCTCAAGTACGTTGTCGAATATGGGCTCAACCCGCGAATACGGCCCCTTGTTCAAAACTGAGCCGGTTGAACTTCCCCTGTGCCAATTTCTACAGTCTCCCACACTACTTGGACTGTGTGTACGATAGCAGGTTGTTGTGACGACGGTTTGGCTGAGTACGAGTTCGCATGACATATCGACATGCAGACTTGCGCGTGCCGGCATTAGGGCGCGAGAGACGTAGGTGTATGATAGATCCCAGTGTGTTAATTTATGACGAAATAGTCAGGTTTAGAGGCCAAGCTGACTGGGTCGAGAACGAGTTCGAAAGCTCCTCCATTCCTTCTGCTCGGGTGGTTCGGCTCATCGCGTCTAATCATCCGCAGTTGACGCGGCACGGGTCTCCAGGTACACGTTTCCGTCTCTTGTCGTGAGTCCACTGTAAATGTATGATTCGCTGCCTCGCATGGCTTTTGATCATCGGTCGTTAGGAGCAGTCATTCCCCAGCCGGGTGTTGCTTGGTTCTCACCAATCAGATGAGCTTCATAGTACCGGTTCGCCCGTTTGGACCACCATGCCCATGTTAGGTATCTTGACAGGCGCTGGTGGGTAGCCGTTTTACGAGGTCCATCCACATACTTGACATTGTTTGTAGGATGATTTCCTTTCAGCGCGTTCAGGATGATGTAGAACATATTCCTTCTGCATCGAAGGGCTGTTCTGCTGTCAAAAACGGCAAGACAGCAATCATATGCACGTCTGCTTGGGCCTTTTGAACGATTGATGCAATGAAGAGACGACACATAGGTGAGAAGTGTGAAATGTCTACTTTCTCAAACCTGTGATGAAAGCTAGCTGTCAGAGGACCGTGTGTTCGAAGTGTTCTCGGATGCTCCATGGGTATGAGGATGCTAGTTCGATCTCCCATACCACGGTTAGTTTGGTGGATGGTTCAATCTCTAAAGAACTCATCTCGAAAGTCGCTGGATTGTGTCATGATCAAGGGCGTCGAGTAATGTCGTAGTCAACCACACTGTTCAATGACATAACGGGGCATGCTGAAAACTTGTCTTCATGGTTGGAGCCATGAGTAACCGAGATCATTATCCATGGCTCGGGGACCTGCTCAAGTCAGTGGGTGTGATATACAATAGGTAAGCAGCCAACTTACCACAATGCCTCATCCACACTGAACGCGCTAAACTCCTCTCAGATGCTCCCTCGTACATCGTGGCCATCAATGTTATCACTGTGGCTATGGAGAGATCAACCGATGGGCCACTCCGGTTGATGAATGTGCCTGTATCTCCACAACACGTTCCTGGCGGAGGATATGCCATTAGTATCGATAGTCCCTGGGTTACAATTAGTATAAGCAGGGAGGTATCCTTGTGATGAGAAGGATAGGAAGACGTACATTCCAATCTTGTACATGCTGAAGTGGAAGGTTTTCCGTATGATTGTTGAAAGGCCACAATATTCGGCTGCACTGCGAAGAGAGGTAAGGCCTGTACTCGATGCCCTACGCTGAGTTGTTAGCATCTTCCAGTTACGGGGCAGAGCAAACTAACATAAGCTGTGAGATTCCGAGCCTGAACAGATTGACCAGGTCGCTGTTATCCCTTACGAGGTTTTATGCGTTCTGATGCCAGGTTGTTGTATCTAGATGTTGATTGTCGGATCATTGGATCATAGGTTGGATTTGGTTGTGTGGTCGTATTTATAAAATGGGGATCAGTAGGTATGGTACCCTAGATGATGGTAGGCGTATTCCGACACTTGGATAGATGGAGCCATAACTTGTGTTCATATGACCATTTCGTAGGTTGCGTAGACGGTAGGACGTTAGGTTCGTCGAGATAGTGATGCATAATGAGAGACTTGCTGATCTTCGATAACTGTAGATGTAGAAAAGGAGAGGTATATATATCATGACGCAGGACTACATGGGCAATCATGAGTAGAAGAAGACGTGGAAACAAGAATCGTAGACAATATACAGAATTGCTTGGACGGTCGATAGCCGGCAAGGTTATAGGGAAGAGAGTGGGAACATAAGACACGTAGGGAATATATACATTATGGATGGATATAATCAAAACCTAGGAAGATATAGAGATGAGAGATGTAAGAATGAGAGATGAAAAATGAGAGATGAGATGAGAGATATGAGATGAGAGATGGGAGGTGAGAGATGGGAGATGGGGGATGGAGAGATGTGGAAGATCGAAGGAGAAGAAGGGGATGGAACCCCCTTTTATAACAGACTTTTCACATGGACCTGTGCCTTAGTGATACTTCAATAGACCCCTCTGGCCATGTTACACAATTATGGCATGAATGAGGGACGGTGACACTGTTAGGTGGCAGGGAGTGATTGGTGTAGCATCCCCTGCTGCGGCGGCCAATCGGACATTGCTCTCACCAATTCGATTGATCGGAGCAGGATGGCGACGTTGCTAAGGATTATGTGCAATTATACACCAGACTTATCTATCTTTAAATATGGTATGATTGATAAATTACTCATCACAGTACACCACCTGGCCATACTTTTCCATTCCACGCGCCGTCGATCACCGCGACAAAGCAATATCATCAATTCTCATGATCATCTTCACTGTCTCCGCAGCGAGCTCAATCGCGCTGGTGCTGACCAGAAGCGGCTGCAGGATGTTCTCCTCGGTGATGTCGTCCTTCACGCCACCGCTGCGAATGCTGACTCCGGCGTTGTGCTGGCCCTGGGCGTGGCGGTGGCGCAGGTCGGTAACCACCTTGATCGAGTTCAGACCAGCGTTCTCTGCCAGCGTGGTGGGGATGACCTCCATGGCATCGGCAAACGCCTTCCAGCAGATGGCCTCGGTGCCGGTGAGCTGACGAGCGCGCATGGCAAGGGCATGGGCGATCTCGATTTCAGGAGCACCACCACCGGCGATGAGGGCGCGCTTCTTCACCAGACAACGGATGACACAGAGCGCATCGTGAAGGGAACGCTCCGCCTCGTCCAGGATCAGGTTGTTAGCGCCACGAGCGACGATCGACACGGTCTGGTTGTTGACGGCAGCAGGGGTCTTGATGCCGGTGACCTTCACGTAGCGAGCGCCGGATTGCTGGACCTCCTCAACCAGGTCTGCGGTACCCAGCTTGTCCTCGGTGAAGGAGTCGATGTTGGCAACGGGCTTGCAACCCAGACTCTTGCACAGGAACTCAACCTCATCGCGCTCGATATCCTTAATGGCCAGGATCTTAAGACGAGACAGGAAGTGGAGGGAAAGGTCGTTGACGGCATCACGGAGGATCGACTTCTGGATGAGAAGGACATTGCACTTCGTCTTCTGGATCTTCTTGACCATGTTAAGGAGGTATTGGCGCTCTTCCTTGAGGATCTTGTCCATCTGGCGGTAGTCGTTAACCACGATCTGGTTCTCCATCTGTAGCGTCACTGTTAGCATCTCATATCTGTGCCCAAGGAGACCAGAAGCGTACATCAGGCTTAGGCGGGCTGAGCTGGAACTGAATCAGACCTATCCGGGCCTTCTCAATACGGGTCGGGCCGCCGCTGCTCTTGATAACCTGCTGGTTCAGCACCAGGCCATCAACCATCTCACTGTCTTCGATTGTTCCGCCGACCTTCTTCACTATACGGATATTCCTGAGGTCCACGTTCTCGGCGGTCTTGGGGTCGACGACCTTCAACACGGAATCCACCGCCATCGGACCGAGAAGGCTGGAGTGCTGGGACACGATTTTCGAGGAAAGGGAGGTGGAGGCCGCCTGGAGGAGGGTGGAGCGGTCCGTCAGGTTGATCGGGCGGGACATGTTGTGAAGGATTTCGACGGCAGCGGCGGCGGCTCTCTGGAAGGACTCCGAAATGACGGTGGGATGGATGCCCTTGGTGAGCAGGCGCTCCGCGGCACCGAGCAGGCTTCCAGCAATCACGACGACCGACGTGGTACCATCACCAGCCTCAACATCCTGAGCCGCACTCAGATCGACCAGCATCCTAGCCGCGGGGTGCATGACGCTCATATCCCTCAACATGGTGTTTCCATCGTTGGTCTGCGGGGGTTAGCGGGGGTGTAGGTGAACGGAGTAGTGGCATTCGTACGATAATGGTATTTCCCTTGGGCGTTTGGATCTGATACTACGTTAGCCGTCGGTTCTCGACATTGGTCGACACTATTCCTACCATCTTGTCCATACCCCTGGGTCCCAAAGACTGCATAGTGGTTAGCCCCTCATTTGTCATGTCGATATGGAGACAAGCGTACTGTTCTGATGGCATCGGCGACGGCTGTTTGGCAATTAGCATCTGGTCCCCGAGCACTCCCAGCATCGAGACATACCTCTAGCGGCCAAAATGTTGGCCGTACGCACCGCCATGGGCTTCTCCTTGTCCTGCAGTCTATCAGAAAACGGCCCACACGTATTTCGCTCCGCAAAATGGACGCACCTTGAAAGCATTGTTGCCGGCGCCCCCCTGGGAGGCTGTTGTCGCCATGATGAAGGTAACTACGATAGGACACCGTAGATGGGATGAAACCGGGGAAGATAGAGTAAGGTGGGTGGGCGAGGGGATCCAGAACCTGGAGGCGGCTCTGGGAATTTCTTCGGTGTTGCGTTTTGGGCGGTGTTGCTGCTGGGCTTGGCGGCCACTAGCGTCAACAGCTCGAACCGCATCAAGCTGAGCTCACCACATCACTCTTCCATCGTTCAAGCTCCATCTCCCCCCCACACCCTGTGCTGTCTCTGCAACGCCTGTTTTATCTCTCTCTTCTTCCACGACGAACATATAACTTATCTCTGATTTGATCCCTTCCTCCTTCCACTCCCTGCCGTATCGCCACATCCCATCCCATCACCATGCCTAGCGCCACGGGAGCGAACTGGGAGAAGTACAAGAAGAACTTCGCCGATGATGAAGAGCCAGAGAAGAAGATAACTCCCCTCACCGATGAGTAGGTTGCCCTGGGTACTTACCGACATGGACGATGGATGGTTCCCCATCTGGGATGGCTAACTCGGACCAGGGACATCCAAGTACTCAAGACCTACGGCGCCGCTCCCTACGCCACGGCATTAAAGAAGCTCGAAAAGCAGATCAAGGACAGACAAGCGAGTGTAAACGAGAAGATTGGCGTCAAGGTACTAGGTTCGTCGCGTGCGTCCCGGATTCGGCTGACTGGCTGCTTAGGAATCCGATACCGGTCTTGCGCCTCCACACCTCTGGGATGTTGCTGCGGATCGGCAACGCATGGCTGAGGAGCAACCGCTGCAGGTCGCTCGTTGCACAAAGATTATCCAAGACGAGAAGGACTCGGAGAAGAGCAAATATGTCATCAACGTTAAGCAGATCGCCAAGTTCGTCGTGAATCTAGGGGAGCGCGTGAGTCCTACGGATATCGAGGAGGGCATGAGAGTCGGGTATGCTCCTGCAGTCTTGTCGTGTCGCGTTTACTCTAACCGATGGCAGTGTCGACCGCAATAAGTACCAGATTATGCTCCCTCTCCCTCCTAAGATCGACCCCAGCGTGACGATGATGACCGTGGAGGACAAGCCCGATGTGACGTACGGTGACGTCGGAGGATGCAAGGAACAGATCGAGAAGCTGCGAGAAGTTGTTGAGATGCCATTGCTGTCACCAGAACGTTTTGTCAACCTCGGTATCGACCCGCCAAAGGGTGCGCTACTCTACGGACCCCCCGGTACCGGTAAGACGCTTTGTGCACGAGCCGTGGCCAACCGAACCGATGCCACGTTCATTCGTGTCATTGGTAGCGAGCTGGTGCAGAAGTATGTTGGTGAGGGTGCCCGGATGGTCCGCGAGCTCTTCGAGATGGCCCGAACAAAGAAGGCGTGCATTATCTTCTTCGACGAAATCGACGCGGTCGGCGGTGCTCGTTTCGACGACGGAGCGGGTGGTGATAACGAAGTTCAACGTACCATGCTGGAGTTGATTACGCAGCTGGATGGATTCGACGCCCGTGGTAACATCAAAGTCATGTTCGCCACCAACCGACCGTCCACTCTGGATCCTGCCCTGATGCGTCCGGGTCGTATCGACCGTAAGATCGAGTTCTCCCTTCCGGATGTTGAGGGCCGTGCCAACATTCTCCGGATCCACGCTAAGAGTATGTCGGTGGAGCGTGACATCCGCTGGGAGCTGATCTCTCGACTGTGCCCGAACGCTACGGGAGCGGAGCTCCGCAGTGTTGCGACAGAGGCGGGCATGTTTGCCATTCGGGCGCGGCGGAAGGTGGCCACGGAGAAGGACTTCTTGGCCGCGGTGGACAAGGTCATCAAGGGCAACCTGAAGTTCAACTCGACAGCGACGTACATGCAGTATAACTAGACGCGGTTACCCGCGGGGTAATTGCATGGCTGGATGGATGTATATGATCATACTTGACTTGGTGTTTCACAGTCTACGATGGGCCTATAATAGGATCGTTTATTATACATGACAGTAATGCTTGTCTCACGACATGGAGCTTGTAAGTCATAAGTGGATGCCTACCTACATCCGCAAGGAGGCGATCCGGCCCGGCATCGTCGGATAGGTTATCTAGCCCGGTGAATGGCATCAAAATGTCAGATCGAGGCATATCCGGGGCCCCTCTAAAGAAACCCTGAGCTGCTAGGTAAGCCGATCGACCCCAGTAAGCCCCCCATCAGCGCCGTCCCCAGGCCGGCCGTGTTGCTCCGGAATTCTTCGCGCTCAGCCGGGTTAAAAGAAGACCGGCCACGTGCCTCCACAACCGCGGCCAATGACAGGCTGCCGGCTGCCCGAGGTGATTACCACTCCGCGGGTGCTGATTGGCTCTTTCGGCCCCGGCCCTCCCCGTCGGCAAGTGAGAGGGTGATTATGTCAGCCGGTCTTCGCTCTCTTCGCCAGAACCGACGATCCAAAAGTGCAGCTCGCAAGCACCACCGGCCTTGACCTCGCCTCTCCTCTCCCCGTCCTTGTGCTGCTGGTATCCCGTTTTTACCACCTCTCCCCTCCTCCGGACTCATTAGGAAAGTGTTTCTTTCTTCTTGATCCGTCATCATGAGCTCCCTGGGCTTGCGGAGCCTAGCTCCCGCATCGAAGGTCAGTATCCGACGTCTGTCCGTGATGCCGAATTCTGGCTCGCGTTGCCCCCCTCCTCTCGACGACCTTACTAACTTGTTGTGTTCCGCAGATTTCCCGCGCTGTGGGCCAGAGACGTCTCTTCTCCTCTTCCCGCCCGGCTGGTACGCATTGGACTCACAACACTGCCCCTTCACGCCTCTGCTAACTCGTCCCTCCGCTAGCCCGGATATTTGGCAACGGCCCGCTGCGCGCCAAGCAAGCCGAAGGCTTCATCGCACAGAAGTACCCCATCATTGTAAGCTGTGACTAGCTTATTATTGCGGGAGGGTGGCGTCTAATTCAATTGCAGGACCACGAGTACGATGCCGTCGTCGTCGGTGCTGGAGGTGCCGGTCTGCGTGCCGCTTTCGGTCTGGCGGAAGCTGGCTTCAACACTGCCTGTGTTTCTAAGCTCTTTCCCACGAGATCTCACACCGTCGCCGCTCAGGGTGGTATCAACGCCGCTCTTGGCAAGTGAGTTGTCCCTGATCAATTCCTCAGAATAGCGCTAATGCTTCGACTGCAGCATGCACGAGGACGACTGGAGATGGCACATGTACGACACCGTGAAGGGTTCTGACTGGCTGGGTGACCAGGATGCCATCCACTACATGACCAGAGAAGCCCCCGCCAGTGTTCGTGAGCTGGAGGGCTACGGTTGCCCGTTCTCCCGTACCGAGGACGGTCGTATCTACCAGCGTGCTTTCGGTGGTCAGTCCAAGGAGTTCGGCAAGGGTGGCCAGGCTTACCGTTGCTGCGCCGCCGCTGACCGTACCGGCCACGCCCTTCTCCACACCCTGTACGGACAGTCTCTCCGCCACAACACCAACTACTTCATCGAATACTTCGCCCTTGACCTTCTGATGGAGAATGGCGAGTGCCGCGGTATCATCGCCTACAACCAGGAGGACGGTACCCTCCACCGTTTCAAGGCCCACCACACCGTCCTGGCCACCGGTGGATACGGACGTGCCTACTTCAGTTGCACTTCTGCCCACACCTGCACTGGTGACGGTATGGCCATGGTCGCCCGTGCCGGTCTCCCCAACCAGGATCTGGAGTTCGTCCAGTTCCACCCCACTGGTATCTACGGTGCCGGTTGCCTGATCACCGAGGGTTCCCGTGGTGAGGGTGGTTACCTGCTGAACTCCGAGGGTGAGCGTTTCATGGAGCGTTACGCCCCTACCGCCAAGGATCTGGCCTCCCGTGACGTTGTGTCTCGTTCCATGACCCTGGAAATCCGTGAGGGCCGTGGTGTCGGTCCTGAGAAGGATCACATCTACCTCCAGCTGAGCCACCTGCCCGCTGAGCTCCTGCACGAGCGTCTGCCCGGTATCTCGGAGACCGCCTCCATCTTCGCCGGTGTCGACGTCACCAAGCAGCCCATCCCCGTCCTGCCCACCGTCCACTACAACATGGGTGGTATCCCCACCAAGTACACCGGTGAGGTCCTGACCCAGGATGAGAACGGCAACGACCAGGTCGTCCCCGGTCTGTACGCTTGCGGTGAGGCCGCCTGTGTGTCCGTCCACGGTGCCAACCGCCTGGGTGCCAACTCCCTTCTGGATCTGGTTGTCTTCGGCCGTGCCGTCTCCCACCGTGTCCGTGACACCGCCAGCCCCGGCAAGCCCCACAAGGAGCTGAGCTCCGACGCTGGTGCTCAGTCGATTGCTGACCTGGACTTTGCCCGTACCGCCGATGGTCTTAAGTCGACCAACGAGATCCGCAGCGCCATGCAGAAGGCCATGCAGACGGATGTCAGCGTCTTCCGTACCCAGCAGAGTTTGGATGAGGGTGTTGAGAAGGTCACCGCCATCGACGGCCTGTACGACCAGGTCGGTACCAAGGACCGCAGCATGATCTGGAACTCGGATCTTGTTGAGACCCTGGAGCTTCGTAACCTGTTGACCTGCGCGTATGTACCCTCTGCGAGTGACGTGATATTAATGTTGGATGTTGGCTAACTGCAGTAGTTCCCAAACCGCCATTGCCGCCGCCAACCGCAAGGAGTCCCGTGGTGCCCACGCCCGCGAGGACTACCCCGAGCGTGACGACGAGAACTGGATGAAGCACACTCTCACCTGGCAGAAGAAGCCCCACGGCAAGGTCGACCTGGGCTACCGTGCCGTTGAGCACAACACCCTGGACGAGGCCGAGTGCAAGTCGGTGCCGCCCTTCAAGCGTGTCTACTAGACGCGATGCATGGTGAGGTGAAGAAAGGAGCGTGACGAAAATTCGACCGTGTTTATTTGTGTGTTCATATGTGTATATCCAGGTTTCTTTCCAGGCGATGAGTTTGGTGTACTCACGTGTATTTCTTTATAGCCGTTTATTACATCCCATACAATGGAGTTTTTTTGTGTTGTGACCATAGCTACCTGTTTTTCTGATACCGTCAAAGGATGGCCGTGTCATCGGCTGAATCTTTGGACCCGGGCCGTGGACAAAGAAAGTCACGTCACAACGGGGCTTGACACTCTGACTGATTCATGTTGATCATAGGGTTCTACAGGGTTTCCAACAAGAGAATCCGGTATTACCAGTGCGACGTATGGAAACACAGACAACTCCTCAACCGGGTTGTGCTATAAAGCCCGACGCATCAGATTCGCCACATGGGAGGATCTGGGGGCCTTGTTTGGGACGCTTGACGATTAGGGCTTCTGAGTTGCCCATTGCGGGATGGCAGACAAAGAACACGCCTGGTGGCTTCGCTCATGGATGGGTGATATTCACTGACTGATGCTTCCTTCATCCGCAGAAAAGACGACATCGGGTCCGATCCTCCCCATCTCGCTCGCTTATAATTGACATTCGTTCGATACACTCTTTTATCTCGTTACAACCAGTCCGCTAACTGCTGTCATGGCCCGGCTCTCCGTCCGCCAGAATGGGTCCTGCCCAGCTAACACGCTGTGGTATGTCTGTTTGACGGGCGGTTATACTGGCTGTTGTTCGGTCGATCCGTGTACAACGGGGGTGTGTCCGGATGGCAGCAGCAGTAGCAGCTCGACCGTCGCTGTCACAGTCACCACGAAGACTGATCCGTCCTTGACGACCTTGGTCCAAGAGCCCATCACCACCAGCATCACCACATCTTCCACATCCTCTACTCCCATATCATCCGAGACCACGATGACTACATCAGATGTGCTGAAGACGACAACCTCGAGCATACCCACGACTAGCACAACTCCAACTCCAACGACACTATCTACAATATCTTTTACGCAGTCTACCTTGACCACACAATCAACCTCCACCACTCCGATGTCCACAAACACATCCACATCCACCCCCCAACCCACATCGGTCATCACTGGCGCCCTAATAGGAGGCATCATCGGCGGCGCATTAGCCCTACTCCTCCTCATTACACTAATTCTCTGCTCCATCCACCGCTCACGAAAGCGACGAGAGAAGCAAAACTTTGCCCTGTTACGCTGGCGTAGTGGCTTTGACAGTAAACCCGAATCACCAGTCACCCATACCGGTACCATCACCACCATCCCCTCTCCCATCAGAATGAAACCACTGACCGTGACCCCAGGGAACTCCTCACCCTCACCCTCGCCCCCATCAGAACCCACCCCTAAAACACCACCACGGACAACAACCTCAACAAGGTCCCCTCCTCTCCATCCTCCTCTATCCATACAAACTCACACCCGCCAACCCCTCCCATCCAACCACTACACCTACACTTACAACCACAACCACAACCACAACCGCATGCCAAACACCACAACCTCTTCCACCATCACCATAACCCCCATCCGAACTCCCCACCCAACATCCACATCCACATCAACACCCAAATCCCTATTCCCATCCCTACCACACACCCCAAACACCCCCAACAACAAACCCCGCAAACCCCACAAAAGCAACCCCAAATCCAAACCCCTAAACCCTACCGCCGCCGAACTCAGCGACACAGGCTTCTACCGCCAACGCGCCGAACTCCCCGCCGAATCATCCCGAGAACTAATCAACATTCCCGTTAACCGACGATTGCATTACGGGATCGGGGATAGGGAAGGTCATTATCAATCTCGAACGGGGGCCTCGGATCCAATTATTACGAGAGATGGAGCGGTGTTGGCGGCTACGATTGAGAGGGTAGATGAGGATCCGTTTTTGGGTGGTGAAGTTAGTGATGGTGAGAGGATGAGAGTGAAGATGAAAGTCAAAGTCAAGAAAGAGAAAGAGAAGAACAATGACAATGGCGAGACTAAGAACAAGAACACGCAGAGTGAGAGATATTTTACGATCCCACCGACATACCACCGAGATTCAGGGCGGGGAGAGTTCCGCGGTGGGGTGGTTAATGACAACAACAACAACAACAACAACAAAGACAAGAAATAGATAGGTGATTTCATGTGTAGCATATTGATGCTTAGTTGTTTTGACTATTTTCTTAAATTTATAATATCTTACATCTATTTTTTTTACACATTAGTATTAATTTTTGGTTGTTTTTGGTTGGGGGTACTATATATATATAGTAGTAGTATCCTACCGGGGACTTCCATTAACCAGAGTCAGGATAATTTACGACCATGTTCAATCAAAGGATGATTTGAATGCCTTGATATGACTAGCAAGCTTGACTAGTTGCGACTCATCTGGATTATATGCCAAAGACACCACCACATAGTCCAACAAGAATACATCCCTAATGGATGTCGGTGTAGAAGGTACAAGATGTCCCATCTTGTTAGAATTGCCATAAACGCACCGTTGGGTATAACATGGGCATCTACCTATAACAGGTTGCAATCCAGTAGTTAGTAAATAGTAAATATACACAATGGCCTAGAATAAGTGTGAGGGTGGGTGTGCTAGCATACTCCTAAGGAGTTTTCGAGGGGTAGGATCCGTGCCTAGGTATAGGAATCTTCTGCACAAGTATCTAGTATCTATGTATCTTATAAATACTACTATATACCACCACCTATCCATAATATATAATATATCCCATAGGAAAGAATCAAACCTCCAAAACCGTCCAAGTAACCGTCCACCCCACCTCACCCCCCAACTTCTCCATGACTCTCCGACTCGCCCGATTCTCCATCGCCACATTAGCATGTACCCAGCCTTCATCTTCATCTTCGTCCTTCAATCCCCTCCTCATGACCTCTCTCCCCACGAACCCCGCCAGCCCCAACCCCCTCACTTCCTCTTCTACATGTAACGTGGCTAGACTTCCATCAGTGCCTAGGAAGGCCCATGCGACTGGCTTGTCTTCCTCATCAGGATTGAGGGGGAGGTTGCGATAAACAGCACAACTCCTCAACTTTGCCAACGTCTCTTCCGATCTAGGTATCACTGTTCTAGCCCGCACTAGACCTAGATCGCTGCGCTTTACATTTCCGGTTCCGAAGTGGAAGCCGTTCATCTCCTCGCCGGTACCCTTTGCAGATATCCTCTCCCGGGGAATTATGTACTTGACGTACGGGGCACGATCATATCGATGGACCTTGACGCCGTCCACGAACCCGGTTTGTAGGTCTGCGTCGGGATAGTTGGTTCCGGGGTTAAGGAGGGAGGAGAATATTCCCGTGTGCAGATTCCCGATTAGGAATGCCGTCGGGGGAGGGGGAGCCAGTTGGTGGTCATCTTTTGCGGGGGGAGAGGGTATGGTGGAGAGGTAGGGTGGGAGGAGGTGGGTTTTGATGTATTTTAGGAGGGAGAGGAATTGGGTGCGGAGTGGGAGGAGGAGATCCTTGGATGGGGATGTGGATTGGGAGAGGGTGGATATGGGAATGGGTATGGGTGTGGAGTTGGCTGGGGAATTTTTGGTGTTGGTGTTGGTGTTGGTATGGAATGAGGCGCGCTCCAGATTCGAATATAGCACGATTTGGGTCTCGCGGCCCGCCGACAGATCGACGTAGGCTATTAGCCAGGGGGAGACGTCATGGTCGGGGACCCGGGGACCTGGAACAGGAGCTAGTTCTGGAACTACTAGCTCTGATTCTGGAATATGGACTAGTGCAGGGCGTGTTTCACCCCCTGGCGAGGCTGAAGATGAGGCTGCGGCTGGAGCTGACGGTGACACTGATGCTGGGCCCGGGAATGTGGTTAGGATGGCGGCGGTGGGGGAGGGATGGGCGATCTCGTGTTGGATGCGACGGAGCAGGGGCAGCGAGTGAGGGAGGTGGGATTTCAGCAGGGGGAGTAGCTCCGTTTGGGTTCTAGAGGAGTGTGGTGAGGTTTGGTAGGTGGGATGGGGACACATGGTGGCTGGCTGTTTGATCGACGAGTGGATGGGACCGTAAATAGGCACCGTAAAGGAGGATTAGACGGGGAATATTGGTCCAGGAGGAGGCAGAGGATGGAGACCACGTTTATTTTCTCCCAAGAGATGGAAAGTGTCCGTGACAACGACGATCATCATTCTTAATTGACACTTGACAGTGACGGGGACTTTTAAGTGAAGGGGATGAGTCACGGATACTAACCACGTAGACTAACTCGTGAGTTATCTAATTGGACTATTTGGAGGCATGTCATATCTGGCCCGTTAGTGATAAAGAGGCTAAAAGAAGGATTTGTCATTTCCCGACACGCAGCAACAGACAAAATAAACAATAATGTCCCGTCGGGGACCCCGACTTCCCCGATGTGGCGGTGCGTCATCACCCAACCCATATTACATATTAATTCTTATTGCAATCCCGACTGACACTTCCCCGGGCTCGCTAACTGCTACCTATGCAAGTAAGGTTATTTTTGGCCCGTCTAGAAACCAACTAACCCCTTAGTGTCCTCCCTCCGTCTGCTTTAGTAGCAAACAGTGGCTGGCTGAAGCAGATTTTTCATCTGCTGGGCAGCCATGTGGGCCTGAAAGGGATTGTCCCCCCCCGTGATGGTCACTGTGCCATTGGAGGAGAAATCTCCTGGCCGGTGTCGCGTTTTTGACAGGTCCCATGCTCTTGGGTCGTCGTCATGCCCCTTTGGGTATGGGCGGAGAGTAGCTTAATTAATTCATGGGGGTTAGGCACGGTGTATTATTGGGGGTGATTTGGAATTCTCTTGGGATTTGCGTGGAGAGATCGACAGATGTCTTAGACGTGGGTAGGAGTAGTGCTGATGGTTTACTCTATTTGTCTGTGTTCCATGGTCATTGATTCTGTCGGGGTGTTTGGGTGCATAACTTGAGTATAGGTAGATATACATTGATTACTAAGTATTCCACTACATAGGCAAGAATATACGATACAGGTGAACAGATCAATGTGAACAAAGAAAATTATTATTGACATAGGAAATTCATCATCATAACTATCATCACAGGCAATCACCACGGACTCCGAGGCCCAACCATCCAATCCTCCATGGCCAACCATTCACTCCAGCGGGATTCCGCCTCGCGAAGTTCCTCCTCCGCCGGCGCCCGCAGCGGCCGGAGAAACGGCGTCTGCTGGTCCGGCAGAATGTCGTACGCCGCCTTTGTCGACGCCCAGCCGCCGCTCTTCGCCGTGAACAGATAGTTGACCCGCTCCTGCTTGACCATGCTCCCAACACCCCCGGCCCAATCCTCCCCGAAGAACGCCCCCAATACCCTGGGACTGTCATGTCCCGTCACGACCAATCGGCGGATATATGTACGTAGCGACACATGCGCCGCTGTCGACTCCACCTGTTGGCATGGAAGTCGGATGTTGAGGAATGCCGCCAGCGATTGCACCACTGGCGTGTGTTGCGCGTGCGCGACAAAGAACTGCGCGCAGGCCAGATACCGCGGGTACCAGGAATCAAGGAGGTCGGGGGAGAAGTCGGTCGCCGGCTCGGGAATATCTTCCGCGCCTGTGCGCGGAAGCCCCTGGGCCTGAAAAGGATAAGGTTCGTGGTTGGGCCAGCCCGGAGATGAGGGTGTCATGGGAACCGCTAGGGCCGGGCGCTCAGGTCTACCGGGACTGGTTTCAGTGTCCATGTTCAGACAAAGAGGTTCTGCGGAGGAGTTGGCACTTCGAACGAGGCTTTGGAGAGGAGATGGGAGATGGGGTTCTTACTTGCGTAGGCGAGCGACGCGGCGGAAAAGGGATCGTGGAATTTGATGTAGGGAGGAGAGGTTGGCCACGACTCTTTGCCGGACGGAGGCATGTTCATGTTCACGTTCATGTTCACGGCCATTGGGAAGGGACATGTGCTGATAGGAGAGATAGGCGGACGAGGATGGTTAGGGATGGACACTTGGGAATTGGAAAGAATGTGAATTCAGGTGCTGAATCACGAGGGCAGGCCCTCCTTATACTACTCCTGCCCTTCCATAGAGGGCAGTCCGACAAAATTCGGGCTTTACCTCTCGGAAATGCAAGGCCCAAGAACGGTGCGAGCAAGCTCACGAGGATCCGCATGGCAGGTGGAGCTGGCGCGCAAACTATTGCTCATGCGAGGATCTGAGGCTATCTCAAAGGCTGCTATTGACGGGGATGGGTCAAGCCACAGCATTCCAGCCACAGGTAGCGAGCCACGATCATACTATGATAGGACTAGTGGCATAGTTCGTGATGTGGCGCCAGTGGGGCCGGGTGGCTGTGCAGCCCTACTCTGGCCTAAGGCTGTAAGGCCGACCGTAGTCTTGCCCGTTCGGGTTACTGCCATGCCGAGGGCCCAATTAGCAGCCGCCTTCATAACTCTTTGTCTCTCCTCTGGTCCGGTCAAAGTCATGAAAAGGTCGTCTCCTTGACCACGACCGTGCTAGTCGGGAGTCTTGACGACTGTCGTCGAACTAGTCGCCCTCTTAGCCTTCTTAGCTTCGACTCGTTAGGGTATGGGGCTTGCAATCATGATAATGATGATGATGTACAGCCAATGGCCATTGTTCCGTGCTGCTCACTTTGAATCCCGAGAACCTGGACACCGCAATGGAGCTAACCGCAGGATTTGGAATGAGCCTGGGCCTGAGGCCGGTTCGCTTGTCCTCCCCCTCAGCTCACCAACCCATGGTTTAATCTATCGTTGATTGCGTTTAATGAACCGCCCATCGCCAATGAGCGACGCATCCTCCCGACCGGGTGAGTTTTCCAGTCCCCTATCTAGCCCCCCGACCAAGTCCTGGGCAAATCCCGCCCGCAAACCAACTAACCTTGACCACTGCGGTCTGCCAGGCGACTCCGTCACCACTCGATGGAGAATCAATAGTCGACACCGATCTGTGACAGCTCTACTGGCATCCCCGCACCTCTTCGACGCAATCATGACACATGATTACCTACGCACCCAGTCTCACACATGGTACCGGTGTGCCCCTGGCCCATGCGGGTGATGGTAACTCCCCCCCCGGGCCCCCAGAGTGGTACAAGCATGCACTCCCTCTTACCCTCATAGTCGTCGTACATATGCACCCCCCCAGGAACTGCAAACGTGGAGGAGATCCGATGCACCTGACTCCCAACATGCAAGGGGAGGGAGGCCTGCCAGCGAGCGAGCGATCGCCTATCGGACACACCGGTGGGTTCGGCGTCGATCAGTCGTGAGCAGCGAGCCAGCGAGCCAGCGACCACTGCTTGAGTGCCAGTCTGCGCCCCAGTGTCGAGTTGAGGCCGGCGTCCACGCTAGCCCTGGTCCTGCTTCAGCCGCTGCGATGAGCCTACACTGGATCCGGTTTAGAAACGACTGGCGTGCCTGACGGGTGGAGACGACCGAGCCTCGCCGAACCGCTTACTGGGCGCTCACAATTCTCGTACCTGCTTGCTGGGGCGTCCACCCTGGACCTCGCGATCTGGACAATGGACATCCATTCGCCGTAGTCTCATAGGTTGGGCCGGAGTAGCCCTGGTGGTCGTCAGACGCTAGTCGGACCCGCCCAGTTTTCCTGATCGGTGTCTCACTAGTCCGTCAGTCTTATGATATGATGAGATCATGACTGCCGCTAAATTCAAATCATTCGGGCGATTAGATCCATCACAGAGGACATGCCCGCCATGAAGAGATTAAAAAAATTAAAAATAAAATTTTTAGGCCGGCCAAGCCAGCGGTAATCCAGGGTCACCCTGCCATGCGCTGAACCCTCCCCACCCTCATGATTACGGACCGGGTGGCTGACCTCCTCCACCTCCACCACGGCATGCTTCGCTATCTCATGCTATATAACCATCAAGGTTTCTCCCGGACGGAAGACACTCGTTCCCTATCCATCGCAAAGTCTCTTCGGAACGTGTCTCATCGCATTGACCTGTGCAACTGATACAGTTGTCTCTCCACCACATTCACATTCACAATCTACATCCACACCCACATCTACTCTACCACTCTCACCATGCCTTACCGCACCAACTACGAGCCTTATGTAAGTTTCTCTGGTCACTGGTTGACAATGACTTGCTAATGCCTCTCAGACTAGCCAGAGCTTCGAAATGAAGCGAGAACTCTCCACCGAGGAAATCCTCTACCCTCTGGGATCACTCTACCCACACGTCGTGGCCCTCCAGCTTCAAACCGACGAATACCCATGGTGCAAGGCCAACAACTACGCTGGCTATGACAGCAGCTCCTCCACGGACGAGTCGGAGGATTTGTCCGCTAAACCGACACTACGCAGGAACAGTGGTATGTGCACACATCCTTTATCTCGCACCTCAGATTTCAAACCCAACCAGTTTGACCTGTCATACGGGGTGCATATGAGCCACGCTAACGTCTGCGCAGACTCCACAGCCTGCCGCTTGGTATCACGAATTCGAAGACTTCTCAGCCGCGACGAGCTGAGACGGCGCAGACAAGCCTGAACATCTTTCCTTATCACTTTCTTTTTCTTCGACGACTGTTTCTGTTATTTGCATAGCCGCTGAGCGATCCGTCTGGCACGACGGTTTTCATTTGTCTATCATCATCACCACAATCATCCTTCCAGCATGCTGGATCACTCCTTGAGACATTTCCTTATTGTTGTTGTTTCGTCGCCGGTTGCAGGGTCATTTCGGGATGGGTTTAGCGAGGAGTTTCGGGCATTGAAGCAAGGGCGAACCAGGCACGGCCGGTTTCGGTATCGATTAGTCCTGACTGACTGGGTCAGATGAGTAAATAATTTTAATGGATGAATGCATGTGAACCCCAAGACATCCGTCCATGAACCATGAGCCGATCTCTCGTAGCCTGTAGGCAAGAACGACTCCACCGACTCGGGTATGCGGTCACGACCAACGAGGGATGAACCCAATCCTCGAACCCAAACCGCGAACCCAATCTAATCAGCACGACGGCCTGATATGACCTGTGGGCAAGAGTGAAACCAACCCCTGCAGGAGAAGCCCCCGATCCCCCAATGAGGGCGCCATACCAGACCGCAAGCAGCGTGAGCATGTCCTGATCGAGGCATCCCCGCATTCCGTGTCAGATCAAGTGTATCAGACGAATCAGATGTACGGCACGAACCATCGGACGGTGTGCAGCAGCTGCAAGTGCTGAGCACCACTAGTCGCTGCGTGCCGATGATCGAGAGGCCCCTTCATTTCTGTTCTGCAGTTGGGCCATCGCAGAAAATGGACGTGGCTGTCAGAATTGAACGGCTGCTCCCGCGCTGGCCGCGATAGGGGATCATGATGTCAGTCGCTTCACGGGGTGTCGATCTGAGAGCTCACATTCACTCGCAGGTGCCATTCCTTGGAAGTGTCGTGAGGGGTTTATTGTCCTGGTCCTGGTCTTGGTCTACCTATGTTCATATCCATGATCAGGGCAGCTGGTTCGGCTCCGAGGAGTTGACCGCACCTGCGGGGAAAGCGTGTCGATCAATCAGGGGAAATCCGGAGCAGACCAGAGCGGAGGCTCCTTTCCTTGCGCTTCACCGGTGGAATCCAGCGGTCTATCCTACGTCTACTTCCAGCGCGCAGAGAACCCCGACTATCTACGCCATGCGTCTTCTTTCTCTCCTCCTTTTCTACCTTCTCCTGCCCCTGATTGCTGCCAAGTTCAGCCCCATCTGCATCCGGGTGCTGGGTGCCCTGACCAGCCGCCCCAACGACCTGTTCACCAAGTTTCAGCGCGAAATCTGCGACCAAGGTTGCCAGCCCACCGTCCCACACTGGGACCTGTGGACGCGCAACCACACCTTCCTCCCTGCGGTGCGCAGTCTCATGGAGCGCGTCGATAACCCGCGTCAGGAGGCGGCAATGGTGCGGCTGGGTGACGATGTGGCGGACGTGATCAAGCGACAGTGCGGGCCGCTGTTGCAGGGGCGCGATATCTGCGCGGATGGAGAGACATTGGCGGCGTTTGGGACGTGCTTCAAGAAGGGGTTTGTGCGAGCGGCATTGACCAACCTGGCGACGTTGCTGCCGTTGGCGTCGGAGCCGGTGTGTCGGGAGCAGTACGAGTGGTTGCAGAAGGATGAACTATGGGAGGAGATCATCCCGGGCAAGATGCGGGAATACGCGGGGGTGTGTCGGGGATTAGGGGGGATGATGCCAGTGGAAGAGATGTTTTCAGGATAGATTGATTGATTGATTAGTAGAAGGAGAAGGAATCGTCCGAGTTCCGCGGAGGCTCCGAAATGCAGCTTATCTCCGCCTCCGCCGAGTCATCTTCTCTCCGCCTTCACGTCATCTCATCTCATCTCATCTCACCTCCTTCTCTTCTCTTTGCTTCTTCGTTTCGTTGCTTTTCTTTTCCCTTCCTCCTACCTACTATCACGGCATTGACTCCCCGTGCCACCCACTCGTCCCGCCATGACCATCGCTCTTCCTGTCTCCTCGTTCTGATGGCATCGGCCACCGTCTCCCGCGCCTTGCGCTCTTTCCCCTCTCAGCTCGCCCGCCCCCGTCTTCCTCGTGCTCCCCGATTTCTTCCTCCACTTGCCCGCCATGTCCATCCTGGGCGATACCAGCCATTCGTCCCTCCCTCGCCGGTCTCCCTAGGCAAGCCCACCCCGGCCAAAACCTACGATCGCACCCGGAAATGGCTGCGTCGTTTCGTCTATCTCTCGCTAGCCACCGGGGTTGTCTACGTCCTGGACACCCAATTTTACGCCGCCTCTCTGACACGAACGGCTCGCACGTTTAGCTTGGGGCTTCTGGTGGCTATCGACTACAAGATCAACTTCCGTCCTAACCCGCCGCTGGCCAGCTCCATCAACGCCGTGCACACCCGCAATGCGGAGCGGTTGTCCGATCTGTTGCGTCACAATGGCGGCCTGTACTTGAAGATTGGCCAGGCCATCGCCATGCAATCTACCATCCTGCCACCCGAATTCCAGAAGATGTTCTCGCGCATGTTCGATGACGCCCCCCAGAATGACTGGAAGGAAATCGAGAAGGTCATTCGCGAGGACTTTGGTCGCTCCGTCGAGGAGGTCTTTGGCGTCTCCTTCACTGGCGAACCCGGCAAGGGTGTCATGGAGCGCGCTGCACGCGCCAGTGCTAGTGTCGCCCAGGTGCATTGGGCCCGTCTCCCTGACGGTCGCGAGGTCGCCATTAAGATTCAGAAACGGGAAATCGCCCAGCAACTGAAATGGGATCTCTGGGCCTTCAAGTAAGCTTCCCAATTCTCATCGCATACAGAAGCTAACAAGAGCAGAGTCGTTTCTTGGATCTACAGCCGCACCTTTGACATCCCCTTCTACAGTCTCGTTCCCTACGTGTCTGAACGCCTCTCGCTGGAGACCGATTTCGAGAATGAGGCCGACAACTCTGAAAACATGGCCCGTCTGGTCGCCGGCGAGTCCCGTCTCCGCGGCCGTGTCTACATTCCCAAAGTCTACCGCGAGCTCAGCTCGAAGCGTGTCATGACTGCTGAATGGATCGAGGGCGTCCGCCTCTGGGATAAGGACTCGATCACACGGACCTGGCGCGGTGGCTGGCGCACCGGCACCCCAGGCTGCCACGGAACACCGCTTGATCCCCGCAACGCCGAAAACCCCGTCGCCAAGTTCGCCCGCAACCCACAGCTCACCTCCAAGATCAAACCTGAGCGCGACCACTGGCGCGGCGGGTACGCCCGTGCCGGCCTCGGGCTCTCCCTCAAAGAGGTCATGACCACCATGGTGGACCTCTTCTCCGCGCAGATGTTCCTCTGGGGCCTGGTCCACTGCGACCCGCACCCAGGCAACATATTCATCCGTCGGACACCCTCCGGCCACCCGGAGCTCGTCCTCATCGACCACGGACTCTACATCCACATGGATACCGAGTTCCGCCACCAATATGCCCGCTTCTGGAAAGCCCTCCTCACCTTCGACAACACCACTCTCACCTCCGTTGTCCGCGGCTGGGGCGTCCAAAACACCGACGTCTTCGCCTCGGCAACCCTAATGCGCCCCTACCACGGCGGCGACCTCTCCACGCGCCGCTCCTTCGAGGGCCTCAGCAAGGCCGAGCGCGCTACCCGTCACTACGAAATGCAGCAAGCGGCCCGCAAAGCCATCCGCGAAGTCCTCGGCGATGAGGAGAAATGGCCCCGTCCACTGATCTTCATCGGCCGCAACCTCCGCATCGTCCAAGCCAACAACCAATTCCTCGGCTCACCCGTCAACCGCGTCAAAATCACGGGCACCTGGGCGTCCCGCGCGCTAGTCGAATCCCCTGATCTCCCAACCGGCGAAAAGCTCCGCAACTTCGCCCGCCACATGCTCTTCCGCGTGGTGCTGTTTAGCACAGACCTCTTCTTCTGGTTCACCAAGGTGCGACAGTTCCTGCACCTCGGTGGCGGAATGGAAGATACCATTGAGGCGCAGATGCAGGGCATGGCGAAGGATTTGGGAGTCGAGTTGAGTCAGAATGTGTTTGAGGGATAGTCCCATCCCTACTTCCCATCCGCTATATAAAGGGAATATACTATATGAACATATACTCTCCTCCTCTTTGGTATACTCTGTTTGATTGCTATTATATAAATCAGATAGATACCATATACACAATACAACAAACTCACTTCATTTTACTATCCATTTAGTATTTAGATCCAGTGACATAGATACTAAGAATACCAAGCACTACTTAATTATATATCTATACAATACCCCTCTATCGGGAGCTAAACATATTAACAAAGACAGACACAGACACAGACACAGACACAAACGGGTCAATTAGATCCTTGACTACTACTACTACTACTCCTACGAACACAATATGTCGAACCATACTAACAATAAATGCTAACCCAATCCCTTAAAAGAAGCTAATAAGAAAGAAACCCTGGGTATCAAAAACCACCATCCCCATGTCCAATCCTCATCCCTAATCCCATTCCCCTCCCGGCAAGATATTACCAAACCAAAGAAAAAATCGCCCGAAAAACAAAAACAAAATTGCACCCAAAAGACAACCATAGACGATAGATAACAAAATATTAAAAAAAAGACGAAACCAAATGTTCAAATCAACCGGTCTAAGACATTCATTCAATAAATCACTCATATCCCATGTATCCCACCGGTCGCCATTCCTGGCCCGGATATGCCGTACTAGACATGATGATCTCAGGTTCACTGGAGGTATCGGTGTCGGTGTCTGTGGCGGGGACGGGGAGTTCGATGGGGGAGGAGACGAGGGCGCGGGGTGGGGCTGGACGGTGGGGATGGGCGTATGGTTCTGGTTTAGTGGGAGGTGGGGTTGGATTTGTAGGGAGTTTCTCGGCGGCGGTGGTGAGTGGTTTGCGTTGGGGGATTGGTGCTGGTGGGTGGCAGATGATGGAGGCTGTGCATGTCTCGTCTTTGCAGATGGTCTTTGGGTTGGGGCCTGGTGATGGGGTTCGAGATGAATCTGGGTGAGAGGGCGGGAGTGGGAGTTCGGAGGAATTGGAGGTGGGTGGGTGATCGTGAGGTTGGGATGGAGTAGCGGATTCCGGGGAGATGGAGATGGGGATGGAATTCGCGGCGAAGGGGAGCGGTTGGGTGGGGTGCTGTGGTGCTTCTCGTCGGTGGTGGTGGTGGTGGCTGCGGTGTCTACCACCGCGGTGAATTCCAGCTGTGGCTTTTCTCTTCGGTATCCCAGCCCGTTCTCCTCATGCTCGTCGACATCACTACCTAGGCCAGGGATGCTCAATTTCCATGGTAGCTCTTGATCGCCCACCCGGCTGGTCCGTGGATTGTGCGCGAATCGCCCCAGTCCAATTGCTGGATCGGTCTCATCGGTGTTGGGGAGGATTGTCTCCTCCGGTCTGGGCGCAGATTCGTTGGGACTGCGAGAACGGAGGTGTAGGTCCTGCACGTATGTTTGGGAGGCACTTCGACCGCGCTCGGGTGAGCCATTGTGGGGAGAACGGGTCGGATGGTAAGCGGCCTTGATGCTGGGGGAGAAGTAATCTCCGGACACCGGGGAGGGGCTGGGAAGTCTCGGGGTGGAGGCATGTGGGAGGACGATGGGCTGGTTCTGGGCCTGGCGGAAGGAATCCGGGGTGGGGATGCGGGGGAGGGCCGTGAGGTTGCTGCTGGCATTGGGGGTGGCGTGGTCGAGGGAGTAGAAGCGGGCGTGGCCGGATGGTGGAATCGGATGCGACAGCGAGGCCGACTTGGAGGGCTGGATGGGGGTGTTGGGCCTCGATGCTTGTTTCGTTCCCCTCGACTTGGGACGGAGGAAGCCCTAGATGGCCCATAGGCATCAATATCTCATCCATCTCATCAACCACCCACGTGAAATGCTTACCGACAACCGAGTCCGAAGGGTCGGCTTCTGGTCGGAGGATGGACTGGGAGGCCCCAACGAGATGCGCCGAATGTCCCGGATCTTGTCGCCGTATTTCATCTTCATGGCGGCCAGGCGCGCGTGCGGGGTGGAATCCTGCGATTGGAGATGCGTTTGTCGGCTCGGGGCCAGCGAGGAGACACTGGATTTTCGCGAGTGGTCCGCGGTCGGATGACGACCGAAGAGGGCGCCCAGCGGGCCTCGGTCATAATCTTGGGCAGTCATGTCCAGGTCGGGGGTCGGGAAGGATGGGAGAGAAAGGCTGGACGAGGCGGCGGGCGCTGCAAGAAACAAACAAACCAGCGTTAGGTCGGGCGGTTGGCCGCGGAGGCAGTGAATTACTCACCGTTAAGCGCCAGGAGGAGGGGAGGATCAGCAGGAGCAGCAGCAGCAGCATCGTGCGTGCCCAATGACGAGATCGAGGGTTGGACAGACCCCCGCCGACGTTGAACAAAGACTGCAGGGGGGACTTCAGGATCAGCATCCTCGCTGCCTGCAGTCGCCGTGGCTGCATTCGCGTCCCTCGATTGGCCCGAGCCAGGGCCCCGGCTTTGTCGCTCTGGAATCGTGCCTGCAAGTGGTGCAAGTGGTGCCCCATTAATCACTACTTGGATCCGGCTCGTCCCGCTGTCACCGAGTAACTCCTGCTGCTGCTCGTGCTTGTCCGCATGACGATCCCCAGCGAGGTTACCTGAAATTCCTTCGACCACCTTAGACTGGAAAGGGGAAGACGCCGTGTCTACAGCTCCCAAATGAACCGAGGCTCGTCGCGGGGCATCCTCCGAGTCGGTGGTGGTGTCCAGCTCGGCCATGGGCCCACCACCCCCTGGCCGGGGCACTGCCTTGCGCTTCATCCTCCAAGCGCGGCGAGGATGGGTGACGGGGAGACTGCCAAAGTGGACGCTATGGCGATGGTGGCTGGGGCGACGCCTTGCAGGGACGGGGTCCAGGGCGGCTGCTTGCTGGAGCTCCGCCAGGGGCACCGGACACCGATAGCCACGTAATGCCTGGAATCCCTACATACCACCGCATTAGAGGCGATAACAGAAAGGGGAAGAAGGGTTAGGTAGACATCATTCATGTCACATTCTGAAGCACTGAGATATGTCCAATTACAGCATGGTATCAAGCAACATGATCGCACAAGCAAAGAAACGACAAACACACCGAGCGTGCTGCTCGCTGCCGGCCACCCATCGGAAAAGAGATCAAGAATCTACCTTGTCATTCCCCCCGCCCTTCAATTTACTGCGCCCCCGAGCAAAGAACCCCTTGGCTGCCTCGCCCGCGCGGCCCCCCAGGACCCCCGCCGTATGCAGCAGTTCTTTGCCGCGCTGCTCTACTTGCTGCTTGTTCATCATTGCCCCCAGTGGTGCCGATGGCCGTCGCACGTGGCCCGACCCGGACGGCGCCAGATCCGTCTTCCCCAGCGCCGCCAGTTTGGGGAATTTGCCCCGAGACACGGGCGCCTTGGGCCCGCTCGTGCTCAGCTTCGTGCTCTTCTCCACCACGTCGTGGTGCTCCGGATGGGTATGCACCGTGAATGACAGCCATTGGTTCAGCCCGGTATCAATGGTCCCGAACTTCGCTCGCGTCTCGTTGAACGCGCGAACACGATCCTCTGACGTCTTCATTCCGAGAATATCCCGGAACCCAAGCAAGGTCGGCTCAATCGTCGCCGGGGCCGTGAGCACATCTCGCGACGCACGCCGGTCGGGGCCTGCTGGGAGGGTCTCGTCTGCGTGAGAGTCTGGAATAGCTTCCGCATTATATACCTCGGGGAGGTGCCCATCGGAAATGATGCTGCGGTTGTCCGGGATGGGAGGAACGATGGTCAGCTTCGGCTTCTCCATGGACGGCGGCTCGCTTTTTTCGTGGTCCTCGACGATAGTCTCGTGAGGAGCTGGTTCCTCTGGCGAGGTTTCTGCCTCGTTGGGAGCCGGAAATTGGCCGGGCATGGGCGCGGGAGGTGACTGAACGCCCGGCTCGGGGGCAGGCTCTCCTGACGACGAAGACTCCCAGGAGAAGCGCCGGGCTAGCTTCGGCTTCGAGGCTTGCGCAGAAGGCCCTGGACCGGGAACTAGAGGGGCCGGCGGTGCGGGTGAATCTTGAGAGGTTGCGGAGGGACTGCTGTATTCTGGAGCTGGCTGCTCAACATCTTGAGAGGGTAACATGGATCCCTTGGTCCAGAACCGCTCATACTCATCCAGCATAGAACTGCTGTCCTGCCGCGGTGCTTCAGGCCGGAGTTCGTCTTCGTGATCAGGGTCTTCCGACGGAGTGTTCTCCCGACTCAACGAACGAATAATCTCCTTGCGCAGCCGATCACTCTCCATATCCTGCGGCGAGTTCTCCGCACTAGGCGACGGAATGATCACAGGAACCCCATCTCCAGTGGTGATTGTAGGCTCAGAGGGGTGACTAATACCCACGCTAAGCGGCGCAGGCAGGTCCTTCCCGGCCTGGGGCAGTTGCACCGCGGCTTTCTGGGAGGTGGCGCGGATATTCGGGGGCAATTCCGATGGCGTTTCTGTCGACATTTCCCCTACGACGGACGGAGCAGCTCCCTCGACGCTGGTTATGACCGGGGTTCTAGAAGGGCTATTATTGGGACTCGGAAGGCTCAAATCCCGACGATGGCCAGGCTTGAACACCATGTTTGGATCCTCTTTGGGAGTGGTTATGCTTTCGGGCTCTTCTACAATCGTGGGCGTCTTGATCTCGCTCGGGTTGCGCTGTGCTATGATCGGGCTGATCACTGACGTGCTATCGCTATTAGACCGGGCAATGCTGTCCACCGTGGTGCTCGGCGTCTCGGGCACATCGAAAGCTTGATGAACAACAGATCGGAAACCGAGAGAAGGGTTGTGTTGTAGTTGATGCTGCTGGGCGGCCGACCCCGGCTCTACCGGGGCGGTGGAAGGGGTCCCGAGTGACAGGTCCGGGTTAAAACCAGACAGACGCTTCATATCGGGCAATTTAATGATAGGAGGCGTATTTCCAGATGTTGAGCCGTGGGGCATGCTTTCAATATCCGACAGTCGCTCAGCACCCCCGGGGGTCGGGTGGAGCATGCGATCGCCGGTAGATGCCGCTCCCTGTTGTTCCGTATGAGAGGTAGACATGTCCTGAGACACTGGCTCAACAGGTGGTGCTGCGCCCGGGTTTTCCACAAAATAGCCGGGGTCGGACGCTTGCTGTCTCGCTGCGCTTTCCGCTCTCATACGTTTGTAGATTTCAGCCGGACGCACAATGGGGACTGTCCGGGTGGTCGGATCAACTGTTATGCGATCCGTAGACATGGTACGCTGTGCTTGAGCCCCAGCTGCGTCCAGTGTGGCAACATGATCCATGGACCGCGACCGATCCATCGAGGGGAGGGGCGGACGAGTCACGTCCCTGGTGAACATGCTAGGGATATCTCCGGTGCTCTGGTTCATGCTGGAAGGCTGCGGGAGCGGCGGGGTCTCATCGTCATCATACTCGCCGTATTCATCATCTCCCCAGTCGTTCCCATCGTAGGAATATTTTTTGGCTTCGACCCAGCGCTTTGTCTTTGCTCGGTTCACATTTGGTTTGAAGGATAGGGGAGTACCCCCGCGGGGATAAGGAGAGCTTGGGCTCTCAGAGGTGCCCGATGAGCTGTATCCGGGGCAGCGTCAGTGATGCGCATATGCCTGTAGGGAAATGCATGGCTTACAGCTTGTGAAGCTCCGGCTCGTATGGCTTGAACTGGCGCGCCATTGTTCACTGATCCAATGGTTTCGACCAGACCATAGACACTAACAAAACAGTGGGTGTAAGCGCCCGATCGGCATAACCTACGCCAAGAGCTGGGACCAGAAGTGTGGGAGGAAATGATTGTGGAGGCGAAGCGCTGCGAGGTTGAACGGAAGACGCGGGAGAACGAGAAGGGTGGTTTCACCGAGATGACGTGGGAGCAAGGATGGCGATGGCCCGCCAAGCCACGGGGGAGCAGCAGCAGCAGCGTGACGTGGGAGGAGGTTATTATTAGAAGCAAAGAAGGGAGAAGCGGTGACCGACCACGACGGAGGGTGAAGATGGGGAGCCAGAATAATATGGGGTAGATTTGAAGTTAATTGCAAGCCGGCAAGCGGGATAAGATAGGCGGAGAGAATGTTCCCCTGAGTCTCCATCGATCTAATGCCATGCCTTAATCTTGTCCGCTTCCGCCTGGGGCACCCGGTGGCTGGTGTTGCCCCTGTGGCTAGTGTCGTGGAGTGGCTGGTGGATGCACGTGGCTGGGTCTCCCGCCTTTCCTGTTTCGGACGGAGACGGGTCGCGGACGTCGTCGGCCTCAGCTTCGTCCACCTCATCGCCATCTTCCCTCCGGTGCCTCTGCGGTGTCGACTTTGGTCTCGGATGATTGACATGGCCCTATTGTAATAACCCTTTTACCTATCTGGCTTTGGACTCTCCTCTCTTTCCTTCCCTTGTATACCCACCTAGCGAACGGACACGTTTCCCGTTGTCTCCTTATCGATTAGATCGATTCCGTGGATCTCACGTCGCGCATTCGTTCTGCATTCGGCTATCGCCCCTGTACATCTACGCTTGTATTGTGACCGACCACCTCTCTCCTCCCCCGCTTGACATCATCTCCTACCTTCTTCACAATGGCCGGTCCCTCCATCCAAGATCGTACGGGCGAGTTCCACGCCATTCTGGGACAAGCCCAGAAGCGCATCGCCTCTAACAAAGCCGGTGCCCAGCGCCAGGCACTGTTGTCGGATGCTCAGCGGAAACAAGCCAATGGTTCCGCTGATGGTCAGGGTGGCAAGAGACGGTCGGAGTTTGCCAGGAGAGCGGTGGAAATCGGACGAGGCATCACCGCGACGACGGCAAAGTTGCAGAGACTGGCCGAGTGTGAGTAGTCGTTGGTAGCAGAAAAGACAGTATTAATGGATTGCAGTGGCCAAGCGAAAGACGCTCTTTGACGATCGACCGGTCGAAATCTCCGAGTTGACGTTCGTCATCAAACAAGATCTCGCCTCGTTGAACCAGCAGATCGCCTCGTTGCAGGCGCTGACCCTTTCGCAACACCCCAAGAGCAATCGACCAAAGGCTGACCAGGAAGGAGAGCACAATGACAATGTACGTCGAAGAACCCAGGCTGGGAGCGAAGCTAATGGTTTAGGTGGTGGTGATGCTACAAGGGAAGTTGGCGGACGTGGGAGCAAACTTCAAAGATGTCCTTGAAGTGCGCACGAAGAACATTCAGGCCTCGCGATCTCGAACGGAAAACTTCGTTTCATCAGTATCTTCGAAGACACAGTCTGCCCTCGACACGCAACGCTCCGATTCGCCGCTGTACAACACATCTGGGCGGAGGACGCCCCAACCGGGCGGTGCTGCAGACCTGCTAACCCTCGAACCCTCGAACCCATCCCCTCTCGGCCGCCCGTCTATACATTCTGACCAGCAACTCTTGGTCATGGAGGAAGCGCAGACGAGCAATGCGTACATCCAAGGACGCGGCGAGGCCATCGACGCGATCGAACGGACCATCAGCGAATTGGGCGGTATCTTTGGTCAGCTGGCCCAGATGGTCAGCGAGCAGTCCGAGATGATCCAGCGGATAGACGCCAACACGGAGGATGTGGTGGATAACGTACAGGGAGCGCATCGCGAGCTACTGAAGTACTGGACGCGGGTATCCGGGAACCGGTGGCTCATCGCCAAGATGTTTGGCGTTCTAATGGTACGTTTTCTGGCTACATAGTGGAATCGAAGCTGACTGGGACAGATTTTCTTCCTTCTCTGGGTGTTGATATCGGGATAGAAACGCCCTTCCCTTCTACTATAATGTATTAATAATGGTTCGTGTTCGTCCTGCTGCGCTGAACGAATAATGCAACCGTTGCTGTCTTAGCCTTGCATTCTTGTGCTACTTGCCTTGGCCGTGGCTAGATCTGATGACGATCTTCTACTATCTACTTTATGCTTCGGATGGCCTGATGTGAATACGGTCCATGATTGACTTAGATCAATATTATACCATTAACCGGATGAATTAGTGTATCTGTCCCTGACTGTGACGATTAATTGCAGGTGAATCATACTGATTCCAGTGCTTATCACCATTCCCTTCACCTATCCTACAGCTATATAATCCCGTTCCTCCCACTTCCTGTTTCTTCTCTTTCTATCTCTCCCATCTTAAAGACCTGAAACATGTACAGCAAATATCACTATATTGATACTAAAAATATACAGAATACCCACATTATCCCGAGACTATACCTGTCTCAAAGTTATTCTTCACATTCTATACTCACGATCCCCTTCGTATGACATCCTAATACCCTTGACACTATAGTCATATCAGGCTTCTCAACACAGATCATATGGGCTATACACCCGTTCCCTGTCACCGAAACAAAGATTACCACATACCGAGCACAGACTTCCCCTTCGACATGTTCTCCTGGCCGTCTTGTACCGATGTACAAACTTAAGAATCCATAACATCGCATTACAGAACAACCTTTACCACTAATCCAACTAAGACAATAATCCACAGCGACGACAAGGACCAAGGGTTTTGGTACTACTGTCGGGATACGTTATTCTCCGCTGCTATGGCTCTATAACAACAGTGGAAGCCCTACTATCATTTATCGTCGACGAGCTGTCGTCTTGAAGAAGGCAGTTTTGAACATCTAAAACATTGGGAGAGGACACATCGCGTGGTATACTGAGCTGGAAAGGGACCAATCACCTGGTCCACATGAAGCTGTGTCCAGGAATGGGAGAATTTTGAAACTTGTTAGATTCAAACGAGGTATCTGAGTATGTTCCCAGAGGAACTAACACCTGTACCACGGTTGGCTACAAAGGCGCCGTGTCTATGGCCGAGTTCGAAAGCGATCTTGTCGTGAAAACGAAGGGAATCATCCCAATCACGGTGATAACGATGAGAGGTCTGTGATTTTTGTGTTCGCAGAGCCGATCACAATGGCGACTAAGGCTCAGATAAAAGCCCTCCATGTTGGTAGTTCCGTGACTGGGTGGGAAGACTACACTGGAAGAAAGGTTAGGGTTTACGCTGAAGCACGGTGTTGGTACTATGTACTAGTGCTGACCCTGAAACTGAAACGGCGAATGTCCCTGCTGTTGATACAGACACGACACTCACCCCAGCCATGATGATTTACCTCTAGATGCTAGGGCTAGAGAGAAATACCTTCTACCAAGGAACCCAAAGCATACTTTGATGAGCGTGCAGCGGTCTTGGCATGGTCCCTCCCATGATATCCTTCCACATACATAGGAAAACCAACTTATGTTGCTGCGTATGTGCACTTGTTACAGCTGAAACAGACAGAGAGGATTACTCAAGGTGTTGTATCTAAGCACACTCCATTGTCACAACCACCCGACCGGCACAACTAGCCGTGGTCTCGGTGTTTTTTCAAGCCATTGGTTCATGTCCTCGAACTTCCCGAGCCATGCAAACAAACATCCCGCCAGCGTTCCGCTGCAAGATTAAAGTCTCTTAGATGCCTAGAGCATCCTCGACGGCACTGCAGGTTGCTGCTCTGTTGCCCGTCATTCGCGAGCTCGACTGGTCTGTGGACAATCGGCCAGATATATCCTAAAACCGTCTGGATAGGCCTCGAAGAATACAGCATAAACTACTGGGTCTGATTCCGCGGGAATTTCGAGATTCCGCTCAATTGCATCATACGGCAGATGATAACTTAACGACGGTCACGGCTCATGGAGGACGATAGCGACACTATTAAGTTAGGGCTGGTACAGGACCTATCAGAGGAATACCAACTTTGAACGACGTGAGTTCAGTTGTGGTGTATAAACCGCCTCCAGAGACTTCTTTAAAGGACTCCCCTACTTGGAGCATTAGCGTCGTCATAGAAAGATGCCTGCCGTGTGGCATTTGACCCAGCGGAACATTGGCATCTGGGTCAAGAACAGAGATGGCACCATCTCCAGGATTTGGAAGGCTCTGTTGGAGATGGTGCCTGAAGAGAAATGCCTGTCTTCAGGAGATGTGCTACATATGCCGCTAATATAGGCTTTGTCATTCGTGATTAGCTCTTCGTATGCCATACTCGAGAGCAGAAGTCTTCGGGTTTCGGACCCATGGGTTTTGGTGATCATCCTAGTTAGCTGTTGGCAAGGTTGGTATGCCTTGGATCATACGACCTTTTTCGGGGCTGTAGCTAACATTATCATTTTAGCTCAAAACAGTCCACCCCTTGTATGTTAATGCCATCTTGCTCGCTCGCCCACGTTGGGAACCAGATTGATTGTTCTCATGCGAATCAACAAGGTTCTCGACACCGTGTGCGTCCTGGGTAACGGTACAGGCCATGTGCAGACTGCACATAGAGAGATCGCAATGGACAGTATGAGGTGACAACACTTGCTTTTACCAGCCTCAGAATTATCTCTACCAGACACAGAACAATATCCAATCCCATATATGAAGGAACAAATGCTCAGAACTTTCCCGCAGATGAATAACTCCAATCTCACATTGTCGGGGCGACGGATTTCATTCCGCTGTTGTGCCCTAACTCATGGACCTACGGGATATTCATCTCTTCTGGGAAGAGTATAGAGCCATGTTGCTTGCTACAAATGAGATAATTGATCTCGTCCACTTATACAACCTCGAGCAAACTGATTGGTAGCATGTCATTCTTCTGTCCTAATGCATTCGAGCAGGCATATCGAACAAGGCTGTTCACAACATTGAATCTCAGTACCAGATAACAACCTTGAAAGGGAAATTGGACACTTTGATAGTAATAATAGCCTGAATGCGTTCGAATACCCAAGACTGGTTGCTATCGCCAAAGCTAACACGGATGACCACCATGTCAGGATGCACCGGGCCCAAAAGGGTCCATGGCAATACAAACCGGTTATTCTACAACCAATATGTCGAAAAGGCGATATATGTTCAAACTACAATGGTTGATGAATATCCCGGATATAAAAATCGCTGTTGCTGCAAATGAAGAGAAATAATCATCAAAGAGAATATGCAGATTGTCTTTGTGCTGATAAAGATCTACACAGCTACCCTCTACTGTCGACACATCGAACCAATACTTGTTCAAACCACTTTGATAATGGACGTCAAAACCGAAAACTGTGCGCTGTGTGGTCAAAATGGCACAGAGACCTGTTCTAATCCTGCGTCGGTGGTCAACGTCGCCCATAGATTATGGGAAAAGGCGATTCCTAATTTCAGTCCTTCATTATGAGCAACGAGAATCATTAACTCCCAGGTGTACTGATTCCTACAGTTTATATGACTATACCCGGCTGTGGTTAGGAAATCATCACCTGTTCTGTTACCATGCCTGGGGCTGTTGATGTATGGAGCAGATTGCAGCACGCGTCCCTTCACCAATTATTTACCAAGGAGTTCCAAGAGATTGAGGTGGTTTTAAATAGGACATGGCTCTTATCAAGGCACAGGACGAATCTGTAACCGTTGCAATATTTCGATCTGGGACACATACACGCTTAGTGAGATCACCTGTACAGGCCAAATTACAGTGGGTTCTGTTGAATATCTTTCTGATGTCACGGCATTGAACATGATTATTGCTATGAAAAAAAGGGTCATGAACAAAAAATGGACCCAACTTGAACCTACCACCTCAGATCTTTGATTGCAATGGCATCAAAACCGAGCAGAAACAAGTCTCCATACCCCATTCACAAGTCAGCAATGTCAAGAAACGCGTGGATGATCAGAATATCAAGATCTCCACCGAGGATAAGCTGACGATTGACAATAAGGAAGTATCAGACCAATGCATCGAGGCTGAGAACTCTTGTGACATCGAGCTACCATCTCAGTCTTATTAGCTCTAAATCAGACGTCTACAGAGAACTCGGCCTGGACGAATCTGCTGTCGAGAAGTGACAAGCCACGTTCAAAGGCAAACTAGCTAACGAAAAGCTGGATGAGAAAAGCTAGATATACAGGAAGAAGATCTTGCGATACATAGTCAAGTGTACCCAGAACACCGGGTTTGAGAAAATAGGGAATTCCCCATTCACCCGATTTTTCTGGAATATTGCTTGCTCCTGTTGCTCGTACGACTTTTTCCCGAAATATCGAACCACGAAGGGGTATCATTCTCATCGATCTTCCAAAAGGGCATCCTTATGATCAAGACCAAAGTGCCGAGTAAACCCTAATTGACCGACAGGACACCCATACTCTCTGGCTCCGAAAAGGAACGTATCCGCGCTGAAGTGTCAAAATGCCCGTGTCAAGTCTGCCTGATTCTCCACGAAAAGGCACTTATATGGCTGAAGTCTACAATTATAATCGTCTTTGTAATATGTCGACGATAATGGTCGGCCTGGGGACGCCGTTCCACACACAAAGTTGTTTTAATGTGTGGATACTGTTACCAGGTCTTTTGGAGTGTCTTGTGTTGAGTTCTTCAGGACCCAATCTATACATCTACTCTCTCTAATATCGATAGTTGCTAACAGGACTTGAAATGGTGAATGAGTCGTGTCCAGCTCAACGCGGTTAGTGTCTTTTAACAGCTGTGCTAATCCTAGAGACATGAAGACATAAGAACAATCCTTAATATTGAAACCTAGAGAATCCGGGTCACCTTTCGTTCTGTTACCGGCCAAACGCAGACGAGCATAGCGTGTCAGATCCAATCGCATCCATTCAATGTAGAAAAAGTCAGCGATGATCGAGATATTTCAGACAATAAACGAGCGGATCCTTCGTCTGTTTCCAGCAAATACCATGCCAAGATCAGAGGACAGTCAACGTGCTTCCACATACCGAAATACCACATATATTCGATGGCCTCCAAAAGGCACAACAAGTCAAAGAAATCCGAATTATTGTCAAATATACCAGATTGCACACCCATCAAACACGAAATACGGATTTATATCTACTATGCTTGGATATTATTCCAGAACACTTATGATTACATTCTCTTATAGTTCCAATATTCTACCTAGATCCTGCACAACGCAAACCTCCTTACATGCATTGATTCATGACACATCGATCGATATTATACCCAATACTTCCCAAGCATGGTTACTCACGATCAACCATAACTATACCCACAATAAACGAAAGATACCAAGCGGGCCTCGAGAACCTAAGAAGGAAAAAGCCATCAATATACATTATGCTAGGATTAACCGTACCCAGCAAAATCCCAGAAACAGAATTACAATAATGACACATTTACTCTACGAACTCCAGTCACCAATATTCCTTTCAACCCAGAAGTATAGAGCACAACCTGGTATCTCCCATACTATGCAAAGTGTCTTTCAAAAGAACCAACAATCACAACAACGAATATCTATAAATTCATCATCTTGGAAACACTACCACGTGAAATAATCCATGTATCAAAACTACAACCTCATCAATGAAACCACAAGTATACCTAGTCAGTGAAGTTTCTCAAGAATATCTATCTCAGAAACTACGAGTACTGTCCATTGATGCCGTTCTACAGAACTTTGTCCTCAACCGGTTTACGTTGGGGTTACTATGAATTCCTTTCCCAAACTTACACCACTGGCTCGGGAATACACTGACAAACCTGAAATCACAATACGTTAATACGTTAGTGCAATACGGGTATGGTAAGGTGGTACCGGTAGGTGGGGCTTCGGCTCTATGTTGTTCCCTCGCTACTTACTGACACCTCCGTATCCCAGAACACCTACACACAAACACCCCAGTTAGTCAGTTGAATACTATCGTCTCCACTCCATATCACGTTGCTTGGTAGTTGCTAGTCACCAGTACTATACCTTCTACAGCTTCGTCATCAGACGGGTCGAAATCTCTTGTGGCGGTTATGCTACGGACCCCCCCTCGAAAGACACACAAACTGTCCTTTCTTACGGCTAAAGAATTTCATAGTACTTGAGCGGAATACAACATACATTTTCACGTCATATGCTCTGTTGTGATTGATTAGGATGCTTAGATCAAACCCACGTGGCCGTTGACGGTGTCAACTCTCACCACAGATATAATGAATTAGTGATGTTTTAGGCTGTGGGTTTGATTTTCTTTCCGGGATAGTCCTACTCCCGTTTGTTCTTGTCTGATATTGAATCAGAAGACAACGCTTTTGATTCTAGTTGTGTTTTAATTTTATCAAACAGTCTTTGTTATCTTTCAGCAGTTGATGTTAAGGTCGATGTACCCGTCTATGATCATGTTGATGTCAGTAACAGTATTATATCTTTCCTGAAGAAGGTAAGTTACCAGTATCAACTACACTGAGGTTTTGCACCAGTTTCAGCATTGTAAGAAGTGGAGTTTGGTGGTGCTGCTGTTTGAAAGAATAATACTAGCGTGAACGCAATTCCATCCAACGGATATAATGGATAGTTATCAGGCTGCGTGTATTGCATAATACCATTAACTTCTTTCAAGGCTTAAGAAAGCGGACCAGCCTACCTAGGTGGAAAAACTTTCATCCCTTGGAGTATTGAATCAGATGCTTTGGGACTGTGTCAGTGTTTGAAAGGTTTGTTCAAGAGGCGAGCAGGTAAGAGTTTGATGATAAGACTGAAGATGTTGTCTTCGTTATGGCCATGCCTACGAGAACCTCGGTTAAGAAACTGTCTAAATCCCCATGGAAGAACACTTTGGATAGTCTAGAAAGAAAGAGGATTTGATCCTGCTATTTTTCAGTATCGAGTTGAAACAAATAAGAGATAGAAGAAACAGAACCCTATATAGCAAAAGACGCTGAATGGTTATATCTTATGCTGTGGTTGATGGGCGGGGTTAGTGTTGCGTTGAGATTAAGTTTAGTGGTAATTTAATCTAATTCCCAAAATAAACCCGAAAAATACATCGTAATCGTATATTCTTTCGATCGAAACGATTAACATCTATGCTATACGCTATTTGCCCCACCCCAGCCACTAGCCTAATCTATATCCGAGATCCCGACCATCGGATCCATATTTATGGATCCCATCATCCTAACCAATCGGACTCCACCTAGTCCACATTTTTTCCACCCCACTTTAAGGTACTGCGGGATGTTTATTTCAACATGCAAGTTACTTGCAACATCCTGATTTCTCCCTCTTATGAAGATATCCGTACCCGTAACCAACCAAAACCAACCCCCTTCCCCCCCGGCCAAAAAAAAAAAAAGAAAAGAAAAGAAGAGAAGCCATGTTCCCCTTCTTCTCCCGCCAATCAACCTCCAAAAAAGGCTGGGTTCGCATCGGCCTCCTATCCGATTTCCCCGATGTAGAATCCAAACCCGATGGAACGTGTCGGGTAACGCCGAGCTGCAAAGCTTTCACCATCCCCAACACCACCACCACCACCACTACACCCCCAGAGCCAATCACAGCGGATATCGATATACCAGGGGATATGAAAGATCAGGTTCTGGTGTTTAGATATAAAGGGAAGGTTCATGCGGTTGATCATGTATGTTCCCCAACCTTTTCCCCCTGCCTTCTTTTTCCAGAAGAACGTTATCTGGATGAAGTAATTGGGACAAAGCTAATAAGGAATAGCAATGTCCTCACTCATCGTTTCCCCTCTCACAAGGGAATTTATTCGATATTGAGGACTTCGGGGTCGTGTTGAGTGCGGGTATCACGTGTCCGAAACATGATTGGTCGTTTGATCTTTTTTCGGGACAGGGGGATCGTGGGAATTATAAGTTGAAGATTTGGGAGGTGGATGTTAGGGAGGGGAGTGGGGAGGCGGAGGGGGATAAGGAGGTTTGGGTGAGGAGGAAGCAGAGGATTGGGTAGGTGATCAGTGGGGAAGATTCATGTCTAGGACGGGATTTTGGAAATTTGAAGGGTAGTGTCTGGGGTTGATGCTGGATTGCGTGTGAAGGAAAGATGTTTGAGCAGGTCTGCTAGAGGATGGCCAGAGAAGAGCCTTTATCTTTTCACTCAGCATTTAGCGAAAATAAACCGTTCATAGATCCGTGCTGAAATTTCACCAAGTCATTGGCCCCAGTCCTTTTGGTTAGGATCAATATCATAAAGGTTAGAAGGTCCGGGTCTAGGTCTGTGTAAGGGGTCGTCGGAATAGCGGAATAGCGGAACAAAAGACTTGACGATCACATCTGACCATTAGCCTTAGACATACCACGCAGGACAGTGCCATGGCCGAATAAGAGTAGTGCAGTAGGTATCTATCAAATTTCACGTGTATTTAGTCACGCATGGAGGAAATCGATGTTTTGATGCTGAAGAGGATAGTGGAACTTGTGGAGGTTAAGTACAGATAAGTACAGAAGCTCTGGAATCTGCAGGGCCTCGCATTTGCGGAGAGACCCAAGCCTCGCCAAGTCTTTGTGCCCAGACGGGGCCAAGAAAAACGTATAACCACCTGCTCTGAGCACACTACTAGACAGGCAGACATACAGCACGCTATTGCCTTGAAAAAATCAAACAAACGACCCACTTTCAGAGCGGAGCCATCACCTGATAGCCGTGCTCATTTGTCAATACCATTCATTACATCCATCACTCTCCGGAGATTACTATGCTCGTTGGTCTCCACCACCACCATACAAGACGGACTTAAGTTTTTTTGGTTCATATGGTTGAAACTGGATTGGTCAGATCGAATCCACTTCGTTATTGGGAGACAATGCAAGTGGCTAGTTGAAATGATGAATTTCAATAGTGCAACGACTAGGTTGGTATTCTCCCTGTGGTAATGGTATGGTTAGCTTAGCCGTCATTCTGATACCGTGGTTTATCACGCCGCTGTCTTAGTTATGCCCCACCTAATAAAACCTCCATCTGTTAGCATGTTCACGACCATCGTTCATGTATGTAAGTGTACTGTAACTTTGAGCATGAGGGAATAACCAATGAAATATGAACCGCTGAACTAAAGGTATTGCCCAATTTCTCTCGCAATCTCGCTGTAGAGTCTATGTAGCATCGTTCCATTCTGGCTAGCCGACGCAGTGTGAGACATTCGGAAGTGCTCGACCCCATTTTTGGGATTGGTAGTACTCGTTCAATTATCAATGGTTTGAGCTGCTAGTTCTGACTATGTCGAACGGACCGTATGAAAGGTAGACTGGTAAGATAGGATTGTTCTCGTCCGTGATAGGCTCTATTCAGCTAGTCAAATAATCTGAGTCAAGACATATACCTAAGGTAATAATAGATTACAGCGACCCCTGAAAACAATGAGAAGATCACATGCTGACGATTTTACCGTTTTTCCCCCGCGGCCACTTCTTCCTGATGGAACCGTCCTCGGGGAAGGGAACTCTGGCTTTTCGTTCGATGATACGAAATTCCACGTCCAGGGCACGGAATTTCCCTTGCAATTCTAGCAGGCGGCCGTCGGAGATAGGGTCTTGTTCCATCATGCGCAATGTGGGCCATTTACCCTGGACACATTCCCTACACCCTTGCCCGGGTGCTTGCTCTTCGGCGGCATACCGAAGATATAACGTCTTCAGCATGGGGACCGTCTCAGAAATGTGGGTGACCAGGTTTTCCAATTCCCGGCACAAAGCTGAAGAGCACTGGATCAAGCAATCTTCGATATACAGATGTTGTAGTGAGTGAGGAAGCAACTCACAAAGGGGTGTGCTGGGATCGTAGGCCGCTTTCCCGAGAAACGGCACCAGGTTACTCCATCGCATATGGACGGTCTGGAGATTTCGAAACTCCGTTAAGCTTCCAAAAAACGCAGGCGTTGGGATCTCGGCATCCAGCCAGGTTCGGTCGCTTTGGTATGTCAGGTTTAAGTGTCGCAACGAAGACTGAGACTGTTGTAAAGGCTGGTACAACAGCGAGTAATCCGGATAATTGTGCACATGCTCTCTCTGCAATTCGCCCTGTTCGAGGGTGAACGACTGCAGGTTTGGGTATCTCTCTAACAAACGGGGGAGATTAGGCAGTCTTTCACCGGGAGCCTCTATATCCAGATGAGTCAGTGGTAGGACCAGGTCTCTGTTTTTCGGCATGTTAAATCGGATCCGATCACACGGGTTCTTCACGTAAAGCTTTCGTACTGACGGGATCCGGAGATAGGGAACCAGCCGGTTCAAGGGAACGGCGTTGACGGCAGTCCCAGGTTCCCAGAATGCCGGGCCGTTGGTTAACGAGATGTGTGTGAGGCGTGTTAGAACTCCCAGGTTCGGGTTACTGGCCCATTGGATGACTCGTTCAAAGTGGACGGAATTCTTGAGTTGAACTTCTTCGTTGAGGTGATCCCTTTCTTCGGGTAGTTCCATGGCGAATCTCTCAAGATTCTTGACTTGCATCAAGAGCAAGGCTAGCCAGGCATCTTCATATCGGTAGGGCCGATACCAGTCCTGTCTTTCGGATCGTTGCTTGAGGTCTCGGCGCCAGGCATGGAACTGGCGGCGGTGTTTGCGCTTAGCTTCACCATAAGGCAGCATGGAAAGACGGTATGCTTCTTCAGGCAGTGGCTTCAGTGGGGGTCCATCCCGCCATTTCCCCTTGCAAGTGCTAGGATAAAGCTCCAGGGAGCGGATCAAGAGAGCGAGGGATGGATTTTCAATCAGAGCCAGGGTAATCCGGCGCACCGGGAGGTCCAGGCTCTTACTAATGTGACCAAACCCGAAGCCACAGTAATAGTTGAGGGGAATCATGACATGGTGATATAGATGGGGGATAAACAGCGAGTACCAGGACTTGCAAACCAGCACCAATTGCGTGTGATCATGCGCCGTGAGGAGGGGTATAATTCGAAGAACCAACTCTCCGGGAAGGTTGTCAAGCGTCATTTTCAATATGCGACAGAGTAGGAGGGAGTCATGGGAGAAAGGAGAAGTGGCCGAGTGTAAAGTTGGTGGGATAAATACTGGTGACACTAGTTCTGCTACGGCGGGTACGGTACGGTGGATTACAAAACCAGATTACATACATTACCAGAGAGCTCTGTCAAGTGCTTTCAAAGAGCGTTATTAAGCACTTTTAAAGAACCTTATTAAGTGTATTGTGAGGACTGAAACAGTACGTAATAATAATCTAAGGAAGGTTATATTATTATAAGTATTCAAAAAGTCTAATAAAAACGCAGAATGTGTGCAAGTTACTAGACTAATGAGAAGTCTTAAAGCTGATTGGTCAGCACTAGCGCGCTTCGCAAAATTACAGACAGTAATACCAGGGGGCTCGTCAGTCACGGGACCTCCACCATGTCTTTCTTCTTCCTCTCGCTTCGCTGCTGGAATCCGCTTCCTCCTTCACGGACTCTTTCTATACCGAACCGATGTTGCGTGGCAAGTTGGCACCCCCTCCAAAATATTTCGAAAAGCCGCAACGTTCCTCAACATGGACTGATGAAAAAAATATCCCTCGTTGTTCTGCGTCTTGGCCCAGTCTTGATACCTCTTGATCAGAACCTTTGCCTTCGAGTTGGTCTTGGATGCCTGGACCGTTCCTGTTTTGACCCAGTCAATGAAGTCGACTTTGACTCCGTCCAACGTGGTCTCAGTCTCGTAAAGTGTCACCCCGGGGAACCGGTCGTTAAAGGCCGTTGGAACCTTGGAGAAGTTCTCTTCCCACCGTAATTCCTGGGTAAGCGCGAGCCCTTCCTTTGCTCTGGACAGCAGGTCTGGGTCGACCGTCATGATCTCGCGCGCGGCTTGAATGCGGTTGGTGACTGCGGCCATCATGGCCATGTGGTTCATCTTCGCCCCCCCCTTTGTATAGTTTGCTAATAACGTATTCTCCTGTCCATTCCATGTCGGCAAACGTGACATCCGCGCCTTCGACGGCGGGCAAGGTTGTATCTCCAGCGGCGATCAGTTCACCTGGGTTGTTGGCGATTTTTCTGATAAAGTCGTTGAGGGTACAGATTTCCCCGGTGGCAGTCACGCATTGCGATGCAAGCATGCGGTCGGCCTTCGCGAATGCCGATGCTTCAATGCGATACGCGTAGTAATAAAACATGGTCTCGAAGATGCCTGCGGGATCCGAGGCCTTGCCGAGGGATGCACAGCAGAAAGCATAGATAAGCAGATGGAAGAGCTTCATTGTGAAGGAAACGAATGTTGATGAGAATAAGATCCAAGGTAAAGAATGACTCAATTGAGAGCAATGGAAAGAACGAAGAGTGAATAGCGACTGTCAGAAGGAAAGCACAACGAGCAGACAGACAACGCCATTCTTATGCCCCGGTTTTCAACTGCTTCACTTGACCAGCAACGTCTACTCCTAATCCGTCTGTCATTCAACGCGAGAGAAGCTCCATTTGGGGTGATATCAAGGCCATTTCGTAGCGTCGGAACATGGCCCGAGTTGGGTAAGTCGTTCCATCCTTTTTTTCTTTTTACCTTTTTCTGTTTCTGTTTCTTTTTCTATTCTTTTTTTTTGGGGGGGGGGGGGGGGGGGGGGAAGCCTAGTCTTGGTTTTAGTTTTTGGTAATTTCCCTGTGGATATTACCATGATTCAGCATCTAGTTCAGTGTGGCGCTAGATGCCACTAATGATCCCTCCATCCAGACTCTTACAATATACTACTAGGTCGATATTACCTTCTCTCACATGCAACGCTGCCATGCACCCACCCCCTGATCAAACCCTTCTCAGTAGCCTACGGAGCTCGAACTAGGACAGACTAGTACGTCTTCTTGCCAGACACACAGTGGACCACATCATTACCACCGTCGATTTCGGCCTCTTGCTTTGCCCGCATCCGGCCATGGCGCCGGTCAACCCAGCTTCTCACAGCTTTCCCAATCTTCATAAAGAGGGCCAGAAGACGGTGACCCCTCGACTTGGTATCACTGAGTTTGCTTGAATCTTCCCTTCTCGTTGAAGGGCTGTCACTCCTTCTTTCCTTTCTTGTCGATCTTTACCTTCGTTCTTCTGGCGTTTTGAAACGCCTGTCATTCTTTACAATGTTCCTTGACTCATCCTTATCATCCACCATGGGCCTTGCCCTTCTCTTCTCCCTCACTTTCCTCTTCTCTCAAGTTCCAGCCCGAGCCGTTTTTGCTCACTTCATGGTACGTGTTGATCTCCATTACCCTGTTCAGCTCTAGAATGGCCGCCTGATAGCATCCAGGTGTCAAACACGGAAGGCTACACTGTCGCAGACTGGGAAGCGGAGATGACTCTGGCCATCGACGCCCGCATTGATGCATTTGCCCTGAATATCACGGCCGACCAGTCGGTCAACACGGCTTCCGTGGCGAATGCCTTTCCAGCAGCTGAGAACGTGGGCTTCTACCTCTTCTTTTCCTTCGACTATGCCGGGAACGGGCCGTGGGCCAAGGCCGACGTGATCGACCTGATCCAGAGCTATGACTCCCCCGATGTCTACTATCACCACAATTCCCAACCGTTCGTGTCCACGTTCGAGGGGCCCGCTAACGCGGCCGACTGGGTCGATATCAAGGCCGAGACCGGCTGTTTTTTTGCACCGGACTGGTCGTCGCTGGGCGCCATGGAGGCGATGCAGCAGGCAGATGGCATCGCAAGTCAATCTCTGCGGGCTGTGCCGCGGCTTCCGGGGTAAAGAACTGGAACGCCTGGGTGGGAAGTGCCATTTCCTCCACCACTATCAACGTCACCCCGGCCTCCTCTTTGGGCGATCAAACTTGCGTGGAGGGCTGGGGGGACGGCAACTTCCTGGGACTCTGTGAAAAGTCGTGCTCTTGGGGATACTGCCCAATGTCGGCCTGTGTGTGCTCCAAACTCGGTCTCCCGCCCACCGTGCCCAAAGACACGGGCGTTCAGGGCTATCCCATCGCCGGCGAAGACGCCAGCTATAGTGGCTTATGCTCCTTCGATTGCAACCACGGCTACTGTCCGACCACCGCATGCGGCACGGTCGAGGTCCCCCTGACAATCCCCACCGTTTCGGACTTTGCGCCGCCCGCCTGCACCGCGGGCGAGGGCAGTGGGGATCTGGTAAATCTCTGCGGCTTTGCCTGTGGTCTCGGCTTCTGCCCGATCCAAGCCTGCAACTGCACCGCCACCGGTGCCTTGGATCTCGCCTCGGTGGTCAACGCCAGCATCACCGCGCATCTGACCTCCGGGGGGGGGGGGGATGACTACGGGCTGTGCGATTTTGCCTGCCAGCGCGGGAATTGCTACGACGAGTGCGAAGAAGGGGACTCCTGGTCGGCAAGTGACGAGATTTCCTTCTCGGACGACGACACCCGATTCTGGTGCCAGATTGTCTCGCCGTGCGACTATGATCTGAACATCACGACGATGGCGGACCTGGACCTGCAAGCGGCCAACATGGACGACGAGTGCATCCTCTACCACATGCTCACAGTTTTGTATTATCTGATCGATGAGGTGGTCGCCAACTATACGGAGATCATCACCCACAACAACTACAACAATACCCTAAAGTACTACCGGAAGTACGTCGAGAACAACATCACCAGCTCCCTCGACAGTGTTATGTATTGGGCGCCGGCCGGACCAGGCCTTGCCTACTTCGACTGTATCGTCGAGTACCGTGGGAAGAATGAGACAGAGACCAGCTGCCCGAACTACAGCGCGACGGGCGTCTTCAGCATCTACTACGAGCCCCTGAACACCACCGCCTTCGAGGCGATGTTGTTGGCCGACTACGGCATTCAGCCCAGCTGGATCCAGTACGGGAAGAAGGTCGACGATTTTCTCTGCACCGGCACTTCCGCCGGGGCCCCCTCATGCCATTCGTCGCAAATCACCTGGTACGGCATCCCCGAGGATGCCGACAACGTGGTCATCACGGACCCGCGCGTTGTGGTGGAGCAGGCCCTACCCAACCTGGAAGGTCTTCAGGCCAACATTCTGGCGGTGCAGATGCAGATGCTCCTGGGGGCCTGGCCCGGGGTGACCGATGATGTTGTGCAGAGCGTCTCCCTGGCCGTGGAGCTGCTCCTCCAAGCGGTCAGCTCCATGCAGGAGGTGGTCACGATCGGCAAGGAGGAAGAGGCCTGGGAAAGGAAGGAGATGATTGAGGAGATCCTGGGTGCCATCTTCCTGGTGGTTCCGTTCCTGGGCGAGGTGGACGCCATCAGCGACGCGTTTGTGGATTTCTCCGAGATCGCCACTATCGTGGGTGACACGACCATCCTGGGTGACAGCATCTACGAGATTGCCAAAGACCCCAAGAATAGTTTCATGACCATCCTGACGACCTTGCTTCTGGTCGGGCAACGACCCGCCGAGGAATACGAGACCATGGCCGCCGCGCGGCGGGATATTTCCGACGAGACTATTGAGACCTTGGGCCCAGTGTTCCGGGAAAAGAATACCCAGGTCGAAAATTTGGTGAAGGATTGTGCGGTGGCTTGACGTACATACCACGGAGGTGTCATTCATCCAGCCTGTATATTAATCTGACTGTCCAAATCCATGTCTCTATGAACAACCTTGTACATGCATGTTTGACTTGACCACTCTAGTTTTTGCTGTAAGCTGTTTACTTCCGAAAGTGAGTGGCTAAATACTGCCCCTTTATCTTTTTGTATATTTATTCTAAGCATCTTACTACTTATTAGTCGACCAAGAACCTTAGCTAGGTGATGGTCCACAACTAAATATTCATGATCACATAGTATCACAACTCTAAGCGAGAAGTCGTTCTCTGCATAAGTTTGATTAGTATATAAATTGAACATACTATTAATTCTAACCTCTTGGGTTGACTTGGTTATCTATACACTGATTAATATTTAGATTACCGTGCCTACTACTACTACTACTACTACTACTACTACTATTAGATAGAACTATATTATCATCACTAATAACTCCTCACAAAAGCCGAGGACTATACACCTATACATACAACTGAAACTAATGTAATGTAATATAATATAAATAAGTAAGTAGTAGCAAGTTCGTATACTGCCAGAACTAATCTAAACTAACATATCATGACATGTTTGATAGGTGGGAAGGTAGGTGGTGTGGAGTTTACCTGTGATTGAAATTAAGGTTTAAACTTAGGGGATGGAGTATAATGTAGGTGGGGGGTGTCTGAGGTGGTGGTTGTGTGGGTGTCTTACTTATGAGGAAGTTATGTATGAATGGATGGATGGATAGTTGAGCTGGGACACTCTATTCTTGAGATGAAGGGGTTTGTGTCTGTGTTCTGGTGTTTTTTTTTTTCTTTTTTTGAGCTGTTGTTTGGAAGGATTGCCCTGGGAGGATGTACTATGTTATGTGGGAGGTTGTGGAGGTAGAAGATTAATGTGATTAGGTGGAAATTTGGAAATATTATGTTCAGGGTAGACGCAAAAGTCCATCAGCGAGATAAGAAGAAGGTATCCTCTACAACAACCCAATCACAACCTCACCCTTAACTCTGGCATCAAGATTCAACTGCACTTTTGCGCGCAGGTTAAGTCGGATTCGAATCTGCAAGCTCCCTTCCTTGTCGGATGACTTCCAGTTTAGGTCTTCGTCGTCGATTTTCATGTCCATGCCTCCGGTGGTTATTTCTCGGATTGTTTCTTTGGCAGGGGCGGCTTTCTCCCCGACATCCTTAGTCAGGCTGGTCACATCGTCGGTTGTTTCGGTGCTCATGTTTGGTTTTGGGTCTTGGGGTTTCTCTTGTGGGGTGTTTTTGTTGTCGTTTTGGGGGGTTGGCTCAGGCTCGGCGGGGGGTTTCGGGGGGCTTTCTTCGGAAGGTTGGGTTTCTTCAGCTGGAGGGGCCGTTTGCTCTGGAGGAGTCTCCTTCTGCTCCTCCTGTCCTTCCTGTGGTGGATCCACGGTTCCGATTGATGCGTTGGAATGTTTTCTTGATTTGCGTCGCTTGCAGAGCTTGGGTGGTTTGGTTGCCGGGGAGGGAAGGCTTTCTGTTGGGATGCTTGGGGTTTCGGGTGGTTCGCTGGTGGTCAGAAGATGTTAACCTGTGCTTCTGAAGAATAAAGGATAAAGACATGGGTAAGAAGTTACCTTGTCATGAATTTTCACTCACCTCGTTATATCCTCAGGGCTTTTGTCGCCCATGGTCTGCACGGATAAGAGAATCCTTTTATCCGGGATCCAGGGTGATTATTACATATCCATGTCATGGTCGACTGGAGTACTTAAAGGTATGGTCGAGTCATGGGCCGCTTGCAGTGCTGCTACCTTCCGCTTCCGGCCAAGATGCAACCACCCAGCCAAGTATCTTGAGTGCCAACCGGGTATGATTCGACGTGGTATTGGTCCGAATGACGGGTTCCGAAGACGGGCCTTTCCCGGGTGAACCTAATATATATGATAGTTGCAACGGAACTACATCTGAGTCGATGATCTGTTTGTTTGAGTTGACAGTCAGTTGGACATCCACGGTCCGAGTCTGTTCAGTATGGTTTTTTCATTGATTATGATGTCAACATTGGTGCCCACTATTATTGGGCTGAATGAAGCTACCAAGGGAGCACGAGACCAGGAGGATAATCGCAGGAACGAGGCCCGGTCACAACGATGTCATTTGATAGCCACGTGTGAGGTTTCTGCTGGATCCCAGGCTCAGAGACGGCAGGTTCAGAATGCGAAGGTTTATCTAGATCAGGATTACAAGGTATGTTGTGGGGAGTATTCTTGTTGCGAGATGGAGGTAGACGTAAAATACTGACGACGTTAGTTTTATATCACGAAACAACCATCCTCTCGCATGGGCCCATTTACCGGACAATATTATGAGCACCCAGCGTTTGGAGAGGATAACTCGTCTGGACTCATTACGATGAGTCCGGAGAATCCCCCGCTTGCGCGCTGGGTGTATCTGGATAGTGAAACGAATGAACTGAGATATGGAGGCCGGAAGGAGAGTGAGAGCAATGTGTGTGGGCCATTTGACTGGTCGGAAGACGAACAGTATGTCACGCTGGAGGGAAACGAGCGATGGCTGGCCGTGCGACTGGCGGAGGATGCGCGAAAGGAGCAGGAGGCTCAGGATCTGGGATTAGATGATGGTGATGCTGTGAAAGGACTTTGGAGACTTTACTTTGATCGCAGTGGGAGCGGCGCGGGTCTTCCTGAGGGAGCAGAGACGATGCAGATTCGGTTGAAGCGGGAGCCAGCCGAAGAGTAGGCTGATCAGATTGAAGTTGGAGTATGCATAGGGACTGCTAGAATCTTTGATCCGGATCATCGGTGGGTTGCAAACGGGTGGACATTGCAGCGGGATGCTGCATTCGGTAACCCGCCTGAGGCACATGACTACGCTACTGTATGTTGGCTCGGATGAATCATTCCTATCTGCCAGCAGACAATAAAAGAAAACAAATGGTATCATTAACGAAATCACAACTTCCCCTAACCAGCCTCATGACTCGACTCATTAATCATGACAACATAACCTGGTCTGGATCAAGTCGGAATAAAATGCTGCGATGCCTTCTCTTGCTCGCTAAACGACTCGCGAAAGGCCGCAATCGCAGCAACGATAGCAACAGCGACGAATGCAAGAGAAATGAAAGACCAGATGACACCCCAGCATTGAGAGGAGCCTCCATATCTCTTCGCAAACTGACTAGCGTCCGAGGTGTTGACTTTGCGAAGGATCAAGTCATCGCACTATCACAGTTACAGTCAGCATACCATCACACAGCAAGACAGCCATCCAGCACAACTCACAATATCCCAAACACTATACAGCGCAGACATAACCCCAATAAACAACTATCCACAGTTAGGCCACATTCTCTCCTTCTGTGAGAATACCAAAACCTACCACAACCCATTTCAGCGCCTCTCCATGCGCAATAAACCAACACGCGACGAGCAATCCCACCGCCAACAGAACCGTAACAATCGTCAACCAATCCCTCCTCGCCCACCAAAGCGTAAGAAGAAAGCAAACCCCCAGAATAATACTAGCCACCTTGCTCGCGACAATATCAAACCCGGCGAATATCAACAGCGACCCGATAATCGACGACCCCAGATATCCCGCCGGTAGAGTAATGGCGCTCATTCCGCCTTGCATATGCGTGACGCCTCCCTCGTGCGGATCCAGCGAAATGGATTTGACTCGACCTCCGGTACAGCAGGCGGTAATGGCGTGGCCGAATTCGTGGAACGCAATCACTAACATCTGTCGCGGTTAGTTCCCGGCTGTCGCAGCGCCTAGAAAATGGGTCTGCTTACTTTGAACGGCCACAACGACCAGCGCACATACGGCAGGTTCCAAAGCAGCGCAATCACCACCACGTATGCGGCCATCACACCCAGCGTCACGGCCTGGGTGTGAGTGACGCTGAGATCGCGCTTGAGGAGATGTGGTCCGGCCGTGTTGACGGCCCGTTGATCGAATACCATGTAGGAGGGCGCCATGGTGGTAGATGTCAAATAGGTATCTGGTGCGATGCTGCGGCGGGCAGAATGGGCATTGTGGGATATTTGAATGTCTCACATGAGCGCTGCCTACGCGTTCTACAGCCCAGACTGTAAATTCCTGCTTGATCGGGTTAGTCCGTGGCTGGGCGTGGGGTATTTTTAGCTCCTTTTACGTGGCGGTGACTAACCGCGCATTTTAGCAGGGTTGGCAAGACAACACAATAAGCTGTCAACTGATCACTACTGGGTATGTACATAGGTATATGCATAGGGGGTAAAGATGTCAGCACCTACTTGACGTTTTCCGACGACTCCGGTGCTTTGATCTGCTGTGCAGACTCCAGGCGGGGATTTCAGCCTTGTTGGGTACGGATACGTTCCACTTGCCTGATTATTGATTAGCAAGGGGTCCACTTTACTGCTAATGTAGGGTCTCCACGGGGCGTTGTTTCACCAGCCTCATTTATGGGTCTAGTTTCTTTGGGTGATTTAGTCGATGAGTGCCCTTTCTCTTTAAATGTCAGATGGTTCTAGATATAGTATTGTCAGCGGTTATCATCATAGACAGGTTATACAGATATATCTAACCAAATAACCCCCTTCCAAACCCACACCCCTATTCCTGATATTTCCTACCCGTCATTTCAGGGTCCAAACATCCAATATACCTTCCCGCTAAGAATTAACTTCAACCAACCAACCAATAAGTACTACTCTCTATAATACAATTCAATAGTCACTTTTCGCATGACAATAGTCAACCCACTAACTCGGAATAAAAAATAAATCCCACAGAATAATACCCGATCACCAAACATCCCCCTCCATTCCATCTCTATCCATCCAAAACTTTACATCTCCCGGTGCACACATATCCATACACCAACACCCTCCCCCATACCCCCCCGTCTTATTCCCCAATCCACAGCAGTGGATAAATTCAACAACCCCACCCCCAAAGTCGATTTTGGCGATTCTTTAATACTTCCATGGTCATTTTAGATATTAATTGGTTCGGGGGATTATATTAGATTTATTTTATCTAGATTAATTATGATAGAATATAGGTATTTACTATAGGTAGGTATGCTAGGTAGGTAGGTCCAGATTTGGATTGCTTCATCGCAACACCTACAACCCCATCTGAGGTAGATAAGTGAAAGAAGAATTCTAGCCGTCCAAGGTATATATCTTCAAGGTGTTGATATTGGATAAGTCGTGGAGCTTCGTGTGGCTTTAACGTCTTGGGAGTACTTAATGCGCCGAAGGCTTGGAGATTGGATTGGTAAGTACTGGTAGTCCTGTGGCCCGAGATCGGGGATATTCTATTTAGGTATGTGAGGGGTTGTGGGTTTGTAGTAAGCACATATACCATGTGATTGTTTGGGGAGAATGAGGGGGAGGCGTGTGAAGATTGGGTTTGGTGGATGGTGGATGGATGGGTACGTGTACTGCCGGGGTACTGGGAAGTATTCATATTGGACTTGGGGTTAATAGAAAGCTGGCGGGGAAGTTACGGAAAAGTATCAGTCGTAGTCAAAGTAACCATCATGAAAGTGGGAACAATACATTGTGTCAATTTGTATACCGAAGGAAAGACATTGTGGAATTCCCGAGATCATAGCATTAAGCTGAAAGTAACAAATAGGAAACTGATAAGCACCAAGGATCATATCAGACAATACCTCCATTATCCTTCCCTCGGCCATCAGCTCTCCACACAATCCAACCGAGAGTGACGGCAAATTTCAACCCAAAAGCAAACCACAAACTACTCGCCATGCTGGCAACCTTCACTAGTCCTCCGGCTGTCATAGCCCCCAGAAACAAGGCCAGAAAGGCCCCGATCCGTCGGTCTCTCTTGGGATTCTTCTTCACCATGAGCTCCGGATCAACAAGGAGATCGCACAGCAGTGCGGTGAGGACTACGGTAGGAATCTCGTCGTAGGCGAGAATCCGCGATGCACAGATCTGTCCTCCGGCTTGGAAGGCAAGGAGTGAGATGGGGATGATCTGCATCCATTGGATTGGGGCACGAGGATCCTCCGGTTTCGGGGACACGACCTGTGCTTCGACGAGGATGGCGGCGGTTAGAAGGCAGATGGTTTGGACGGCAAATGAAAGGACCATTGTGGAGCGACGGAGGGGATTGAGCTTTCGGGATACTTGAATGAAGAGGACGTTGCTGGTCATAAAGGTGCATAGGGAAATGAGTGCTTTGGCCCAGAGATAGGCTGGGTATCGGGGTTGGGATGATGCGCCGAGGGCTAGGAAGACAGTGTTTCCTAAGTGCTGTTAGCTAGGTGCGGGTTTGGAATTAAGTGGGCAGGTACCTGTCTGCATGCTTGAGAAGCTTCCCCATGCATTGAAGGATAGTCCGTCAACCAGTCCGCCGACGAAGCCGCAGACTACTAGCATCCAATCTGCATACTTCCTATCGATGTCGGCTTTGAAGTGTCGGGTGATGGTTCCATAGATGGTTTCTTCCCGTTGATTCACTGAGAAGGAGACATTCGTGCTATTTCCAGAGGACCAGAGGCCACCCTTGTCTTCGGCAAACCGGAGGTGTCCGGTGTTAGTGGTCCTGGGTGGGGAAGGATCAATATCATCTGGAGTATATGGCTGCATGATGTATCACAGGAGACGAAACAACTCTGGAGATATGGAGATAGGGATATTCTGAGGATAGATGATGAGACTGCATCTGATGAGCCGGGCTATGGATCTATATGTGGCAAACCATCCACGATGGGCGACCCACGACTTCCTCCACGCCAAGATGCTAGATTCGCCATCCCAACCTTATGTTGATGATGGCTTGCTTTGGAGGAATGTAGGTTTGGACAACGCTTCTGGTTCGCGCACACCGCCGAAAAGTGACGTTTCAACTTCAGCCCAAGATACCTCTGTACATGCCTCATCCTAGGAAATTGCATAGATCAGGATAGTGATGCCTCATCGGACTCCATCAGCCGACCGTGTCCAGGGATTGAAGCTGGCCCATGTTGGATGTATCGTATCGTCCGCCGGGACAGGCTCTTGGCACGGCTTGGCACGGCCTGCCAATGTGGTTCCGCTGGCGGCAAAGGCTCCTGTTACCCGCCGGTCGGGAGCGGCCAAGCTCAGATTCCTGAAACTCGATGTCTCTGGTCTGTAGCATAGTGTTGACCGGCGGGAGGCAGGGGTCTTGGCGGGTGGCTATTCCGGGTAGATCCTCATTCCCATCGGGAGGCAGCGGGAGGTGTCATCTGGGGTCGGGAGATGAAAGGGCTCGGCCTATTAAATGGTCCCAATCCCCCAGATCACGAAACAGTGGCGGGCAAATGCTCGTATTATATCAAACTCCAAGATGCACACGATGCCACCACGCCGCGGTATCGCTGTCTCGGACAGCAGGGCAGTAGACCGTGTCACCAATCGTGTCTGGCACTGCGAGCGGGCAGCAGGTGGCTTCTGGACGAGCTCCATCCCGACAGATTTTGGGTTCTTCAGCCGCTGAGCCACCCTGGGCAGGTTTCCAAGAGTGCTTGGCATCCTTGGACGTGCTGGTTGAAACCATGTTTTGCTGTGGATGTGGGCCTAGACCGATAGCCTCGTTGCACCAGGCAGATGAGGCGTCGAAATCTATAGCTCTTATCGGGTCATGCTTCCCACGACCAGTGTAGTAACCAGTGATAGTAGAGATCATGCAGACCTCGGGCTGACGAAGGTATCTGAAGCAGAGTTACCAAGCAGGCAACCATGATCACCTCGTATTGCCATGGCATTCCACCATTTGTACGTCAGATCCAGCCGGGACCGTATTCTGCACCTCAATCTAATGTAATCTGGTGGCTGTTTAGATCTCAGAGCTGTCTGAATCTAGCGGCCATTCCGATAATCTCCGCAGCAGCCAGGCCTAGAGCAGGGTTGGTCACACCGGTGAGCTTCTGACGGCATGCTGGTGAGGTTCGCTAAACTCGACTGGTCATCTGACGTATCGACTGTGTTCTTGGGGCTCTGATCGAAGCATGAGATGGGATGTCGATTGGGCGTTGGTGCTAAATGGTCGTCAGAGACCCGCCAGGTGGTGACGTAAATCCAAACGACTCCGTGGCGCGGAGCCGTTCATTATAACCGGTGGCGGCACATGACCATGCTTGGCAATATTTCTAGTAATCGGGCTCAAACTGCGGGTTCATCTGCCATGTACGTGACAGGCATTTCTTGACAGGAAGCATCTAACCATTGTACAGCCTGACGGACAGCTGACAACATCACAATCATGGCTATTGCACTAACATAACAATCATAACTAAACACAAGCTCATGTCAATGTAAGACATCCTCGTGTACACTCGGATCTTCCCATTGTTCATATACATGGACCGACGCAACGGACAGAGTGCGCGTATTTGCAGTGCCATGCGGCGCAAGCATGACAGAAGAGGCGCAGGAACACAACAACCCAATTTTCAGTGAGACTCCAGAACTCCACGCATGACCCGCGTACTGGCGTGACAAGCACATCAACAGTGTAGAGGAAATGATTACGATTATGTTCAGATAGGGTATCTTGCCGCATCTCGAGGTATCGACACGGCGGGCATCCGACTCCCAACGCCACCAGCACCTCCTCGTCCAGTGCCAGCCCGCAGGTCAAAGTCTGGGTTGTTCTCTAAAAGAACGTCCTGCGCCCGTTGTGCTGGCATGGGAGGCGGGCGCCAGCGAGGGTTGATAGGCCGCTCAGATATTGATGTGAAGTGGCTTACTTCGCTAGTAGTCGGTGAGCTGGGGCCTTCGGCCAAATCTACCATCGGTTTCCTCTCACCAATAGCACCTGGCGTCAAAACGGCCGGCAACCGCGCCTTGCCCACCGCCGACTCATTTGTTGCAAATCGAGGGTCGGCATCTTCAAAATAGTCCGCCGAAGGGGTCCGTGCATGTTGCGGTGCCCCTCCGTATGCATGGACAGGGGAGGGAGAGTGGCCGACATGGGGTGCTTCTGGAGCCCATCCAGCACGTGCAGGAGCATAGGACCTAAGGCCGTTAGTACACAAACAAAACCCGCAAGAATACTAAACAGATACTGACCCGCTGTAGAGACTTGAGGGACTAATCGGCTCTTGGTACCCATCTATCGATAGGGCATGTGGCTGGGCTTGAAGGATCACATCGTGCGCTTCGGGATCAGCAGATCCCACTCGTCGTGGCTGTGGTTGCATTTCAATGGCCTGTTCAATTGGACTGGCATGATCCGGAGACACGGCCATTCCGATCGGCCCGGGGGACGGCTGTCGAGTCGCAACGGGTGACGGGTGACGGTATTCGTACTCGTCTTCCGGAGGAGGGGTCGGTCGGGGTGCGGGAGCATAGCCACCAGGAGGGGGTCCCCGGTAGCCTCGTCCCATGGGTCCTAGATGTCCACCGCGCATTGGACCCATTGGGCCACCGTTCATGCCAGGAGGGGGCCCCCTAGGTCCTGGCCCTCCATAAGGCGCTCCGCGACCGTAACCTCCTCGCGCCGGATAACCACCTCGTCCACGTGCAAAGCCTGGTGGGGGTGGTCCTCTCCGCGATCCCATGCTGCCGTCGGAGTACTGATTGCGCAGACGAGGGTCAGGTTGTCCAGGGTGCATCCTCGGGCCCGGGGCATGCGTCCCAGCAGGGATACCGGCCTCCTCGGGCGAAGAATTGTAGGCCATTCTGTCGGCCCGCACCCGGGCATACTGATTGTCTGGAAGCGGGGGCTCGGTCTGTGGATTGCGTGAATTTAGCGGGGTGCGGTCATCATCACTGTCGTGCGTAGTGGTACGGAATGTAGCAAACGTAGGCCCCGTCTCGGACGAAGGCGGAGATCCGGTGACGACAGGCTCTTTGGTGTCCATGCTGAGGGGCGCGGGGTCGTTCAGTCCTGCTGCGGCGGCGGCAGCATTCTGGCGGTTGTAGTAGTTCTCCCCACTCATCTCAGCGTTTTCGTTAATGCGCTTCTTCCTCGCTTTGCGGCTGACGAGCGTCCGTCGCATCGCGCACGTAACCACGCCACAGGTGACAAGAAGAATAGTCGCGACCAGCACAATCCATCCCGCCCAGGCCATATGCGGCACAAACAATAGGATGTCCACCAGGAACGCCAGGAGCGACACAAGCAGAGTCGGGAGCAGTAAGATCAACAAGGCCAGCAAATAGCGGGGCGAATGCGATGGAGCATGAAAGTGAGCTGCTGCCGCTAAACACAGACAGATGAGTGTGAGAAACGCAGCGACCGGATGGACGATCAGAATAGCCGAAAGCGATCTGCGGGTGCTAGGTGCAATGCTGAATGTGCCATCTTCTGATGTTATGTCGTCTGTACAGGACTCAGCATCCAACCAATTTACTAGCTCAGGGTTTCAAGAAAACGAATAGGGAACGCAGGTGACAAACCGTCAGCGTAACCAACATGAATGCTGGTGCATACATCGCCCTTGCAGTAACCGAATACGCCATAGTCCACATTATCATGTCGCGCCAGCGCAATGCTCTTAACAATGGGCGTGGAGATGACAGATATGAGGAGTAGCGCAAAAGCGATCAACAGGAGGATGGTGAGGGGTGTGGCGGGTTTGAGCAGCATGGCGACTTAAGGAGCGGAGCGGCGCTGTGGCCGCGATAAAGACGTCGGCGGGGAATCGTCAAGAGCGGTGATGCAAATGGTCAGACGGCCACCAGCTAGATCTCGAACCAATGCAGCAAGGCAGCAAAGTAGGCTAGAAAAAGGGCGGAAGTTAGAGCATTGAGTGCGACCCTGCGAACCCTTGACGTTGCCTTGTCCTGGGGCCAGGGGAGAGACCGGAAATCCGCGACAGAAGTGGTGGCAGAGAGAGGTAGCTCAGTCAGAGGTCGGAGACAGGAAGCGGCGCAGCTCTGACGAGCAGCCCAGACGCTAACTAACTATCTAGGACAGTTGGAAGAATAACAGAGGGGACTGCATTCGAGGAGAAATTGGCAGAGGCTAGCTAACAAGCGAGAAAGAGGACCGAAAGAACGACTGGGTGAGTGAGTGAATGATGGTGAACAAACGAGCGAACGGCAGGCCTGGACTGCCAGGCTGTGAGGTGATGGGGAAGGGAAAGACGGCCTGCATCGGGGGGCCGTGATTGGCGAAGGCGGCAGCGTTTCTTAGTCATCGCCGCCACTGTGCAACGGCAGGCCCCGTCACTTTGCTTGACTGCCTTTCTGCCACTCCAGATGCTCTCAAGCGTCGGCGTGATCCTGGCGGGGTAACCCTCCTTCTCTGCTTCCCGGTTTTTACATCCCCTTGACGGTCTTGACCTTGCGTCCCTCGCATCCTGCTTTGGTCTCTTTGGTCTCTTTGGTCTCCTCAGTCTCCTATCGTGGCTAAGTCAGATAGCGCAGTCAGCAAAGCCCCTGTTCCACGCCCAGAGACCCTCTGATTCGCTGGACCACAGATAACGATGATGGGGCCGAGTCCCACGCGCCACGAGTCGAGTCGTCCGAAATGACGATGGGCCCGGTTTGACATCTCAAGCTCGGACGAACCTCTGCTGCGAAAGGAAATTGGCCATACTCCGTACACGGTATGCTGCTAAGAATAGACTGCAAGAAATCTACGTAACCACCCATGCGTCACGAGCAAGCAGACAGACACTTTCCAATTCCAAGGACCTTGCCAGCCGGGATGGAACATCCGTGCCCCATCTTCCGTCCTCAGGTACAATCTCGGTTTCGCCTACCTGCTAAGCCTATCTGGTCAGTTGTGCCGCCAAATTGTTTTAGCCAAGGGCCGGTTGGAGTTTAGAATCAACCAGTGCGGGGAGCAAATACGGATACCGAATACCCACAATCCAAACAAGCGCAATTTACTCCTACTCCATACGCTTTGGACATTTCACTATCTGACACTACCTGGGTTACTATTCAGGGTTTTCTTTTACTTACAATGATTGACCTTGACTACTATCAACCTCGAATTTTACCTGCGCTCTGGAATCACTGGAAAATTCCCACCAAGCGAAATATATTTGGCGATCCTCCGTCTTTGCTTCTGCCAGGCCCCAACAATCCTGCGCCTGCAGTTCACCACACGCAATGGTGTCACAACAACACGACTCAATTTTGAAATAGCGCCTTTACAAACCGACCATCGAATTTTCCCTTCACCAGATACGCCACTTATCTACAACGAGCCATTCACGCATACAGAGTATATCGAACCAAACCACTCTAAACATAGTACCCCTTCGGAACTCCGAAACGTAAAGTGGAGATCTTTCCCGCTTTCACACCACACCATTGGCCCATCAAATAAGCGGGCCAGTCAAGTTTTCAAATAAGGGACAGACAAGATGGCGCCATCTAAACCAGATATCTATCTACCTACCTACTCTAGAATTAGATAGAATCCCTCCCTCAGTGCAGCGCACAGGTCACTTTGACAGATAACAAGCAGTGAGCTGAGATAACACTCGCATCCTAAACAGGGTTCATCAAATCCCAACCAACAAACGAAACGGGTCTTTGCAGTAACCTTAGCCTAATCTAAAATTACCCCTTTCTTTCTTTCTTTCTCTCCCCCGTCAATGCCATGCATACCTCTGGATTTTTACCGACCGCAAAAGGATTCAACCCAGGGATCAGTTTAATCCTTGTCCTTGTTGGATTCCCGCGGGATCTTACAGCATTCACTCACTCGTTCACTCAGTGCCTAAGCGACCCCCGTTGTAGGTAGTAGTCAGTTAGTTCTATAAGGTCGCGCGTGACGGCTTAATATACCTTCCCTTCCGGTTTTGTATTCCGTAGACTTACACCCAGTATAGAATTCCCCATACAACACTCGGAAATGACGATGTCTCATTACACCTAGATAAATACATATACTATGACCCTTTCATCTCCAATATCATACATATCTTAATACATCAATTATAAGTTTATTCATCCTAGATTAATACCTAGATTTTATCCATCAAGATATATTGCTCTCTCATATATACATTCCATGAAACTATATATACTGAATAAATAATATCTAAATTCAACACGAATTCTCCACATGCAAAAACACCCCCGGTAAGCCCGACCCTTTACAAACGCCTAACCCATCCGACACCCGGACCACCGTCTGTCGCACAGAAACGGTTAGACCGATGGGGCCACATACCGCAACCGCGATTTCGCCCCCGGCTTGCAACACCGCGTCTTCGATGTAACCAGCCAGGGAAGGGCGGTTGGGTTGGAAGGATATTTGCGGAGCTGAGGGGGGGTTCTCTGTGGAGGGGAAGGGGAGGTGTTTGATTTCGTCGTCGTCGGAGGTGTTATTGTAGCTGGTGAAGGGTACGGAGGGGTTGGGATTGGGATTGGGGGTGAATTTTTCGTCCTCAGTGGTGCTGTCAGGGTCATGGGTAATGAAGATCTTGATCCGGATTTGGACGTTGGTGTTCTGGAGTTTCTGCAGGACGGCGTGCAGCTCGGCGAGGACCCATGATGCTTGGCGTTTTTTCTTAATCACCCAGATGAAGAGGACTTGGCGGAGAGGTAAAGGGCCGGTTGTGGAACGGTGTGCGATGTGGAGGAGTTGCGAGAGGGTAAAGGTTACACCTGTTCCACCGGCGATGAGTAGAAGGGTGTCGAAGGTGGTGAAATCGGGGGCGGAGGTGGTGTAGGGTCCGTCGATGAGGGCAAGGTATGAGCGGTGGTGGGGTTGGGTGGATTCGGGGTCGGAGGGTTTGTTGGCGGTGGTGATTAGCTTTTTGGTGAAGCCTTGGTGGGCTTTGAGGATGAGGACTAATTCGCCGTTGTGGGATGATGGGGTGGATAGGATGGTTGCGGGGTGGGAAAGTTGGAGGCCTAATCGGGGAAGCGAGACAAGGATGTGTGAGCCGGGCTGCCAGGTTTGGATTTGTCGAGATGTGATCCGGATTTTGGTCGCGCCGCCGTCTAAGGCTTCGAGGGTGGCGTGTGGAGGACGGGAATTGGCATAGGTGTAGTAGATGGAACGCAGGATTAAGGAGGCGATGTAGATGCCAGCGCTAGCGTAGATGTATCGTTGGGAGGTGGGAGCGGTGCCGGTGTCCAGATGGTAGGATAATGCGATCATGAAACCGAAAAAGGTGATGATGTGTTGTACGGCGAAGAATTCGTAGCTCATGTGCCGAAAAGGGGCGAGGGTGGTGAGATTCATCCACAGGATGAAGGCGTAGGCGGCAATGCCCTTGGTGGGACAGTCGTCTGTGTCCCACTCGAGTTTACTTATATGGTAGAGATCCCATCCGTGGTTTTGGAAGGCGAAATGAAAGGTCGAGAGCAGCAGAAGACCTCTCGATACCCAGCGATGGTAGACATTCAAGCGGACATACGGAATACCGCAGAGCATGCCAATCAGGTTTCGTTTGCCTGCCAGGGCCACAAGTAAGGGGACTTGGGCAGCTGCAAGCCACCCGGCACGAGCTCCAAGGAACTGCCAATGGCCAGCACCCGGGACGTCGTTGTTGATGAACTCCAATGCAATGATGAATGCAAAGTAGCAGAGGATGATGTATATGGGTCCAAATGGCGGGATCGTGAACCAAGGGGACAGAGTACGTGGTGTCCATTGGAGGTAAGATGGTTCTCGAGCCAACGCGGTGCTGGTGGCGAGGATTGTACTTGAGAATGAATAGAGGTTGGCGAGGGATGGGTTTTGGGTTATACTTGGACGGAACCTTTCCACAGGGAATCCATTAGCACCCCGACAGTTACAAGGGAAAAAGGTCAGTGAACTTGCCTCAGTCTTCGAACAATCGATGACATCCTGTTAATAAACGCCACCAGGACCACTACGACAATGACCCCATACCAGAAATATTCTGCATAACGGGCCCCCAGGATTGGCAGGTATTCCAGGTGCTTGAGCTCATGCAGAAACGTCTTGACCTGGGTGATATTGGCAAAGTCGACATCGCAGGCACTTAGGACGCCATAATACGTGCCCCCTTCCATGCCCTTCATCTGCATTTTGGCTGACGAGTCATCAAGGTGGGGATGAAGTCCATGGATGGACTTTGGCGGGGAAGTGGCAGCAGTTCTTATAAGTTATAGTCCGGGCCTGGCCCCACCCACCGGGGAGCTTAGCGTCTCTAGCGTCGGCTACGTCTCGTGGATCTCGTAATAATCTGCTCACTGCTCTCTTTTTCTCATTCTACCTATCCTATCAAATCGCAGTGGTCTGTGTTTTCGTCATCAGTTGCTTACCAATGTAATTCAAGAATGCCCATACCGAATGGTTTGCTGGATTTCCACCAACCTCATTGCGCCACTTCTTCGTCTTCTTCGTCTTCTTCGTCTTCATCAGAATATTCGTCGGAATATTCGTATCCATACAAACAAAAATTTTCATCAGAATATTCATCTTCGTCTGAATCGCCACTGTCATCCCAACGATCCCTGTAGATGCGCTCTCGTTCAATATTCACAGACTCCCGCATCAAGCATCAGTGCCAGGCTTTTAAGGGACGCGACATAGGGTGGCCATTCCTCTATCACAACGAGCGCGATACTCTCCAAGCAAGGCACCGAAGACTCGCGATGCTGGCCTAGAAACAATATATCGGCTATCAAACCAGCCAGAAATTTCCGCTGAATTTCGGTGATCTCAAGTGACTTGAGTGACCTGGGCAATAAGTCAATAAGACGTTCTCCATCTTTACTATGTTCGCCCCCGGTGTCCTCCCCCGAGAGAGTGACAAGATTGGGATGCCGTATACTCAGATGCTCCAGCACTTCAAATTCTTTAAATGAGCCAAAGGGTCCATCGAGAACTCCTCGCAATGCCTCATAATGGTCGCGAAGATAATGGCTCCTCACACGGAAATCGATCAATAGAAGACAAAGCGACTTGAGGGTTCTCTTCGCCGGCAAAAGACTTTTGCGAACCCCTTTGACCCGGGATTGATACCACTCGAGGTCTACAGCCCGACTCGGTTCTATATTAACATGAACCCGCTCGAGATTGCTGCACGCTTCGATCCATAGGCCGACTGTTCTAAAGTGGCTTGGCCCCGATACCGTAATCTCTCTCACTGGGGACCCGATATTCTTGATGCCACGGAGCTTGGGGTGCACATATGGTCTAAGGCTCTCGCGAACACCCAAGCCCTCGACACTGCGCAGAGCTGGAAAATAGAAGAAAGGGATAAGAGTCTCGGCATAGACGGGATAGTGTCCCGGTAGCTGTACAAATCTGACCTTGTTGAGATGAGGGAACGGAACATCTCGATGAAATGGGGATTGGCGCAAAGCTGCCTTTTCAAAAATCAGGTTTATGTCTAGAGCGATGGGGCAAGCATGGGCCGTGATAGTCTTCAGGCGACTCAAACGAGTGAGCAGTACACCCACCCAGGCATCTCTGTAGCCATTGTGCAGATGCTCTGTCCAGTATTATTTATCCTTGTCTGTGTCACATATCTCGGCCACAGCCTGTTCGACTAAGAGAGAACACTCGTCGGGGAGCTCAAAGCCACGAAAGCCGTCATGGGAACACACAAATTCCATATGCTGGACGTGGCGGGCCAAGTCGGGCCGAGACCAGAGCAGTCGGATGAGTGCGAAAGTGCGGGATGACTTTAGTTGGCTAGGTTTGGCGTCAGTATATGGGATGCTAGTAAATGGCTCGATAGATGAATATAGGCGTGGCATGAATAAGTTGTGGAAGTATCGGGAACACTCAGCCAAAGCCCGCTGCGTAGGCTTGTCGTCCACGTAATTCCCAATCATGCAGAGCAGTTCCGGTGGTAGATGGCGCATGTTGTCGAGTTGGGTGGGGGTCTGGTGATATGAAAGGGGAGAATAGGTGATCAACTCATACGTGGATAACCATCAGTATTTATATATCACCGGCATAATAATATCGGTAGGGACCGGTGGATCTATATTTAATCAAGGCGAGCATAAAATGAACAGGCTGCTGTGGACAATCCATTAACGCAGACACGACGATTTCCGTCTGCGGTTTCTTGATCTAGCAGTCACCTTCCTGATTAACGGCTAAGATAGCAGTCGGGGCTTGAATTCGGATTGACTCAAGGTCCCGCCTAATTCACGGTAAGCAGAGGAATCACCCGTTATATAAATGTATTTTTCTATGACAGGGGATAGTATATCCATGAACGAGGTTGATTGGCCCCCTACCGAGGCCTGACCCAAAAGACGTCAACATATTACAACTCGCCTCGCTTGCACGTCTTGAGTCATGGCTGATTGCCTGATGGTTGCTTAGTAACATGAGGTTTTTCAGCATCCGGATGAAGGTATATAAGTAGACCTTCAGCTGTGGTCTATATCCGAGATGAGGATACGTATGTCCAAGACAGGGGGTACCCGCCCAGATGGTTAGAGTTACGGTTGAGTTTATACCACGGCCCGTACAGGAAGACCGGCTTTGGCTTGCTCGACTAGAGGTATCCCTTGCAGACTATTTCAGATACGACAGTGATCCCCTGGTTCGGTCCGGAATCTTTCTCCGTTGCCAATTCATAGGAAGCGAAAAGCTGTTGACGGCATTAAACTGTGCTCTGAATATCGATGATTTTCCTTGTGTAAGCGTCAAAAAGGGAAATTTCATTCGGTCGGTAATTGTTTGTATGTATGGAGGCCAGCAGCCGAGCACGTGCCGGGGATCCGCGCGGACAGAACGCGAGTGTTTACATGTTTCCCTCCTGGGCTGCGGGTCGGCATGCGCCGTGCGGTATGCAGCCATTCGTCAGGCTGCTCTCATTCCTGCATACTGTACAGTTGGCAACATGGCCTGTCATTGTTCGATTGACACCTAGTACGTACCACTTACCGGCTTATCGCAGATCCCGTACCGACTCACGTCCCCGGAAAGGGGCAAGGGGAAGATCAAAGTTTGTTTCTTCATGGGTATTTACTATTTAGCCTCTGGCCCAGGAGAAGGCGGGAGTTTAAACTCAATAGGGGTAAAAAGCAAACATAGGCTTCCGGTCTTGTGCAATACGGAGCACCTCGGCCAAATCCCTAGAATCCGCCCGAATGCCCAGAGGTATGCGGATACTAAGGCGGCGGGGGTGACTGGGCCAGTCATGCCTGGCCCAAGTCCAGGTATGCAGGTCCACTCACGCATACACTGGGAAGGGCCAATTTAAGTCCAGCCATTTCCCCTCGTCTCGGTCACTGGGATCCGGTGCAGTACTCCGTACCAACCTGGGCCATCTATCCTCCCATTCGCTCAGGCCCTGTCCGAGTCTTCTCTGACCTAGAGCAGGACAGTATACAGCCTGTTCAGTTTGGTTGGATGGATTGACTTTCCTTTGACCCTTGTTGTTTTGTTGTGTGATCTTTTAATCACGGCTGGTCAGTGCTGATAATATGGGTCCCTTTACGCCTTCTTTTCTTCTTGTATCTACATTATGCACCCTTTCCCTTCAAGCATGGGCCGTTCCCCACGGGGGTGGGGGGAATAGTTCAAGCTTAAGCCCAAGCGTAAGCCCGAGCCCAAGCCCAAGTCCAAGCTCGGCCTCGCAAGTACTTTACTTTCCTCCGGTGACCTATGCTCCGAAACCCTCGTGAGTTTTGCGCTTTCTCCTTGGATTTCTGGCGGACTGACGGAGACAGGGGAATCCCTTTTCTAATCCAAAACCAATCGGCTCAACCTTGGCTATATCGAACCGAAGCCCCCATCACTCATCCAACGCTATCGGAAGATTCGATTTGCGTGTCATCGAATGGCACATCTGGGTATTGGTATGAACAGATTGATCACGATGGACAGTCATCTTTCATGGACTCCAAATACAAAGACAATTATGATGTCTTTCGGAACGTTGTCGATGATTTCGGTGCCGACAATACTGGTGACGAGGACGCGGCCCCTGCCATCCAAGCAGCCATCCAAGGTACAGCAAGTGAAGCACTCTGACAAGCATTTTCTAATACGGAACTTCGCATAGCCGGACCATCCAACGGGCCTGATCGTGGCTCCCATTCCATGGGAACTACCGGACAACCAGCCATTGTCTACCTACCGTCAGGGACCTACCTCATGAAATCGTCCCTACAGTTGTTTGTGGGAACCGTCATCATTGGCGATCCCACCGACCCTCCGGTTCTGAAGGCGACCTCGGACTTTGCAGACGATCATATCATTTACGGCAAGGATCCCAACTTTGGAGGCACGATCAACTTTTACATAGGGATCAAGAATATCATCATCGATTCGACAGATTTCGATTTGGATAAATCCATCACTCTCCTCGACTGGACCGTTAGTCAGGCGACTCAACTTACTAATGTCGGATTCAATATGCCCCTCTATAGCACCGCGCACGTCGGCCTGACTACACAATACGACTACAATAGTAATTTGATTCTGGTAAATGATGTATTGCTGCTCGCTCAAAACATCATAGGCTGACTGTTTGCAGAATGACCTCTGGTTCAGAGGTGGCGCGGTCGGGATGAAGTTGAATGGCCAACAGTGGGTGTTCAAGAACATATCCTTTACTGGTACCACCACCGGAGTACAAGCCGGAGGAACCGATATTGTATTCTTGGGGTGCCGCTTCGAGTCGGGCAGTGTGGGAATTGATGCGCAGGGAACGTCTGGGTCTCTGACCGTAGTTGACACGACGGGTGTCAGCATGGGTACCCTCGTCTCATCGACCAGTTCGGGCAACGCAGGCAACTCTATCGTGCTTGATAATGTGCAAAATTCCGGTACCACTGTGAAGCTCGGGGAAAGGATCGCGTGGAGTGGAAATGTCCCCGACACCTGGGTACATGGAAATCTGGTAGGTTGAGCCTGCGACTGGTTACGTCGAGGCAAGGCTGACCGAAATGACCTGTTAGTATGAATCCAAGGATGCTCAATACGAGTACTCGCAAGGGAAGATCGTCAGCACCTCCCGTTCCTCATCGCTATTGTCAGGCAAAAACTATTTCACCATGGCCCCACCAACGTATCAAGACTACGACGTTGGGCAGATTTTGAATATCAAGAATGTCCCTGGACTGCCAGTCTATGGTGACGGCGAAACCGATGACACCCGAAACATCAACGATATCCTGTCCCGCTACAAGACCTGCTCGCTCATCTATTTCCCGGCGGGCACATATCTTGTGACAGACACCATCTTCATGCCCGCTGGCACACGCATCATCGGAGATCCCTTTGCCTCGACGATTAGTGCTGTCGGAAGCAATTTCGAGGATGAGTCCGCTGTCCGTTCCATGTTTAGGGTCGGATATCCGGGCGATGTCGGCGTCGCACAAGTCAGCGATATGCTTTTCACTGTTGCAGATGTTTTGCCGGGTTGCCAATTGGTAAGAAAAGTAGTTCCCTGATTTTCGGTTGGATAGATTCTAATCAGGTGCAATCTAGGTCGAGATTAACATTGCCGCCCGGTCACCGGGAGATGTTGGCTTCTGGAACACGCATTTCCGTATCGGCGGTGCGGTGGGTAGCCAGGTCGAAAGCAAATGCACCGACAGCCCGGAAGACTGCAAAGCGGCCTATGGACTTCTGCATCTATCTACCACGTCGTCCGCCTACGTTGAAAACATGTGGGGATGGACAGCCGATCACGATCTCGATGGAGACAATCCCCAAACCATCTCCACCGGTCGGGGCGTCCTAGTTGAAGGTACCGCAGCGACCTGGCTCATTGGCACGGGATTCGAACACAACACCCTTTACCAGTACAATTTCCAGTACGCTCGCAACGTCTTTACCGCCATGCAGCAGAGCGAGTCTCCATACTGGCAAGGGCCAGGGAGTAGCGCGCTCAACCCAGCCCCGTGGGATGAGTATCTGACCGTCAGTGATCCTACCTATAGCGATTGCGCGGCCGATGACAGCAAATGCCGTATGGCACTGTTTGAGCGAATCTACGGCTCGTCGGATCTGTTCCTCTATGGAGGCTGCAACTGGGTCTTCTTTAACGACAATGGCGATTGCAGTGGGGACTGCCAGACGAATGCCATTGAGATTGCCAACTCGACTGCCATATACCTGTATGGCACGAACACGAAGAGCACGACCGACATGGTGATGGAAGGAAACAAACCGATTGCGTTGGAGAGCGATAATGCCGGCGGGTGGGGAGGAGTAATTGCCGGGTACCTGTATGATTCATAGATGGCAGACAGGGTGGAGGAAGGAGTACATACGAGTCTTGTTCCTATTGATAGTACTAACCACTAATCTTTCTTTGGCTGACAGTGACATAATCATAATAGCGCAAGGATGCGCGGTCTATCCTGATACACTATACATTGGTTCTCATAAATTGGTAAGGGGCGGTAAGGTACGGAGTATATATTTCTTAAACATGACACGGCTATGAGGTATGGATTAATACCTTTTCTCCGGGCGCATTCAGATGCACTGCATGCAGATCTTACGGAGAAGAGAGTACGGAGTACGGAGTACGGAGTAGCTAAGGAGAATATGTTTGAGACAAATAATCTGAAAATAATGCGATGGGTCATGGAATGGGGTGACCCAAGGTACCCAGGGTAGTACCCAGGGTCAGAGTGGATCGGGCCGCCAGGGATCCGTCGGTTGGATCACCTTCGGGCGCTGGCTCTCGGCCCATCTGCATCTCCATCTCCATCCATCCATCGACTCAGCGAGGGCCACAACACCACTCACACCTAGCCGCTTTGGCAGCTTCACTATCATGCCCCGTCTAAAACATCCTCCAATCGTGACCGACCAGGTTGAAGATCCCTCGGTCCTAAGGTAGGCACCAATGCCAGGTGTTGTTCGATCGGCCCTTTCCTGGTCGGGTGGCTGGGCCGGGAGGCTGGGAAACCTCGGCGGCCGTATAACCAACCACCTCAGCTGCGATGCCGGCCCAATCCAGCAGCTTCCTCCCTTGCTTTTCTACCTGCTGCCAATGTCCTCTTATTACCTCGTGGGCACGTTGAGGGTCCACATCTGGGGAATGTCCATCGGATACTTCCAGTTCCACTGCAAGTGAGCTGCGCACCGCATACATTCTTCGGTTGATTCTCGGCCGCCATGCTCGCCCCGGGTTCTGGGAATGTGAGTCTGAGAACTGTCAGTTGTAAGTAATTAATTGACTCCGCACCATCTTGGCACCCAGCCAAGCAAAATATGATGTGTCTTCGAAATCTGACTGACGGATGGCTGGCCCCTCACAGCAAGTAGGCCACAACTGATGCATTCTCAATCTCAGCAGTCCGTCGCTGCCTCGGACGACTACTACTCTTTCTCCAGTCCCTCCTCCAGTGCGAGATCCCGAGCCAGCGGCAGTCGAATCACCGTGGCACGGTATGCGACACCAAACTCTCATCCTCCGACCCGAACTCCATCTCCTAGCGTCTCTCGAACACATCTAGCCCCGCCGCCTGGTGCACGATCGGAGCATTCTTTGAGTGCCCCGAGCGAGAGCAGAAATTTTGCCACACCTGCTTCTCGGACAATACGTACAGTTGACGAGCGAGACACTGAACCGAGCCACATGTCGGATACCACTTCTCGACGGGAACCCAGCGATAGCTATGCGGGGCGACCGACTACTCCGGGGTTGGATGACTCGCCATACATTCATTTCGCCATCAGCCAGCTCACGCGTGATGAGGAGGTGGCCGGCCCCAGACGGCGAAGCTCGGTCACTAGCAATGATAATCCCCTCGAGCCACTGCTTTGGGATGAAGGATTAGGCTGCTTTATTCGCTCACCTGGGCCGTCGACAACACCAGTACGGCCACCGCAACAATCCTCGGATTCGATAGGGAGGGCCGCTCAGAGCTCGGTGGACCCGGAATCATTTGTTGCGGTTGAGCCTCCGGAGGATAGCCTGCTGTATCCACCATTGGACTATGTGCCTGTTGTCCTACGAACATGGGCCCTGGCAGCGATTATCCTATGCTGTTTGCTCATGATTGCGGGGATATCTTTCTGCAATGTGTGGTCTCAACGGCATCCAGGGCTCTGGGACTACACGGGATTAGGTGGCTCGCACTATTTTGTGATGCAATTTCTCCCTCAGATTTTGGGAATGATCATCACTATTTGGACGTTTGTGATCCAAGCTGCCCTGTATCGAACCATGCCGTTTGCCATTATGGCGTCAGAAAGGCCTTTCGGTTACGTTCTGCAGAACCTGCCGATCTTGTCGCAGAATTTTCTGATACCGGACTTTTCCCATTTCCGACATGGAGAGGCAATAGTCGGGTTTTCACTATTCACCATGTGGCTCTCAAACGTGATCACGCTACCGCTGCTTAGCTGCCTCTTTCAGGCGAAGTGGTACTCGATAGATGGGGAGGGGACTTGGCGGTGGGCTTCAGTCTTAGAAGTCGGATGGACCCTCGTGGCTATTTACGCCTTGTTGGCGATTGGACTGATCCTGCTCATGTTTCGTTTTGTGCGCACCTGGTCCGGCCTGATGTGGGACCCTGTGAGTCTCGCCGACTTGATTTCGATTATCCAGCGATCGAACATTTTGCACGATTTTGAACAGTCCGAGACGTTGCCGGATGTGGGTGAATCGCTGGATCCACGACTTCTCCGATTAGGATACTGGAAACTATCTAGCCGAGCAGAAACATTCTACGGCATCGGTGAAGTGGATGCACCCGTTCGGACGCCGTCTTTACATCGCAAAGAAAAGAACCTCCAGATGCAATCGCATGGCCTGTCACGGGTATCTTTCGACCTTGAGCAGCATGATCTTACGGAGAAGGAGGAGTATTATCAACACCTGTACTCGCCGGCTATCCGCTACCGCTGGGTTCCATGGTTCCTTCGCGACGGCTTTGTGATTCTGTGGACGGTAATTGTTGGTGCCTTATTCATTGCATTTGTGCTGGTCAGCTTCATTCACGATGCGATCAAGGGCGGATTTCCCCCGCGTTTGCCAACATTACCGTCGACGGGCGCCTTCTCCTCGTCCAACTTCTGCTATAGCTTTGTCCCGGCGCTGATTGGGAATATTTTCTTCCTCGCGTGGCAACCCATCGACGTCTATTTCCGTGCGCTGCAGCCATTCGCGACTTTATCCTCTCCGAACGGTGCTCGGGCAGAACACAGCCTTCTATTGTCTTATCCATCGTACTATCCGTTCCAGGTGACCATTTTGGCCCTCCTCAATAAGCACTACAAGGTGGCTTGGATCTCGTTTATGAGCACGATATCAGCTGCCATTCCTATCCTGGCCGGAGGGGTATTCATCGCCTTGTACCACCCATCGGATGACGCGATTCGGATCTCGGCATTGATGCCAGCGTTTTATACCATGGTAGCTTTCTGCGCATTATACATGCTTTCTTTTCTGTGCATCTGGCCTCGCCGCTGTCGCCGTTTGCCACATGAGGTCAACACACTGGCCGATCAGATGAGCTTCCTCTACCAAAGCCCATTGCTCGCGGATAAGATACTGCGGGAACCGAGAAGTAAAGCAGATCTGGTGACTCGATTGGTGGTCGCACCACCCGGGGATCGGGAGCATTCCATGTACGGCTTTGGGATCTACGTGGGTAGAGATGGAAAGGAACATCTGGGCATCGATCGCTTCGACCGTCCTGGGCGGGCGGATATGTTGATTACCACGGGGTGTATGAGGTAGGAGCCTCGAATCCGATACGTGGTTGTATGATGATTGGGTGGAGTTTTGCATCGCATTTCCACGAGATTATGCCTATTTTGCTATGATTTATGTGTTATGATCAGCGACGAACTCACGATAGAGTTGCATACCCTTGACTGCACTGGTTTATTAATGATAATGTGACTGCGATGTATTATGAGTTGATGATTGATGGGTCTATCTTTTTTGGTTTATGCTTACTCCTACGGGAATTTGCTTGATATCCTGACAGTATTGTGATTTCGAATGAACAAGATTAATTCTATACTTCATATTTCCACTATAAGATGATGTAGTTATCCGTTATGCTGACATATGCCGAGTTATGAATCTTATCAGGCGATAAGATGCTGACTCATGCCACGTGAGTGATAAGCTGACAGGCAGTCGTTTATCCGCACAGCGGATTTGTCTGGTGGAAACAAGACAGCTAACAGTACGGTGAGATCCGAATAATGGGCTTAGTAAGGTGCGTTCCGAGAGTGTTTGTGCTTGCGTGGAACGACCGCTCGGCTGCATACATCAACGATTAGTCCAACATCATGGTATACGGCGGGAAGCCGAGTACCGGCTGTCAAAACTGCCGGAAACGACGCATCAAGGTATGCTCCACACGCTGATTGGTTTCTTTGCTGACGAGTTAGTGTGATGAAACTCGTCCTCACTGCAAAGCATGTGTTCGGACGGGCCGGTCCTGTCCAGGCTACCCTCATCCTCTTGATGTTGTGTTACGGGACCAGGTAGCATTCCATCGCAAGAAGCGAGATACGCCCAGTAGTACAATCTCAACTCCTACGGTGGGGTCGGAGTCAACTCAGCCGTCACCAACTCCGATCACCTTAACCGATGCTTTTTCCGACGGCAGCTCTAATGCAGGTACGCCGTTTGGTGCCCTACTGCGTAGCCCGCCGGCGGTCCCGAGAGGCCTGTTTTTATCTACGGAGGATACCGTGACCTCGATGTTTTTTAACTCATTCATCTATTCGCCTCGAGATCCGTTGATTCTGCAGGGGTTCATGGATATCCTGCCGGATGTTTTCTTTTATACGCAGCCCGAATCTCCCCTTCACCTCGGCACTTTGGCTGTGTCGTTTTTTTCCGTGGCTGCCTGGACGGGTAATCGGGCGTTCCTTCAGTCGGCAGAGCAGCTGTTCGTCAAGACTCTGGCCAAGACCAGGAAGGCGTTGCAGGGAGATATCAGTCAGAATGTGGATGATATACTAATGGCTATCCTTCTACTTTCGACCTATGAGGTGGGTCCTTCGACGCATGGTATGTCAGCGATGCTCACCTGCCGTAGGAGTTTTGCGCGTTGAAAGAAGGTCGCCAGCCAGCGAGAACCCATCTGCGCGGCGCCGTTGCTCTGGTAAATAGCAAGAGCCCGGCCCAGCGGTCGTCGATCCTGTCGCTGACATTGGAGACCTCCGTTCAAGTCCAACTGGTATGTTCTGGTTCTTGATCGAGTTCGTCAACTAACCAACCAGGTCAAATCATCCAAAGGACTCGCCTATCCCACCATGCCAGCGCCGAGTGCATGGCCGGTGTCTCCGGAAGCGCCTCAGGCGGCGACATCCCAGCTTTGGATGTTCACATCGGAGCTCGCCAGTCTCCGACAAGCCTGGGATCAGTTCAACTACGAAGGTGCACACGATATTAAAGAGATCCATGATCTTCTAGCATGGGCATACCGCCTCGACGCATCTCTGGAAGCCTGGACCTACGCCCTCCCGGCACACTGGAAGCCCGTTCCGGCCACCTGCATCCCCCAATCCGTTCGACAGGCCGGCATGTACAAGAACCGATGCGACTGCTACACTGACATGTGGGTGGCAGGCACATGGAACTTCTATCGGGATTCCCGGATTGTGGTGCAAAACATCATTCGCTGCTGTCTGGCGCTGCTGCCGGGTGGTGCACCGGAGCAGATCCAGGCGACCATCGATATGACGTACAAGCTGGCTCTGGATATCTGCGGCACGGTGCCGTACATTCTTGGGAGTCAGACGATGTCGGTGCATGTGGGTCAGGAGAAGATCGAGTATCCCGAGGCGGATGGACGGCGGGGGACACTGGCCCATCACCAGACTGCCGGGCTGATCGGGGGGTGGGTGGTGTCGTCTCACATGTCCAACATACAGCTATTCTGTGGGAACGAGGAGTTGAATGCATGGATCGCTGAGCAAAAGGAGCGGGTGCTGCGGATATATACATTTGGGAGGCAGCCTGCATAGTGCATTGCCGTATATGAATCTAATGTTAATACTAAATAAACTCAGGCTCCTACCACCAACTGGTCACGGAACATACCTCGCAGTTGCTAGTAGTGAATCGACATCCTCCGATAAATCACGTAGGCGGTAAGATTCTGCCGACCAACACTTTGTAGCCTCGAATCCACTCCTCATCACCTCCAACTCACCCCCTATCAAAACATCGCCGTCATGTCGCATCACCATCCAGAGCAGACCAGGTATCCGCCTGGCCCTTCATACAGACCTATGCCCCGCCGTGACGACCGGGACGGCCGCATGTACGACGATCGATCGCCCTCCCGATCGCGCTCGCCTGGCGGTATACGCTCTCCTCCCCGCAACCAGTAACACAGAGCGAATGCTTTCCTTGGACAAGCCGCCCACTATTCTTCAGATCTAGCTGTTACTAACTCACTTCCATGCGAAGATCCCCGCGGTCGCCTCCCCGAGGGCCAGCCGCGGACAGAAGACCCGAATACTCCAGAGACCGGTCCCGTTTCCGCAGTCGGGACCGCGATGATTACCGACGGCACTCGCGCTCTCCTCCCCGACGAGGTCGACCAGCATACAAGGATCGTGATCGCGAGGGCTATCGATCCCCGGGATACCGCAGTCGGAGCAGAAGCTACAGTGCCAGCCGGAGTCGCAGTCCTCGTCGCAGTCGACAACCGCATTTTGGACACGAGAGCAGAGAGGTCATGATGGATGGGTTGCCGGTGGATATGGTGGAAGAAGACGTTCGACAAGTCCTTTCCTTGTTTGTGGAGTAGTGCTGTGCGATATAAATTGTTTGGTTGCAGAAAGCTGAGATTGCTTGGCCGGTTCCGGTCGCGTGGTTTAGATTACGAATGAACTGAAAGAGTTCTATCATGTTGAGGGCCTGGATGATGTCCGGGTTATTCGTGATCGGCAGACGAGTGAGTGTGGTGCTTCGTGTGGGGTGCTAGGCTAATGGGTCAGAACTTTCCCGACAATTGGGATTTTTGCGATTCCGGAATTTGAACCTCTCCCGCGCGTTTGTCGAGCGCAACTTTCCAGCGATCTACCTGCATGGGTCGAGTGCACAGAATGACCGCGGCACCAAGGTGCGCATCGCATACAGCCGTGAAAGGGAAGATCGCGCTCGTGCGAGAGCGGAGGCGGATTGGAACTGCGTGATGGTATGTCAGAAACAAGGGTGAGGATGAAGCTAACGCATGCAGTGCGGTATTGTCAACTATTCGACTCGCCAGAAATGCTTTAGGTGTCAAGGGCCACGACCTGGTATGTTCTCTTGCTGCTTTGATGGAGGTTACTGACGGAGTAGACGCTGGCCCGGCAGGTCCCCCTGGGTTGCCAGCTCCCAAGGTGGAGAATCATGGCGACAACGATGCGGCACCGGAGAACCAGCCCTCTCAATTCCTTCTTTTCCGCGGACTGGAGCCTACTGTCACAGAAGAGCTGCTTGCTAAGGGGGTTGCCAAGCTGTACCGTCCTACGGCTACTGGTGATGTTCCAGGAAATGGGAAGAAGGGGGCCAAGGTCGCGTCGACAACCGGTGACTCTAACCTGGGGGCTCGGGATGGCTCCATCCGCCGTGTTCTTCTGGTGAGAGACCGCCGAACTAACGACAGTTGGCGCTACGGATTTGCCGAATTTGCGACTATCCAGGTATGTCTATGCCTTCTGACTCGACCCTGCTAATTCGTGTAGGATGCACAAGCAGCCGTTACCCGTCTGAACTCGTTTGAAAAGTTCACCATCTCATCTCGACCGGTTCTCGTCAGTTACATTCACGCGGGTGTATTTGTTCCGGTCCTCAATCCCACCGGTGCGGAACGATTCACGTTCAGCCCTCTGAGCAACCCATCTCTCAAGCTTATGTACTGGGATGAAGAAGCCTACGTGACCGAACTTACCGTGTCCACGGCAGAGCTTGACAATCCGAAAGACAAGCCCGCCAACCAACCCGAGAGTCAAAAGTCCAAGGATGATAAAGCCAAGAAGCGCAAGGCTGAGGCCGCGGCTGCAGGGGCCAAGAAAATGGCGGTGCCATCGCATTTGCAGTTCTGGAGCAACCGTCATGCCGAGTTGCATGGGATCCAGAAGAAAGACGCGGACGACAAGAGCACGGAGCATGGCTCGGACCGTGGAGCGTCTCCGGATGCTGCGCCGCCCACGCAGTCCTACGCGGATCCCAGCCGCAACTGCTGCTACTTGTGCCTGCGGCAGTTCAAGTCCTCGGCCGAAGTCAATCGCCACGAACGTCTGAGCCAACTGCACCGGGGGAATCTACAAAACGAGGAACTGACCACCAAGGCGATGGGCAAGCTGATCAAACACGGCATTATCGCAGCACCTACCGAGTACCGTGACCGGGCACGAGAACGCCGCAAGGCATTTGGCAGCAGACCAGTCAAGACTCGGCCGGCCCCGGCCCCGGCCCCGAAGGAAGAGGAGCCACCAGTCCAGCAGACCTCCAAGGGCGCCTCCCTCCTGAGCAAGATGGGATGGACGGGAGCTGGTCTAGGTGCTCAAGGCACCGGGATGACAGCTCCGATAGCCACCGAGGTATACGCCCAGGGGGTGGGACTGGGAGCGCAAGGAGGGAAGCTGGGCGATGCCACCGAAGAAGCAGGACGGAATACGCGCAACCGGTACGACGAATTCCTAGCAAAGACGAAGCAACAGGCACGGGAACGCTACGAACAGATGGACCGATAGATACATGCAGCAGCATACCAATACAACGCATCCATAATAACAGAGTGGAGTAAACTAAAGAAGAGTAGAGATCACACCGGGTATCAACACCTCACTCCCCCTTCTCCCCCCTAGCCTTCTCCTTCTCTTTCTCCTTCTCCTTCTGCAACTCCCTCCCAAACCTCTCCCCCAACACCCGTTCAACCCACCCCTCCACCTCCCTCTCCAACTCCACATCTGCCTCCCCCAACACCCCCCCTCCCCTTCCCCCTTCCTCACAAACCGCCTCATATCCTCCACCCCATTAATATCCAACGCATACAGAACCCCCCGCCCGCCATCATACTAAAACTGAGCACGTTCATAGTAGCCAGATGTAGTGCCTCGAAGGCTTCCGCCCCGCCACTGACTTTCGGTTTGTGGTAGATGCTGCTGGTGTAGTAGGGGGGTATGGAGGAGAGGAATTTTCGGGTTGTGGCGCGGCGCGTGCTCCATAGGCTGAATGTGAAGAAGGCGAGGCCGGAGAGGAGGAGTTTGAGGTTTGTGCGGGGCGTCCAGAGGAGGGGGAGGGGGGGGTTTATTTCGTCGCTGGGGGAGCGGGTGTAGCTGGGTTTGGTGTTGGGGGAGGTGGTTGAGGGGGTGGTTTGGGGGTTGGTGTTGGTGTTGGTGTTGGGTCGGAGGATGAGGATGAGAAGAGTGAGGAGAAGAGCATTGTGTATGGTGGTGTGGTTCGATTGAGTTATGGAGGATGTGGCAATCGTAGACAGTCAAGTAGAGATGTAATTGGGACAGGATATGACTCGTCCACAGGTAAGAGAAAGGAGGAGTAGCGAGAGCTTAGAGTAGAGGTTTGTGATAGATGCAGCGAGATGATTCTGTGGGTACGGAGCGGAGCGGAGAACCCGGAGATAATGACCAATTGGGAATGGTCATGTGACTAGCTCGATGGTTACATCCATCTTATTGATTGGTATGACAACTGGTGAGATCTGGAGATGACAATTCTTGGCAACTGCTACATGCCATGGTATTCGTCTGGGAGGGGGATCCTCCAGTGTCTGTCCAGCATTGAATGTGGCTTGAATGGTATGGATCTCTGTCGTAGTGCTCTGGTTACACTTTGGTCTTAGTACGGAGTAGATTTGTTCAAATAGAAGAGTGGTGAGTCCCGGCCATATAGCAATCTTGGCATTTAGCATGTTGTGATTCATCTTGTTTCTTGTAATGCTGAAATTGTACTTGAAGAGATTCCTACTGCCAGGTGTAGTTACTTTTATCCATCGTTTAACAATTAAATTGGCTGGTCTTTATATCTGCTACTCATCTGCACCGTCACAGGCATGCCGTTTTGTAGGGCTGAGGTCTGCAGCCGAGCATCCATCCATTCATCTGGGTGGTGTTCATTTGCGATGGGTGGGTTGGTGATAGGATACCTTACTGGATGATTTGATCCAACTGATATCCCTCTTTATGCAAATCAAATTCCAATAGATCAAACTAGCTCATCCTCATCAATAAAATATCAACCAGAATCAGAACCAGAGTCAAATGATCAATAAGAACGACACAGTCCATGAGAACAACATCCCCGCTCACAGTCCATAGTCACAGACCAGTTTCACCAGTTCGTTCATCAAGACCTTGACCATACTCCCCATCACCAAAGTCCTCTCCCTCTCCGTCCACTTCTCCATCATCACCAGTATCAGATCCTATACATATATAACATCAGTATTCACCAGCAGCTACAAACCACCAAACCAACCAAACCAACACAACCTATATGCAAAAAGAGAAAGAACATACCCTAACAAGCCCTACAAGCCCCCCAGTAACAGCACAAGCCATTCGGACAAGGCTTGGATTTCGGTCGGCATTGAGGACGGGAGTGTTTTCTTTCTGTTAGGGTGGATGTAGATGTAGATCCTGGGTTGGTTAATACCATCCTGCTTTTCCTGTCCAGAAGAGAATCCCCGGGGGAAAAGAAAGGAAAGGCACATACTCTTCTCCACCTGCACCTGTGCCTCATCCCCATCATTACCATCGGTGAAGCAATAAGCAAGACAAACCCCTCGATAACAACATCCGCCGTTTTTGCAGGGGCGGCGGCGATGGCATTGTGGGTTTGCTGCATTCATACTAATACCATTATTCTTGCTAGTAACCGTGTCGGTATCTGTGTTTGATTCTGATTATACATTCATAAATTAGTAACATTGCATATTCCCATCGGTAGAGATAAAGGTAGTGAAGGTGTACATACCAATACCATCTCGAATCAACTCCGTATGATATTCATGAGGGCAATATGCAAGACAGAGGTTGTTGTAGCAGCATCCGCTTTCGCAGTCGGAGGGGTTGTGGCAGGGGGTGGTGGATATCACTATTATATTTGAGAGGAGTTAAGGTTTGGTTGGGGAATGGTGAGGAGGAGAAGGGGGATGGTACAGGCATCGGTGTTGGCGAGGGTGGAGGCCGAGTTGGAGGCTGAGTTGGGGAGGGCGGAGGTTATGAGGGTTAGGGTTAGGGAGAGGAATAAGAGGAGGAGTTTCATTGTCGTTGTGATGATTGGGTTCAGGTTGTAAGTGTGTGTGTGTGTGTGTGTGTGTGTGTGTGTGTGTGTGTGTGTGTGCGCGTGTCTGTGTGAGAGAAGGAGAGAGTTGGGGAGGAGGAAGAAGGAGAAGAGGAGGGGGGGAGGCTTTTATCAACGAGGTGGTGGGTGGGTGTGAATTGTTGGAAAAGTGCATGTGGGAATAATGTGGATGAATGTGGTATGTTGATGAATAGTAGGGTTGAGGACGTGATAGAATATTTGCAACAAAGGAATGGATCTATCTACCTAGTAAATAACCCCGTCGCCATGCTTTATCAAATAACTTCACTTCTCGGCCTTCAATGCCACGACTTTGACGCTCCCCCTTGGTACGTCTCTCTCAAATCACCCACCATCCTGACACCGGCTGCAACTCAGTCCACCCTCCATCAAACCCATCGGGATGGTACAAGACTTCAAACCCCACCAGCCCAGCCACAAACCTCACCCGACGCCTGATTCCCTCCTCATCAATACAAAACGTCTTGAAGGTCGCATATGACCCTGGAAAAGTCGACATTTGAAGCGGAGGATATGACACTCCATCAAATTCCACCACCCTTTCCTCCGGATTAATCACAGGCGGAATACATTCACCATCTACATCCCAGAAGCAGAATGCCGTGGCCCAGCCAGCGACAATCATCGTCATTCCGGCCTCGCGCTTCTCACGAAAGCACCAATTCCAGAAATAATGACATTTCCGCAGATTGCCATCAAACGATGTGACAAATCGACGCAGTACCGGACGAAGGTTGGTAGCAAATCTCCTTGGTTGCTCGCCCCAGGTTTCAATCATCTCCAGTCTCGTCAGTAACGCTTCCCAGTCCGTCCGCTCGCCCAACAGCGTCAGCGATTGAATTCCACGTGGCCATATGTAGGGGCACGGAAACTGGAAGCATTGTGTGATAGCGCCCATCACCAGTGTAGACGCTGTCACTGCGTCATCCTCAGTTGTGGTGCTGAACGACGGGAGTGCCCAAGCCCTGACTTCTGGATCGTTCACATGGTGCGCCAGCGCGGCTTCCATATAATTCGCCAAGGCACTGACAGTTGACTCGGGATGGATTGGGGGCATGCGTTGACTCGGGCGGACAAAGAGGTGCCGGGATTCCTGGGGATGGGCGTTCACGTACAGGTTCAGTTGGCTGAGGATGGAGAACCAGATGTCTTCGGGACGGATGGTGAGTTGGTGGTGGTTGCAGTAGGCGTTATACAGGGCTTCAAGGAACCCATGTTTCCATCCGATTAGGCGGCGCGCCTCGAAGTCGACATTGTCAAATGTGCTATTGATTATTTCGGTCGTTTCAACAGTGTCACCGAAGTTGGTTTGTCCAAAGAACTCGAGTCCGTTGGCGGCGCCGGGCTTGCCATTCCATCCATGTGGGGGGATACCAGGGAAGGTGAGTGTAATAGGCATGTTAAGTAGGGACTGTATTAACAATATGATAGGTTATGAGATGCTTAAGGAATGCAGAGGTTGAGCTGGGGCTGGGCCGTCTTATCAAATTAACAGGCTGCCTGAAACAGAAAGCACCACTTAGGTTGGTGGATGTCATACCTTCCAGTATGGCACTGTTATTTCCATCTATGGGCTGCTTAAAACCATCTGGCTATAAGGAAGTGTTGGCACTTCCTATGCACTCGTCTATTGGTCTGCTATCTATGAAGTTGGGACATAAAGATGAAATCTAATAGAAGGAATGGAAGGAATACAAATATCATAATCAATCGAATGGATGTGATATTCAACCTGATATTATCCTCCAAGATATCTTGACCTAGGCTTCCACAAGCAGAACAACCGATTCATACGGCCGAAGAGACCATTTCTGCCTCGAGAATCTCTCCTTTACTTCGTCTGCACCTTCATACGAGTTCAGGAGCACCGCCTTTACCCCCTTCACACCATTGGCAGTAGAATCCCACTCCAGAGTTCCCTCCGTCCAGTTAGTGAGCACCAAAGCCTTCTGATCCTCATACTGACGGGTGTATGCAAAGATATCCTGGCTATCTTTATCCACCAGTTCATAATCACCATAGACAAAAATATCCAGGTACTTCTTGCGCAGTGCTAGGACCGAGGCCCAGTAGTTGTAGGTTGAATTTGGATCATTCACCTGCGCTTCCGCATTAACTCGCACATAGTCCGGGTTGACGGTCATCCAAGGCTTTGCATTGGGACCGGTGAATCCACCGTTTGGCGCATTGGACCACTGGACCGGTGTGCGGCCATTGTCTCGGGATTTCTTCTGGTATTCCGCCCGAGCGCTTTTTTGTGCCTCCGTGTCTGTTGGCCTATGCTTCAAGAGTCTGACAGAGTTAGTCTATTTCTTCATCGAGGTAGAGATACGAACCGGTGCCAGTGATTAAGACAGTCAATGTCCTTGTATTCACTAATGTCCCACTCAGGCGGAACGTTTCTCATTCCTAGTTCCTGCCCCTGGTACACAAACGGCGTACCAGACTGCAAGGCGAGAACAGTGGCCAGCATTTTACCTGCCTCGGTGCGGAACTCCTCCTTTGCTTGTGCATAGCGATCAATCGACCGGGGCTGATCGTGGTTCTCCCAGTACAGTGCATTCCAACCATCGTTGGCGTACATGAACTTCTGCCATGTGTCAAAAAAGGCCTTTAGGTCGGTGAGCTTCCAACTTCCAGGCTCGAACTTGTCGTATGTGCCGTGATCAATGTCCACATGCTCAAAGTTGAAGATCATGTTGAGTTCATTTCGGTCGTAGCGCACAGCGCGAAGGACCTCCTCGGTGTCCTTGACAAATGGCATCTCACCGACACTGAACGCGTCATACTCCTTCAAAATCTTCCCCAGGTCTTGGAAGTATTCATGTAGTCTTGGCCCGTTGGCATAATATTTATCCCCCCACTGCCAAGGAGTTCGAGGATCCTTGACAGGCGCATCTGGGAATCGTTGGTCTTTGCTAACAAAGTTGATGACATCCATACGGAATCCATCTGCGCCCTTGTCCAGCCAGAAACGCATGATATCGTGGACGGCCTTGCGAACAGGTGGATGTTCCCAGTTCAGGTCGGGTTGTTCGGTCGCATACAAGTGGAGGTAATATTCCTGGGTATGCTCATCCCATTGCCAGGCGCTACCTAATTGCAGTCAGCAAGATACTCGAAACCAATGTAAGAAATAGTATATAATTCACCCTGAAAATGCGACACCCAATTATTCGGGGGCTGTCGGTTCCCCTGCTCATCGTACCTCGCCGGCTTCCACACATACCAATTCCGATACTCATTATCCTTGGAGCTGCGAGATTTCTGGAACCATTCATGTTGATCACTGGTATGGTTGACGACCAAGTCCATAAGGAGCTTCATTCCACGGTCATGACACCCCTGAATCAACTTCTCGACATCCGCGACCGTGCCATACTCATCCGCGATGCTGTAGTAATCGGCAATGTCATAGCCCATGTCCACCTGAGGCGACTTGTACGACGGACACAACCAGACAATATCCGCCCCTAAGTTCTTGATGTAATCCAGCTTGGAGATGATACCGGGAATGTCGCCGATGCCATCATCGTTGGAATCTTTGTAGGATGCAGGCCAGATCTGATAGACCGAGCATTCCTTCCACCAGGCGCGGTGGATCTGAGAGGCGACCTTGCTCATGGTGTTGGTGTGTGGGTGGTTTGGTAGGATGAAGAGGACTGGGGGAAGTGGTCTCTTATCAGGAAGGGGAGGGAGGACAGGTTGGCTGCCCCTCCATGCATGGGCACCGCGGGGCAGCTGCTTCAGCTCATTCAGCGACCCTCGTGCGGAGAAATTCTCGGTGGATGCTCATCCACCGGTCGCATTGGTCTACCACTCACACCCCGCGATGTGGTGGACCGGGATTTCAATGCCAGCGTACCCACCTCGTCGTACCTGGGATGATGTTGTAGATACTTTTCCCGGAGCCTGACCAACAGTGCTGAAACTGATCCCCGATCTACTCTCCGCGTCACGGAATGATGCCACTTGGCGGCGCTTTGAACCCTAATTATAGCTATTTCTACCTGTTATTTATGAAAGTGCTGGGAAATTCCAAGGTGGGCGCATCACGCCCATGTCTTCAATAGTACCTCACAATGTTCGCAGATTATCAACCGGCATACAATTGATCGCTCAGTTCTCGTGAGAAAGCTTCGAGGTAAAATGCCTAAGAATGCAGCCAACCCGGCTGTTTATCCAATGACATGGTTCCATGTCAGTGTGCATGCGGTCCTTGAAGTGACCGATAACGAGCGGGCAGCAAGTTGCATTCCGCAGCTCACCCTGTCGGCGCCCTCAACGTGTATCCCAGGATAACATAATAACAGAAAGCACGCAATCTCAGTCTAGAAACATATACACTCTATCATCATACATCTCTCACATCATACTCATAATCGTCCCAACACCCCATCTATACATGTCCACATAAAGTCTCCGCATCTCATCGTACAAATATCCATAGTCCTCTTGGAGGCCAGCGGTAATCAGGATCCTTCACTCGGTGGAAAATTCGTTAATGCAGTCGAAGAGCGCCATCGCGATCCTCGGCTCTGTCAAAAGCGTCGGTGATGCGAGAGCCTTCTCCCTCATAGAGGAGCGAATCGTAAACAGTAGCCCCCAGTATGCAACCAACAATCGGAGCGAAAATCGGCACCACGAAGTAGTAGTTCGCGGCGGTGAATACCTCCCTGCCATAGATGAAAGCGGAGAACAGTCTCGGGCCAAAGTCTCTTGCGGGGTTGATAGCCTGCACAGTCAGCTTAGTTCCATAGGAAGGAAGAGGACCTTACATAACCAGTCTGCCAGCCCAGAGCAGCTCCAATAGCAAGGAGGAGGAAAAACACCGTCACCTGAGGCGAATGAAACCTCGTCGCATTGGCCGGATCCGAGATACTCAGACATCCAAACATAAGCACTGCCGAGCCAAGCAGTTCCGAAAACGCGGCCTCCCAATTTGACTCAAAGAATGCAGCAGGGTAAGTCGAGAAGATACCGGCAGAATGGTGTCCACGGGGACTCAGGATCGAGCCACCAGGAATGGTAAACTCCGGATCCCAGTCTTTAATGGCAGAGCGGTAGTTGATATATACGATGGTAGCGCCGACAAAACCACCGAGGAACTGGGCGAAGAGTTTGCCGGGGAGTTTGCGCCATTGGCCAGGGGTAGGACGGACGAGGGCCATGCAAATGGTCGCCGCAGGGTTGATGGAGGGACTGGGGTCAGAAAGATAACCTGAGAGGCAGACAGCTGCAGCCCAAGCAATGTTGATCGATAGCCAGGTGCCATATTGGTAGTCGGATAGGAGGCATTGAGCGACGACACCATCGCCGACGACGATCAGGAGAGCCGTGCCAAGGAACTCGGCGACGTAGGGCTTGAGGGCCCTCCGCGAGAGGCCAGTGTTGAGAAACATGGTTGCTCGGTTTATCGCCCTCTGGATATGTCAATTAGGGACAATGACAGAGGTACCGTGGTAGCAGTGGTCTGTTTTGGAGGTTTGTTGACGGGAAAAAGAGAGAGGGGCCAAAGGAGTTCGAGTGCCGAGTACGTCATGTCATATCTCGCCCTCCCTCACCGCCAGTGTCGGACCTTCCTATCCTAGTTTAGCGCGTTGGAGATAAAGTGTGGCTGGGCCCCACAGGGTCCTCTGATACCTGAGGCATCAAATATGCGCACAGGGTGCTTTTTGGACAGTGCTCTCATTGATCTTCATCTGAACAATGTATTAACATCAGACTCATTATTCGGCTTGTAACTATTCAATCTGGTTGACAATGGCCGAAGGCAAGGCAGTATACCCATAAATCAAGAGCACGAAATACTAATTACTCCCCCGCGGTATCAACCCTTCAAATGCCTCGCCCTCTCCGGATCTGCCAACATGTCTATATTCCACCTCGGATCTTCCGAGTCTTGTACCGGCGCCCATCCAAGTTGAATCTGCATCACCTTCTGATCCCAATCCTTGGTAAAACTTTTAATCTTGCCATCCTCAACCTCAAAGATAGCAGCAGCACTCCACCTCGCTTTTCTCGGAGGATCCGACCTCTCAATTCCCTGGTACGGCTTGCCGGCATGCGATCCTTCAGCTGTATAGCGGAGCAGAACATGTCCGTTCTTCGCCCATGCCTGGTCGTATCGGACGATGTGCAAGTTGTTGACAGATTCCATGACGTGGGCGTGCGATTCAGCATAGTCCATCGGTGTAGAACAGCCGGGGAAGGTGGAGGGACCCCAGAACCAGCTGTCCGGGGTGCAAAGGTGGCGGACGGACTCGGCTCCTTTGTTCTCGGTTGGAGAATAGGCGATTGACATGTATTCTTTTGCAACGGCAAGATTGGCCTAGAAAACGCTGTGTTAGTAATGGATCAATGTGGGTAAAATCAGTAAACATGCCTCTTCCTCCGAGGTCTGTGGTGTGGAGATCATGGTGGGTGGTTGTGAAGACATAACGATAAGTTATGATTTACAATTGGTGAATAAAACCATAAGTGATCTACCATGCAGCTGCTCCAACCCGTCAAGGCGGTTTATATATTTTGATTCTCGGCACTGTGGTCACAATGACGTCGTAGAACAATCCGCAGGTTTTTGTGCTACGAGTTGATATCCTGACAACTGTAACCCAATTTTCAGAGCCTGTCCTTGTATTCCTAGCATAGTAGCTCAAGGGTGGCCCTAGCTGAAGTGGTCGGTGGTCGGTGGACAAGAAACAGTCAAGTGGGACTGCTTCAGCGAGCGGGGTAAAGCTATCAGGCATCCCATGCCAATCATCGCCATGACCCCGCCTCCATCTCCTCCATGTTGATTGGAAATACAACGTAGCTTGTCTGGTAGATGGGTCAGCCGGGGACGGGCCATTGCCGACATCCCGAGTTATCCGTTCACTATAAATGGTGTCTCCGTACCATGTCGGAGTAACAAGGATCCAGATAATCTCCGATGCGTTTGACAAACAATGCTGGCCCTTGTGATATTTCTTTCGATCCCTGTATACCTTCTTGCCATTGGGTGTTACAATCTCTTTTTCCATCCCCTCCGCAACTTCCCCGGTCCACCCCTCGCCAAAGTCTCCAAATTATGGAGTCGAATTGGAAACCGGAGTGGTCGCAAAGCGGAGCGAATTCATCATGCCCATCTTCAGTATGGTCCCGTCGTGCGATTTGGCCCGAATGAATTGTCTTTTGCAGATCCTGCCGCCGTGCGAGTTATTTACATGTCGGATGCCTTTGTCAAAGAAGAGACTTTCTATGTATGAACCCAGGGCTGATGTGTAAGCATGAAGAATGCTAATGTAGTTCAGAGGGCAAAAACTATCTTCCATGAGGACCACCTCTTCTCTACTCGGTAACATTACTGGTATCATTCAAACCGCAACGACTGATCGCGTCAGGGATGTGCGGGCACATCGGCAGCGGCGAAAGCTCTTTGCACGGGGATACTCCCAGGCAGCGATGCTGGAATACGAACCTAATATCTCGAACAAGATCGATTCACTTCTGCAACAATGGAAGGCTCGGTCCGACGGCCCAATTGATGTTTATCCATGGCTACATTGGCTTGCGTTCGACGTGGTGTGTGAGTACAGTCCCCACACTGTCAGTTAAATCTGTAATGACCGCATGCAGATCATTTGATGTTCGATGACGACCCAGGTCAAGTGGCATCCGGTCAGAGCCATGAAGTAATGCCATATATTGCTGCGTGGGCACCTACGTATATATATGTCAGTTCGCTGTTGTTTTTTCTTACGGTATACTGACCTTCCCGAAGAAAGAGTTCGTCCCGCAACTGGATCGATGGGGAGTATATGTCCCTGGTTACGTGGGTGATTACTTCAGACAGGTTCAAAAGTGGAAGAATGCGAGTGATGTCCAGTACAATGCATCGGTACGGTCAGGCTAACCATCATAGTATTCCGTCAACTTGATCAAGAGAAGCCGGGAAAGAGGCACGAAAACTCCTTTCCTAAGGGCAGTATTGAATGGAGACAAGGACGCTTTCCTCGGTAGGCCTCTAACAAACTCCGAACTCGCAGAGGAGTGTATGGCCGGCATGTATGTTGATCTCATGGTGGAGTATTGTCTCCGCTGACAGCCATTCCAGGTTCGCAGGAAGTGGAACCACCGCCAATACGTTTGTTTTCCTTCTCTGGGCTTGTCTGCGGAAACCAGATATCGTGGCCAAGCTCAAAGCCGAGTTACGAGAGGCATTTCCAGATCCATCGATTATTCCTGACTATCGGGTGGGTGCATGCATCGGATAGCTACATCGATTCATGCTAATCATCTCAGACATGTTCGTCGCTACCCTACCTTCAAGCCGTTATATCCGAGACCCTCCGCCGGTATCCCGTTGCCATTTCTCAATTACCACGAACCGCAATCAAGGACACGGTTGTCGCAGGTGTTGCAATCCGAAAAGGCGTTAGTTCTTCCATCTCACATTCTTATTACTCGCTCACACAAAACAGACTACCGTAGGGACTCAAAATTACACCACCCACTTTAACGAAGAAGCATTCCCCAACCCTCTGGAATTCCGACCGGAGCGGTGGCTCGAGAAGGAGAATGAGGCATTACGCAAAGAGGCGTCGACGCCGTTCTCCATCGGGCCGAGAAAGTGTATCGGCATCAAGTGAGTATCTATCCCATCCCTGCCCTGTCCACTATGGATACTCATGACCACAGTTTGGCACAAATGGAGCTCACCAAGTTGGTTGCGGTTTTCTTCCGCCGGTTCGATGGAACAATCGATGACAGTATTAACGATGACGCGATGCGGATGTATGATACATTCACAGCTTCACCGGCGGGGCGGAAACTGTTGGTTCATTTGCGCGAGTCGCTCTAGAAGATCAGCGGGAGCGAGTCTCGGGGAAGTAGACTACTAGATAGCGTTGCAAACAACCAAGCCACATGCCCTCCACTCCAGAAATGTATCGCCTGGCCGGCGTTCAGATGCAGGTCCGAAGATGATGCCAAACTCCCTAAAGCTGACACACGGCAGAGTTTGGTCGTGCTGAATGTGATTCAGCAATCGGATTCACGGCTCTCATTATCCTTCTCATGGCCAAGACAGCCAATGCATTTTGGGTCTCTCATCCGCCGTTAAAACATCAAAGATCTATTCTATCTCACCTCCCAGCCAACTAAGTCCTATTTATACACCGGATCCTCAGGCAACTCCACACCCCAGAACCTGCTCATCCTCTCTCTAAACAACTCATAACACGACCCCATCCGAAGCACCTTCATCTCCTCAAAATCCACCAAGATCGACGCCCGCCCATATACATGATACCTCTGCAACCCATAATCCACAATCAAATCCGCCACCTCCTTAATCTCGTCCTCGATATCCTCGACGCGAAACTTCTGCCCACGCCCCGTTAGATTGGCACTCGACCCCACCATCACCTGCCCCGCCTCATAATTCAACCGACAGATCTCCCGGTTCAAGGACCCCCCGCCCACAAACATCCCGATTTTCCCATTCTTGACGATGTTGGCGAGGGTTTGCGGAGTGAAATTGGCCATGATGGGGTGGTCTGGGTTGTAGGGTGCCACGATACCCACACCCATGTCGAGGTCCTGGGTGAGGACACGGGTCATGTGGAATTTCTCGGGTTCGAGGATGTGCAGTTCTTGGTGAAGCTCGTAGGATCCGATTAGGCCGTGGGGGTGGCCGGGACGGCGCTGTTTGGCGGTAAAGGCTTTCTCGATCGCCTCTACGGACGAGGCCATTAGGCCGTAGCCGACTTCGGTGGGGACGATCACGATGCCGCCGGATTGGAGGACTTGGAAGACCTGTTGGGCGTCGGATGTGGTGTTGGGGAGGTGGCCGGGGCGAGGGATCGTCTTGGCTGCTAGGGGAGACATGGTGGAGTGGGGAGAGAGGGAGTGTTTGGGGAATTGGCTTGTTGGGATTCATGTGTAGTTCATGGCCTTGCTTATGGTGGGGTAAGCTCTATATAGTAGGATTGTGTTGTGTGTGTGGCTGGCGGATCATAGTAGTCTAGCGGATGATTGGGTGTCTGCTATGCGGGGACTTTAGGATAGAGGTTTTTTTTGAAATTTGAATAGCTGATCGAGTACGGAGTATTCCGTATCTGGAAAGTTTCCCATGATGGATCTCTGGCAGAATGATAAATGCCACGAGACTCGGTCTGCCCGTTGCTTATCGCGTCCAGCCCAGCCTCCCCTGCATTCCGCGCTAATGCTCGGCTAACCGGCTCCTTCTCTCCTACAATCATCTCTCAAGCGTCCTTTTGGTTAGCCCCATCGCCATGGAATACAGCTTCTCAAGCTATCACTAAAGTCCTTCTTAATGACCGTGTCATGTTTGATCGCATTCCATGCTCTACACTCACGCTAGAGCCTGAGGATCATGGAAAGGGGCACACCAATACGCAACTAGGTACCCGAACAATAATCAAGATGTCATTCGATATATCCCGCCGCAATTTCGTTGACAATTTGAGACACAGAAACCTGCTCTTCTTCCGAGTGGACCATCAACTTCACCAAGATGGAACACTTGGTCCAGGCGCGCACAATGTTAATCATGATTGACACCCCACACAACCCCACCTGGGACATATTCTTGTGACGAGCCGCTATGGACAAACCTACACTTTATCTCAATGATAAGGCATATAGCCAGCTCACATACATCCATTACACGTGAGTCGCAACACTGCCACCCGAGGTGCAGTGGCACAGGTTGGTGGGCAGACTGGCTTATCGGTTCGATTGATACCATAGCAACTGCCTACTTCGCTTTTGTTAATCTACCCCGGGCTTTTCCAGGCGGCGACTGTGGTAGAGTATAAGTAAAGCCTACAGCTGATAGTCCAAGTATCTGCCTGGACCCTGAAACCCGAACCCTGCACAGCGCCATAGCAGCGAGGTCAATGCCATTTGACGCGCCGTCTGATAGCTGATGCCAGGTCCAGCCTCAGGCTCTTGCGTGCTTCCTATGACAATTATGCCGTCATAATAGAAGTAAGAATGTGCCCTTCGTTCTGCAACCCAATGTACTGTATGGGTCCATCTGGTGTCGGTGCGGGCCGTTTCGATGATCTGCCATGAATAATCAGACAGAAGTATTTGCCCTCTCTATAAGCATGGCATGCGGGGTCTCCACTAACGTAGCATGCAGAAAGACGTTAAATTCTAGTCCGTGGCAAGTATCTAATGCTGCTCTGATGAATATTCGCAGTGGGTTCAAAAAGCGGCACGCTGGGCGACTAAAAAACTAGGCTTGTGCTACCGTGGCTAGTCCACTGTCCAACATCCTTCTCGTTTACGATTCATCTCCCCCACAGGAAATCACCACCTAATTCAATCGAGACAGGATGTATCGTGAATGTATAGTCTATGCATTAGATGGGTTACCATGAGTCATTTTAAATGGATAGACCTTCAGTTGAGTTGGACCCTGAATTTAGATCCCTCGCAGCATCACAACACCGACGATTGGTAAGCAACCCCTCCGGTCTTAAGCCAAGAGGACCATGAAGAGGCCAAGCTCGATAAAAGACACGATCCGGGGGATGATAGGTAGTAATTTTGGGCCGATGGTTCACCCCGAAGACTACTACTAAACCCGCATGCATTGGTGCGTGTCCAGCTGTGGACAGAAAACAACTCCAAGAAACTGCCCAGCTTAGCGTGATGCACTAGCTCACTGCCCCAATCCCTTTAACCTCAATTGCGCCCACTCACTCACCATCCATCCTGACAGCCCGTCTAGTCGTCAACAATGGAAGGCAAAGTTCGTCTCAGGAAATCAAGCAAAAAGAGCAGGACAGGATGTCGAACCTGTCGGTGAGTGACAACCATATCCTTTAGTCCAAACGCCATCTAACCCTCCCAGAATGCGCCATGTCAAATGTGACGAAACACCAGGCATGTGCCAGCGATGCACCTCTACTGGCCGCAAATGCGATGGATACGACTCCCAGCGCCTCCCCAGTCGCCGAACCACCACTGCATTAGCGGATCTATCCCCCGGCATCGCCCATCGCTTCCGATGGAAGCTAACCTCCGACGAACAACGCTGCATCTCCTTCTTCCAAAACCGCGTCGGCCCATCCATCGTCGGCTACTTCGACTGCGTCCTATGGCAACGACTCGTCCTCCAAATCAGCCAATCCGAACCCGCTGCCTTTCACGCCGTCGTCGCCTTCAGCGCCGTCTACGCAGACTACGAAACCCGAGGTCTCCCTCGCAAACCAGACGAAATGGACAACTCCCTCCAACGCTTCGCCCTCGACCAATGCGCCCGAGCCTACAGCCGACTTAACTCCCGGTCTGCATCCCAAGACCCAGGCCTCCACGACATCACCCTCGTCTGCTGCGTGCTATTCATCATGGTCGAATGGATGCGCGGCCAGTACTCCACCGCCTCCATCCACATGAAAAACGGCCTCCGAATCATCCAACAAGACCAAACCCTAACCGCCGCATCAGCCGCCTTTAGCTCCGTCCTCAGCCAATGCATCGCCGATTCCCTCGCCTCACTAAACATCCAATCCACCTATTTCGGCATCGACGACTCCATCAAACCACAACAACCACCAACCCCCCGGAGTCCGACCCCCCCACCCCAGAATCAACATCACCCCCCCTCGACGACAAAACATTCCACACCCTCCTCGACGCCCGTCTAACCTTCGAACCCCTCATTTCCGAAATCTTCCACTTCCACCTCTCCACCTCCAACCTCTCCCCCTCAGACCTCACTCTAAACTACGGCCCCCTCTCGGACACCCAATTCGCCCTGTCCTCCCGACTCAACCGCTTCGCCATCGCCCTCGAATCCTTCTCCATTGTCTCCTTCAATCAATTAACCAGAAACGCCCAACGAACCATCCACACAATGCACCTCCACCACCAAGTCCTTTCCATCCTCGTAAACCTGACCCTCCTTACCAATGATGAAGACGAGACAGTCCTGAACTTCTACACCCCCTCCTTCGAACGCGCCATCTCCCTCGCCGAATCCATCATAGCCAGTTTCACCAATCGTCCAAGCGTATGTCTCGACATGGGCATCATCCTTCCTTTATCCTTCACAGCGACTAAATGTCGCGAACCGCATGTCCGAGCTCGCGCCTTGGATGTCCTGAGCTCGTGGCCTCATCGTGAAGGACCGTGGGAGTCGAGTGTTATTGCTGAGTATGCTTCGCGGTCATCTGCGTTGGGTGGAGGTACTGGGGATGGGCTTTTGGGGATGTTGGCTTAGATATATACATCTCTGATATTTTCTTGGTTGATCTTGTGATTGTGAGATAGCGTTTTCAGTGACGGAATTTACTTTCTACACTTGCATATGGCCTTCTTGGGTGGGTGTGAAGCAGAGAACAGGTAGACTAGATTTACTGATCTATTGTATAATATGGGTTGGGTTAGTAGATTATGTGACTCTTTTTCAATGTTTCAGTAGTTCGTAGAAACATACCATATTTCTTCGTAATCAGATGGAATGATGGTTTATATTTCCCTGAACCCGTTAATACGATCATTACTATCAGCGACAAACAATCTAATGCGAAGCGAGAGTTGTATCCTTGGGATTTTCCTTCCCATGCTTGGGATTAAATTAAGAGTCTTAGTAAGGAACCTGACAGTATGAGAAGAATTGGAATTTGAGGGTGATAGATATAGATATAGGCGCCGTTCAGTTCGATAATGCTCTAAGTCTATCTATCACTACCACCGAGGGGTAGTATCCGTGGGTATTTTTTTTTTGAGGTACTGTTTGGATAAAGGAATGCCTTGTGGGTGTCTGCGTATAAATAGTGAAAACTGATTATATCCTTGTATGATAGAATTATGATTGTATGTATAACGTGGTTAGATTAAGTATATAGGATCTCCGAGGATGATTCTCTGACTTCCTTCGCGGAGAACTCGCAGTGTCGGAGGGGGTTCTCATCCTCGTCATTAGTATTAGTATCGGTGTTGGGGGTATCAATCACCCCTCCGCCATCCTCTCCCACCTTCCAAGGTGATGCTCACAATTGATCTCCGCTCTGGTTGGAGAAGCTACTGGTTGCATACATCCGTTGCTGGCGGCTAGGATCGTGATGCTAAGAAGGTTAACCAGCAGACCAAGTCCCGTTTTCCGTCTTTAGAGGCGTTGCAGGCCTCTTGTAGAATGACTTGCCAGGTGATGGAGCCATCGCCCCCCCCCCCCCCCCCCGCCAGCCCCACCGCCAGAATAAAGAGGATGGTATTGACGAGTAGGGCTGCAGCTGTGATCGTTGCACGCAGATGCTCACCTTCTATCCAGCGGGTTCGGGGGAAGTCGTCGGAAGATTTGTTATCGAGGTGGTCCCGTGGAGGGAATTAAAGAAAATTGGGTGATAGCCAATACCAATGTTCTTTGGTGTGGGAGCTTCTCGTCCATCTCCAAGCCTTCGAGTGGGAGAGAATGGGCTCCATTATCCCTTTGTGACTGGGTATAGCGCGATTGCATCCATCTTGCCAGGACTGGTAATTGACTCAATTCTTTGAGTTGTAGCATGGATGTCCAATTAACCCCCGTTGGGACTGATAAAATTGCCTCGCGTAGGTCTTCAATTGCGAATTTGACCCAAAGGAACATTCCATCTGACTTTTCGCACAAAGTCCTGACCGCTTCATCTTTCAGTCCATGGGCACTTGGGATGGGAGATTTCTCTAACTGGTCGTGGATAAACCTCTCGATGTCTGACTTTACCATGCTAGCGTTCATCTCAATGATCAGAGGCGTTAAGCCGACTGCAGTTTGAAGTGCATATGGTCGACCAACGAGGGCCACGTGACAGTTGGGGAGTTTGACGAGATCGAGGACACACTTCAGCAATCCTCGATTTTGATCGTTGTTCTCATCATCGCATTCGTCGACCCCATCTATCACGCAGTAGATTGGCTTACCAATACTTTCTATTGACTTCAGTAACGCTGCGAGTAGATCTGCAGTTGTCATAGGGTTTCGGCCCTTCAAGGCAGCCACAGTCGAATGTATGCCTTCGTCGGATGTTTCCACCAGGAGATCATAGAGTAGTGAACGAGCCAACGAGTTCAAGGTCTTCCGATCGCCGTCTACTCCTGAGAAGGAGAAGAACAGAGTTTGATGTTTCTTTTCTCTCATTTCTCTGACTGTACATCTCGCCAGCATGGACTTTCCGCAGCCATTCACTCCGTGTACGCATAACAAGCGGCTTGGGGCTGATGGCGATGAGATCCACTGCACGAACTCCGGCGTGCTCCAAATCCACTCACAGGTTCCAGGCGATTTGTCCTCATATATATAACCAGTGTTGTTAGGCCTGAGCCATTCTGAGGATAGGATCATATGTTCCCGCTGAACCATCGATAGTTTTTCTTGTTGGTCAGTTAAAGAAGCATAGGCAGCGGATATTGCATACCTGCGTGTTTTCTTTCTAATGCATTTATTTCATTCATCGTGTCTCCTGCTTTCTTTTGAAGATACAGGGCAATTGTTGACTTTGAGGATTCGAGCGTGTTAAAGGTGGTCATAATATCCTTTCTGTTGCGAGTTCTGGAAATTGCCTTTTCTACACGACGTAACCATGGATCTCCCTGACGAGGTAGGGACCTTTGGATTAACTTGTCGAGTGTAGAGATTTGCCAAAGACTATCCTCTACAACGGGCACAAGCCTATCCGACACTGTCGAGCCATTCTCACAGTCCTTCTTGATGCACTCCATAACACTGACAATTAATGGTAACTGCGTTGCAATGTCCTTGAATATAACAGGCAGCTCCTTGGTAGTCGAATACGTGTCAAAAAGACGGACGGCGAGTCGATGACTTACTTCCAGAAACATAGCGACGGAGACAGCAATGCTTCCGGGTGTCGTAAGATGTCGCTGACTGTTGGTGTCCTGAACACCTGAAGAGGCGGTATCACGTAGAGAAGCTCCCTTGCATATGCTGCTGCTGTAGCAGCCGCATATTCCTGCCATTGCTTGTTCTTGTGAGTGTCAGAGTAGTCGCATATTCCACGGATGACCAGACAGGGAAAGTGGTCCATCAACCCAGCTGCTTCCATTTCAAAGCAGAAAATACCCAACTCCCGTGACAATCGATCTCTGGTGACTCCTTCCTTCATAACCTGATTACCGGAGGCAATCAGTCCATAATGAATGACTGGGTCGCTAGACGCTCGCGGTACTCGAAGTACCAACCTGTCCTTGCTGCATTGGTCACATGTGCTACCCGATCCATCGTGGTCATACCCGGCTTCGTACAGGTGATCGTAGAGTTGTCCACGATGGGTAAACTGAGACATCTTTGGAGACATCTTCACAAGCCGTGCAAGGTTTGTCTGGATTTGACAGCGTCCACTCATATGCTCGGTTTGGATCTCGGATACTGCCGCCAACAGCACCTGTGGTGGTTTGTTGAGTGAGCCCGTTCTCAAGAAGGAGCCACCCTGAATGGTTTTGCCGTAGTCGTATTGTATCACTCCACCGAACGTATCTGTCGGCTTGCTCACGACAATATCTCCAAGTCTAATATCCACTTCCTTTCTCGGTGCTCCACCACCGATGCCCACCATCAGACCGAACCGTATTGCTCGAAAGGTTCATCTCATATCAGAGGCCACCATGGCTGCTGAAGTAGTACCATAGACTCCAGATGGTAAGCATGCGATAACGACATTGTGCCCGAAAGCCGAACCAAGGGTATAGATATTGGAGTCATTGGGATCTTGTGGTAACTTCGGATGAAACTCGTCTAGCATCGCCTTGGCAGCAGCCATCTCAAGTGGGAGAGCAGAGATCCACCCGATTGTGTAGTCGTCGTGGCTGAGGGCTTTCCTCTTGGGTATCATGTTGAAGTAGAATGGTAAGGGCCAATACAAGACAATAGTATGGAGGATTGAGTTGGGATAGAATCTAGAAAGGTGATCGACCGATGATCGTGCAGGAACCTCTGTCTATATACTGTTGGAGGCCATAAGGTCGGGCGTCGGAGAGTTGAGAGATCGGAAACTTGTTTGATGTGTTGGCTGTTAGCGCGATGCACATAGCAGGTCACATGGTGTGGGCGTTTCAGCCTCGAATGTGGGAAGCCATCTTTCCGCCAACTCTTTCACCAAGCTTTCGAATGGTTACTGGAGTTCGCTCCTTTTATTTTCTTTTTCTTCTTACTTATTTTACTGAAAGTATCAGCGGCTGCCATGTTACAACCAGTCAAATATAACAGTGACTCCAGACGTGCACTCGTAGAGCGGTGCAGCGCTGCATTCCTAGTCAAATTTAGGACTTGCCAGCTGGAATAAAGCTTCAGCTGAGCAATGCTAAGGCTTTGGAAGTAGTGCATGTGCCGACATTGTTTACCGACCTCTGAATGGGTAAATGGAAGCTCGAGAAAATATACTATCCGGAAATCGGTTACGATCCGAACAGATACTCAATAGGTGTGAGGTACCATACTATGTCTAATTATTTTCTCCCATTTCTTTTTTCATACTTTCGAGTATAAGGTTCTTCATAAAGAATAATAAGAAGCCACAAAGTGTTATTGTGTAGGAGGATTCATGATTTGAGATAGTTGTTTCGAGGGGCGCAGTCTGCGTAACCGCTTCATCATGAGTATATAGGCTATATAATCGTAGCAGGATGGGTATTTTATATATGCCGATTACCTCTGAAGGGTACCTGTCAGTCAGCTAAAACCCACGGGCAAAATGATCGTCAAGCGAGCTAACTCATTTGCCATACATTGCATCCCTGAAATGTACATATTCGAAAAAAGACTGAAGCAACAGTCACAAACTACAGTCGTCTGAGAATCCGAGGGTTGAAAGTAGCGAACCAAATACTAATGCACCGAGACCTTCTATCTTGTGTATGAAATACACTCAAGGCATTAATTAGAGGGGGTCAGAAGCGCTGCAAAAACTAATTCCATCCTAATACCCCCTTGAAAACCGGTTTAGGCAATTTTCCGATGAGGATCTGCAAGTGGTCAAGTTTCAGCTGATGCCCGGTTAAATCGAAGGCTTCATGCCGGCAAAAGAGGTCGATCCCTGTAGAAATGTAACCCCAATTTGCGGGGTGGGATAGATCGACAGGCCCTGCGTCTATAAAGTGCGAAGGTTGACAAACCGTCAGGCCACCACGAATCCCGTGCCGCGATGGTCCTCCTACCGGGCATCCTTCTTTTCCTTTTACCCGCCACATATGCTACCACTTTCTCCACGGAGCATTTCACTGGAGTCCTGGACAGTGAATCCGGGGTACTAAGATCCCTGAAATCGTCACTAGACTCATCCTTTGACTTTTCCCCATATGATGTCTTTGCCAACCGCAGTGGCGACGGCCATTACCACACCGGTGACCTGACCATTCGCTACCGGGTGGGCAATTCCAACTCGTGGATAAATGCAGACACGGTCACAAACCGCGTCCCTCTCACCAACAGCACCTCTTCCCATTCTATTCTGTCCTCCAATCTTGGTGTAACCATTGGAAACATTACCCACGACCGTCTTTTCATCACACGGACCTGGACAGGCTACCGAGGAGACCTTGCGCTGAACTTCACCTTGAGGAACGGCAACTCCCAATCCATCGAAATCGGTAGCCTAGGTTTTCCAATCGAGTTCAACAGCATTTTTACGGATCGAACGGCAGTGGAGACAAGAGAGAAGTGTGTTTTGGTGGACCCTTTCATCGGTCTACAGGCTGGATATGCCCAAGTGACTAGGCTACTCGGACAAGGTCCTCACCTGGTTGTAACCCCTCTGAATCTCAATACAAAGCTTGAAGCATGGAGGTTCCTTACAGAGGCGACGGATACGTCATTGGCATACCAGAGTCAGGTGTTTGAGGGCAACTATGAGTGGCAGGTTTACTCGAAGGCTTATGCAGATCAGGAATGGGAGGGTCTTGAGCCGTGGAATCCTCCAACGTCGCTAGTTCTGTCGCCAGGAGAGTCTGTCTCATTTGGCCTGCGGTTTACGGCTGTTCAGAACGTGGACGATTTTGAACCTACTGTTTCTTCGCTTGGACATCCGGTTGCTGTTGGGATTCCAGGATACGTGGTACCAAAGGACCTAGAGGGGCAGTTGTTCCTGAATACGACACTTGGGGTCGATTCAGTGGATGTTTCTCCAGATGCCTGTCTTTCATTGACACCCTTGAGCTTGGACAGTAGCTCATGGACAGGGTATAAGATTGTACCAAACCAGGAAGCATTCGGCAGATGCAGAGTAGATCTTGTCTACGACACAGGGTTGAAGCATGCTCTACACTACTATATCACCGACACTGGCCCTAGCACTCTCGCCAATGCCGGCCAGTTCTTGGAAGAGAGCCAGTGGTTTACAAATACGTCAGATCCATTCGGACGTGCCCCCTCTATCATCACCCACGATAGGTCTGTGAACAGCCCTGTTCTCCAAGATAATCGGGTATGGATCGCAGGTCTGAGTGATGAAGGTGGTGCGGGCTCCTTTGTGACAGCAGCTATGAAGCAGACTATCCAGCCTGTCGCATCGGAGGTTGCCAAGTTGGAACAATTTGTGAATGAAACTGTTTGGTCCCGACTGCAACTAACCAACGGATCAACTATGTACGGAGTTCGGAAAAGCTTGTTCTTCTATGAGCCTGATGCTTTACCGGGTTATGACTATGACCCTGAGATATATTGGCCTGGAAGCTGGGACAAAGAAGCTGCTTATTTGCTTGACCGAGCTTACGATTACGTTCATGTTTCCGCGCTTTATTGGGGGTTGTACCGGGCTGGCCGGATTGCTCCAAGCGTGCTCACTCTACGGTCGCCAAAATGGTATTTGTTGCAGGCATATAAAACGTGAGTGTCTTCCATGTCACTTGAGCATCATACTAATAACCAAAGTGTGTTGTTCGCATACGGAACCCAGCCTGATGGAAGCCAAAACACCTATTATAATGACCTCGGGCTAATGGGCGAAACAGTGTGGATGTACCTGTTAGAGGATCTTCGGGCCGAGAACTACACATCGGAAGCGACAAAGTTTGAGGATATCATGCGAAATCGTGCGCAAGCATGGTCGACGCAGGAAGATCCTTTTGGTAGTGAGCAGGCTTGGGATTGCACAGGACAGGAGGGAGTGTACTTGTGGTCCAAGTATGTTGATCCCCACAGACTTGTTGAAGCTGTCTAACACCTCTAGGTACTTCAACTACACGGATACAGTGGACAAGACTATCTCTTCGATCAGAGGATATATGCCAACTGTAGCCCATTGGGGGTGGAACGGCAATGCTCGGCGGTATTGGGATTTTACGTATGCCCTCCAATGACCATTTGACCCCGTTTAATCTGGGGCGGTTGTGCTCACTCCTTGAAGTACGGCAGGCAAACTCTCCCGCATCGAACGACAAATCCACCACTACGGATCCAGCCTGAACGCTCTCCCAATACTAGAGAATTATCGATCTCTCTCCGACCCAACATCGCAATCGAGCTTCTACGACCTCCGCATCGGCTACGGGGGGAACCAAGGTCCGACGACCAATGTTGCTGACGATGGCTTCGGGTCCATGTCTTTCCACTCTTTTCCACAGACATTGGCATGGGATGACTACACTGGCGACTATGGGCCTGGGTTCTTGGGACAGGTATTAGGTGCTGTGACGGTTCAACTGAAACATCCGGAATTTGGATGGGTGAGCTTCGGAGGAAACATTGCCTCCAGTGGAGGTGACACCGTGGTACTGCAACCGCGAGACACGGTCCGCAGGAGAGTCTACTTGGCAGACCTGGGCTTGGATATTGAGATTGATGCGGGTGCTATCCAGGAGGTCAGAACGCTGTATGGTGATAGTCGGGTGGAAGTCGATCTGGTTGATCAGGCTGATGGCTCGGGAGGAGTGCCTGCCACTACGGCTACGGTGGAGTATGCTGTAACCTCTGTTACTGGGTCAAAAGACATCCGACTAGTGGAAGATGAGTTGACAAAGGGCAAGTATGGGTGGGAGGTAAGCTTCGCGTCAGGCAAAGCAACGGTCGTATTTGAGTGGTAGATATAGCTGGTTGGGCCCTGCTGAGTATTTTGCCCAGTCTGAACGAGGTATCATAACCCTAGGTTGCAGCTGGCACATATATGTGCTTCTAGAAGCTGAAACCCAGTTCCCTCGACACACTGAATGAAGTATTATCATGGCTCGCTCACCAGACCAAGCAGACAATCCTTACATAAACATAACTGCACAAGACCACTGAATATACTATGCTTGAACAACTCCCTTCAGTAAGAGCAACATCCCGAGCATAGAAGCAATCCACCTCTCCTTACAATTCAACCGTAAAAACAGATTCTTCGGCGTAAACGAACACACATAATGAAAAGAGAATAGAGAAGAAATAATAGATAAAAGTCATATACACCAACCCCCCCAGATATTCTCCACCAACTCACTCCCCATCATTAATAACCAAAACCCAACAAATCCCTCCACTCCAACCCCAACCCCCTCCTGACCCTCCACCTATCCGTCGACTTCAAAATCTCCGCACACCCCCACAGACACCACCCCCACTTCCTCACAAACCCCTCCGTGACCTCCCAATTCATCGGATCCCAAGGCACGCCCCAGACGAGGAGCGTGGCTTCCTCGCGCCGCGAATCCCAGAACCCCATGAGGTCATGACACAGGTCATCCTCATCGAACATACCCTCCGCTTGGAGGAAGTTATCCCGCATTGCGGGAAACGGGAAGATGTCGAACCATGGATGATGGGGGAGGGTTTTTTGGAGGTTGGTTGGTTGGAGACTTACAGGGATGGTGGTAGTGGGGAGATTTATACTTGTAGGTAGGGGGTTCGCGGTGGGGATGCTGAATAGGGAGATGGATTCGTCGGCCCAGAGGTATTCGGTTGTCATGCTGGCTGCGATGATGTTGTCGTTGGCTGCGCGCCAGATGTTTAGGCGGGTGAGGGTGAGGAGGTGGTCGGTTTGGGGGGAGCCGAGGTGGTAGGTTTTGGTGATGCGGTGTTCGTAGAGGGTCATTAGGTCGGGGAGATTGGGTGGGGCCCAGGTCCATTGTGTGGGTTGGGGTTGTTGGCTGGATATGGTCTTGGTTGCGGTGCGGTTGGTCTGTCCGTGGGTGTTATTGGTTTGTTGTCGAGATCCTGTGCCTTGTAAGTAAGTCAACGGATCTAGATACCTATGGATTTCAAGGGTGGACTCACGAAAAGCCCGCTGATTCAAGCGATTCTGCACTTTTCGTCGAACTTTGGGATCATTAACTCCGGTCCAATCATCTTCGGGGGTGTATGTCTTCGGCTGTAGTTCGATACTTGAGCTGGATGTAAGGGAGGCTGGGGATATTTGATGATTCGCCATTTCGATGATGATGGCGACGGAATTGGCGAGATGGGTGGACGGAAAAGTAAAAGCAAATATTGGATATACTGTGTATATGAGACAGACGTGATGTGCTTACTCTTTGGCTCTAATTAGTCAGTAGGGTCCCGCTGCACCCGCATTGGTGAATCTTGGAGTTGTGGAGCATGCATTCTGCTTACCTTTTTTGTTTGATTGGTCAGAGGATAGATCCTGGTCCCGCTTGTCTGTGCTTGGCAGTGTGGGCTGCTTACTTTTTTTGTCTGATTGGTTGGGATAAGAGGCAATATAATGGGCCATGGATCTATGGTTTAGACAACCCAGACCAACAATCTAGATAGTATTTATCACAGCTCTGCTGGTAGCACAACTCTCATTTCAAATATTTTCAACCATCTCAACTGAAGCAATCTCTACAAACCCGCACCATCACGCATACACCGAGTCAACCATGCAAAAATCCATCGTCATCCAAAACCTCTCCGAGCCAGCCAGCCTAGCTGGCCGACACATCCCCTCCCCGGGCGACAACCAACTCCTACTCCAAGTAACGGCCACCTCACGTATGTAACCACCACCCAATTCCTCTCCCCCTTACTCACACACCATAATACAGTAAACCCCGTGGACCAAAAAACCCGAGACGCAGGCCTATTCTTCACCCAAGCCCCCCAAGTCCTCGGCCACGACATCTCCGGCAAAGTACTCCAACTGGGCCCGCACGAACAAACCCCCAAATTCCAACCCGGGGATGTCATCTTCGCCCACGCAAACCTCATTCCAGGAGGAGTGATGGACGACTACGGCGGCCTGCAACAATACGCCATCGTGGATTCTCGCTTCGCGGCTAAGATCGACGAAGCGGGGTTGACGGACGTCGAGGCAGTCACGATCCCTGTATGTGCAATTGCGGCGTTTATTGCTTTTTTCCATAGTACTGGGTTTGGGTTGGCTGTTCTGGACGGTATTACTCGATCTAGAGATGGTAGTAAGGCTATTCTAGTTGTTGGTGGTGGGTCGAATTGTGGACGGTTCGCGATCCAATTTGCCAAATTGTGCGGGTTTGAACGGATTGTAACTACTGCGTCGATTGGGAGAGCTGATGAGTTGAGAGAGTTAGGTGCGACGCATGTGGTTGATCGATATGGGAGTCGTGAGGTTGTTGTGAGTCAGGTTCGAGATATTGTGGGTGATGAGTTGGTGTTTGCGATTGATACGATGGGGCTTGGATCGGAGCAGGATGTTGGGGTGGCGGCGCTGTCGAATTCGAAGAGAGGGTGTTTGATTACTTTGAATCCGGTTAGTGAGGTAGAGCCGGAGAAGGGGCTTGTTGGTGAGAAATTGGCTGGGTTTGATCGCCGATTGACGATTGGGTTGAGTGCTTTGTATCCCGAGGTATCCGGGGTGTTTTGGGAGCGTGTTGGGGAGTGGGTACGAGGGGGTCATTTGAGGCCCTTGACTTGCCGTGTCTTTGAGGGATTGAATGTGGTCAAGGTTAATGAGGTGCTGGATGCTTACCGTGATGGATATGGACAGAAGGTTGTTTTTCGGCCTTGATGGCTTTGGCAAGGTTCAGAATAGGAGGAAGTAGGAAGTGGTTTTTAACCATGTTCACAGCAGTAATCTGCTGATATGAAGTAGAATTAAATCCTCCGGTTCAATTAAGATGCATGAAACTAGGAGCTCCTAATTATGCCTAACTGGACCCAAACTTGTGCCTCTTATTATGACCTATGATTATCCAACGAGGAAGCATGGAGAGTTGGAAGACAAACAGCGAGAAAGCCCGAGTTTCTCATGATAAATTTAACCATAGAATTACCGACCATTAGCACGCTAAGGAGGGATGAACCAACTATTCAGTGACTTATAGATTATGCGACAAATCCATATCAATTACCACAGACCCACAACACCCCTACCTCACTTTGGTCATCCTCAGCACATTCCCTTCCCCCACCCCTCCCCTTCCATCCCATCTTTCTGTCCTTTCCACCCTATCAGCCTAACCCAATCACACCCGAGAAAATGACTTACAAAGTCAAAACTCAAAAGCCGGCTTCACAGTCCGCCCGAACAGAAAAACAGGAGACTTGTTACTGAAATGAGCAACATCCGCCATGATCTCCGCAACCTCAGGGCTTGCAAATGCCGCCTTCATGGCCTCTTCGTCTTTCCAGTAGACATCACTTCCAAACGAATAAGGTCCTGGCGTACCGTCCAATCCGGGGACGTATTTGGTGACGGACCAGCCCTGAAGGCCGAACTTGGTCCAATGCTTCTCGATCAGGACCATATGGGACTTGGTGTAGTAATTGATATCGTATTGAGCATCGGCGTCGTTGGGAAAGACGACGGTTACTGTGAAAGACATGGTGAGGATGCAGTAGGGTTGCTGATATGGAGCAGTAGAAAGTTGAGTGTGAAGGTGTCGATGTAAAAGTGAATACTGTACAAAATGAAGTAGGTAGTATAGCAATATTTATACCCTCTGTTAGGCCCTGATCGGTCTTACCCCGTTATATCCGCAGGTTTAAGTCCGAATAATAGTCTGTATTTCTAATCATTCATATATCTCCTCTCGCAGAATGAGTATAATTACTCTACTAGCTACCCCAAGCATTAGTCTTTCCTGACCCAACCCTCCATCATGTTTACAACCACCTCTCATCCCAAGCCCAAACCCAAGTTCCTCTTCGTCCTCACCTCCCAACCCATCCTCCCCTCCCGCAACACTCCCACAGGATGGTACCTCCCCGAACTCGTCCATGCCTACAACAAACTCGCCCCTTATTTCAACATTGTCCTCGCATCCCCTGCCGGCGCTGAAGCCCCTCTCGACCCCTACCCCATCAAAGCCACCAAAGAAGACCCCGAATGCGTAATCTTCTTGCAAGAAAACTCCCATCTGTGGAAAAACACCCTCCCTCTCGACAGCCTCCTCGGCAAGACGTCCGAATTCACGGGTATTTTCTACGTGGGGGGTCATGGCCGTTAGTTCTCCGTCCTTAACCCCACCCAAAACAAGCAACTCACATTGAATACCATAGCAATGTTCGACCTAACTAACAACCCAACCTCCCATACCCTAATCCGTGAATTCTACGAGACCAAAAAGATAGTCTCTGCCGTGTGTCATGGTCCCGCAGCCCTGGTGAACGTGAAACTCAGCAATGGGGAGTACTTGGTAGCGGGACAGAACGTAACTGGTTTTCGGGTGTAGAGGAGGACATGATGCAGTTTACTAATGACATGCCGTTTTTGTTGGAGACAGAGCTGCGGAGAAATGGTAGGGTTTATTAGAAGGCTGAGGTGCCGTTTGAGGCGAAGGTTTTTTGGGGGCCGTGATGGGTTGTTGATCACGGGTCAGAACCCGGCTAGTGCGGTGGTGATTGGGGAGGTGTTGGTTAGGGCTGTGGGGGTATGGTTTGAGGTGGGTGGGTGGTTATGTTATGAGTAGATGGTTATCTGGTTATTGGGATTTAGATCAAGTTCTTTATTTGTATTAGTGTTGTCCAGGATATCTTGCTATCATGGGCTTATTGAATTGCTAAGATTGGTATCATTCATATGGCAGTATTTCCTGTCTCAGAGCTCTTGCAATATTACCTTTGAAACTGAAGTGAATAGTATAGATACTTTAAACCAACCTCCTTGAGCGGCGGATCTAATTCAATCCCCACCCCAACTAGCCAATCAAAACATAAATGTAAGCAACATGCACCATGCGGCGCCAGATCAACCCATCGAGCAAACATCCCAATAACCACCTATACATTTTTCCAGGGCGCAATAACAGCGGGGTATCTAATTCCTTCAGCAACCAGACCCTTGGCATGTAAACAGTCAGCATTGGACTAAAGCTTGTCTAGCACCCTAATACCACTACCACTCCGTCAATCTTTGGCTAGGTTATCAGCCAGAATGCATGGTCTTACAGTGTTCGATAGATATCGGTGTTCGGGAACAGCTTGATATTTTGGCGTTTGCTAACGGCGTATATGGGTGTTTAACCACGTCCCTATCAATTTAATACTTTCATCTTTAGTAGTATATGTATCTATGTATGGGTAAATAATTCCTCATAGAAGGTCTTGAAGATTGAGGTTCTTGTTCAGTTTTAGGATGATTAGAGTACTTAGTTACGTATGTGAGTTTATTAAATCTATTATATTACCCTTACAAATTCCGTTTTTTCAATGCTCAGTAATCTGATCGATTGGATCTTGAAAGATGGATTGTACTACAGTCGGAGTCTTCTGTGATGTTAGCAGGTTTATTGAAAATGTTATATCAAAAGGATGAGGTTAAGGAACCATATTCTCAAATATAGGATGTGAGTGATCCTGAGTAAATGGGTGGGTGCCATCCGAGCGTTTAGGCGGTTGATCATGTTATATTGAATGGAGGGAGTGACTGTGCTATAGTGACCATCGGGCAAGTGGTACTTGCGGGATAAGATGGTGGTTGACTCTGAAACTGATGCAAATCAGGCATGCTGTGTAGTCTGAGCTCACGGGGGAAAAGAAGCAATACTACACTTTTTTCTATGTTCTATAGACGGATATAGGGAATATATTGTTTCTGTTGGTTCTTAACCTCCGGTCCAAAGATATATAATGCTCTCAAACTAGTACCACGAACCATCCGCCATGAAGGGATAACATGTTTGATATATTCGCAACAATTCCTCATATTTGCAAGGGGCTAAAATCTGCCTGAGGGATACCTTCATGATTTATAGAAGTAAACGTATAGATCGACGACGGGGAGTCAGGTGAGTAGCTTATCAGTACTGCACGTTCTGGGCCGTTGCTCATATACCCGGCTATCCCTGATACGGAATATGGGTTCTTCGCTATTGCTTGGCACCCGAGAAGTGGATCTGACACCTCCCTAAGTCTAAGCAATTAATCAGGACGCCAACGTTGTACCCATCATGGTATTAGTCTACGAAGCTGCACACAATACGATCCGGCTCCGGCCACTATCGCGTGGATTCAAACCAATCAGAACCTTATTCCCAGTCCTTAATCTCTTCTACTGGATGGGTCTCGTATGACCTGTTTCCACTTCGGACATAGCTTTTGCTGCGCACCTCGTAAAGATATAGTAATTATTACAAATGGCTCAAACATTGACTTTTGGGGATTCGGTGAAGCGAGTAGTTTCTGCCAACTTAATTCGCGGCCGTATCGTGTGGGTTTGCGCACATCCTCATCGATGCATGACATGATGACATCGGCAGTATGCGAAGAAAACTCGGCATGCCGAAATTTTCCGGAAATACGGACTTGTGCCTATGTATTTCGGGGCCGAGCGGATCCGGCATTCGGACTCGGGACGGTCCCTAGACCCTGATTTGCAACCCAGAACCCCGCGGGCGAATTCCGCACTTGACTTGATGATTGATAAGTGGTGATTGATAAATTCATAATCAACTATGGAGCCGTCCAACTTTCATCGAAGGCCAGGAAAGTTTCCCGTTGGCTACCAGCCGTTGCAGAAAGCCAAATTCAAAACACGGGATTGGTTCCTGGCAGATTAATTGGAGGATTCTGCAGACGCTCGAAGCGAGAATCTAGACGCTTGGTCACGATGAGCTGAATATTACGAATGTGAAACATCGATCCTTCTGCGGGCTAATGCGGCTAGTAGATCAGCGTTGTTTGTGTCAGAGCTTAATAATCCCCGGTGAGGGTTTTTTTTCGAGGTACCAGGAGCGTGGTTGTATATAAACCTTACAGTTCCCAATTACACCTATATTATTAGTTTCAGAGACGAACCGACCTGACAAGCCAATCTTCACTCATTAAAATGATTATCCCCTCCCTTGCCGTTGCGGCTCTTTCCGTGGGCACAGTGGCAGCCAGCCACCCTGCCCCGGCCAAGTACGACTTTGTCATCGTGGGTGGTGGTACCAGTGGATTGGTTGTTGCCAACAGACTTACAGAACTGAGCAATGTGACTGTGGCTGTCATCGAGGCCGGAGAGTCGGTTCTCAACAACTTCAACGTCACCGATGTGCAGGGATACAGCCTGGCTTTCAACACCAACATCGACTGGGCTTACCAGACCGAGAATCAGACGTATGCTGGAGGTCTGAAGCAGACCATCCGTGCTGGCAAGGCTATCGGTGGTACCAGTACTATCAATGGTAAGTCTCCATCATTTCCTTCGCCTTCTCAACCGAGCATATACTGAGCAATGTGCATAGGAATGTCCTACACCCGCGCCGAAAACGCTCAAATCGATAACTGGGAACGGGTTGGAAACAAGGGCTGGAACTGGAAGAACCTGCTCAAATACTACAAGAAGTCGGAAGGTTTCGAGGTGCCCACCAAGGACCAAGTGGCCCACGGTGCCAGCTACGACGCCGACGTGCACGGAAAGAACGGTCCCCTGAAGGTTGGATGGCCTACTGCCATGACCAACGGCAGCGTCTTCACCGTCCTCAACGAAACCATGGAAAACCTGGGCATTCACTACAACCCTGATGCGAACAGCGGAGAGATGGTCGGATTCACCACCCACCCGGACACCCTCGACCGCGACAACAATGTCCGTGAGGATGCTGCCAGAGCCTACTACTGGCCCTACGAAGCCCGCTCCAACCTGAAGATCATCTCCAACACTCAGGCAAACAAGATCATCTGGTCCAACACCACCGGTGACGCCATTGCCACTGGTATCGAGGTCACCGGTCCCTACGGAAAAGAAACCATCTACGCCTCCAACGAAATCATCCTCTCCGCTGGAGCCTTGAGATCCCCTGCCCTGCTCGAGCTCTCTGGCGTCGGCAACGCCGACATCCTCCAGAAGCACAAGATTCCCGTCAAGATCAACATCCCCACCGTCGGCGAGAACCTCCAAGACCAGACCAACAATGCTTTTGCCTGGGAAAGCAAGGGCCTCCTCACCGGCCTGGCCACCTTCTCTGCCTTGACCTCCGTCGACCAGCTCTACGGCGATGACGTCTCTGCATTGGCCTCCTCCATCAACTCTACCCTCGCCACCTACGCCAAAGCCGTTTACAATGCCTCCAACGGCGCCGTCAACGAAACAAACCTCCTGGAAGCCTTCAACCTCCAGTACGACCTGATCTTCAACTCCCAGGTCCCCTACGCCGAGATCGTCTTTGCCCCTAGTGGTGAAACTTTCAGCGTCGAGTACTGGCCCCTCCAGCCCTTCTCCCGAGGAAGCGTCCACATCACCTCTTCCAACGCCTCCGACCTCCCCGCCATCAATCCCAACTACTTCATGTTCGAGCAGGATGCTTCCGCCCAGATCGATGTGGCCAGATACATCCGCAAGGCCCTGAGCACTGCTCCTTTGAGCGGAATTGTCGGCGACGAGGTCTCTCCTGGCCTCAGCCTTGTTCCTGCCAACGCAACCGACTCTGCTTGGAATGACTGGGTCGTGGCACACTGTATGATCTTCTTCCCCCATCCAATGGTATCAAACTAACACACACCAGACAGACCCAACTACCACCCCGTCGGCACCGCCAGCATGCTCCCCCGGGAGAAGGGCGGTGTTGTCGACACCGAGCTCAAGGTCTACGGCACGAAGAACGTTCGTGTCGTTGATGCCTCTGTTCTTCCTTTCCAGCTCAGCGGTCACTTGACCAGTACGCTGTATGCCGTGGCTGAGAAGGCTTCGGATCTGATCAAGAAGAACTACTACACTGCTTAATGTGGACGTGGTTGGACATTCCCGCCGCACAGTACCCAAAATTCCATTGTAAAGTACTGCCATTCGGAGTATGACTTTCAGTCAAGATTACTTTAGATTAATAGATATAGACATATATAGATATAGAGCATTGATACTATGAACTTACTACTTCCTTCCCGATTACATTCTACGTTTTAATATACTCTGACCACAACCGATACAATATATCCCACACAATGATCTCAACGAGGATATATATAACACACTACGAGTTTACCCGGCTTACACCTGGGATGAAGGAAAAAATTCTCCGATGCTTAAGACAATATTGTCCGCTGTCAAGATAATACCTTTTTCTTCGACTCTCGGGTTTCGTCCCTCATATGCCGAACCGACTTTGGACTTGTATCGCTTAGTGTAGTGATAATTACAACGAAGGGGAAATGATCTGCAGCATAGGTAATTATTTGCTCCCTTTTCCGTTCCCTGACGAGTCGGAGCAACAGGACCTACAACAAGCGGCACTTGTACGCCGTACTAGAGAATATAAATCTTTGTTAGGACTGAATGTTATGAATACTTTTGGGTCTATATTACTACAAGGGATGGAATAACTTCCTAAACCGGGGAATTTTTATTCTTGAATGCTTGGGTATGATCTATGGAAGAATGGATACTGAATACCCATATTCTTATATCTATTCCCATAGGTCGTCTATAATTGGCGATGTAAAAGTTATTCTATGCGTTGCTGTATACCCTGTCTGGGTGATGTTGGGGTAGGTGGCAAACTGGGGGAATAAATACCGAGATCGGAGGATGGGAAGGCTGCTGCTGCCGGCCCAGGGTGGATTTAAAAATGATGAAACTATTACTATTATTCATCATATTGTTTTTTGTAATCTAGGATATACAGTTATAGAGAGAGGTTAACAGAGAATATCAGATCTAGAGAATACAAAGATTGAAGGAAATAGGAAGAGTTATCCTACGGAAATGTAAAGAATACTTTATAGCACGGGGTGAAGATCTGTAAGTATTGTGGTAACATCTGCATTGAAATCTACTACTCCAGAGATATTACTGGATCAGGGACTAATACTGACACTGATACTGATCTATCTATAAGACAAAGCACTCCGGAGGTTCTGAATAGCTGACACAGGGTCAACTAAGTAACTGCTGAATCTGCAGGTGGATTTACGGGGCTAAGCATTATATAAGAAAGGGGTTGTATCCTTTTTCAAATACAATAAGTAGACGTGACCTACGTCGGCCGTTGGCAACTTGGAAAGACCCTTGGAGGGGCAATGTATTTAGGATAAGGCAATCATCATCATTAGCAGCATAGTTATGGGGTGGACAGAATCTACTGAGTTTGAGCCAACTGTTCAATAACGTAGAGAGGGGTTCATAGTACCATTATGATGTTGAATATCAGTGTCAGACAGATAGTAGAATCTATCCTGTATAATATCCCTCAAAGCAAAGAGATCCAGATTAAATGTCGGTCCCTCACACCTGGAAGAAGTCCAAACTATGTGATGACAATATCGCCATTGCCTTCCACCAACTCCAGAAAGTCCTGTTCCATCTCTCTCAAAGACTCCATAACCCTGGCCCGAAGATAGAGTCCACTATCGAAATACCAGTCAAAGCTTACCAGCATCTCCTCCACTCCAAGAGTCAGGGTTGCCCAATCAATCTTCTTTCCCACCCTGATGCGGTCATCAACTTCATATATCAGACTCCTCCATCCGCTGCTTCGCTTCATCCAATAATCATCGTGCAACGTCCACTGAAAGGCCTCGAGCAGATTCTCTACATCGCTGATTGCCTCTTGATAGTCCTCAGGCTTGTAACCCCTAAAGACCGTATCCACGATAATCATCGCAATGTCCTGCGAAACGTCGGTGCATGATTCTCTCAATTTACCTGGCTTTTCCCTATTACTTGTCGCTCGTGCCAACAAATCTTCTATTTCGGGGATTCTGTACGGGCTTGGCGAGCAAAAAATGTAATGCTTGAGGGTCTGCTTAGGTACCCATTCCTCCCCAGGGTAAGAAGACCGCATATCATGACAAAAGCAAACGACTGACTTGCACGAGTGTTCCGTGGAAAGCTCCTGTCTCTTGCCCTTCCTTTTCCAAAACGCCTCTATGGCCTTTATGAATGCCCGCAGATTCTGCTCGACAACATCATGACCGATCACACGGTTGGCCAGCAGCCAACAATGAGCATGAATGGGATACCCGAGCGGTACCCCGGGCTTTTTTATTGGATTCTTTTCTAGGATATCCACTATCTGAAAGCCCGTATTCCAACGGCTCTTCCTCGTGGGATCGCCCCAGATGAAGGCTCTATGGGGTTGGGTTGGTACGCGAGTATCAGTTTGATTTGGTCTCGTATAAGTTATGCCGGTGATGCACGGGGCGTTGTTCCTAGGGTCGTCCAGGACTAAGTGGTGGGTGGTTATAGCTCAGTATATGTCATGTCAAAGCTGAAACAGGACAAATCGTCACAACTCACTTATTCGAAAGAACATACTCCATGTGCAGGGATCTCGCGTGAAATCTGTTGCTTCCAATTCAGCAGCTGACACAATAACAGATCTTCCCTCCAACGCGTCTTGTGCTTTTGCTCCCCAGTCCTCTCGTTCCAGCACCGGCTTCCAGCTGTCCCGTATTGCGCTGGACGGTAAATCAAATCCGCATACCACGCAGTAAAGTCCGGTTGGCATTTTGGGATCCGTGCCTGAGATTTTCAGGACTGATGGATGGCAGGCTGAAAATTCTGGCTCGTGGAAAGAGCCTTTCCAGTGATATCTTGCTGCCTAAAGCTGTGACATAGCTTGTGGCACAGATTGAATAAAGTATGTTTTGGCGAGGTAAATCAGATGATATCTGGTCACCTGAGCAGTCGCAGGATTGCGGAAAAGAACTCCGAGACTTCAAGAAAGAGGTTATATACTCCATCTTTATCAATCAAATAACCATCACCCATAGGGATATATATATGTATATGTATATCCTAAGCAGTCCCAGAGCTTGCCAGCTGACCGTAATCCTCCTGCTGATTATCGGAACCTGCCGCGGATCCTTCCCTGCGTCGCAAGGTCGGATTCCGATCCGAGTTTCCCAAAGCGGGAGGCGCCTACATACGCGTAAAACAACAACGACCGGTTTGCGAATAAACGACCACATTCCGGCATAGCAATACCATCATGGCACCGAACGGAATCATTCCAATATCTCCCCAGGAACATCCACAAACTTGTCGCGAATATAATCGACGAATCCCTTTCCAAACCCATCTAGACGACTGCTACTACTTACACCGCGTCCGAGAATCCCGTAGATGACAAAGTGTACGGCCTGGATCTTTGGGAACTCAACCCGTTCCAGGAAGAAGCTGTCATGCCAGTCTTTGCCGATGAGCTGGCGCATACGGTCTTTCGTCATGTATGATCGAAGCCATGGCCAGTGGCTGGGATTTGTGACGAAAATTCCACAATTAAGATTGCCCCCCTTGTCGCCTGATCGGCCAAGAGCAACATCCCCAAGGCGGAGCTGCGTGGTAGGTCCTGTAAAGACATGGGGATCAGTCGGGTCGTAGTTCTCTCGCGTAATAAGATCTTGATACTGTGGAGGATGACCGGTCTCATACGATCGGATATCGTCGGCCCCATGGATCAGGTTGATTTCCTCATGAATGTCGGCCTGTTTAATCAACGCTGGATAGTATGCAAGGAAAGGCCGCGGTATGGCTGTCCGGGTATCCAGTGATGCATGAAACCCTACACATGTTTCCGTGAGCCATTTACTCCCAGCTGAAGGACATAGAGACGTACCAGAAAAGTGCTTGAGAGAAATTTCCTGCATGGCCTTTGCCACCGTAAGAACAGCGCTCTCATAGCGGGAGGTCACGAATACTCGAAGATAGGTAGTGCTTTCGCCCTGGCACATTGGATTCCATGCGGGTGTTCCAATTCTAAGAGTGTTAGACTCTGGAGCATAAACGTAGATTGATCGAGATTACCTCTGGAATTCCAACGTCTCCAGACTTCTTTTCGCTTCTTCGGGGAGAAAATGGAGTATTTGCCGTTCGAGAAGATCCCACTTTTTCCCTGTCGCAAACCCCGTTGCATTTAGCAAGAGTTGGGCCTCGTATCCTCCTTGATAGAAGACTGCAAGCTTGGTGGTCGCCGGTGGTGGGAATCCTCGAACACCGGATACACGTACCCTGCATGCGAATCAGCATGACATGTAGAACAACGGCCCGTTAGGGTTAGGAATACTCACCGATCTTTGCTCTCCTCCTCGATATTCACCTCGGCAATATAAGCGCTAACATCACTATTGAGATAGGTCGTTCCCTGGAGTTCGTAAAGGAGCTGACAACAGACAGTATCTGCACTTACGATACCTGGCGTACCTGAGTGTTTAGTGATAACGCAAGTGCCGTCGGCGTCAATCTCAGCGATAGGAAACCCCGGGGCCACGAGGTCATCCAGATCATACCTATCAAATCCGGCAAAGTTGGCGCCCGTCACGTATGCAGAACATTCAATCAAATGCCCAGCAATTAATGACCCAGCAAGATTGTCGTAGTCTGTCTCTGACCAGTCATGCCAATACCAGGCTGCTGCTATAACAGGGCTTGCGTCTGCAACTCGACCACAAATGATAATGTCGGCGCCTCGACGCAGGCCATTCACAATGCCACGAGCTCCCAAATAAGCATGTGCAGATATCATGGGGATAGGTTTCTCATTCTGCGTGTTCAAAAATGCGTATGTTAGATCCGACGGTACGACATTAGGATTCCCCGAGTCAAGATGACTTAGTTCTTCCTTTGTGGTGGGCATGTTCGGTCCAACGTGGGAATACAAGTCATCGCCTAGAAGGTATGCCACACGGAGATCCAGATTCTTTTCGGAAACCTATCGCAGATGAAGAGGTCAACATTTCTTATCGGGCTTCCCTCGTACGGAACCAGGGTATTTACCAGAGCTTGAGTCTTCAGGGCAAGAGCTTTGGGATCCAAAGCGCCACCATTAATGACCACTCGGATACGCTTCTGTGCAATAACATCAATCGTCTGCCGAAGTCCCTCCCAGGCAGTTGCTTCGTATCCTGGATGCTTTCCATCTCTCCAGGCCTGGGCGTTGTTGGCAAGGTTGACTTCTAGTCGGGCTTAGCAACAAACTAGACAGATGGGATTGGGTTTCAATTACCTGCGAGGTAATCTCCCGTAATAAGGTCAACATCGCCGAGTGTTGCCTGTCGATACATCTCGTATGCCGGATCCCCTAACACATAGCATCAGCCTTGGAAGGAAATGTTCAGAGCGCAAGTGGAGGTACCATGATACCCGGAGCAGTTGGCCACCCTAACGGGGCGCTTTTCAGAAGACAACATAGGAACGGCTTGAATGATGATTATATTCAATTGAACTGTCCCAGAGTTATTGACAGATGGAATTCCATGTTTTGTTCTGAAATCCGATCGCGCCTTTTATATTGCGATACGGTACCGTCCTATTTGATGGACACTCGAATAGAGAACGGTAATCGGCAGAATGAATGAATACCATGGGCCATATTGACCAGGGATTCGACTTTGGCGGATTTACCGGCCTGTCTGTATTCCGAATAGGGTTATGATTGACTCGCAATGCTCCGAGCCTGGTGGTCCGTGCCCGAAGATATCGGCGAAAGTGAAGGCTCCCCACATCCATAGTATGGTAGGATCGTCCAGGAATAATTCAGGGTAGATTTTATTGGCCTACGCATTTTCCTTTGAGCGATTTATCTGCTGCAACACGTCATCTGGTGGACTGATCAGGCCCCCTGTTTGCCAGTGCCGTGGGCCACGGGCAATAATGCCCGCGGGCCGTGGACATTCGCCCTCCGGTCCTATATGGAGATGGCAGCAGCCGCAAGGTGGGCTGCTGTCCTTTTCCCATAATTATGAGTTCCGTCCCATTTCTTATTGCTCTTCTGTTCATTCTGTGGATTTCATTATCGACAACCTTCCTGCGATGAGGATAATCAGCATGACAGCGACCCACGAAACCGTTCCCGGAACCGAGGTGTATGGGCCAGGGACCTTCATTGACAAGAATGTTCTCCCAGTGCCTACAGATGCTCGCCGTGTATTCGAGGTTCTCGCTTCACGAACCCCCGGGTTCACCAAGAACAAAGCAGCATGGGATACAGTCCACTTTGAAGGTCGGCCGGAGCCCATGGTTCAAGGTCCGATCAAGTCACCCGTCATGGCGGCTGCATTACATGCCATGGCAGGCCTTGTAGCTAATGAGCTTTTGGAGCTTCGAGATGGAAAGACCATCACCGAGAACAGCGTTACCATTGACACCGATCACGCAGGCATTTGGCTTGGCTCCGTGTTCACCACATATATCAACGGCTCCGACGTAACTGCCCTGGCACGGTCAAGGAGTCTGGGTACACTCTTCAAACAAGATTTCGACCAAGGCTTTGGCAAGGGGATATCGAGTCGGGCAACGGCCATCTATCAGACCAAAAATCCCCATGTGTGGTACCAGCTTCATGGTTCACTCGATGCAAACACTGCTCTCGGGTCCATGGGAATCAACCCCGATGTGGCCTTCAACACACCTCAAGAATATTACGACTATATCCAACAACATGTTAGCAAGTGGACGCCTGACGAGCTTGAAATGCACAATATCCGTCATGGTCTGTGCGGAAGCATCTGCTATTCTCCAGAGGGTTGGAGGAAGACAGAGTTCGGAAGACGACTATCCAAGCATCCGTTGATCAATGTGACAGCCGAGACCTATGCTAGGCCTACGCCTCCAGTACCTCTGATCAAGAGCCTGTCAGATAAACGGCCGTTGGCTGGGGTTAAAGTCCTGGAGATGGTGCGTATTATTGCAGGGCCACAAATCGGCGTTACCTTGGCATCCTACGGAGCGGATGTGATTCGGGTGAACTGCAGCAGACTTGCTGACCTTAATGTAAGTATAACCACAGTCCGTGCGTACAGGAAAGCCCACTAACAAGGAATTCCGATTTCAGGCACTCCAACTAACTCTCAATGCCGGAAAAAGAACGGTTGATTTTGACATCACCAAGACAGAGGACATGGAACGGTTGAAAGAGCTCCTCGCAGATGTCGACGTCTTCATCCAAGGATTCCGAATGGGTTCGCTGGACAGAAAAGGACTCGGTCTCCATGACATGCTAGAGATGGCAGCTAGGAGGAACAAGGGGATCGTCTACGTTGATGAGAACTGTTACGGACCCGATGGCCCATTCGCCGAGCGTCCTGGCTGGCAACAGATTGGAGACGCTGCTTCGGGTAGCTCATATGTTATGGGACGGTCCCAGGGGTACAAGGATGGGAAGAGCGTGCTTCCGCCACTTCCTGTATCTGATATGATAACGGGTCTTGTTGGTGCCGTCGGTGCGATGATCGCAATCAGAAGACGGGCAGTAGAGGGAGGCTCATACCATGTTCATAGCTCCTTGGTTGCTGCGGATACTATTGCGTTGGAAAAGGAGATAGGACTATACCCCCCCGAGGTCGTGCAGGACACAATCAAACGGTGCGGGTTCAAGGAGATCACCCCTGACCAGTATGTGACTGAGATTCTGTTCTCGGTCATTGATGGCTGGAAGAAGGGACTCCCTCACTATCTGGATGAGAACTCGAGGTTCATGACGACATTTGAGGAGGGGCATTGGGGTCGTCAGTCACTTTTGAAACCTGTTCCAAGGCTGGGTGTCGAGGAGTCGACGCCGAGGTGGACTTCTCCTCCAGTCCCACACTGCCACCATGACAGGGATATCAGTTGGCTTTGAGTAGCAACGATGACGAGTTCATTGGAGACAAATAGATAATAAGCCAGTTTGAGGCGGATGTCAATGTATATTCCTAGATTGAAGGCTGCTAATAAGAATCTCAATCAAACATCAGGCACGTTTACCTCTGGTGTGTCCCCACCTGGAACAACCGGAAACGAGGGAACACCAGGGACAATATCCTGCCAATTCCAAAATGGTGGCAGAGACCACTGCCAGTTTGGTGTCACATCGTACTCGGCTGCGAGAGTCGGGAATTCAATATCAGGGTAAGGAGCTTGCGGTAAGATATTCATAGTATGTGCAGAGCCTTCATCCAACATAGGAGCGCTGCTTGATGATGTCGATAGCGTATTATATATGGGATAGCCTGCTGGGCGACTGGTACCCTCACGGATTCCATCGGGTGCAGAATTCTCCTTATTCGCCCCGACCATTGGCCGAGGGCCTTGCTGTGCTGTCATGATGGCCTGTCTAGCAGAGCGTTCCAGATCCGAGCACATGCCCAATATGTAGTCGACATAGGTACCAGGCTCCTCAGACGCCGTATTCGCGAGGAAATTAACAATATCCCTGATCATTGCAAAGTCAACCCCAGCAAATGAATGTGTAGGGTTTGTGAGCAGTCTTAAGGCCAATGGGACGGATGCTGCCGCAGGAAAGTAAATCACATTCCTTTTGACGAAGATCAGCTCGGAAACTCTGGGAATGACGAGAAGACCAACCACTTATAGGTAGAACCAAGTAAATTTATGTGTGAGAGAAGGGCCAATGCAGAACGTGCTGAGTCGAGGGAGCGTGAAACAATGAGAGAAATATCTTCGTCCCTTCCGTTGCTAGGTCGCTGGGTGGCGTTTGCTTGAAACATGCAAACCTGGTAGAGGTTGGAGTAACAGCAATGGTAGGCAAAGTGCAATCGAACGATATGTTGTAAGAAATAGCTGGGTTGGCAAACAAATTCGCGCTGAGGTTGAAGCCTTGGAGGTACAGAATTCTTCCATCTCAAAAGAAGTTTTGCACAAGACTTTACTTCTTCAATCACTTTCTCGCTAGTTTGTCGACGAATGGTTACCGTGTAAAGGTGTCTATATACATGCCGCTGAGCCAGGGCTAGTTGTACGAGTAGACGAAAAAAGTTGATCCTTATACCATCGATACTCAGTATGCCCTTTCCATCCGGTGGATCCTCCATCGGTAAAGATGTATCATAATCTTCAATATCTTGGATTGGCGGGCGACCCACTCGTATGGAAATATCTGAATCCAGGAAAAAGGCGATCCAGAATGTTCTTCGCCTTTGCTCGTCCTCGAATGAAGTTCCATGCGCGGGGCTTCTATGCAGTCCGATGGATTGGGCAAGGCGCATTGCCGCCGCCGCAAACATAAAGAGAGCTTGAGGATTAGGTGTGCCCTGGAAGTATAATGCCAGACCCAGAAGTCCTTGGACGGCAGAAAGGTCGGTGTTTCGAAGGAAAACATCGGTGACGGCATTTAATGCGTTCTTGACATGCCCCAACGACCTTTTCCAGTTGTCACTTCCGTCAGGAGACGCATGTGTCCTTTCTCTGTATGACATGGCTAGGACAATGTTGAGTGAGATCCACCATGATGCACTATCGTCAGGGTTCCACGAGTATTGTCTGTTAACGGCCCTCATGAAGGATGCCTCATCAAAAAGTGGGATCGCCTGGTTGAATGTTGCAAAATATTCTCCAAGAACTTGCATTGTCACATGCTTATGTGGAAGGGGTTCAAAGCTGCGTCTCTCCGGGCCATCTTGAAGAATACTAGGCACCCAACTTGTAAGTGGCCATGCACTAGAATTTCGTTGGGGTGCACGTCGCCGCGCTGCCATCTCTGTCTGGTTCTCAGGCCCACTGACTGTGGCATCGGACAGAGCGGAAAATGCAGAAGATGCTCCTATCTCCGTATTGATGGTCAAAATGAGAAAGCAATTTGGACAGAGGTTTCAACCAACCAAAGTAGCGCGTTCTGCCGTCTTGGGCATTGATAATAAAAGATTGATCCTTCTCATGGCAATCACTGGTAGGGTGAATACCGTCCTCTGATAACATCTGACCGGTCTCAGAAGGATGTATTCCTTGGGCCGGGTGTTCCAGCTCTCTATCTTCAACAGAAGGTGATGTTGATTCTCGAGGCGTCTCCGCGTTCCGCTGTTCATTTCCAGGCTTGCTCAGACTCTCTAATTGCGCCTGCATTCTTTCGATCCGTTGCTCGAGCTCCTCAATGTATGCCCTGCCAATTACCAAATCAATGATTACTTGAATTAGAGAGACTTTGGCTGATAAGTCATAGGCTTGACTAACCGACTTCCGCGATTCCGGCGTTCTGCAACATCTTGATATGCACACGGCAAGTTGAAGGCATGGCAGGGTGAGCAAGCAGGGCGTTTTCCGTCACATTTGACCTTTTTACGCCGACATGTATTGCATGCCTGAATGTGAGTTCGTAAGTGCATTAGTGCCCTTGCTGCGAGTAAGAGTATAGAGCACCCGCCTACTCACCTTGGCACGCCGTAAATTCCTCGTAGTTGATTGTGATTCGCTCATCTTGCCTCAATTCCGCTAACTGTTTGAGTACCAGAAAAAATGAGACATTATAGACAGGCCCTGACGCCTAATCTACCAAATATTCGTGGAGTTGAATGATACGGAAGATCTCCAATGGCCAATGAACTTTGCAAATGAAGCTAAAATGCGCGTTGTAGAGCCACCGGCCGGCGTTAGAACGTACTAACCCAAAACGGAACTAGTATGTGGCCATCCAGTGGGACGCAGCTGCCACACCACCGCCTTCCCTTTTGATTAGCTCCCCGCAGGACCCTCGATGGGTGATAAGGCACGGCGCCGCGGAACTATCTTCCACACCAAGTTGTGGCCATTTCGCATTCGAATTCTTTCAATCCTTTCTCTCTTCCCTCATACACTGCATTGTATTGCATAGCCTATTCTACCGCTGTGTCAATTTTCCTTGTCATCGACCTATAATTCCCCATATCAACAACCTACTACCATCGGAATTTCCACCAATATATATCCCCCCATTATCACAAACACCTCAATCCCACGAACCAACCCCTCACCATCAACCAAACCACCATGTCAAACGTCCAATCTCAAGACCAATCCCAACCCGACACCATCCCACCCCATCTCGACCCCCAAACCTACCCCGCACAACCACCAACCCAACACTCAACACCCACATCCACCTAACCTACGACCCCCTCGACCCCACCAGCGCGCTATCCAAAATCTCCTCCCCGAACGCAGGCGCCAACATCCTCTTCCTCGGCACAACGCGGAACTCCTTCGAAGACCGTCCCGTCTCTACGCTAAGCTATACCGCGTACCCGCCTCTTGCGCTGAAGACATTGTCCAAGATTGCCGAAGACGCGGTGACGAAACACGGGCTGCTGGGTGTGGTGATTGGACATCGATTGGGCGATGTGCCTATCGGGGAGAGCAGTATTGTGATCGCGGTGAGCGCGGGACATCGGGGGGCGGCGTGGCGAGCGGGCGAGGAGGTGCTGGAGGAGTGTAAGGAGAAGGCGGAGATTTGGAAGAGGGAGGTGTTTGTTGATGGGGAGGGGGAGTGGAGGGCGAATAGGGATCGAGATGCGGAGGGGAAGCTGAAGGTGGTGCAGGGGTGATACTAAGGATTGAGGGTAAGTGGGCATGCTGAATGGAATGGAATGGAGTGATGCTAATTGACAGTCTTATTTTACAGTCACAGAGTAGGGTATTGTCTATGATACACGCCCAGTGAGACGAATCAGTCCTTCCTGAGCGGCTTTCCCTCCCGCTTCCAGTCATTGATGTGTTCCATGATCGTCCTCGTGGCCGTCTCAGGCGTGTCTTGACGACCAATGCACTCGACGAAGTCATTATCGGGATCTATAAACTCAGTCAGCTTCATACCCCACAAACCACCCCAGAGGACAGCCAAAAACCTACCCATAAGATAGAAATAAATACTATGATCCACCAAATAATCCTCCCCAGGCTTAATATCCCTCGGCGTACTAAAGTACACCCGATACTGCTTGCAAACATTCTTCACCTCATCATACGTTCCCGTCAAGCCGATAATCCCCGGGTGAAACTCCTTAAGATACTCGCGCAGCACCTCAGGCGTATCTCTCGCCGGGTCACACGTAATAAACACCGGCAGGAAGATATTTTCGCCCTTGGTAGCCTCCTTCACCTTATCAATAATCTCCGCCATCTTATCCAACTCATCGGGGCAGATATCAGGGCAATGAGTGAATCCGAAATACACCTACACCAACACCCCATCAATCATCATTAGCCACAATCACTAATCCCTACTCCAACCCTCCCCCCCACCCCAAAACCACAGCAGAAAGAAACGGGATACTCACAAAAGCATACTTCCCCTTCAAATCCTCTGCGGTGAACTCCTTCCCATCCAGATCCTTCAACGTAAACGGACCTCCCACTCTCGGTTTCCCCACTCCCTTACTCATCTCCGCGATACGCTTCCTCTCCAATCTCTCCTTCTCGACCCGGAAATAGATAATCATGCCTCCGCCCGTCAGCACGAACAGCAGCGCCGATTTCCATGAGAACGGGCCCGTCGAGTGCCGGGCCTTCATTTGGCCCATTGTGCGAGCGCGCAGACAAGCAGGCGAGGTTGAGAAGGAGCGGGTGGAGGATAGGATGGCATTGTTGGAGCTGAGGCGGGAGATGGGGCTGGTGGTGGTGGTTCTGAGCGCGGTCTGGGTCGCGGTGCGTTCGATGGGGAATAGGGTGGAACGGGATGCCCGTGTGAGAATTCGGCTCATGGGCCGCATTGTGGAAGCCATTGTGGTGTATTGGCGGTTTGGGGATGGCTGGTTGCGGAGTTTTCGCGTGGAGGGTGTCGGAGACTGAGCGGAGGTTTAGATGTCGACAGCTCGGTCGGTCCGGAGACATGTTCCTTGAAAGGGTTTAGTGTGTTGCCTGAGGCTGCAATGGTGTGAATCACGTGGGGGTTGTTACAGTGAGTGAAGAGAATACGCGGTTGATTCATCTATGAATGACTTGGAACTGATGTATATCCGTGGTCAAGATATTATGAGTTGTAGAATTACAAGAATTACACCCGCTCCTGCCCAATGACGCCGGTCTGTCCAAAGCACTGAGAACCAAAGACGTACATGCTCGGTATGCAATTTATTGCTCGATAGGAATCTGGTCGCCGAAGGAATAGGAAACGCGGGTTGATATAATAGCACAAACGAAGTATAAAGTGGAGAAATCGGAGAAGCGACAAGTGGTATTCTGGTAAGATGAAGCGAAAGGCAATGCTAAATTTGGTATAAACGATAGCAAGAAGAAACTCGCGTCTTTTTGTCCCAAGGACTGTTGAAAACTGTATGTACGGCGGCAACAGGAGTATCTCACTGTACACTTCGGCTCGCCAAGCTGGCACGGCTGGGAGTCGTTCGTGGCTCCTCTTCTTCGATCACATCGCTGAGACGCGTAGGATGACGGTGGCGTGGGGTCATCGACTCCCAACCCGTCCCTACGCCCCATCCTGAGCCACTATAATCGACGGATGGGATGCCTCCATACATGGATCCCGAGGTCGCGGGCATAGAGGTCGGGGGGTATCCGCCCTCTTCCACTGACCCCTGCTCATAGTCGTCGCTCCCTTCTGACATCGCAGGTGGATACGCAGTAGCATGGCCCTGAGGGTTGCGACGGTAGCTGCTACCAAGTTCCTCTTCGCCTTGCTCGCTACTGGCAACGCTGGGGCCGTACGAGCGGTCGTCATTCTCAGATGTTGGCCGAGCAGGATATGTGGGCTCCTGCTCATAGAAATGCCCAGGGTATGGTCTCTGAGCTTCTGTTGATGTGGATGCCGGCGGCTCCTGGAGAGGTCTCTGCCCCTCAACGAATGGGTCGGTCCCGGTGGGAGAGGCAGGGGTGTCCGCATAGTACTGGCTTTCTGTCACCCCCGTGGGCTGTGGGACGCTCTCACCCCCCGCATATGGACCTTCTCTAGTCGGTGGGCGATTGGAGGTCTGCCGATGAGGGGGGCCCGGGATCATGGGTACAACTTGGACTCCTCCGACCAAGGTGGGCTCTCCGTTACGCAGGGAATTGGTCCGATCCCGCTCTTCCTGTTCGCGCCGACCCAGCTCTTCCCACGCCCGGCGGGCCTCTTCCTTGGAGATTTGCAGCTCACGACGCATCTCCTTCAACAGCTCTTCAGCGCGTACCTTGTCGCTCTCAGCCTTTTGCACCGAGGCAAGCGATTCGGCCCGTGCTTGCCTCTCGGCCCTGACTTGTCTCTCCAGTTCTGCTAGCATTTCCTTCGACCGTTCCTGCTCGGCCCGAGTGTCAAAGAACCAACGCTGGAATTTCCTCTCCGACGAGGCGCGCAGGCGCTGCAGCTCCACCACGGCATGAAAGAGATTGGCACCCGCGGCAGAGAGATCAGTCACTTGGCGCGCCATTTGCTGGTTGAGAGGGTCGAGGGCTTCATTGTTTTGTTCAAGCTTGCGAATCCAATAACCAGTCAAGCCCTCCCAGTGAGATGACAGCGTTTCCCATCGCTCGAACGCGTGTGGAAATGGAATGCGGCGAGATTGCTGGGATTGCGGATCCGACGAACCTTGAGCTGGCTGTTTGAGGCCCGCAGAACTCTGCGGGGCATTTTGGGGCGGTTGGGCTGGATTGGGTGGTCCGGCTGATGTGGTCGGTCGACCATGCGTTCCAGAGACCTGGGCTGGGGCTTGAGGATCTGGTCGCCTTGTGGTTGTGGAAGACCGCTCTGGAATTGGCGCCCTTCGTTGTGAAGTTCTGTCACCGGCAACGCCAGCAGCATAAGTTTGAGCTTGGCCCGGGGCCTTATTCTCCTGCTGCTGCCTGTCAAATCCATCCTGCTCCCGGTCTCTCGCCTCCTGTTCCGCCTTCTTGCGAGCTTCTCGATCCCGGCGCTGTCTCATGATGTCCGTAGGCGTCCGCACACCACTTGGTGGGTGTGGGTTAACAGGGACCGGGCCCTGAGCAGCCCGAGAAGACCCATTCTGAGTACGGCCATTGGCTCCAAAGCCGGTCGAACCAGAGGGACCTGCTACGTCAGACATGGACGCATTCACTTCCTCCAAATCTAGCGTGAATGGAAATGGTTTGCGAATTGCCTCCTCCAAGGTCCAAAGTATTGCAGACGCTGTGCGCGGGGAGACTCGGGTCGACCTGTTGGGCCAATATGATCCGCCTGGCCGCTGGGAGTAATCTTCAAATTCCGAGTCGACGTCTTCGTCGTCTTCTTCAGTTTGCGCCTCGGAGAGTGCGGGACGCAATCCAGCGAGTCCGCTTGTCGGCTCCGAGACGGGTCGCACCAACACAGGGATAGTCTGTTCTATGTGAGACGGGCGCCCGGAAACATCTACCGAGGGAGGTCTCTGGAAAAGCCGGGATGTTCTCCGCAACGAACGAGGACTTCCCAAAGCGCTCGAGGGTCGAAGTGACGGGTGGGAGATGGGGTCAGGGAGGGTGTGGGAAGCAGCCTGCTGCTGGCGTTGCGGTGGAAAGGTCGTAAGTGGTGTAGGGTCGTTCACTTCGTAGGTATCGTTAAAGGCGCCGCGATTGCGATGAGACACCGCTGAGGATGGGAGTGAATGGAACGGAAGATGCGACGACAACGTGAGAATGGCACTCAGCCCCCACGAAATGGGACCAGGAACGCGGGCCCTGCACGGTAGGTGGGCTTGTCAACGTGTCAGGAGAACTGCAGAGCTCCAACAGATTCCAACTAGAAAGAGGGTCTCCAATCCAGCACAGATTGAGCCCGCCGCTGATGACGGGTAAGTCAGTACGAGGATGCTGCAATGTGGGTATTTTGATTCGAAACACGAAAGGACAGCACAGGGGAAAGCAAAAGCATTTCAGAGCGAGCCACGCAAGTGCGAGCGAGCGAGGGTTGAAGGCAGTGGCTGGTCGAATAGGAAGAGCCGTCGCAGAATTACGATGGCTGGGAATCGGGGGACGCTGCAACAACGGGATCTTACCTGTACCTGAAAGCGCCCTGCCAGACCGCAACGAGCACCGCTACAGGCTCGGGGCCGTCATGGAGCAGAGCAAGGCAGCCCAATGGCTCCGGCGGATAATCGAGGGCCGGATTACGGCGGTCTGAGTTGTATGGACACCAGCCAGCTGTGAGGCGGGCGACGGAGGAGGAGGAAAGGGAAGGAAAGTGAGACGGGAAAAGATCGGGCAAAACTGCTGGAAGCGCCAGTTTCTCCCGCTACCAAACTTCACCCCGATCTGCGCTTTCCACCCACGAAAGCACAAGATCGATCCAGGTTCCGAGTCCGACCCAAGCCTTTAAGAAGGAGGGGACATCGATGGCATCGATTCAAGGCAGTACAGGTCCAGGTAAGCCACCCCTACGACACACGCCTTACCTTCCCCTCCCGGGTTTCAGAGGTCGCACAGATGAACTACGATGATTCAGATAGCCGTTGGTTGGACAACAAACTAATCTGTATCTACCCAAGCTGATCAATTGGTTTCAATCAGGCAATATTTGTGTTGGGTTCCGAACCCAATGCTGATGGGCTTCTAGAACTTACTTCCTGGCCCGGCTGTTACTCTGTATCATCCGCTCACCTCCCACCGGAGAGATAAACTCTTACAGCGGACGGAATGATATCAGACCGCTGAGATAAATTGCATCATGGTCCCATCGGAAAAGAAATATATATAGAAACCAACGCTAGTCAAGCCTGGTCGTTGCAATGGCCCAATCCTGGGCTATGTGCTGGCGATTGCTGATGGGGTTTTAGTCCCAAGCCATGATTAGGTAGCTGCCAACTAGTGTACCTGGCCAGTGGCCAAGGCACTCGGTCAGGTCGCGGTCGCTTGCGATGATTCAGGCTCCTTGTTTAATGACGCCCATTTGCCGCTTGAAGGTCCAAGGGCTAAACAGAGGCAAAGGGCTAAACAGAGGCAAAGGGCCAAACAGAGGCAAAGGGCCAAACAGAGGCAAAGGCCCCTTGATGATCTGTGTGGATTTTTCGAGAGCCTGGCCAGGAAAACTGAAGCGACTCCACCCGATCTCCATCCAGAGCACAGACCCGATGATGACGATGGAGCGTTGGCTATTCTTTCACGGTCGCACGAGCAGTACGACCATACGGAAATATATCTAGACCGATGCCCTTGAGAGGACATGTGAATGGCTCTCATCTGCGTATCTGCAAATATATCACTAGCTGAACTAAAGTAATTTCAGTCATGTCGACTGGCCCTGGTGATCGTGCGTTCTAGACGATCAGACCGTTAGTGAAAGACCTGCAAACTCTCGGGATAACAGCACAGCGCAACCTTCTTCCAAGGGACGAGTCACAGCAAGGGCCATCCGAGTCGGGTATTAATTGAGTTCAAGGAAAGCAAGCCGTCCGGCCCGGTTTCAGACCTGTCGAAATGCCTTGCAGCAAGTCTCACGTCCACACCATCTCTTCTACTGGGATTGGCATTATTGCATCATGCCCGCCGTACCAGCACTGTGAATGATGCGGTCTTCTCTTCGCCGCATCGCTATCACATAGGTATTCGGGGCCCTACTTTACTACAAAAATTAATTAGAAGTGCTGGGAAGCCAAAGACAGGCATGGGTGGCCCTGCACACAAATACGGAGTAGTCAGCTCAGCTTTACGTGCAGCGAAAATGTCCGGCAGCGAAGAAATCCGGCAGTTCAAGAATGCGTCGGCTTCAAGAACCGGCAGGATTGCGCATCTGCCCGTGCTACCCGTGAAGAACCTCGAGGAAAGATGCAAAGGAACCGGTGGAATGGTTAGATTGCACGGGGTGATCCTGCTCGCAAATCAAATGAGAATAGATGAGAATACGATAATCTCCGGAGCGCTCGTTGCACCTACACAGTCAACATACACAAAATTTCCTCATTCAACGGAGGTGCAAATTTATATGTACGTGTGACCGGCAGAGCGTTGGAGATGCATGAGTAAATGCAAAACCGCATTGTCATGCACAGGCCTCGGAATGCGGGCCATGCAACTTCTGCTTCCCAGCGGTCTAGATGCTGTTGAGTTTGCACAGGCTCTCGTAAACTACTCCTTCAGCCTATGCAGACAGCAAGTTGGAAACACGAAAAGGGTCATTCGAACCGAGGGGAAGGACTCTGTGCTTGAACTCAAACTGTACCACTGGATGGTGACAAATCCAACATATGAAGCTCACAACGTGCATGAATGAGATTGAGCTTGGTAGGAAAAACCTACCGTCTTTCCTATTATGCACTGATTGAACGGTGTCATTTCGCCCACGGGGTCGAAGATTGCCAAGGATAATAATGAATACGACGCTGAATCTCAGTCTAGCAGCAGACAAAATCCGTGCAAAAGGAATAAGATTGAGTTATCAGGGCAATATTCTGCAACCTCACCAGCAAGGACTCTCGAATCTCTATTGGGCGGCAAGCCAACCTTCGGAGAATAAATGCGTGGGGGTAATGCCTTCTTATACCCAGACCACGCTCGGTGCTCGTCCAAGCCGAACAGACAAGGAACAGCAGATCGCGTTCTCCAATGCCAGCCTGCAGTATCGCAGCAACCTGGAATTCCGGAATGCGGGTCCTGACATAACATCTTGTATAGCCAATCGACGCGGTAGCCTGGTGCGATAGGTCTCAGCCACAACGATGGAGCTTCGCAGTTAGATCGTATATCGCCGGGAACCTAGACTACAGTATAACTTCCACCACTTTCACTTGTAAGATCGCGCCATCAAGCGCACAACGAGTCGAGGATACTGGCAAGGCCAGGCCAAACGATCGGCCGCCGATCGCCACCAGAGCCGTGGTTGAGCGCGCGCTAAGTTAGCGGCTGATCCTGGATGGCCCCGGAGGTCGGCATGTCCTAGCGCTGGAGATCTCACATTTGCCATCACAACTCCACTGCGTCTACCAGGTTGCTGGGAGCGCACCCCAGCCGGTGCAGAATTCCAGCCACGATTCAAACCCGTCTGTTTACGAGGCTCAGCACCGACCCAACGCGGTGACCTCGAGCAATGGCCTCGAGCCTGCTACGGGCCACTTTTGACCTAGCGGGACACATGCAGAGCCGGCCTCAATCTGCATGCAGCCCAATTTTTGAGCTGCCAAACTAAACATTGGGGTAGCTGAAAGCCCGAAAGATACCAAGTCGCGTCAATTGATACATTGCCAGCACCCTGGCGGCCAAAGAGAATAGGTGTTGACATTTCTCCGTTTCAGTCCGCTGAAGCATCCGAGGAACGACACAAAGTTATAATGGCAACATAGCGAGTCAGAGAAACGGAACCCCGCGTCGACAAAGTTGCGGATCGGTATTCCGGAGGCTCCCTTGCTGTGGCATCGATGGCCTGCCGCCTTGCTGCGCTCCATCCCTACCGAAGGGGCCATGTAAGGTCTGATAGGTCATTGGAGTCTGTGCGCTCGGACGTTCGAGCTTTGTTTACGCCTTTCTGCATTGGCATGCGCCGGTGGTCCTCCCCGACCTAGCCACCAGGCCAGCAATGGGTCTGCCCTAGCCCAGGAAAGGCATCACAGTTATTTTTGGGCAAGCTATGTATAAACATATCCCCTCCGCCCTTCCTGCTGTGTGGTCATTCTCATTCCTTTTTTACGTTACGTCTCTCGTTGAACCTGTATTTGAACCTGTGGGCTGCATCTGTGCGTTCCTTTACTGATGAGCCTCCTGCGTGTCTGAATGCACAAGACCGAATCCATCCTGGCGTGAATCATAGCCCATGGCTGACGGATACTCTCGGCTTCCCGGCGAACCGAACGCCTTCTACAGCAGCCGGAACCGATCGCAGACCGCAGTGGGCGTGCCCCCATCCACACCCACGAAGCGGGCTTCTTCATTCTATCCAAACAGACCCGGGATTGTAGACGAGTCGAATCCGGATCCATTCTATCTGGAGCACACGCTGGCGGGCGCCGCTCCCTGGGGGACTCGCCGGCCAGGGAGTCGCGATGCGAGGTGCAGTGAGGAGGGCTACCCATATTCGATGCTATCATCTGTGTATTCCACCGATATTCCATTTGCACCCACAGCCCGCGGTGAAGCCACGAGGCTGCGATCCAATATTAACCGATCCACACTGTCTGTGGTTGAGCTGGAGCATCAGCTCGGACTGCAACAGGTCGCAGCCCGTCCGTGGGGAGCCCCGACAGTGAATCACGACCACGGCTCATTTAGCTCGGTGCATACTGAAGCTACCCCGGACTTGACTCCTAGCAGCTCCTTCTCGTCCAACTATTCTGCTCCTATATACCCGGAGAACTTCCCACCGTCGGAGCCTCTTCCAGTACCCCCGCCAGTGCCTAGCCCTAGGAACAACGTATATCCTTGTTCGTCCACTCCCTTGAACCAATCCCAGACCACTCTGTGTACACAATCTTCCACGCCGGTGCGAAAGGGCAAGCCTCAGACCGTGGCACCCAACGCGTCGTCCGACACCCTGGTCATGCATCGGGTCGACAGTCACGACGCCCCTCCCCATCTTGGGAAGCCATTGCCATCTCTGCCTCATGGAGCGGGCAGTAACATCGGTCATTCCGGTAGAAAGGGGCCTCCTCCGCCCATCCGGCCTCCAATTGCTCCGTCAATGATCTCGCCGCCGTCTCGGATCAACCCAGTGACCATGGAGCCACACGCCTCTCATTTCGACCAAGCCATGTTTATCCCTGCCAATGATTGTCCGAGTCCGGTCCCCAGCCCGGGACCGTCGTCTCCCGCGCTTGAGCGCTATCCCACCGCCAACTCCGGGCGTGACCGACCGTCCACTTCAGCGTCGCGTGCAGCCTATTGTGAGCAGTCCGTTTGGGAATCCGACTCGGACAGCGAGACGGCGGATCCCAAGTCACTGTCGCGCAAGCCAATGGACACGCTGAAGAAAGTGCGCAGCCGGGTGCATCTGCGGGTGGCCAAGTCGGCACCCAAGCTTCAACCCACGCAGGCCGCGAGTCAGCAGACACACCCCTTGGAGAAATATCCTTCGATGCCCGATCAGCCCCCGGAGGAGCTGTGTCCATCGCCCACGCGGCACACGGTGAAGGCGCGCTCGCGAGATGGTCTGCGAAACGCGCCGACGTTGCGGCTGGTTGATCCATCCGTGACATCCTTGCCGCTGCCACAGTCCCGTCGGGGCAGTGGTCAGGTACGCGCCATCGACATTGACCGAACGACAGCGGCAGCGATGCAGGCGAAATCGCGCCGCCGCCCGCGGTCCGAGTCCAAAAGATCCCTTCCTCCGGAGCGCGAGAAGGTGTACACCTTCTGTCGCGAGGATCGGTCTGACGCGATCCTGTCGCTGGCACGGCCGCCGCTCTATAAACGGTTATGGGACTCGTTGCGGGTGCTCGGCTGCCATGGCGAAATCCCACCACGGTCTCGCAGGCCGATGTAGTTATGTGTTTTGATTTCGATAAAAGTCCACCGGCGTTGATGATGTACGGCTATGCTACGACTACCGAAAACTTACCAGCCGATGATACCGCACGGTTCTATGGTTGACCTAATGTTTTATGATGCTGAGACCCGTGATACGGGTGATGAGAATCCACGATGGATAGATACAGATCATGTCCATGTCCATGATGCGCGTATGCGCGGCGACGACTCATGTCCAATGAGACAACGATTGCGATTATTGTTGTCTACACTCTTTACTGTTATGTATACGTGTCTATTGACACATTTCTTTGCTGTCTATGTCTGACCCACGACACTCACTTACGACTCTTGACCCGGCTGTCACTCTTTGCAAGCTGCTGAGCATTTCCTACACCTACAATCTAAGAAATCATTCCTCGATGTAACCTGTCCTCTTGCCCAATTCGCATAAAGCAAAAGAACGCGCCGGATGGAAATCCCAGCCACTGGAGGTATTTGGGAAGAATGTGTGGGGTATGGCCGCGAGGGGGGCAATGAAACACTAGTTTGATGCATCCCTTGATGACGGCTGGCCAAGACATCCCTTGAGGGTGGTGCTACTGTATGACTCGTTAACCAGTTTCACCAGATTATCGGGGACTTGTAGAGTTCCTTATCTACATAGTATCAATATCTATATCCAATCTCTTGGTATCCTATATGCGGTCCGACATCCACGGGCATGTAGATGGGCATGTAGATGGGCATGTAGATGCGACGTTATCTCACGCCACACTACCATCCACACATACTTCATCCACCATCCTCACGCCAGCCAAGCTGCCACCACGTCGCGTACCTTGCAGGCCCGGCCCCGTCTCGACCGCGACAGTCTACCTGCCTGCCTGCTGCTACAGCAGCAGGGGATCGGATCCTCGACATACGCAGCCGCCGTCCATTCATCCGGACTGACATGAAGCAGATCCCGACGGACGCAGGGGCAATCATAAAAGTACCATCATCATGATCATAATCCATCCATCAATCCATCCATCCTCACCTCCCCTCCCCATCCCCCTCAGCACCCTCAATCACCTCCTTCATCTCCAACGCCTCCATATTCTCCTCCCACCTCGGAACACTCACCCTCCCCTCCCACTTCCCAACAACCCCCTCTCCCTGCCTCCCAAGCCTCCCCTCAACCTTTTCCTCCGAAGACGTTAACTCCCCCTCACTGATCCCCTCGAACACCTTCCGCACATCCAATTCCGTAATGGCTTGTTGGTACAACGCGAGGATGTGTGCGCGTTTCGCTGCCCTTTTCTCCGCCTCATCTATCCCAACAGCACCATTTGTATCCGTGCTGGTTGTAGTTGTTGGGGGCTTCCGTCCAGGTAATTGTTTCTTGATCACGGATTGGGAATCATAGCCCCGTAACACACCCTCGAGAATACCGAGGATTGTGCCGGCTCGCATGCCGAGTTGTGCGCCCACGGGGAATCCGGCATCGAAGCCGGATTGCACATGTGTGGATTTCGAGGCTTCGATGCCGTCGCGGTAGCCGGCTGTGACGTGTTGGCGGCGGAGGGAGGGGAGGTCGGAGGGTTCGGTGGGGTGGGATGCGTTGGGGTTGGGGTGGTGGTGGGATGGGGCTGGGGGGGAGGAGCCGAAGATGTCGTCTAGGGTGGACATTTTTGTTGTGGTGGTGCTGGTGATGGGGTGGGTGGTGTGGTTGTGGTTGTAGTGGTTGGTGGTGAGGGGTGATGGTGATGGCGGTGTTGGAGAAAAATTGAAGGCGGGGAAGAAGAGTGAGTGGGTCGGAGATGGTTATTGGGGGATGGTGGACTGTGGAGAGATCTATTCTTATCCATCAGGAACGATACTAATTACTATGGAGTAGATATGCAGATATTGAGTGCAGTTTGTACGGTGATTTAATTACCTGATTGCATATAACTAATGGTACAATTGATAGATATTCTCATTGGCTGTAATCAGTTGTGGAAGATGTATCATCCCCATCCAACGCAACTAAATCCTTCTGCCTACCAACACAAGGCTATACTAAACACCAACACACTAACCCGACGATCATATGATACAACTACTGTTATCTCGGAGTAATCGGACCTTAATTACCTCCGCGATCTCTTCCATGACACTAACGGATTCTATGATAGCTAGCTTACCTCCGCTATATATACTACTAGTAGTAGTAACTCAACCAACCTTCCAGTTTCCTTTCACCCACCCAACATTCACACCAACCACCACCCTCTACCCTGCAACACAACACACAATGCCCCCATCAAAAACAACAACCAGACTTCTCATCCTCCTCACACCCCCCGCCCTCCTAACCTACACCACCCACCGCTACCTCTCCACCCTCGAAGCCAAATATCCCCCCGTCGACCCAACCACCACCACCAGCCTCGCTCTCCGCACACCAAGCAGCCCAACTCAACATTGTCCGGAGATAGATGTCTACGAAGCGCGTGCAGTGCCCGTGAAGTCCCTTCTCAAGAGATACAAACATATCCTCCAAATCAATGGACAATCTCAACTCATCACCGCCGAAGACAACCCCCCAAAAAATGAAAAAGAAAGGAGAAAAGAAACCCTAACCAAATCCTGGACCCTCACTTTCCTCAACACGGCTCCCCTCCTCCACGAAGCGAGTATCTTCGGCCTGTTCTTGAACAGGTCCTACTCGCCAGGAGATACAGGCCTTACTACACTAACCTCTACACCGACAACCAAAAAGGGGGAAAGATTGCTGAACGGCATCTTCACTATTGAATCCTTCACCCCGTCCCATTCCCCCTCCACACCAAATACACTACCAGGTTTAATCCTCTCCTGGTCCATACCCCCCGAACCTATACTATTCTTCGAGAAAATGGCAAAATGGGGCTATCCATTCCGGTTAATGAGTGGCGGACGACACGAAATCGGCATTTCACCCGTATATATCCATGAAGGGGAAGAGGTCGTCGATGTACGATTCGCCTCAGCCCACGACTACGAGGTTCTAGAGTCCGAAGGGGGATTAGAATCCCAGAAAATGATTCCGAAGTGGACGGGGAGGTTACATAGAGGCTATGCTCGATTCCTTCTCCATTCTGCTATTCAGGATTTGGAGATTTGATGGGAATTGTGTCTGTCGGGCTGTTGATATTAGGGTACGGGGATGAGAGGTGTGGTTCAATTGATGATTTGGTGGGATATATATACTACTTAACCACCACAGACTAGTTAAATTATATAGGATAGAGTAAATAACTCCCCTCTCCATACATACATACATACATACATACATACATACATCCCCCCCCAAAATCCAAACCACCCCCGACAAAATCACTAGTAGTAGCAAGGCTGATCAGCCCTAACAACCCCCCACCCCCTCCACCCCCAAAACGGAACACAAACCTCCCACCCATCCCTCACAGCCTGTACCCTGCCCGTCCCATTCCCATTCCCATTCGCAGTCCCATCCCCCTCCTCACACCTCTCATAAAGACATAAATCATAGCGCGTCGCCCCGGGACTCTTCCACGAGAAACTATCCACGGAGGAAACATTCACGCTACTATCCAGAAGGTTACATCCCGCTGCTGTAACTGTGACTCCCTGGGTGTGGAAAACAGATAGTTCGAAGGAGGTGGTGTTGGGGTTGCAGCCGGGCGTGAAGAGGCGGAGGTCCCACTATCTCTTTCTCTCTTTCGTTAGTATTTTGGGGGTAATTGGGGTGGGAAATTGGGGGATTGAGGTGAAGAGGGTTATGGGGGTTCGTACGCTTTTCGGACGGAGAATGTCCAATGAAGCAGTGAGGGCTCCTGGGATGAGGGGGAGAAGTAATAAAGTGGGAATGGAAAGATGCATTTTGGTTGTTCGGTGGATGTAGGTAGGTGGTAGGTAAGAGAAGAATGTAGGCTAGGTGGGTGGGTGGGTGGATGGGTGATCATCATATACCCAGGGCCAGACCTGCAGATCAGTAACAGTCTGGTACGCTAGTGCTTCACATCTGGGCTAATGCAGGGATTCGGACCGAATTATCATCCATTCATCTACCGAGTACAGAGTACGGAGTACTCCGAATGTCATGTCGCACAATGGTCATCCGATTCTTTGCATACCAGGTACGACTCTATGCTATTTATCTATACTAATGTCTGCCCGGGGTTAATCTCCATGCCCGCAATGGCAGTCCCTGTAACTTGAGAACCGCCGGCCGGATGAAAAACACAAACGTCACCACCCCAATCACCACACACAGAATGTTCGTCGTGTAGTACCCATCGTGTTGGACATTGCAGATACCGCCTCCATTCACGCAGCGTGTCCGGTCGGGCTCCAGTGCACATGAGAATGCCTCCGTGACCAGGTCACCCTTCAGGTCGGTGGGTGGCACCGTCGGTGGAACACAGGTGGCCTCGGTGAACATGTCCACCAGCTTGAGAATAAAGTATCGAGGGAATGTACCACCCAAGTTGGAAACACTGCACATGATCAGTACGGTCCATCAGTAGGGGGGCAGAAGACTTACGTTGCGAGCATCGTCATGTAGGTACCGCCAATACTCGGGTCGGCAATGCGCGCATGGAACGCAGACACTGCCACAAACATCACCGTGTTCATAAATGTCGAAAACACATGCTCGCCAATCACCGTCAGCAGGTACCAGGTCGGGATCTGGTCGCCCGACGGGAAGATCATCACCGTCGCCTGCGCAAACACGGCCGCCACCAGTCGTCCGATAAATGCCCAGCACCACAGCCGCATCGCGGTATACTCCGTCGACCACTTGCCTGCGTAGTAGCCCAGTCCAATTTCAAACGGAAAGTCAATCAACACCACCAGCGCCATGTTGTCCTGACCGAATCCCTTGTCCAGTAGCTTCAGGCTGGTGACGCCGTCGTTGGCCTGGAATCCAATCTTGGCAATCAAATGCACTAGGATAATCGTATGGACGTGTCTTAGTTTCAGCACACTCCACATGCTACGGTACACATCCATGATGCTGTCGCGCTCATGCGTCCGGTCTTCCTTCTTCATCACCGCCAGGCAAGTAGTAACCACTAGGTACGCCCAGCCCCAGAACTTCAAGTATGTGCCCAGCGACAGCAGTCCTCCTTCAACGGGGACAGCCCGGAACCAGCGATTGGCAAAGTCGGCCGAGTTGAAAGCCAGAAACACCGTGTAAGACAGGAAATGGCCCGCGGTCAATCCAACCGTCTGCGCAGTCGATGCATAGGAAATGTTCGGTGGCGACATCAGGGTAATCGCCCACCCATCCACGGCAATATCCTGAGTGGCGCAGAAGAACACCAGCAAGAACCACCAGTAGGTAAAGTTCCACACGCCCGCGCCGCCATTGGCGCCAGCATCCTTCATCATCCCCTCAATGCGTCCGCCCATATAGATCATGGCCACGCCCGCGATAACCTGCACCGGGGTGATCCAACTCTTGCGTCTGCCGAACCGCCGACTCCAGATCGCGTCGACAATCGGACTCCACAGCAGCTTCAACGAGTATGGGTAGGATGCGAGGGAGAAGACGCCAATTTGGCCGTATGAAAGGTATGGCTTCAACAGGAACGGGACAGACCCGGTGGCCAGCCCCATGGGAATTCCCTGAAGAAAGTATAGCACGCACAGCAGCAGGAAGTTCCTGCGATCGCTGGCGGGAAGGTCTGCGAATGAGGTAGTTGTCATGGCCGGTGTCTGCGGGGTCATTGGGGGGTCATGATCGAGGGTAAAGCTGGAACGCGACATGAGGCGGTTGGCCCGCGTGGCGGTAGATTCCACGGAGGTATCCCTCTTGCGCATCTCAATCGACGAATCCATACTGTCGCTTCCGTAGCCGTTCTGGCCCGTGGCGATGGTCAGAGATGGCTTCGAACGGCGTTTCGAGACCGTGCGGCCTTTGCGCTTCATGGGGGATTGGCCACGATGGGAGACGGATAGGGGTCGCGTGTGTAGGGAGTGGAATGAACCCGAGTCGGAGTCGGGGTCTGGATCAGATGAGAGAAAGGCGGAGTCACCGGGACGATCGGAGGGGTGGTCTGTGTAATGAAGGAATCGGTGGTGTTCAGACGTGTCGGTGCTGCATGCTAGGGACTGGAGTTCCACCTCCTGAGGATGATCCGCTGCGGACGGACGATGATCGTGGGCAGCGTAGGGATCCGCAGGGACATGGAGGGGAGAAGAAGCGGAGAAAGGGGCAGGGGAGGGAGATGAGGGATGAATTGAAGGTCGGGAGGCATCCATCGACGTGGTGGAGAGTGATTGAGGCAAGCTGGCCTCAACAGCTTGGTCGTGACGGCCTCCCGAGCTTCCGTGTGATTGGTTGTTGCCGTCAATCGCCGTCATGACTTATTAATGTCGCGCATTAAGCTATCTGCAGATGCCATGCTATCAGATCGCCTTTTATATACCAGTTTTTATACGGGGTGTATGGTGCTAGCTAAATTCTTTATTCCATACCCTAGCTATTGACAACAATAAGCCACTCAACCCAACTCCCCTTTCATCCCGAACAACAACCGAACCCCCTTATCAATAATCCAAAACCAGACCCTCGACCCAGCACTGTGGATCAAACCAGGATCGTCTCCTTTCACCCGCCAATCGAGCCGCAACTCCAGAGCCGCCAACGCTCACGTGACACCAACCGTCAACAAACAAGCAAACACCATACTAGTCTACCACCACTATCACCTCATCTCCACACCAGCTCCTCACCAGCGCATTCCACCCCAACCCCCAAAATGGACCCCGAAACCCTCGATTCCGACCTCGACGTCGAAATCTCCTCCATCCGCGCCGAAAGTCCGTCCCCTAACCCCGTCCCTACCCCCACTCTAACTAACCAAACCCAATCTCATAGTCCGAACCCTCCAGCACCGCCGTCGCATTCTAACAAGCAGTCTCCTCTCCTCGCACGCCCTCCAACGCCTATCAAAAACACATTCCCTCCCTCCAGCACCAAACCAATCCCACTCCCACCGCCAACAGGAATGGATCGACATCTCGCCTTTGATTCAATCCTCTGCGACACATGCTGAAACGAACCATCACCGGATCGCGTTCTCGACGACTACGTTCCCGTTTTCGGATCCGTCGCCGAATGCCGAAGTTACGAATTTGTTAGGGGTGAGGATAGATATTTGTGATCGGGAGGGGAGGTATACGAAGCCGTATTATGTATTGTTGAGGAGGGTGAAGGGTGACAAGAAGGAGGTGAAGGTGCATAGACATACCGTGCCGAGTGTGGTTGATATGGGAAGGTTGGAACGGGGGTATTTACCGGTTGAGGGTAGTAGGCAAGAGGATGCGGAGGGGCAAGGGGAAGGGGAGCAGTTGAAGCCGTGGAAACAGAAGACCAGGAAACAGGATCTTAAAGGGTTTGTGAGGGAGGTGCGGAAGCAGTTGGTTGTATGGCACTTGAGGTGTGATGCAGTGAGGTATCTACGGGAGGAGCTGGGAGTCGTGAGGCGTGGGGTGGATGATGCGATGTATGAGGATGATGAGAGGCCGTGGGAAAGGGATATTCTTGGTGGTGGGGATGGAGCTGGGGAGGAGACGCGCATTGCGAAGAATAAATTTGGGATTGTGTCGTTGGCCCCAACGGCGTTGGAGGCAGTTTATGTCCGGGTGGAGTGGGAGGATGGGCGTGTGGGGAGGTTCAAAATCTCGAGTACGGGGGTGGTAGAACGGGCGGTGGTTATTGGGGATGCTGGACGGGATAAGTTGACCGAGGGGGTGATGACGGGGGGAAATGGGAGAGTGGAAACGCTGTTGAAGAGGTTGGGGAAACACATCGTCGCTGGGGATGGATCTGAGACCTGAGTATCTTCTTTTTGGCGTTGTTTTGTATACTAGCGAGCCATGTTTGATGTATCTGTTGATTTATGTATCCGCCTGGTTCATCAATCCAG